GTAGACACCTGCACACAGCTATAGTCAATTGAGAGGGCTTGACCAGGAAAAGCGTGACAATAACCAACTGACGCAAGGTATGTGTGGGAAGGCAAACCTGGAAGACATATCAAGATTAGATTTAGTGTCGATAAGAAGGCGCCGAGAAGTACAGTCGGGGAAAACGCTACCATTGGGACGGCCGACTCGGTGAAACCCGATACTTGGCCCAGTGGGTTCAGCACCGGTGCAGAATCTAAATGCCAGATCGGTACCCTGAAAATTTGATTCGTGGAATCATCGGTGTCACACTCTTGCTGCAATGCGGTATCCAACCCTATCAAAGCAGCATAAATCAAAATCAGGTTCAGGTTACGCATGCATCAGGTTCAGGTTCAGGTTCAGCTGCAGGTTCCGATGACGTCTCTCAATAGATCCTTCCCCCCTTATATTCCCTGAATTCGCAGTTTCCGATCAAAAATTTCACGACCACTTCAACAAAGCAGAAGTGAACTTTGTGATTTGTATATTCCTCGCAGTGGCAATGGCGACCCAGCTGTCTTCAATAACCGAGCAGTTCCACCAAGTCTACCAAGACCACCCTCAAGAGAAGGCTGGCTTCACATTCAGGCCCAGCGGAGTCAACAACGGTCTCCAGTCGAATCCGAGTGGCCTCTCTATCTCAATCGTCCGAAGACTTAGCAGTTATGTGTCTACAAAGCCTCCACCCACACCCCCAGCCGGAGCCAGGGGTGCAACCTGTGATCTGCTCGATGCGACCTTCTGCAACCTCGACGTCGATTCGGTAATTCCTGACTCACTGCTTCAGGAGCCATCAAAGAGTATCAGCAGAGAAGTTGTGAAAGGTTATTTCCGCAAGCTGTATCCCACGGTTGGCACCAGATTGAAGAGGGGCCGTGCTAAAGGGTTATCCCATTTTAGACGATTCGAATCATTATGTATCAATCTTGCACCCACGTGAGGTGAAGTGAGGCCAGTGCAGTTGTAGGGCCTCACTGGTAATATTCAACGATCGCAACCTAGCAATGCGCAAGATGTTGCACACCTCTGAAATACCAACGTCTGTAGTGGAGAAATTGTCCCTTCTAATGCACATTTTCTTTTTGTGTAGGCATGGAAGGCGATGTCGGACATGGACGTCCGTGTAGCCGAGAATGTCTTCAGGCAAGCAGCATACAGCCCAAATAGCTCTTTCACCTGCAGAAAGCCAGCACTGAACCACCCCTTCTTTGTACCTTCTACCTTGGCCTGAAGTGCTCTTTTAGTATTGTGAGTAGCTTTGATAAATGGGCTACACATGTCACTGGCCGCCTGTGGGAACAAAAGTGTGAACGAGTGTAATTTTATGGGTTTCAGGGACTATGGGGGCATGACGCGCTTCAGCGGCAAAGCAATCACTATTCAGTGCCTGGAGACCAACCAGGTGCTTCGCGAGGTGAGTGACTCACTCATAACACCCCTCACCCTGCAGCAACATGCATGCATGCATGCAAATCTTGCTAACCTGACTTCATCCGCGCCCCTTGCATCTTTCCGGCTGGCATGACTGGCATGGCTGGCACTCGAAGACTCACCAATGGTGAGGTGGCACTTTGGGAAGACTGAGCTTTGGAGTAGAGCACAGTGAGGGCGCCATGGTGCATGCATGCATGCGGGCAGAAACTGCTGGCCTGACTTCATCCGCGCCCTCTGTCCCTTCTCTGTGCATAGTCCAGCGTGGGACATTGGCACATAGGCGAACTGGCTTTTTGATCAGTCCGACTTGGAAGGCAGCAAGCGCAAGGCAGCATAGTGAGGGTGCCATGTGTGCATGCAGACATTGGACGAGGCGGGCGAGGGACGAGTGCTGGTGGTGGATGGGCAGGCTTCAAAGCGCTGCGCTCTGCTGGGCGACATCCTCGGCGCAAAGTTGCACCGTAACGGCTTCTCGGTGCGCGTCATAGGCCTCTAAAGACCTGCAGTGCACAACATGCTGATCCTTGCCCATTCCCCTTGTTTCTAACTTACTCACTTGCTAAGATCTGCATTCTCATGGCAGTGTCAATTCTTCTGTTGGCAGCCCCGAAGGCAGTCAGGTTGGATGCCTGGCAGTCATTACTTGCACGTTGTCTGCAGACACACCTTGCCTCTGTCAGAAACGAGTAAGGGTGACTAGTGGTGACTAATAGTGACAATTGGAAGGGCTCGCCAGAGGTGGAAACCTGAGAGGAGGCTGGCATGCATGCTGCAGGGAATTATCATCAATGGCTGCGTGCGCGACACGGAGGACTTGGGAAAGCTTCCTGTGGGCGTGAAGGCGCTGAACACCTGCCCCGTCAAGCCGGGGAAGGCGCCTGTAGGAACCAAGGGCGAGCCAGTCACCTTTGCTGGCATCACCATCAACACGGGTGACTGGGTGTACGCCGATGCAGGCATGTTTTCCTGAGCCTATTTTGAAGTGCAGTATGAATTCATCAAAAGTGTTCCCGGGCCGGGAGATGTTTGTATTGCCGATGCACGCCTGTTTACACAATGAGGCAGCCCTCCTCCCTACCTTTGCGCTCGTACTGGCTTCCATGTCTGCATTCTTGCCTGACATGATTCCGATAGCAAAGTGAGAATCCTGGCTTTGTCATTAATGTCAATTGCAGCGCTGACCGCAGATCTGTGCCTGTGCAGATGGTGTGGTGGTGTCCAAAGAGGAGCTGGTAATCTGAGTTCCTCACCGGGGAATCTACTCGTGGGGCTCCCCACCCCAACACCCACCTTCTTTTGGCGGTGTCAGAGAGGACTCGCCCCTTGTTGGAGGAGCCTCTGCATGCTTGCGGAGTAGCTCATCTTCTCGTCACGACTATGCTTGTGGCCTTCCTGGGATCGAGAGAGCCTGCCGCACTTGGACGGATATTTCGTTTACTTGTTTTTGACCTGAGAGCATTGACAGTCCGGATTTCCAGAAAATCACAAGAGCCAGGTGCTAGGAACCAGGCCTGTTGATAGCATGTCTGTGTGCCTTTTTGCTGTGGCAGCAGCGCCATTCTTGTTCCTGGAACGATGCTTAGAAGGTTGCCGATGCTGTTCGTGTTATTGAGACTGTCCATCTTATAAAGTGCGGGTCAGACTGCAAATTTCATCAGCTGTGGCTGGCCAAACATTGGACTGCAGGCCATGTTTATCTTAGTGCAACCTTTGGGGTCCTTTCTTCTTTCTGCTGCAGAGTCTTCGAATTGGATGGCATGACCCTTTAAAGGGGGCTCAAGCATCCTTGGCTCTGCAGGCAATGTGTCGCGTCTCCTGTTCCTAGGTGTGTCACAAGAGAAGAGTTGTGGATTGATGCCAACAGTGGTGTTTGTCAGTTGCGTTGCTATTTCTGCTTAGCGCTTTGCGTTAGAGGATTGTCTGCTAGAAACTGCCGCTTCATTATGTCTTGTTGCATGCTGTTTCATCCAGAGTTGTCGAAGTTATGGGCTCAGCTGTTGCCAACACGTCAGGATGATGTAGTGATTACAGACAAGAAGCACTGTGCCTCAAGTCACAATTAGGCTTTCAATCAGAGTCCTGGAGGCGTCAAACTTCCTAGGATCCTTTTCATAGTTCTCGGGAATTAATTGTAGATAATTGCTGTGGGTCATGAGCTGGTGCTGAATGATGATGATGATGATGATGACGACCTCGATCTTATTATGTTTATAAGTAATGAACTTACCAAGTGAAGGCGGCTAGCTGTACAGCGCCGACAAAATTGGCAGCTGTGATGGAGTTATGCATGCAATGCACCCGATGAGAACTGAAGGGATAAGCGCGTCTTTGATGTAAATGTGAATGAGTCTTGAACGTATCGCATGAGAGAGAGAGAGAGAGATTACACTTGTGCATGAGCTGTCCTGGTGGACAAATCAAATTCGGAAGGCCAGAACAGGCTGCACCTGTTATCCAAGAAAGCAAATTGCAATGCCGAGAATGTTCATCAAGAACGCACAACACTGTGGGACACCTTTTGTGGTTTTGTGACTGCAGAGTTGAAATTCTGGTCCTCCATCCTGTGTAGTAAAGTAAGTTTGGCGAAAATGCAAAATGCTGCGCTCAGATCACCTGCCTGCGCGCATTCTGAGGGTAATATTGCCTTAAGAAGTCGATCAAGCAGGTCTGTTAATAGTTTACTACTGTCAATTGAGCGCTGACGTCCTGGAAGCCATGCTGTACTGACTTGCGGGGAAGATGTTCTTGTTTGTTGCCATAGAGATCGAGGCTCTCTATTCTGCTGATGCAGGCTGGCATGCACAAGATATCCCAACAGAAGCTCTCTAGCAATTGGATGTGGGAGGCGATTAAGCAGGTGCAGTTGGCAATGCAGAGCAGAGAGGGTGCAAGACAAAGATACAGGTGTCTCTGGTATCAACGAGCAGGACCCAGCAGGTGAACTTCTGTCTCGAACCCGTTCGTTACATCTACGACCATATATGGAATATAAGGATATGATAGTTATGCTGTATTTCCCAGGTCAGGACCCTCCAAGTAGCAGCAGACCGCCCCAGACCCATTCAGCGCCTGACCTTGTCTCAAACAGTGCGTCGCGCCACACTTTGATCATCTTGCTGCTCTCAATTGCTATCTGTACAAGGCAGCAGTGCTGCAGTCTGTTTGTGGAAGCTATCAAGGGAGCAATGCTTTGCGCTCTTTTAAAGTGCATCATGTATGCTGATGAAATTGATAGCCCTCTGTCCTGCTAGTGCAAGAGCTCTTAGTGGAGTTGTTTGCATGTGCAGATGGTGATGGCTCAGAGGGGAGTGGAAGGCAGGATGATGATGGGAGGGGGGATGCCGATGGGGAGCAAGGTGGACAGCCACTGTTTACAAAGGATGACATATCCACCTTTGCCATAGCGCTGGGGATATCATTCTTGATACGATCGTGAGTACTCACCACCTGTGTGCATTCTGGCGTTTTCAGGTTAATGTTTTACATTCTTGCTAGCTTAGCTGAGATGTATAGAAGAGGCAAGAATGGGTTTGTCCTGCAGGTGCATTGCAGAGCCTCGCTTTATACCTTCACTCTCCATGTACCCGACATATGACATTGGAGATCGATTAGTCGCTGAGAAGGTTACTTATGCAGTCCAGAGGTGAGGCTTGGACCATCCACGCAATATAATTGTACTGTCTTTTGAGCTGACATGCTCAGCCTGGCACATTGAAAACCCCCGGCGGCTGCATGCATGCAAGCTAAAGTGGTGTGTCTGGTCCAGGAAACCTACTCCTGGAGACATCATCATATTCCACCCAGACAGGAGGATTTTTGGGGAGGCAGCAGAGCCAGACACCAACCCAGTCGTGAAGGCTGTTTTTGACAACGCGGCGTTCAAGGCCTTCAGAGCGTTTGTGGGATTGGATGACGATGTCTTCATCAAGCGCATCGTGGCCGTGGCTGGTGACACAGTTGAGGTAGGCATTGCATTTCTCCTAATCCTATTTTTCCAGACATTTCTCCTAACTTGGTGACCAGTGCTGTGGCCCGCCGGGTACCTGCGTTCATGCAGAGTGCTTGATAAAGGAGTGTCATTGTGCTACAAGCCGGTTCTGAAATTAATTGCCGGTGCTTAGTCTGGAATACTTTCCTTCTCCTTCTCTGAATTCTGTATCAAATGACATTGGTAGAGATGTGCAAATTGCTAAGAGGAGGGATGGCTTGCAGGTGAAGAATGGGCAGCTTTTTGTGAATGGGCAGCCGCGGTGTGAGAAGTACATCTATGAGAAGCCTCGCTACACGCTGAAGCCACAGACGGTGCCCGCGGACCACGTCTTTGTCATGGGGGACAACCGGAACAACAGCTTTGACTCGCACATCTGGGGCCCGCTGCCTCAGAAGAACATTATCGCGCGCGCTGTCTTCACCTACTGGCCTCTCAACCGCTTTGGCAGCATGCCAGATTACACAAATGGAGGCACCCTGTGTCCATCAGCACCTGCGCTTGTTGACTAAGAGGCAGGATTGGATTCTTGCTTTGCTGTGTTGCACCAAAGAGCCTGGTGGTCTTGAGGGCAAGAAGTGCCGCATCGTTTGAAACTCTGCTGCATTACTGCACTTAAAGGTCTGTTGGCTGGTGTTGACAATTTTTGTAATTATAATCTTCCCAAAATTACGGCAGGAGTCTGGCCAATTAAAATACTCATTTTAGATCCTGAGATCTCCATATGGTAATAGTTGCGCAATTTATGTTGAAACAGTCTTATGGCAAGCTTTCAGCAAATCGCCGTTATTCAACAGAGCGGCTGCTTGGCACTCATCTTTGTATGTTCATCTGACAAAGCACTCTATTCATGATATTGATTTGATCCCTCCAAAGGTCAGCTGCTGGCAAAGCTGCTCCGGGCCGCAGCTACAGCTGCTTGGACAGCAGGCAGGCTCCAAAGTGATGCCAAAAAGTAGCTGATGGCCTTGATCATGAGATAAACAGCCCCTGCGCAACAGAAAACAGGTCTCAACTTGTTGGTTGAACCCCGGGCATCTTGCAGATTTATCAGGCAGGGTCTCCGGCAGGGACTGATGTCATGATGGTGAAGACAGGTTGCAGTTATGCTCACCTATTGGTAAACCGAGCACTATGGAGAGCAGCAAGAACACAAGAATAGTTGCCAAGATGGTTTCCACCGTGTCAAACACCAGCTTGCGGCCCTTCCTGCTTGCTAGGATTACCAGCACGTTTGGCAGCAGCAGAGCTCCCAAGCTCGTCAACATTACACTTTGCGTTAGGTCAACTCTAGAAGGTAGCGTTCTCTGCTCATAAGACGTCTGCAGAACCTGCAAAGCCATGCATTACGATGAGGTCCATGCCAATCAGAAGGAGGTGCACTAGAAAGAACAGAAGCCTCCCCATACATCAGCACATTCAGCACCTGCCATGCCTGCAGTAAATCATTTCTGCGCTCTTCTGCCCACTGTTGACCGCTGATCAGCCAGTGTGACTGTTGAGGATCGAGGGACATGCTTCTATGTAATTGACAAGCAGATCACGCTGACAAGAGACGCTTTTACACTATCTTTCGCAGCCAGAATTCCCCTAAGTCAAACATGCCTTTGATCAGCTCCCCGTGTTTCTCTTGTTTGGAATTCTTGGAGGAAGGGGATCACGTGACAGACAGGTGCCCTTTGTAGTAACCAGCTTCCCTGCTGCAAGAAGCTACAGGTTCGATGTCAATTCTCACTCCAATGCGCGACTGATGGAGTCAAGATGTTCGTCAGTCTTGCTTAGTTGCTTTTCGGAAGCCATCAATCGGATCAGTTCGGCCCGAGATTGTTCGAGTAGGAGAGATGACTGGATACAGTATCGACATTGATCCAGTTCGAAAACGATATTGTAGAGCTGCAAGGGCCTTCAATCCTGGTCAGATAGTACTCACCGAAGAGGCCTACGAATCTGTTGTGGACAACGACCATTGCAGTGTGTACTGCCACCAGACCTTGACAAGCAGAGGAGACCTTCTCAGGTGACTGGAGGACCTGTTTAATTGCCCTGACATGCAGTTATTGAGAAGCAGGACAATGTGATCTCAGTCACCATGCCGTTGAAGGTGCGGCGGCTGCAAGTTCGCGAGGTATAATGGCACTAAGGAGCAGAGGACAGCCTGGAAGAGCGGCCACCAACAGGAATGCGCGGCCTTGCGAGCATGTGCCCCGCGCATTCCACCTGCCACAATCCGTTTGGCAGCGCGCATCTACTGGAAACAGCAGAGGTTCCTGCCTTGTCCCACTGCTGTTTGCTTCATGCATGCACATGTTTCCAGGAGGCCCCCGCTAATGCCAGAATAGCCACCCTCTCCATATGAGCATACTGTTGTTTGTGCCTGCACAGGCTTCATCAAAGAAGCAATGCGCTGCCTGAATGCATACAAACTCTGGAGCACCATTGGGAGGATCTGGATGATAATCGGAAGCAAAGCTTTGCTCAAATGGCCGTTGTTACAAGGTACATTTGCCCAGCACCCTCCCAAATGGCATGGCCAGGGATTTGTGACAATCGAGCCCTTCATGAACATGGCTTCAAACCAAGCTTCCTTGCGATCCAAAGCACGCAGCTTTCAAGGTGATTGCGCAGGGAATACATGAAGGGCGGGGGCAGCATCAACATCCCAGATGCAAAGGATGTAGCTTATCTGCTGGCGCGCTTTGCATGCAACAATCACACCATCTGCGATGATGAGCTCAGGCCTATAGGTATGATACATTTGCAGACTTGCTGCACTATTCACAGGCATTACCCTCTGGTAGGAATGCTTCTATTCTGGTGCTTGCCTTCATCATCCATCCCGCATTATGCAGCATTAACCTTTCAGCAGATGCGGCTCTGTGTGTCTGGAGCAGGTGTAGGCATTTACCCACAGGGAGCGATGCTGAACCACAGCTGCACCCCGAATACAATGCAGTCATTCCATGGATCGCGAATCGTGTTCCGCGCAGTGCAGCACATACCTGCCGGCGCAGAGGCCACGATCGCGTATGTTGAGCTGGCAGCAACGCGTGCAGAGCGGAGCGCTGCGCTCAGGGCAAATTATTTCTTTGACATTGACGCTGGCAAGGTGTCTCCCCGTCAGATCTTTTCTTCTAGCATGTTTGAGAACTCAGAGTTGCAGATGCATGCAATATTTTGAGTGATGTGCATTCTACGATTCTGCAGGAGCACTTGTCATCACCCTCGAAGGAGATCACACTACATGACAGCTTGAGAATGGAGCTCTACAGAGCGCCTTCCTGGGGCATGGATCCGCATGATCCTATGCTCACAAGCTTGAGCAGCAGTGCAGGTGAGAATGTTTTCCCAGGCAAACGCAGCACAGATGTTGCAGCAGAGCCATCAGCCGGACAAGCGAGATGACTCTTTATGTGTGATGCAGGTAGCGGTGCGAATGCTTCCAGAGTGCGAATAGAGAGGCATGCTTCCTTCCTCGAGCCTGACAGTGAGGAGGCAGAAGCAGGACTGTCCCAGAGTCCTTCAAATGCGCAGGAGTGGGTAGTGAATGTGCAGTGCTGGGGGCCAGCCTTCTGGCAAGGTGCTCGAATGACCTCTCCCAAATATTGTGAGCTCAAACCCTTGGCAGCATGATGGTCGTGCGCATGCCCTGCCCGCACGCAAAATCTTGCAGAGCCTGCCTAGCATCTGCATATTTCATTTCTTGACAAAATACATGGTCATACTTCTCATGTTTTCTCGGGCAGGGGATGGCAATGACAGCTTGGAAGCTTTCAAAGCAGAAACAGTGGCGGGTATGCTTGCCGACGCTGTGCACTCGCACACCAGAGCCACTGACCTTGTGTCTCAGAGCCGAGCAGCTGAGGCTTGCAGCATAGCCAAAAGAGCGCTGCAATCATTCGGCGAAGGCATGCAGGTGAGGAGAGGCTCTTGTTTGATGTCCGTATTTCATCACCAGCATGCATCATCCCCCATGATTACCAACATGACCATCATTACTGCTTCCCAATACATTATCTAACCAAACAAAGAATGTCAGGCTGGTATCCTGCTGCGTTGCAGACTCACATCTGGCGGATGCGGCTCTTGGAGGTGCAACTCCGAGCAGCCATAGAATGCGGCAACCAGTGGGAAGCTGCCTTGGAAGCTGCTCAAGCCCTGCTGCAATTCTACCGCTGGCTGTACCCCAAGGTCTGCATTGTAGCGCTCCAATATGACTTATTGTGCTGTAGCCATGATCATGCATTGCTTTCAGATGGCTTGAGGTGATTGCCAGCCTTGGGGACAATCTATATGTGGTGCTTGATGCAGGTCTGGCCAAATTTGGGCCTGCATTTGGCTACTTTGGCGAAGATTGCGGCGCTCCTTGAGCAGGATGAGGAAGCTGCCAAGCAAGCGGAGGCAGCAGCTTCTACCTTGCGCATCACACATCCAGAGAGCCCGATTTTGCAAGAGATGCTGCGGTTGTGGCATGATACAAAGGCCTTGCTCAGCGCCAATGCTGATGACTAGCGTGGGCCACACACTTGCAGTGGTAGATGACAGAGAGCGGCTAGATTAAATCTTTTGTCCAGAAAACTGGTGAGCAGCAGGGCACGAATTGCTACAAACCCCCACCGGGCTTATTGTCATGAATACATTTACACTGAATACATGGGTCGCAGCACTGCAGCTGGCCTCTTTGTGGGTCAGGACCCTTCAATATACCAGTCCTCATTTTCAGTGTGAAGCTATGTACTCGATTTGTCTGTATCTTGCGCTGCATGCACATTTAAATTTGTGCACCAGTTTGCATGCCAAGAATCAGAGGCAACATGCAAGCTCGTTCTACGCCAGAGTCCATCTTAGACTTGGCATAGTCTCATCAGTTAGCAAGCATATCAACATTCCACACGTGTAAACCATTGGCAATATACACATGAGCAATTGCAGCAATACACACATGTCTGTTAGAATCAGCGTTGGGCAAGCACATCTGTGGCCAACGTTTGCCCAATTGGGGCAACCACCCCACTGAAACATTGCATTGTTGCACGCAGATCACGAAGGAAACAATGGATTTCCGCAGAAAATCTTTGATAAACTGTCTAGACTTGCCATGCGCATGTACAATCGGTAGGTGGTGCATCGTTCGCTAAATGCATCACATACCTTGCTGTTCACTGGAAGTCTTCGAAAGGACACACATACACAAGAAAGGCATACTTCAGCTATCGTAGAACCTGTTCGTCATCATGCCAGGCAACCTCATATGTGCATCCTGGACAGGTCAACATAGGTCCACCCGAGACAGACAAATGTCAACTTGCATTGCATGACAAGGCTTCAGCTGCAACCAAATCATTTCTCAGGGCCAAACGGGCCAAAGCACGGGGATTCCCATGGAAACAACGCATAGGCAATGACTTCAAAGCCTTTGAAGTCATTGCAGCAGCAGCTTTGGCAAGGGGACTATCATGTGGTTCCTCTTTATACACCCCTTGGCACCGGGCACACCAGTCACACTCGAGCCTATTCAGGCTTCCACGGTGTATCTACAGAGCACCTGGGAATACAATGCGTTTGCACAGGGGGCATGTGGCAGCGGTGCCCTGCAGTCGCAGCCATGGCTCGATGCAGTCTGCATGGAAGGAGTGCTTGCAGGGCAGAGTTGTCACGCGCGCCCCTTCCCCATACACCTCCAAGCACACACTGCACTCCTGGGTCGCCGCCTCCTGCACCACAAATCAGCAAGTCTGCACACACTCCACGCAGTCATAATATTTCTGTAACTCCGTGTGCTCAGTGCAAATACTGCAAAGACTGCGCCTGCAATGTCAGAGGTCAAAGCATGCGCTGCAGCCAAAACTGTTGGGCATGAATTGAGAGTGTGGGCTAGCATGGAAGCAGCAGGACAGTAGAGAAGAGGCTTGTCTGACCTTGTGCAGCACAGATGTATCCTTGCCGGGTTTGCAGCCTGCCCCTGGGCTGGCTGCCTTTCCACACATGTGCACGTGGGTCTGCAGGGTCCTCAGAGCTGCCTCGCTGATCTGCGGCCTAGAGTCGGCCGCTTCAGAGTCCAGCTGCAACAGCGCCTCATAGTCCCCTTCATTGAAGTCCCTGCAACAAATTATGCCCTTCAACTGAGATGGCACCACCTGCATTGAATGTCCCTTCTGGCCAGGCCACATGCATGCCCATGAAACCAGATCTAGGGGTGCAGAAAGCGGACCCAACACCATGCATGGTGCGGACACATTTTATACAGAAACTTAACTTGTTAACTGGACAGTAGGGCTATAAAATAAATATAGATGACGGTACAGACTGTGTCCGGCACTTCATCCCCAAATTAACACTCGTTCTTCTCGATTGCTCTACTTTGCCAATTGACCATTGGTAAAATCCCTGCTCTGCAACTTTTGAAATGCACTCCCCAGCCCAATGCTGGGCCGTTCATCTTCCTAAAGTGTCCTCAGACTGTGTAAAGTACACACAAGAGGACCCAGGTGGCCCTGCGCCTCACCTGTCCATCAGCGACAGCGACAGGTTTGCCATGTTCATGCTGTGGCTGCGAAGAGCAGTGCAAAGCCTTGGGGAGATCGCAGCAGCCGCAGCACCGTGTCCAAGCCGCTCCCCACCTGATCCAGCATTGCAGGAAAAAAATTAAACAGCAGTGAGCAACACGCAAAGGGTCCCGCACATTGATCAGATGCAATATAGGGGTGCAGCGAACATGTGCATTTCCAAGATGTTACACATTCCACTCACCGAGGACTGGTTGAGGCGTTGGGCATACTGGTGCACAAGGTATGCTCTGAAGCATGTGGCCACGCAGAAAACGCAGAGGAGACCAAACACCTGCAAGTGGAGCACCGTCAGCGAGTCAATTTTGGCCATTGAGCCATTGGTGGCATCTTGCGAAGCTCACCAATGCATCACAACAGTTCGTCTTCTTCAATGCTCTTGCAGATCAGGTTTGGGGTCTCACCATCAGTGTCAGGGGCAGGACACCAGCTAGGAATAAGAAAAGGATGACGCCTGCACAAAACAATCCAGGACACTCAAGACAGCAAGAAGCAACTCAGAGATTCTTGGAAGCAATGTTGAAACTGGCGATTGTAGTGTTTGCCAGAGGCAGGAACCTGCACAAAGGCTGAAGCTGACCTGCAAGCCAACCATGACTCGCCTCCACCGAGCCATTGTCAGCATCGTGCTCATGAGCGCCGACGATGTTCCAGGATCGGCTTGTGGCGGGCCACTGAGACTCTACATCAATGCCAGGAAGTGCGTAGCCTCTCTCCCGAACTCGATGCCCCGTTGCCATGCGGCAGCCCGTCAGAATTCGGGAGGAGATGCTCAGGAACTTCAATTGGAGACGACCAGACCGAAGAACTTAGAACCCCAACCTATGTACAGGCATCCTTACAGGTCATGAGACGAAAGGAAACGTTTTACTAGGGACGAGTTGGTGACGGATTGTTGACGACCTGCAGTGCCAGCTTTGAGTCTCTGACAATGACAATGATTTGCATGCCTGCTGATGTAGTGGGGCCTTGGGTGCCCAGTTTGTTTGACCAAGTTCGTTGCTGAAATGGCCTTGAGCAAGTTTGTCTCGGAATACTCGTCATCCATTACTTCGGGTTAGTCACAACATCAAAGGTGTGCACTCCGAGATGAGTCTGATGAAGCACACGCAAAGTCGCCCTCTTCACTCGAAATTGATGCGCAACGAAGACAATTAGACGTCCATCGGTGTGGGCTGATCACCCATCGGTGAGCAGCGCTTTCTTCTGGTGGGTTCGCTAGTACCTTTTGGCTGGGAGTGGCGCCCCCATGGTGCAAAACACCGAGTATTTCGTGCCGAAAGTCATCCTTGTGACTGGGGGTGCTGGATTTATCGGTTCTCACGTGGCCGTATGCCTCACAAGGAAATATCCGCAGTACAAGGTACAGTAGATCCCCTTGATCTCATGTTTTGTTGGTAGCCAAGCGCCCTCATATAATTCCAGTTGCCGAAAGACATGCAGATTGTTACACACTTCCTGTGTTGTGGACACCAAGCGCCTCGTCCCATGCTGTGGAAAAAAGATGGCTAGTCCTGCGAGGCTACAGAGCCATCGATTGACTTGCTCGCCACAAGCAGTCATGACACGATCTGACACCACCAATGGCATTTGTGCAGGTCATTGTCTTTGACAAATTAGATTATTGCGGCACCCAGAAGAACCTAGCATCGCTTATGGACGCACCCAATTTCAAGGTCAGGTCCTATTGTGACCATTTTACTTGCCATCAGCCATCACCCATCGCTTGCCGTTCTATTTACTACTTTGTTCTTTCGATCCTCCTCTGCACGCTAGTAATGGAATGAGTACCCTGCAGTTCATCAAAGGTGACCTTCAGAGCGGCGATCTGCTAAACTATATTTTGAGGAGGGAGAACGTCGACACAGTACTTCATTTTGCAGCTCAGGTTGGTTCTCTTGCCTGCTATCTGGTTATCCAGACATGCTTGCTGTGTGTTCCCGGCAAAACTCACGGTTCCCGCACCTCTGCTGTTCATACTGCTGCTACTCAGTCAGCTCTACTGCCCCTTTGCAGACGCATGTGGATAACTCCTTTGGGAACAGCCTCGCGTTTACTGTCAACAATACATACGGCACCCACGTGCTCCTGGAGGCATGCCGCATGTTCGGAGGAATTAGACGCTTCGTCAATGTGTCCACGGATGAAGTGTATGGGGAGAGCAGCTATGGGAAGGACAAGGGTGAGCGTTTTGATGCACTCTGTGCTTGTCAACGTGTGCTTGAGCGTCTCTGGAACGGCTGTGTTTGCCAGCGCCCTCGGCTTGATTGGTGCAACTGCATGCATACAGGTGTGGGAGAAGACAGCACCTTGGAACCCACAAACCCCTACTCTGCAGCCAAGGCCGGGGCGGAAATGATTGCCAAGGCATACCTCACCTCCTACAAGCTGCCGGTCATCACGACCCGGGGAAACAATGTATATGGGCCCAATCAATTCCCCGAGAAGTCAATACCAAAATTCACACTCTTGGCTGCCAGAGGAGAGGACCTCCCTGTCCATGGAGATGGTGCGCTCCAATGGGCTCCAATAGATTCAGTACACCTGATAGCAAGCTCTTTTCCCTTGCTGTATGCAGCTGTCATTGATGTCAATTCTGAACCACATCTCCAGGCCACTGAAGATCCTCCCCATGGCAGGCAGGCAGGCATGCATGCATGCATGCATGCATGCTGTCTATGTGCCTGTGTGCATGCATGCAAGCTGCCATAATGCATGCACACGGCTTCATGCATGGAGGCAGCAGGATCAATTGCAATGCCAGACATGCATGCAAGGCTCAAAGAGCATGTGTGGTGCAGGGCTGGCGACCAGATCATATCTCTACATTGATGATGTCACGGAGGCATTTGACATCATATTACACAAGGGAGTCGTGGGGGAGGTGTACAATATTGGATCGCAGAGGGAACGCACAGTTTTGAGCGTGGCCGCCGACATCCTGCGCATCTTTGGGCTCCCTGAAAGCAAGATCGTGCACGTGCGCGACCGGGCTTTCAACGACCGCCGCTACTTTGTATGCGATAAGAAGCTCGCCAAGCTGGGTGCGCATTGATCGTGCACTGCACTGTCATCGTGCCCTGCCTTCTTTCCTAGTGACACAGCACCATGTTCCAAGCTGGGCTTCTCGATCTGGGGAGACAGCCTTGGCGGACCACATGTGGAGGCTTGAAGCAATGAAGCTGAGGCTGACAGTATGTGCTGTTCTGTCAGGCTGGCGAGAGAAGACAGACTGGAAGCAGGGGCTGCAGAGGACGGTTGAGTGGTATACCCAGTATGGGTTCAGGGACTTTTGGGATAACGAAGCCGTCGAAGCCTCTCTGGATGCGCACCCCAGTTATTTCGGGACCCATAATGCGTTGCAAGAGCCTGCTGCTTATGATGCTTAAGCGACATTGAGCTAGCATCACTGAATCGGATTCCTCGAGTCTCTGTTGCCGTCTCATGTTGGGGATGCAATCTAGCAGCTAACACCAACAGAACTCAAAAGATAGGAACCGAAATGAATAAAGAAGGAACGAACTGCTCAAGTGGCAAGGCTGAAGTTGAGGCTGCCAGGCACTATAGTAAGGAAGTTCAACAAGGCCATCCTGAAATAAACATGGAAAACGATCATTGTGCGATACCTGATTCAGTACGGTAGACAGGAAGGCATCAAAGTGGTGCAAGCGCTGCGGAAATTGATTTCTGGAATTAGGAGATGCAGTATTTGTAATTCGTGCACCACACAAGTAGCCTTATGTTGGCAGCATTGGGATGTACTCTAGGACCAAGAGTGCAGCTTGATGGCCTGCCCTATTATTGATGTGACAGCTGCAATCAGCAAGCTTGCAAATGTGGCTGTGATGGGGCAGACATGCGCATTTGCACTTATGAATGCCCATCATGGCATGCACGCTGTCTGGATGCCTCGTAAACAGAGACTGAAGATCTTTATTGAGATTCTGCTACCTTAGCATATTAATTCAAGTGCAGGGAGACTCAAAGTGGGCCTGGTGATAGCTGTGTATCGTCACACAAGCCACAACCGGCAGTCTGTTGCATCACGGCATGTACTGAGCATGGCTACCCAACATTTCTTACTGAGGGGCCCTGGGGCATGATTCTGGGAGACATGGTGTCTGGACACCTGTCATGTCAGTCCCACTATACCTGACAATATGGCAGACATCTGTTTGCCTAAAGATCAAGGAACCAGATGCAACGATGCCGACCACTGTATCAAATTTGCCTTACCCAGTCCGGTGGTTCACATCCCCTCTTAACTACTGACTTCCATTCCAGACCACACACTTCAAATGATCAAGCTTGTATTTCACACTATCCCAGCCTGGCTTTCATCTCTTCAATGGTATCCCTCAGCTCACCTGCTTGCTTCAGCTCCATTACAATGTCGCAGCCACCCAAGAGCTCTCCCCTGCATGCCTCCAGAGATTTCACCCACATTGATGCGGTGGCACTTGCATGCCACAATGAGCCCCCAGCAAGTGCAGGCCCCGTTCATGGGGTGAGAACAGAAGAGACGAATACATGAAATTGGGTTCTGCAGGACTGAGGCAGGTTGCCGCAATCACCTGACATACAGCTGCGGAAATGTGGGCCAATCAGAGATCTTCTTGATGCCTTGTCGCACAATCTCATCAGACAAGATGTCAAAGCTCCCAAACTCCTCCCCCTCAGACCTTAGTGCATCCACCACCTTCCTGCTGAAGCCGCAGCGAGGTACATCTGGTGAACCCTGCCACACCGTTCAAACTTATCGAGGAGCTTGTGGGCATGTACTGTACTGTTAGGTACTGTTAATGAAAGAGGCAATAGCTGAAGGTAGCATTGCGGGCCTACCTTCATGAACAGCATGACAGACTGAGCAGTCATTAGCTTTGTGATCCTCTCCTCTGGGCTTGCTGGTGCAGTGGCGGATCCCCTTGCTGGCGTGCTGCTCAAGTGCCCTGAGGTTGCTGCTTGTGGCTTGGATGTGCTGGCCTGGGAGAAGTGTTGTTGAACTGCTTGCGTAAGCGTAGCTGCATCTGCACCCTCCACCTTGTCAACGACCTCTCCATCCTGTGGATCAATAATACAGGGCTTGGCTTGTGTTGCAGGCTCACAAACCTTTGCATTCCTTGATAAATGCTCAGCTGTCATGGGACGTCCCGCTACCTTGAGTAATACGAAGTACGGAACTACTGACACCTCGAAACGGTCTGTGACTTCAGACACCTCCTCAGCTTGGACCTGCACACCGATAACACTCATAACAAGCCAGTAGCATGGCAGCAATTCACCTATATTGCTTGTGGTGATAAAAGTGACAAAGAAAAAGCAGATCAGCGCCAAGAATTCGTATGGAGTGCTACCCGCAAGAATTTGGCATCCTGGTACTCCTTCGCCAACTCCGCAAAGACAAGGTCGAGCTGTTGGCAGGGATGTGACCATGGAGCCCAAAAGTAAACAGCCACCTGTCAAAGTATCGGAAATTACCACACAGAACAGATGACTAATCATAAGCAAAAATCAATCGCAGCGCAAGTACAAGCGCATGTTACGAGTAAGCACTCACGAGAGAAAAACTTTCTAACTGGTTCTCGAAATCGGTGATGGACAAGACATCTTCCATCTCTTTGACTGTTTTGGTGTGAGACTGTTATGATCAGACGGGCCTTCTTGTGATTGTGATCAGCTTAGCGCGAAGGATCTTGTGCGACGGCTTCACTACTTCAGGACTTTTCTGTGTTGGTATTTAACCTATCGTCTGTTGTGAAAAGAGCAACCTAATATTTTCACGCACGTACTACTGAACAACTGTACTGCTGTCCTTCTATTGGGGGACCTTCCTTTCCATGTGAAAAGGAATGTTGTGGAAACGAGTTTCAACCTAGAGCATTCCCCTTGCTTTATAGGACAACGTGTCCACAGGGTAATCGGCAGAATCTAAACGTTGTCATGGCATTGTGGGCAATTGAATGTCTGCCCCCAAGAGAAAGAGAAATATCGAGGAGAACAGAAGATATCGTCGCCTTTGCTCCAATAGCAACGACATCGGCGCCTCCTTCCATCGTCGTGACCCGATCGTCGACGACATCACGGCGGGTACCGGGCTAGGACGTCATGCCCTCCCCTACGATCATGAAGCGCCTGTCGGAAGGCAACAATGACTCTCAGACGGTGCGTCGCCGATTGCGACCTCTTCCTTCAGCTTGATGCATTCAAGGACAGGAACCTGTCCAAGAGTCGGTCCTGGCACAGACTGCAGGTTGACGGTGAGGCTGGTTTCCAGTGCCACTTCTGCTTTGGACTTCTCTTGGAGCCACTCGATTGCTACCTTCACATTATGCAGCTAATCTTGCAGCGCATGGCAAATTCTGGTCCAGCTGGTGACGTTCACAGCAATCATGCCTCTTAACGTGCCTAGCATGCGATCACAAAGCCGTGTACATACGCCAGGCATTCGACCCGGCTGGTAATGTGCCCAGGAGTCATGCCTATCAGGGAGACGTGAATCATGTGCCCTGAAGGCGCCTTTACCTGACGGTGTAATAAAGTATTGTCTGCTGTTGCAGGATCCTTGTGCCAAAACTCCAAGATGCCTGCGTCTCGCAACATCTCTGCACGCGTCGGGACCGGCTCCTCTGAAAAGCTCATCGACAGACCGAATGCGCTTGTGACCCACGCCATCAATTTCGGCAAGGATGTTAACGTGTTTTGCTCGGACACGCACCACTGCCTACACCTCCACTAGCTCTTGAATTAGGTACATGCACCTCTTTCCAACGAAATGTGTTCAAGGTGACGTTCCCACGTCGGCAATAGTCGAAGTGCATGAGTTCAAATTAATGATGATGCAGCATGCATGACCTCCTGCATTGGTGGGGTTCTCCGCAATCATCTGCCACAGCACCAGCCATGATTTAGCCTCTCTGCTTGCCAGAGGCACACCTGCTGAGTCTTGTAGACACGGCTGCACCTTGATGAACAACCACCTACACTGCGGCCCCAAGTTGCATTGAAGACACTTATTAACATCTCCTGCATGCATGCATGCAACCTTCTAATAATCTCTAAGTATGCACCCTCATGATTGGCACATCATTGGAATGATAGATTGAGCAAAGGCTGATGAAGATGTGAGCATGCACTCCGGAGTTGACTACTAATCACTACTTGCCAGTGCTCTTGGTCAAGAAGGGCCTCATGCGCACTTGGAGTCATGTACTCCAATTGATGGTGACATGGGAACGTCACATTGTATACATTATTTTAGATAGAGGTGCATACATATGTACCTGGTTCAGGTGCTGGTGGAGTTGCACGCAGTGGTCCATGTCCGCGCAAAAGACATTGACATCCCCGCCGAGACCGATGACGTGGTCGACAAGCACCTTGAGTCTGTCGATCAATTTCTCGGGGGAGCCCGTCTCGACGCATGCAGGCATCTTGGCATAAGGATCCTGCAGCAGCAGACAAAGCTTCATCACACCGTCAGGTTAAGGCGCATGAAGGGCACATGATTCACTTCTCCATGACTCCTGGGCACATTACCAGCCGGGTCGAATGCCTGGCGTATGTACACGGATTTGTGATCGCATGCTAGGCATGTTAAGAGGCACGATTGCTCTGGCTTGTACTTTGCCAAATTTGAGAGGTTTTTTTGGAGCCGCCTGCAGTGGTCCAGGGAGAGAACAGCTCATTGATATAACTTTGGTGTTGTTGCTGCTCTTTGCATTTGGCTGGCTCGATCTAGGCATCAGCAGCACCGCTGCATAGTCATGCCCTTCCTAGAGGTATCAAGAACGCTTGCCAATCCAGAAAATGCTGTTGATCCAGGGGCTGTGAGAGGAGGAGGAGGGAGGAACTATCCTATGGTGGTGCGATGGCAATGTGGAGATCAACTGAGGAAGAAAAAAGGCTGCAGATCCAGGCCTTGCAAATCAGTTAAATAGAACGGATGAGAACTTGGCGGGGAACCAGACTTTGCATTGGAAAGCTGTGGGACAAGTCCGGCGTGCGCATTAGATGGATAGTCATGTCAAGCAATCTAAGTGCTGGGCCAAACGCAGTTTAATCTGGATCCAAGAATCATTCGAGATTGATGTGTGGAACTTCAGAAATCCAGGGTTTGCATTGGCCCACTGCTGACTTAGAAGGATTTGTACGGTATTCATGTAAAGAAATCGATTGTCGCCGCACATGCAGTCGCACTTGCAAGATGTAATCGTCACAATTTGTACACCTCAACTCTGTACTTTGAGTGACGTGACCACCGGGGAGCCCACTGTCACAGCCACATTGGCTTTCACTCCTTGGACAAATATTTGCTTCCCATGTTCATATGAAAGATGGCGAAGTACAAGCAAGAGTGTTCACGAACGAGTTATTACCAACGAAGCACCACGATATGCTAAGGGCGCTCGAGAAGCGCATTAGAAGGCCCTCTGGGTTCTTGGGCCTCACAGCCATCGCAGTCTGCGAAATTATACCTTGCAAACTTTTCCAAAGACTCAGACTTAAGCTCCCAAGAGCCCATCATTTGGGACGTGTACAAATACACCTTGTGGCTATGTGCTACACCAAGCAATCGTTCACACGGAGTCCTGGTCAACAATACAGATACATATTGTACACAATGAGCTTAACCCAGCATCCCAGATATTGTGCTGATGTTGCTTCATCTTTGCTGCGGATCCCAGTGAGGGGAAGCCATGCCCTCGTTCTGCAGCGATGACTCAAGCAGGCCCCCAAATCCTGCTTCTATGTCTTCCTCTGAGGGGGCCTGCTCATCATGCCACGTCAGCGACGAGCCTGGCGAGCCCTGCGCGGTTGCATGCGGCTCCAACATGGCCTCGTGCAGCGGCTCAAACAAGCCGCCAGAGTGCGCGCTCTGCAAATGGCTCTGCGCGTGCCAACCTTGCGGCGGCCCTATCAGCTGCGCAGATCCCCGGTCAAAGGAGCCTGCGCCGTCCCGGTGCAGCGAGCAGGCCTCACTGCGCGGCGACTCGTAGTGCTCTGCCGCAAAGGGGAGGTGGCCGTAAGGCTCAGGGAAGCCCCTGCAGCTGTCTGCAGCATGGCACTGCATGTCCTCGTGTTGGCTGGCCCCCAGCATGAAGTCATCATCGGACAGCTCCTCGCCCTCCTGTGCCCAGTGCGGCACGTCCGGTGCCAGGTGCCCCTGGTCAACCGCGCCGAGCGGATCGCGCACCCCGCCAAACCCCTCCTGCCCCATCCCACACCCTGGCTGCAGTTTTTCCGCGTCATCCTGCGTAGGCTCTTCCGCTATAGACTGCTGCTGCTGATGCTGCTCGGCCTGCGCGGAGGGCCCGTGCGTGACGAAGGACATCTCGCTGGCGCGCGCCTCCTCCCGGTCAGAGGAGCTGCGGCTGCGGAACAGGCCGGTCCTGCCCAGCAGGCCCCCCGCTGCCCGGGCCTCGCTGCCCGCCTGCCCGCTGGGCTGCCACAGCTGCCGCTGCGCATCACCCTCCTGCTGCAGCCCGGCGCCCTCAGCGATCTGCGGGAGCCGGCCGTTCATGGCGGGGGGCTTCACGCTGCGCTCTGGCGCCCACTGCACCCGCGCCGGCCTGGCGTCCCGCGGTGACACCTGCTGCGGCGGCGGGCCGGCTGTGGAGATGCCTCTATGCGCCTGGCCTTGAAGCGAGTCAGGAGCCAAATCCTGCCGGTGGCGCGGAAGTCCCAGGAAGCCGGCGTCACCTTCCCTGCTCCCCCTCTGCGCAGCACCGAGCCCTCCCCCACGGGATCGGCCCAGGTCTCCAGAATCTTCTGCACAAGCACAGTGTCATTCTCGCCAGAGTTCAGCAGCACCATCTGCAATGCTGGCAGTGCAAGCCCAGCACTAGGCATGTGGCAGTAGAATATTACACAGGACGACAACAGACTATGCAGAGAGGGAGCGCAAGCAGCATGTCATCATCGCCACATCCCAGAGGGCTAATAGGAGCAGCTCGGCAGCCACCACTGCAAGCTTGGCCACATGCATGCGGATGCAGGACAGCTTCAATTTAAAATCGGACAAGAAAAAAGTGAGCGGCAGCGGCAGCGAGCGCACTTCTGGCGGAGCTGGGCCGCGCATGGTGGAGGCCGCCCAGTCGCATGGTGCGCTCGCGGTCCTCATAGAAAGACTGCAGCAGCAGCTGGCCGGCCGCCACTCTCTCCTCCAGCTCATTGCCCCCAAAGCTGTAACCAATGGCACCCAAGTCAGTTGGGGTCTCTCCGAATCCAAATACTGTTGTTCAGCAAGATTTATAATTATTATTGTTATTACTGTACACGCTGTTCCTGCCAAAAGGCAAGGTACGTCCTGCAGACAAGCTGCACTTACAGGCTGCCACAATCCTTCCCCTTGGTTGACTCGTCAGATCCAAGCAAGACCCAATCAACCATGGACACGGTGCTCAGTATTTATACCACCCCCAACCAGCCTGGGCTAGCAAGAATCAAGGAATGTAAATGATGGGAAATACATCGGTGCAGTTGATTGTCAAATGAGCTCACCTGCCGGCGGCGCTGGCGGCTCCAGCGGTGATCTCAGCAGATCCAAAGATGCTGTTCTGCATGCTGGCAGCGCCTGGCGCGGTTCTCAGTGCCAGGCGGTGCACGCTGCTCGCGGCCGCGACGCTGTAGGGCGAGATGTTGTGGTATGCCGGATACCTGCAGACCATTATCATTATCATTTGCCAGCCTGTCTTTTTGTTTTCACACAAGCAACCCAGGCCCATCCGGACCTTGAACCAGAATCCCAGCTACTTTGGGTGTGCAGGAGCTCTCAATTCAGGCTGACTTCTACCACTCGCTGAGCCGCCCCTGTCTGTCAGCTTTGCATGAAAAGACAAAGAAGCATCAATCCATCATCCTAGGGAGCTAGGAAGGAGGGTTGCAAGAGCAGACTGACCTGGGAGCGCCAGGGAAGAGCGAGGCGGCAATTGCGGAGTGCATGGGCTGGTAGTCGGTTTCTGAGGCGTTGAGGCCGTTGCGCAGCGGCGGCGCCTGCCCCAGAGATAGCAGCATCTGCTTGGCCGCCGAGTCGGGCTCCCAGGTGGGGTACGTGGCAGCAAAGCTGAGGAAGCTCTTCTCCATCTTGCCCTGCCGGCTGCGGGCTGCCTGCATGCACAGATACACCCTTCCTTGAGTATGTGTTCAACTCTGCTGGCAAGCACATGGAAGAGCCTCAAGAAGCGCCAGGAAAGTATCTCGCACTGGTGGACCTGCTAGAGTCTTTCTGGGCTGCAGCAAGATGATACCCACATTGCACAAGGCCCAGAGCCGACGAAATCTACAGATCCTTGTTGAGATTGGAGTCACAAGGAAGACTAAAAAGAGACGCACCTTGGGGGCCTGGGAGGGGGAGCCGTATTTGGAGTTGCCGTGGCGCTCGAAGTCAAAGGCACCAAGGGAGCAGATGTCTCCGACGCCCGGCACGTGCACGGAGAAGTCGCGCACAAAGGCCAGGATGGCGGGCGCGCACTTGGGCAGCGAGAAATAGAGCACGAACGGCGTCAGTACGATGCTCGCCATCTCCTCCAGGAACAGCAGCGCCTGCGCAGGCGTTCCCTCTGCCTCAGCAGCCCACCCTCGGCATGGCATTGTCAATATTTAAACCCCTTTCTCAATATATTGAGCACTCCCACAAGTGATTGCTCACTCGCTCAGCTGATATCCCTATGCCTGCAATGCAAGTCCGGTCTGAAAAGCACCTTTACAGTAACTACTCTTATCTCTGGCGCTCTGCCTTGATGTCTGCGCAATTCTCTCACTCAAGTATTATACCAGGTTGTCTCTGTTATGAACACAGGTTTGGGCATGCATTGAAAAGTATGGGGGGACATTCGTTCCTATGTTTCCGCGAAGACAAGGGCAGTGGAGGCACACCTTGAACTGGAAGAGCTCCTGGAATTGCTGCTGCACCTCCTGGGTGTGCGCGCGGCCGCGCCAGTGGCGGGGCAGCCAGTGCGTGTGCGCCACCACCTCCAGCAGAGCCAGCTCCGGCTCAAAGGCCACCCCCGCCTCTGCTATGAACGCCCGGCTCACCGCCAGAACTATGCCCAGCGTGGCCGCCCACCTGCGCGCACACCATTTCCATTCGTCGTGAAGGCAGTGAAGCGCAACAAGGTGCAGAATCGAGGAAGCAGGACGGGCAAGAAGAGCGGCTGAAGCCGAGGAGGCATCAGAGGATCCCTCAGAGATTTGTGCAAGAAAGGTACATGAGATAAGAGGGACGGCAATCAGGATGGCTGACACACGCACACAGGGCACAGACATTTGCCCGAGGCCTCTGCATGGGGACTCGTGACGTGGCCGGATGACGTAGGAAAAGTGAGAATAAGAGGTACAGGGCAGGAGCAGAGTGCCAATCTAGATGGGTAAAATATGATCGCAAGGCTTAGGCACAGCCAAATCATTCAGGGATGCTGATGTGATAGCACAAAATTGAGTGTCATGGTTCAGGCGTCATCAGGATCGGAAGAAAATGCATTGTCATAAAAAGGTGTGCAGGTGAAATTTTTGGGCTCACCACACGAGGTTGCGGCCGAAGAGGTGGCGCTCCAGCAGAGTGTCGTCCACCAGCGCCATGAACAGCAGCAGCGCTGCAAAGGAGCCCGCCAGGAACGCCACAAACTTGGCCATGTGACTCAGCACGGGCGACGGGAATTGCTGGATGTACTTCTCCGCTGCCTTGTGGCTGGCATTCAGCCTGCGCAGCAGCACACTCCTCAGCTTTCTCCTTTCTTATTATCATGCCAGCCAGAACGCAATGCAAATCTGCCAAGCGCAGTCCAGAACAAGACCTGGCCATATCACTGCAGCATAGGTACCATACTCACATGTTGTCATGCATTGGGCAGTTATAGCAAGCCGCTCCATGGAAAACAAGGCCGCAGCAACCCTCGTTTAGTGCATAGAGTTGAGATCTAAATGGAGAGACATGGCACCTGTGGTTGAGGTAGTGGGGGAGCTCATTGAACTCGCGCAGGCGCCAGGCAGCCAGGGAGGACCAGCGGCGCGCGCCAGCGGAGGACGGCTGGTGGTAGAACTTCTCGGCGTTGCGCATGAAGAAGTAGATTAGCAGGAACATCAGCAGGAACGGCGCCAGCAGCAAATTCGCCACCGCCACACGCCTGTCGCATTGCCCAACACTAGATCAGATCTGCGCTAATACACCAGGAGCCGCCCATGAACTCCTTGCATATTGTGGCCCACCGCAACATGCGCGTCTTTTCACAGCACCGGCAACGCTCAAAAAGATCCCAGCGCACCCTATCAACCTTTGTCACAGCAACCATTTGCATGATTTGGCCCCAGAGCTCCAGCAAGTGCTTAATCGCTCTTCATTGCCTAATCAATGAAGAGCGCATGGGAGAAGTGAGGTGCATGCCTGAAGCGGCGCTGCAGCTTGGGGGCGTCGTGCTTGAAGTCCTCCTTGATGCAGAAGTTATCGTCCAGCATGGCGTCCAGGATGCACCAATGCAGATTCCATTCCAGCGTTTTGGTCAGCATGAAGCGCTTGCCCAGCCCAGGAATGGTCACATTCAGCGCCAGCACACCCTGCCACATCCCCTTTCACACTCAGAACAGCAGGCAAGCATGCACACCCGGCCCAACAGCTAAAATGCAAATGCAAGCACAGGCAAGCGCAAAGAAGACTTTACAAAAGAGCCAGTAATGCACTTGTAAGGTACCAGGAGATGGCGGGGCTGCCTGACCTTGTTGAGCATGCCGATCAAGTAGTTCTCCTTGCGCATGATCCGGCTGACCACGTCCTTCTCCGTCAGGTCCCTGGTGATGCACAGCCTCGTCTGCTTCTGGACCTGCACAATACAAATCACAGACAGGGTCGATCCATCTGTTCAACTCCCCACCCAGCACAAAAAGGATGCAAGAAGAAGCAAAGTGGCAAATTGCATGTGACTTGATCCATGGTATAGCTTGGCCATGCACTCACAGCATCAAATTCCAAGCGCCATCCAGGAGGAAAGATATGGACATGCCAGGGCTTGACTGATGCCAAAGCCACGTTCAAATCTAAACCTGCAGCAAAAGCACACAGAAGCTAGTTGGATAGAGGCGCACGTCGACGATGCGGCGCGCGACCTCGGGCCAGGTGACGGTTTTGAGCTGGCGCGCGGAGAGGCCCAGGCGGTGGCGAGTGAAGTGGGAAATGACCGCGGCTTCGCGCAGGTCCACAAAGAGGTGCGCCAGGTTGTACAGCCAGTACACGGCAAATATGGCCACGTACATCACCCGCAGCGTGTTCCACACCGTGAACCCGTCCTTCAGCGGGTGCGGATCAAACACCACCTGCACACAGAACCATCACCTTCCTTGGTGTAAGGACTTGCAGTGAGGTACACCAAGACAGGGACAAGTAGATCGAATAGGCAGCTAGGCACACTGCACCAGCAAAGACGTGAAATCAAGCAAAATGATTCATTGTTTGCAAATTGACAAAGCATCAATGTGTGCACCTCGGAGATGTCGCAGGTGTCCTTCAGAATGCACTCGCTGCGAAGCGCATGCCATTTGACAAACAGCAGCAGGAAGGCGGAGAAGGCGATGGTGAATGCCAGTGCCAACAGGTTGAGCACTCGCGACACCAGGATGACCTCAAACCCCTTCTCCTCATAATACCTGCATTTGACGCAACCATCATGTCAAGCCAAACAACAGCGGGCGCAGGAACAAGGCATGAGTGTGACCCCATCAGATAACTATAGTTTAAGGTCACGCAGTACAATTCCAGATCAAGCTTGTATCTGGCACAACAGGAGCTGTGTCCTTACTTGTAAATACGCCTGAAGAAATCGTCCAGATTGGCAATCGCATCCCACTCCAGACTCTCAGAACTGAGCAATGGCTGCACTGGCTCACCATCGTCCTCTGGCAAGCTGCGCAGCACATCAAATCATTGTGCCAATGCTACCAGAAGACCAGCAAAGCCCTGTGGGGCTCGTTTCAACGTAGTAAGCATACAACAAGCTGGCCCGTGGAGCAGCCTTGAGTGACTTCAGTGTGAGTCCTGATTATGAGCACAGTAACAAGGGATGGCTGCAGTTCATCTACTTGGTATTATATGGTTAGTGCAGCTGTCCTTAGATGGAGCACTAGCTGCAGAACAACAGTCATTGTCACTTGGCACAACCAGCCTCTGACGGGGCGCAATGCTCAAACAGCTGAAGTTTTGTGATGTGTTCAGCAAAGAACCTTGGGAGCGGGTCATATGCGAATTCCATGACACTTTCGCCAATGCCCTGACGTGAGGTCCAACGCCCTTCCCGCGTAGCTTTGTGTTATGCTCCTCAGACGATTCAGAGGAACAACATGATGAGGAGAAGAATCGTCAAAGCTGCCCTTCGGCAAGCATGGCACTGGAAGCTGAACAGTGATTATACAAGAGAAGCTGACAAAGACGGTTCGCGTCAGCCACAGTCTTGTATATAGCGCTTATCGAGCATCGTGGCGAAGATCTTCAACATTTCGGGGACAGTTGTGTTCTGGAAATCATGAAACAGAAGGTTGTTCTTGACTGGACCTAGAACCCTAGCAAACCCCTTCACAAAGCGGGATACATCGAACATTGGGAGGTTTTCCAAACCCATCTCAATGTGCTGGTGTATGCAGTTTTTGAAACACGATAGCACGATTCAAGCTAGGGCGAATGCAACAAAAGGTCATTGAAGAGATTACTCGGGGTTGTCTCCATATCAACCAGTACATTCTAGATCCATTGTGTGTTGACTGGATCGACCAGTGATTGGGAGCTGCTGCATTGTCATTACTTATTCTATATCTGATGATCAGAGGATCTTTGCAGCGGATCGCAGTCCGTGTTTCCGGCAGACAGTTCGCACAGCTAGGAGCATGCCAGGAAAGTGCAGCCGCATTCCCACCAGAAAGCAGCAACGTCGGCCTCCGTCACACCCAGCAACAGCAAAGTGAAAGAAAATGGCTTCGAACGTACCCAGGCTGCCGACACTTTTCCAGTGATGGCCCCAGCTCTCACGAGGGCACCTCAAAGGAAGCTACAGGGAGCCTGTGCTCAGCAGAGGATGCAAAGAAAACTGAGGGCACCAGTGAGGAAGCCACCACCTCTGCAGTGGAAGGCGCAGAAGGGGTGGTTGGAGCTGAGTCTGCTTCTGGTGGCACAGATGAGGTGCGCCTCAGAGCTGCATGTTTGTGGAGTTACCTCTCACAATCTGGCACTGGTATTGAATTCCTGATTGCTCAACAGTGTCATTATGGTGCAGGATGCTGCAGAGAGTGCTCCTCCTCGCAATGAGTACAGGGCTCCCGAGCACGTATCTATCCCTGATGCCATGCTAAGTCGGCGCGTCATTGACCACTATAAAGAGGAGGATGCTGTGCAAGCCTTCCCCATCAACCATGCGGGGGAGCACAGCTCTGGCTGGCAGCTGTATGACGTGGATGACGAGAACACGATTGTGTGGTGGATGCTGGACCTCACCGGCGGCCGCGTCCCAGAGAATGAGAAGAATGCGCAGCTCAGCGACGACGTCAAGCACTTCATGTACCGGCTCAACAAGGAGGGCGGGTGTGCCCCATCCTCTTCTTGTCTATTCCCGTGCCCATAGAAAGCGACAGAAAGCTTGGAAAAGGAGCTATCAAGGGCTAATGTGCTCAAACATTCCGGTGGGTCACAATGCACAGCAATGGGTGGAACGATTTATTAACACGCTGCCTTAGCGAGGGCGCATAAGGCAGTCATTAAGATTACACCGCTTCCAGCCAACTTAGCCTGCTCTGATTCCCAGAGTCAGCGCCCAGCATGACATATTAAATAATTATTATCGTCATCATTACTCCTCGCTTTTCCTGCCAAAAGGCAAGGTACATCCTGCAGACAAACTGCAATTGAAGGCTGCCACAATCCTACCCCGTCTTGGACTCGCCAGATCCAAGCAAGACCCAATCATCCGTGGGCACATCTATATACTTGAAAATAAGTAGCATAAGATGCTGTGGCGCATGCATGCGCAGGTGGTCAGTGCCCCAGATAGCGGAGCTGTTCCGGGTGCGGCAGCAGCGGGTGATGGCGATCATCGCGCTGAAGGAGATGGAGGTTGGGAAGCGCGAGAGCGGCGAGGAGCTGCTGGAAGACCTGCACGAGGACATGGAGCGCGTCTTCGAGTGCCATGAGGTCCGCGGCAGATTCGAGCGCCACGTGCGGCTGCTGCCGACCAAGCCCGCCTTCGAGGTGCGCAGCATTACTGCTTCTGCATTTGTCACATCAACAATGCACGCTGGCTGCCACCATCAGCCTTGCACAACCTCAACTCATGCCTGCGCAAAGCTGCGCGTGCTTCTTGCGGATTTTGCATCCTGGCGCGAATACCACATATGTATGCCATCTGCTTTGTTTGCTTGCATGCATGCTTGACAGCTGTTATTGCTACCAAGGATAGATTCACTGCTGATCCACCCCTGCTGCATGTGTTTCAGGCAGGCTGTTTCTCCTTTACACTATCACATCAAGTGAGCATTGTTACAACAAGTCAGGGGCAATAGTTGAGCATGCACAGTGGGTGAGGTCACAAGGGAGAAGCTGTGCATGCAGGTGATTGGGACGGGAGGGGGAGGGAGAAAAGGGAAGAAAGGGAAGGGGAAGGGAGATGCAGAGAGGGTGTATGAGAGCCACGAGGACCCCAGCTGGGAGAGTGAGGTGAGGATAAGGGAGGAGGAGGTTGCCGCGCATGAGGAGAGGATCCTGGTCAAGGAGTTCAGGGAGCGGCTGGCCTTCAACCTTGGCAAGGTAGGGCTCTGGCTGCACTAAAATTTCTTTGCAATGCGTATAATACACCTCTCTTTATGTCACAAAGACACACTTCACATCTGTGCCAGAGAACAACAAGGGTTGGTGTATTTAGCGTAAATTGGAGGCTTTTTGGACCGGACTAGACTCGTGTCCAGATCTCATGCAAGCCATGAGGGGTTTGTCAGGCATTGAGCATGCAATCGTGTGGAATGGGCGCAGGTGGGTCAGAGCATCAGCAATGAGAGCAGAGCCAGGCAGGCGCCCCAGAGGCCCAAGGAGGGGTGGAGCGTTGTTGTGCGGCCTGCCGGACGTGGAGTGGAGTTTGAGCCCTTTGTGGCGCGGCCTGATGGCTCCAGGCGGCCCCTCTCGTCTGACGAGGACCTCTACATCAACCGCATGAAGCCGCTTCGCCGCCGGACAATATTGTAGATGCTGCACAGATGTTGTAGATGATGTACAGAGTCACATATGACACAGAGACGGTTGTCAACAGCATGCGTGCCTCGTGTGATCGCGTCAGTCTGCCTAAAGTGGGGTGTGTGAAAGACATCATATGCCGCAGCCTCGGCTGGGCTTGTACTAGAGCAAGGAATGAGAGGCAGCAGTTTACATGTCTCTTACTTCCATCTTTGCAAGAATATCACTGCTCATTCCTGAATGTTTCGAGCCCACATTCTGTAGCGCAGAGTGGTGAGGCTATCGATCAGTCATCAAGATCCATGCATCAACCAAGTCACATCCATTCTGCACAGGTCATTCATCAAGGTGTCCGGCTAGCTAGTCTCTCCATCACGCGTGGCCATTCTAGCATGAGTTCCTCAACCAAGCAACCGAATTTGCACAAGTGGATTGGTCAAAAATGAACATAAGTTCAGGGCAGTCTCGCACAGAAATGTACTTCAACAGAGTGTTCATCCCAACAAGACCTCATCATTCCAGGATTGCTGCTGACGCAAGCACGGCAGGCTGAAACTGACGTAGCAAACTTTTCACAAACAACACAGACCAGGGCAACACTCCACTGAACTTAACCGGCATGGCAGGCTGCTGCTGTCACAGCAGCCAGGCAGATCAGTCGATGCGCAATTCATCTTCGAGGGCGTCGTACTTGAACATGAAGTCCTGCTTCAGGCGGTAGCACCAGCCGACCTGCTGGTCGTCGTGAACAATGTTGTAGTCAAAGTACACATACGTCCCCTGCTCATACTCCTCTGTGGCCGTCTTTGGCTCCTCATGCCGCTGCAAGCAGAGGGGGCACAGCCAGACTCAGCCATGGGAGGGGTACTAATATATAGCACAATCCATGTATTATTCACCCCTACCATGGACAGCCCATAAAAGTAAGACTCTATCGACAATGCGCATGCCATGCTATGCCCTTTCACCCCGACCCACACCTTGCCCGCGGAAGGACAACGTGAAGGCAGAGCAGCCCAGCATTTTTTTGACGAAGTGGTTGTCCTTGAGGTGCCCCAAATCGAGCATCATTTGCAGATCTTCGGATAAAAAGTTATGCAGACAGCATGGCAGTGCAATTGCCAGAGATATGAGCGAATGCGGCTGAGAGGGGCGCACCTGGAACCAGGCGGCGTGCTGCTTGTGGTAGCGCCAGGACTGGCGTTTGAGCTCGCGTGCAGCCAGGTACTGCTGGTAGGACCCCGGCTGGTAGTAGAAGGCGAAGAAGAGCGCCTCGGTGTCCAGGCGCTCGAAGAGGGCCGGGTGCTGCACCATGGGCGCCTTCTCGGTGGGGTAGGAGGCCGGGACGCCGCCCGGGAACGGCCGCAGCCGCGGCGGCACCGTTTGCCACTGGCTGTCCGCCAGCTGCGGCTTGCACCGCCTACACAGTAGCCACTCAAACAGCATTTACGCACCTCTCTTTGCCTTACCATCTTTCACATGGTGACAAGCTTCGGAGGGCAATGATACCAAGTCAAACACCTGCAGCGCGGGCTCATACCAAAGATTATCATGCGCACGCGCACAACCTGCCATCACTTGTGACCCCAGAACCACAACTTGAAGCTTGAAGATTTTGAACAAGAAAAAACGTACAGCCCATGGTCAGCAAGGTGTAGAGGGATGGGCTGGGGTGCTCGTACTCGGAGCATGCAGTGAGCAGCTTGAGGGTGTCCTGGGGGGATGCCATGGGCCCCAGAACGGCCGGCGCTGCTCGCCCGCCCTGGCCTCCTAGCAGCTCTCCCACCTGCCCCGGTGGCAGCAGCGCAGCCGCCAACTTCCCATCATCCTTCCCTGCCAGAGCAACCTACGTGCCGCCCCGAGTGCCTCTGTCAGTGCCCATGCACAGGCAGCATTACCAAGAGGGACTACAGGGACTGCCAAGGTTTCATAAGCAAGATTTTGTGACACCTCGCACTTTGCAGAGCCATAGAAGGTCACCTGCTGGGCATCGTCTGGTTGCCCTCCCAGCTCAGACGGCCGCCCTGCACGCACAGGCAAAATATTAGCACAGCATATGTTTTGTGGTCAACATGCACACATGTATTAAAGGAATTGAAGAAGACAAGTCAGGCGGGCGCACCTGCGACTGCGTTTGCAAAGAGCAGCTTCTGATTGGCTGTCGCCATTGCAGCGGGCTGCGCTGCCTTGTCGGGCAAGCTGGTCTGTAATGCGCCAGCTGGCTGAGCGCCTCGCTGAGCTGCTGCGCGTCTCTGCTGATCCTGCTGCAGCTGCGCCTGCCCCAACTGCGGAAAGCCATCTGCAACAGCACCAATACCTGTTCAACGCAGACACCTCACCATGTGCGATTTGTTTTTGGCCTCTTGATCAATCTCCTGACATAGGAAGGGCCAGGCAAAACTTGCTTGCCAGCGGAGGTTGAACTTTGCACACTGCGCACCTGAGTCTCCTGGGAATGCCCACGAAGCAGGAGAAGGGGCAGCTGGCGGCGGCGGCGGTGGCGGCGCTGCCAGCGGCGTGGTTGCGACGTCTTCCCTTGTGTCCAACGAGGTCTGCAGGCGAGAAATTTGCTCAGCGCCTTCACCACAGTGACTTCTTTGCTGCACAGTGCTCAGCACAAACACATCGCATCTTTACTGGCCAGAGCACCCCGGTGAGTAGAGCAAGATGCAGGAGTGCTCAGCACATCTTTCACTGGCTGAGCACCCCGGTGAGCAGAGCATTATGTAGGAGTGCTGAGGAGGCCAGTGCTCACATGCCGGGAGGAGCCAGCGATGTGGTCCTGGCGGGAGGCCATGGGGGAGGTGGGCCCCGGGGAGAAGGCGGTCTGCACGCGCACGGGGGTGGGGGGCGCATTGCTGGCGGCGGTGGGGGTGTCGGCCTTTGTGTTGACGGCAATGGCGGTGCGGCCGGTGGGCGTGACAGGCTCCTTGGGCGGCTTGGGGCCCGCGCCCGCCTCGGACGCCTTGCGCGGCAGTGCGGCCGGCTTCTCGGGCGACGGGTCCGTCTCCTCCAGTCTGGGCACGCAGCAAACATAATTAGTCACAACACCTGCATTGCAGCACCTTGGACACCTAGATGCTAGCTCACTTGGCGCGCTTGTACACGCCTGACCATCCTGTCCTGGGGTGTATCCGCTTTGTTGAATCACAGGCGGTATTGTCGGGATTTGAAATGTTGCGGGGGTGATCTGGCAGTGTGACAAGAGGAAGGGCTGCGCGCACTTGATGCCAGCCTGGGCGGCCAGCTGCTGCTTGGCGGCCTGGGCAGCAGCGCGTTCCCTCTCCAGCTGCTTCTCCCTCTCGCGCTCCTTCTCTTTCTCCTTCTCCTTCTCCTTGGGGTCCTTTGCCTTCACGTGCGTCACCGCCATTGTGACCGGCAGCGTCGCCTGGGGAGCACAACGCTCTGTCTCAGTAACCCACGATCAATGCCCCTCCATGCAATGGCAAGATTGCTTATTTCTTCTTGGCTTTCACTGCATGGGCCGCCAAAATATGTTACAGGGGAGGCACAATAGTAGCCAGGGGCAGAAGAACACCTCCAAACCGTCCAGCTGTTCGAGGATGACTTCGTAGGCCTGGTCTGGGTCGGAAAATTCATCAAAAGAGTCCTGGTTGCGGTCCATGTAGTCATCCACCATTTCTTTGATGTCCGTCATGTCATCAGGTTCAAGGGCCTGCGCATGCAACCGAGGGCCTGATTCGACCATGATAACGCGGTGCACCCGCACTAATCAAGCGCATGCTGATATGGATGTTCACTGAACTGAATTCTTCACCCAACAGAGGCTAGCGCTGACCTCATTGTCCAGCAGCCGCAGCATCTGCTCGAGCCTTGTGACATGAGCCTTGTGGCGCACGATGCTCTCCTCCAAGTGCGAATGTCGCGGCGGCAGCTTGTTCTTCTTTTTGTTGTTGTTGGCCAGGCTCTCCATCTCCGCATCAAAGGTCTCATTCTGGCATGACATCGATTGCATCAGCTGCATATTATCAAGCTGGTGTGTCCGGAGTTGGGCTGTGATCCATGCCTACAGCACCTCCAAGCTGAACCTCACCTCTGCCGTGAGCTTGTCGACCGTCTCGTTGATCCACTCCCTCATCTCATTCTTTGCCTTTTCCTTGGGATCCAGCTTGGTAGCCTGACCCAGACCCTCCTTTGAGAAGGCCTTCACCTTCATCTCCTTCTCGCACACCTTGAACCTTTCCATCTGCCGCTCCACCTTCTTTCGTGCTTCCACGAGATCTGTTTTGTCCTTTATGTCGGTCCCCGAGATCCTGCAGCTCAACAAGGAAAGTGAAACAAAACCCAGCCAGCCGAACAAGTACAATTGCGTGCTAGCAGCGAAATATACGACGGTATAGTGTGAGACACTACTTAGACGCGCCGCACCATGTCTTAATCTGATCTCTGAAGCGTTGCAGCTTCTTGATTTCCTTCTTCAGGTCCCCTTCGTACTTCTCTTTCTGTGGATGGTTATCCGCATCATACACCTGCAATCAAAACGAAACGAAGGTTAATTTCCTCATCTACATCCAAGATGGGCAGTCTCTCTTCCTTTATTGACTCGCTTGTGCCATAGCATCAACTTTGCTTCACTGACGCAGTCGAAAGCTTGAACGTATGCATGGACCATGACGTGAGCATCGAGAAAGCGTGACATGGTCTGTACCTTCTCCCAGATCTGATCGAAGACCTCAATTCCTTCTGCAACCTTCTTCAAAGTTCTGTCAATCTCCTGCTGTAACTTCCTGTTTGCCCCCATTTCAGCGGAATGAATGGCTCACAACTTTTCTTCCTTTTCCAAAATGTGCATTGATCCCCCAAATCCTGTCGGTTCTCACAGATTTCTACCTGATTTTCACCATGTGAACACCCCCCGCAGGAGGGAACACCACCGTTTGCAACTGGACTGAGAAACGAGGAAGATTGCACATTTGTCTGAAATTTACATTGCATATTTGACATTTGAGGCCACGATCTAGAAACTGATGGTTAACAAATGATCAGACTGCTGCCCTGAGAAAGAACGTCAGAGAGGACTAAAGTAGTAATCGCACAAAGTCATTCCTGAACAGTTGCTCTTAACAAGCCGTATTTCACAGGATTGTGAACTCGTCTTGGAATTTTTCATTTCCAGACATAGGTCACTGGAGAATACTGCTATAAATCCGATCGCGGACTCTTCACTTAGAGATCTGGCAGATGGATGCCTTGAAAGCACTACTGGACAAGAAACGTAAGGATACGCCCACTGCAAAATTGGGAGATCGAAAATTTGTGAAACAATCTGAGCTCGAAGACCTTCGGCTGAAGCGCTTGAGGGAGGAAGAACACAAGGAGTTGGAAGAAAAGGTGAGTCCTCACTACACCTGAATGCGTGGTCGGTGGCTTCTTGACCCTCGTTGTTTCTTGCAAAAAATTTGGTATTTTGCTGTGTCCACTTCTTGGACCTTTCCAAAGATGGTCGTGCCATTCTTCACCAGGAGGAGAGGAAAAGGAGCCGGTCAGAGCAGGACGGCCGCAGCCTGCAACGTCATGAGAGCGGTGCAAAGGAAGTAGAGCTGGACAGGGAGGAGGTCATCCGCCGCCTGCGTCTGTTGGGCCAGCCTGTCACTCTGTTCGGAGAGGTGGGGCTTGCTATGGCAGTGCACGTCCATCAACACTAGGGGAACAGTTTCAACCACATTTTGCTGGATCTGTACACCCGAAATTGCTCTCTGCGAGTTGTGATGTAGAAGTGCGCTTGACCTTATCAGGGCTAGGGGGAAGAGCGGTAGTCGCACAGTAGACCAATTCCTCCTAGCAGGCGAATACAGCAAGTCCCCGGTTCAAGCATTGACTTATGTCTCTCCTTTCTTGTGTTGCTTCTGCTCTCAAAGTAGACTGAAGTAGCGCTTTCGTGACTTCTAACCACGCTGCAATTTTCTAAACTTTGACCGAAGTGAATGATTGCATTGAAAAATTACCTGGAATGCATGTGCAGGAAGATGCTGCACGAGCTGCCCGTCTCCGGAAAGCAGCGGAGGATTTTCAGATGGAGGACGAGCACACAGAGGGCCAGCAGGCAAACTCGCTTCTCCTGCTGCAGAAGGAGGGCAAGCTCAAAGCAAAGCAAAAGCTGTCAGGCATGGACGCCACAGCAAAAAAGGATGGAAAAGACCCGCCCGCTGCCAAGCTCCCTGATGACCAGGTCAAGGCCTTGCCTTGCTGCACATTTGTCTCCTGCAACTCAACCTAGGAGATTTGCATTGCTGTCCTTATTGAGCCACTGCTCCTCACCTAAAATCAATAAATACCAAAGAAGTAAAAATATGGCTCTGTGCAGGATGGGATGGCAGAAAACGTGGAGGAGGAGGAGACTGAGACAGCGCGCATGTTCAGGCAGGCAGCAGAGGCCCTCAAGCAGAAGCGCGAGGAGGATGCTATGACAGTGGAAGAGCGCATCTCAAAGTGCAGCACTTACTCTTTTCGCACCGGTCCTCTTTCTTCCCTTTTGACAGTGTTGAACTGCGTGCCTGGCTTACCTCTCTTGCTGATGTTTCCTAATGGCTGCAGGTACTTCAAGCAATGGTGCAAGGAATGGGGCGAAGATTTGGATCGGCGGCCAGAGGCGGTGAAAAAGACTGGCGGAGGTTAGAATATGTCCAGTCACCGTCTGCATGTCTTGACATTGGACTTGCATCTGAGTGTTCTTGTCGCTATTATCTGGGTGCCAATCTGATTCAAGGCTGGTGCACACAGGCAACCAGGCGACAATACAGTACCAGCAGACAATGACTTTCATCAAGCCGCTGTATAAGCAGCTGAAGCAGAAGCTGGTGCATCCTGAGATGGTTGCCGGGCTGTACATGATCGTGCAGGCTATCAAGCAGCGCAACTACCTGCACGCCTACGATGTGTACATGCGCCTCGCCATCGGTGAGCCGCCGTTTCTCCTGCCAAAATGCATGAGCTCCTGAGCATCTGCCCTGTGCTGGACCTGATCTCCCAACATCATATTTCTCCACCCTCCTCACCGCCGTTGCCAAAGATTCCTGTATAGAAAGGCTGAAAGAAGCAAGGTGACACATCATGCATTCCAGTGAGCGCCGGGTGCAGCACTGAATCATTACTGGGACCGATGCAATGCAGACCCTGTCATGTAGTCATACTTTGTTGCCTTCACCCAGAGTGCAGTTCGTGCCACACTCTGCAATCTGCAGAATATGCACATGCCATCAGCGAGCCAAACATCATAAGCATGTTCTGGCTCCATGCTGACCGCCTGACGGAGGTGTGGCTGTGTGCAGGGAACAACCCCTGGCCCATTGGGGTGACGAGCGTGGGCATCCACGAGCGGTCGGCGCGCGAAAAGATTTCCCACGTCATGAACGGCGGCGCGCACATCATGAACGACGAGGCCACGCGCAAGTACCTGCAGGCCGTCAAGCGCCTGCTTACCTTTGTGCAGCGCGCGTACCCGACCGACCCCTCCCGCTCCATCGACTTTGACGGGTTCCGAGACGCCGGCCGCGGCGCCGCCGGCTCCGGCAGTGACAAACAGGTGCCCCTGCATTCCTCTTTGTGCAGCTGCCCTGGTTTGTAACAGGTTTGCGTGACTGTGATCCATGTAGGCAGTCCCCGCTCATATTGCCATTTCCTCCCCCCCCCCACCCTTGACAACCCTTTAAATATCACATCAAATAAAAGCAACAAGACTGCAAGAAATACGAAGCTGTGCGAGCAAGTAGGGACTTTGCAAATCCTGCTTGAAAGATACGGAGTGCATGGTTAAATCCTTGAGGCTGCTGTGCTGTTGCATAGAATGGAAGGTTGATCCCGTGAGAAAATGCGTCAAGAGTTACACATCAGTGCTATGTATTGTAAAATGAAAGCTTCTGGCTGCAGGCGTTGTTGGAGGCAGAACGGAGAGGATTGATGCCGCTGCTGGAAGCGCCCAAGCATTTCCATGACAAGGACGGGACCATCGCAGTGCCCCCTAAGTGGGACAACATCCTGAAGCAGTCAGAGGTGTACAAAGAGATCAGCAATGGCCCCTCGCGGACGCCACCTCGGTCTCCACTGCAGGGGAAGACTTGACTGATTGAATCTGCATGAGACCCACGTTTGACGTCTCTTAAAAGCTTGATGAAGCGGACATTTGCTGTTCCAGAGGAAAACTGCGCAGGTTGATACAGGATGTAACCAACTTAGTTGATGCAAGCTTCAGCACAATAGATTGCCGGTACAGGAAGAGCGCAATGTCACCGGCGGTCTCATGACTTTAAGTCAAGTTGCTCCGGGATACTTGCACACTCAGTGGGCTGTGCGGACTAGTTCAGCTTTTCCCATACTAGCACAGTACACTGCATTGCACACACTGCACATTTGCAAAGCAATGCTTTGGAAGCATGCTACTACTCTTCGAGATACAGGCAGGTGCACATTGCTGTGTCTATATTTAAGTTAGGCAAGCTGCTGGTGTGCCTACTCTGGCTCTTCAGGCTCTGGCATGCCATGAAGGATGCTGCTCTGAGCTTCTTCACATCTTAACTTTACAAATCGCTGTTCCCATTCATAATAGACAAACGATCCATTATTAGCAGTACTGTCAGAGACATCTTTAGGTAAGAAAAACATAAGAATAGCTACAGCCAGCGATTGGCAGAACCAGTGATCTGCCGAGAGGATCCAACAGAGCTTGCTCCTACACGCTTATCTAGTTGCTATCGACAGGAAAACCTCAATATATTGTGTTGCATCATCATCCGTAAGGAGCTTCCTGTGCGCGGTTAAAGATGCCACAGCAGCTCCAGGGAGACATCGAAGCCCTGTGCCGCCAATTTCGGTACACTATGTTCTCTAGACTCACTATAATATTGACTATATCATCCTTCGTGCCTGCATCCGTTCTCACTTACTCTTGATCAATCATGGTTTGTCAATGCAACACACAGATCATTTGCCAATGTGGTTGCTGTTGATGCCCAGGCGCCGGCAGATCGAGGGGTCACTCAATACAGCAAGGGCGACAGCAGAGCTGTTGCGATCTTTGATCACCAGGAAAGGGCACTCAGACGCCACAAGCCTCTTAAGCGATGTACGCATTTGGGGTACTCAGCTGCAGGCTGCCAAGCCTTTGGGTGCGCCCTTTGGCCCTTCCTATTTGATCAACATGTATTTATGTTTCTAAAACATTGCTTAATGGATGCACGTGAATCAAAATGGCCTGAGTCCCTTTAACTTTGCTGCAGAGCTTGCTGTGGGCAACATTGTGCGCCGAGTGCTGCACATGATCCGCGAGGAGTCCCAGAACGTACGCTCCATATATTGTTTGGCTTCCAATCTCATGGTGGATGACCTTCATGTCAAGCCCATGCCTCAACTTAGCTCTCAAGCAGGGTGGTCTGCAGGAGGAGAAGGAGGAGGTTGCCACAGCAAAGGTTGCAGCACTGTCAGAGAAGGAGAAAATCACAGGCCTTTTGAGCAGAGCCTTCCGGCAGCCGCCGCCCAGGAGTGCCTCGCTACACAACCTTCTGGACTTGCAGCACGATGATGTCTCGGTGAGTTATCCCCGGCACTATTTACATCAGCATGCCAAGTGCATGAAGTTTTCTGTGCGATTAGTGTGGTCAAATAATATCTCAGTGTACTCATTTGTTGTCCTCGCATCGAGGCTATGGACATATCGTCCTGATGGCATCTGCAGCTCTTCACAGGTGCTGATGCTGACAAGAAATATCGATTTTCAGGATGGGCCAGCAGAGAAGGAGGCGGCAGCTGCGCCGTCGCAGCAGGCACCGGACAGTCAGGACGCGGCGCAGAGCGGGGCGCAGCGGCGGAGAGGCGGCCACTGGGAGGGCAAAGCCAGCATCATTGACCAGCTCAACGAGCTGGTTGGGGAACTGCGAGACATTGACAGCAACATTGCCCTGCATGTGCGCCTCTCCCGATTTTTAACATAGACGCTACGTGTAACCCTCCATCACCTGGTATGCTTGTAAAGCGCTGCACAGTTATCAAATTGACTGCAATGCGCAAATTGGCTACTCTCTTGAAAGCTAAAGGAGCTCTGGTCATGTGGCAGGCGGTGGAGCACATCCATGCAAACGAGTCCATCCTGACATTCGGAATGTCCGACACGGTGCTGGCTTTCCTGCTGGAAGCTGCCAAGAAGCGCGACTTTCAGGTCAACTCCCAGCCCATCCATTCGCAATGCACTGTCAGTAGGCCAGCCAGGGCTCGTCAAGCCTCATGAAGTGGGTGACGTTGTTACCACACACACACGTGGCCAGAGGGAGGCAGTGGAGAGGAGCGATGCATGTTATGCGCAGGTGGTGGTGGCAGAGGGTGCCCCTAGGTATGGCGGTCAGGAGCTGGCGAGGAAATTGGCCCAGGCAGGGCTGCAGACCACAGCCATCCCCGACGCAGCCATCTTCGCCATGATGGCGCGCGTCAACAAGGTGCCTCGCCAGACCCACCACTGTCTGGCCACATCTGCTACTCGCAGTATAAAGGAATCCATTAATTCATGCTAGTCAGTCCATGACGAACCAGACAATCCCATCCATACCTCCACTATGTGCAAGCGAGGCCAACCACAGTGCAACTCCCAATTCCTTCAAGGCATCTGAAACTTATGAGAGCCGACCAAATCGCAGTCCAGTCCATATATTCCCCAAATATCTGCACTGATTTGCGCTGGCCAGTCATGTCTATTTCTGCCCCAAATATCTGCAAGTCTGAGAGCACCAATCCAAGCTGGTGCATGTGCAGGTGCTGGTGGGAGCGCATGCACTGCTGGCGAACGGGGGTGTGATGACGGGTGTGGGCAGCCACCTGGTGGCGCTGGCTGCCAAGCGGCACGCGGTGCCCTTTGTGGTGCTCGTGGGCCTGCACAAGCTTTCACCGCTCTTCCCCCACGACCCCTCCGTCTCCTTCAATGACTTCAAGGTCAGGCTCACACCTTGCAGGGGCAGCCTTTAAACCGTCTGTCATATTTTCCGTGCAGTATCGTGCATCCCTGAGCCTCTGTTTGTGCAGCTATTTGAGAAGTCAGGGGGATGTCTGAATCCTACTTGAAGTAATGCAATGTGGTTTTGCAGTCTCCCTCGGATGTCATGGACTTCAGCATGGTAGCAGAGGTGCTGGATGCAGAAGAGAGCACAGCGAGTGTCTCTGAGGAGCAGCTTTATGTGCATGCACCAAACCCGGTGAACATTCAAGCATCATCTGTGCCGAGCTTGCTATGAATTTTCCAAGAAATGTTTGGATGCAAGTCGTTTATCTATTACTATGGTTGGCGTCTTGTCAACCAGTCTTTTGCTGCATGCAGGTGTTTGACTATGTGCCACCGGAGCTCATTTCACTCTTTGTCACAGACACAGGAGGCTACACTCCCTCCTATGTCTACCGACTGTTGGCAGAGTACTACTCCAGGGAGGACTATACGCTGAGTAGAGAACTCTTGGATACAATTGTCCGATGAAGTGAGTGATGAGGAGTCTGGGTTTCCAAGGGTGCTTTGACAGTCAGATGCAGTCATTAAGATGAGTCGGCTTTGAAATACTGTAATATTTTTATGCTGGCATTAATTTTGTTTCAGCAGTGTACACAAGATGCAGCTGATGGAATAGCACCCAACCAGGCTTCCATGTTATGAAGATGTTACAGGGATTATCACTGTGGCTGCATCAGCAAGGCTTTCGGCCTGACACAACACATTCACTGCCTGAATTGCAATTGTCAAATTCTTGGTGCTCTGCGGTATTGCCAGATCGACAACCCTGAACCGTTCCAAAACTGAGCTTCCCAGCCACGCCCAATCTTTTCCATCTGCACTCTCATCTGCTGGTCTCCTATCATTCTGCACAGGTAGCTCGGGAACATCAGACCAAGACATCCAGATGTTATAACGCAATGTCCCTGGCAGGGAGTTCCAGTCCATGTCAAATGACACGCATGATGGGCTCTCTGCTCCGAAACTGGCTGAAGTATGAATAGTGGTAGTCGAATCATCGAGTAGAGGTGTGCAAGATGATGGTCCTGTCAGGCACACATTGCGGATGGCCAGGCCCTGGATCTGCCTGTTGGGTGCTGCAAAGCCCACAGGCAATATCTGCAGCATGCCTGCGCCAACACAAAGCTCTACTCTAACAAAAAAATAACGACAATGCACCAGAACCAGCCTGGGCAAATGCTGATACAACTAAATCGGGAGTTTGGAGGTCTAGGAAAGTGCTTACCAATGGCTGCTGCAAAATTTGCAGCAGCATCGCCCTCCGATGATGATGTGCAACACAGCCACACACTCTCAACAGTGGTGCCTGGAGGGATATTCGCAGAAGACCGGCTACACCTAATCTGCCAGGAATCGTCATGGTGCCCAGAGACCTCTTCTGCACCAGGAAAGACAAACTTACATGCATCAAGGTGCTTTACAGACTGGCATACTGTGAGCACATAGAAATCAGGCTGACTATAACGTTTCTGCAAGGGAGGCACACCTGTCATGTTCAAGCTCCGTCCATCAGCAGTGCGGAGCTCAATGAAAACTTGAGCGGAAGGAGTGCTTTGGATAGCATTCATCAGGCTAAGGCCTCTGGCAGGCACCTCAAAGTGAGCCTTAAAAAGCTCCAAAGAGAACACACTCACCCCAGACCACAAGCTTCCTGCATGGGGCACAACGTGCAAGACTTTCGTAAAATGTCGTGCAAGCCTGAAACCCTCTGAGGAAGAGCAGCACATAAGAATTCATGCTAGGTGATACAGCCGTCAGGCAGTTTCTCACCTGCAATTTGCAGACAGTATCCTCCTTCATAAGCCTTCTCGGGACGAATAGCAGCATGGAGGCTGCTGATTCTGACAGAGGTCCTGCCTGCAGTTGGCACCAAATCCACCCGGACCTGTTCAGCTATCCCAAACAGCGGCTGTGGCGATTGCATTGACAGGTTGAACCATGGCTTTGCATCCACCACCCTCCCCTGCATCACTCATACCTCGGTCGTTCACAGTGAAGTGCATCACAGAATGGGGGATGTCAAAAACTGAGAGTGATCTTAATGCTGCTTTGATCATGGCTGCAGGAATGTACCGAGCGGTAGACAGCAGGGCCCAAGCCAGGGCAGAAGCTGGTCACGAATGGGAGCTCTGCGATGAGGGCACGTGGAGGGCCCAAGACAGCTGCCAGGCTGGACCATAGCTGCTCAGCCAACAGCCGCCAGTCCCCGGTGTTGCCCTCATAAACCCAGCCAGGTGCAAACAACGCCACTCCCAATCCTGCAGAAGCAGGATTGCATGCCCTGAAAAATTTTGCATGCTGGTATGTAGCCAGCAGACACAACCCACAACATGCAAGTTTTTTCAAAAGCACAAGCAAATTACCTTGCTGCCGTGCGGCGGCTGCTGCCACGTTGCAATTGAGCTGACCGCCTCCAAAAGTGCCCCTTCCGAATACATCAATACCCATGTACACATCCTGCTTTCTTTCCCCTGCTGCTGCCGCTGCCTCCAGTGGAGTCCCTGCCTGTAACACAGCAAATTGCTGGAGGAATGCGCAATGCAATGCCATAATCACAATGTGAAACAGTGTGCCTGAAACAAAGGAAGGGCAAGTACAAGCAAGGTGACACAGCGCACCTTCCAAGAATAATTGATGAAGATGGCATCCGTGGCATCCAGGAAGGGCCGGTTGAGGTCATTCAGTGTGTTCTGCCAAATCAGCTTCCCCTCAGTGGTCACGGCATCATACCAGATGACCTGGCTTCTGGGACACTGCTGACGCATCAGCTGCGTCAGCAGCCTGAGCAGAGCACAGCAAATATTGTAAGTTTTCCATCCCGCAACGCAGCTAGCGAAAATAACAAAGTCACATCATGACAATATATCTTCGGTGCTTGGGGCTGCGCAATTGATGTGTCATTGCACGAGAAGGAGTTCCACCTGAGAAAATGGAGAAGGTTTGGTATGAGGCTGGCCTCCAGGTCACATTCGATGTTGATCAGCCAGCCTTCAAATCTGAAGAAGGCTGCAATTGCGGCCAGCTGGTGTGCTGTCTGCTCGGCTGAATCGCTGCTGGCAAAGAGCTGTCTGCATTTCTCTGCTCCCTCCTTCCATTCTGTAATGAATGTACCAAGGACCTGGATGCCAGTCAATTTTTAGTTGCGGGAAGCCACAGAATGCCAGATGTGACTTCCCGCAGCTTGCATTGTTTTACCAAAATCAGACACCATTCTAGGCATATGCAGGGTATTAACGATGAATTGAATGCTAAGAAAGCCTTCATCAAGCAATTGCTAGTGCTTACCTGTACGCCATGCCTGTGAGCAGAGTTGATCCATGTAGGGCAGGGGATCGTCACGAAATGGTGACTAAAATATATGAAGGCATCAATGACGTGCCAGTGGGTCAAGTAGTAGGCATTGTCATCTCCACATCCCTGAGGAAAGGCATCTGAATGATAGCCATTGGCCATATCGTGACAGACCAGAAGGCGAGTAGAATCGGCAGGTCGGTGAATCTGTGTGATAAAATAAATAATGTAAGGTGTTGAGAGATTTCTACTTCTATATGCACATCAAGGGAACCATCAGATATGCTCAGAAAGGCAGCATGCATCACAGCATTAACATTTGCAAAGACGACATCAAAGTATTGATAGGCTGGATTCCGACGCACATCTTGAATACTGATACTAGCCTGGCAGTATTGATTATCTCTCAGCGCTCGTGGCGTCCAGTCAAACAGTTGATCAACTGTATCAAGAGGGGTGGATCTTGGCACTTGCATCACTGCAGCATCTTGCATTAACAGACAAGCGATCCGATTCTATCGTATATATATATATTGAACGATATTACATGCGCTTCCTGATGCAGATCGTGCGTGATCAGAGACGAGAGATACCCAGATCCAAGGTTTAGTAACCCTCATGTGGTCGACCAAGCCAAGTTGGGCTGATCACACTCTCAGAGCAAATTGAGAATACAGGCCACCAGCTACTCTATCGGAAGCGCTGTTATCAAAGCCATCTCGCGATTCAGTGGGATCGAGACACTTTTGGGCTGAATTTGTGAGTGAATCATATGCCAGTAATCTTTCAGAGAGGCTTGAAGTACTCATTGAGGCATTATTACACGGTGGTAGGTGTTGCAGGAATTTTTGGGGGTGTTTCCGTTATGCTTGCATACAAAAGTGCCAAGTGGGCGAGGAAAGAACCTGGTCTTGAAGACCACCATCGCTCACAAGCATAAGCGCAGGTATGCTGTATCCGTCGCACAATAAATGCTTGGAGCTCACTTGCCAATTAATATTTTTCTGAGAACACAATGGGGTGCTACTTATCATGCTTTTACCTGGTGAGCACCTAGTGCAGGCTCTGGTAGATATACAGGCACGAACTGCAGTTTGTGCTGTTGTGTGTACAGATGCCCACCACAAGGCGAGTGCCAAAGGCAGACAGGAGTCTGGCCTGCTTTGTACAGGCCTTGGAAGGGCTGAATGTTGTAGTAGAGCTTCACAACGATGCTGTTGTGCGAGGCATGCTGGAGTCAGCGGATGAGGGGATGAATATGATCATCAATGGGGCCACCTATGAGCCCCTACAAGGCTCAGCCCAGGCAATGGACTTCCTCTTTGTGAAGGGAGCAAGGATCAGGTAAGGGGCAGGCCGGCTTGGTGATTCGAAATGCGATCATGTGGCCAGAGAGCAGCTGATTGGGCCTGGTGCTGGGTGACTCTACTGTAGAGACTTACTACGCTTACTTGCTATGATCTTAAGCTGGCATGCATTGAGGTGCATGTGCAGATACGTGCATCTTCCTGCCAAGATGAATGCGGCCACCAGGGTGGAAGACAAGCAGAAGGAAGCGGCAGAGGCTAGAAGGTTGCATGCTTTGGAGATGGGCCAGCTGACCGCATTACCAAAGGGAGTGGATGCCCTGATCGAAGATGGAGCCATGTCAGCGGATGTCGTAGAGCACAATGTAGAAGAGGGAGCTTTCCTGGGGTAGGCCTATAGCACATGAGCCTCTCTCGACACCGTCGATTCCTCGAGGCTTCCTATATTGGTGCCAGGAAGCTCTGCTTTGTGACTTATGCAGCAGGCACCCCTCGGCCTTCTGTGACCAACAGTGGCCCTGAAGGCGCTTGGACACACAGACTTTTCTTTCCAAAGCATATATATGGTCTGGGAGACAGTGCAGACATGGAAGTGAAAGCGCAAGAGTCAGTGGATATTCCTTTAGAGGGCTGCCTTGACGTTGAGTTAGAGTGCATCAACATATTATAAACAATTGTCTGAACATTGGAGGAGAGCTTCCTCAAAATTGGTAATGAAGGCGGCGTTTCAGTTTCAAATTGATGCCCGCATTCCTCTTTCTCTGATTGGACTGCACACAACACAATTACCTACAGAGCTGCCACAAAATTGACGCGCCTCGAGGAGCTCTTTAAGACACCTCCTCTTCAGCACACTATCAACATCTTCCTAGACCTTAATGATGCTGCAACTGTACAAATGCCCGTTGGAAACAATCAGCCTGTTCTGAAGTGTTCTGTTGAGGATTTTAGGTGGGATTCAGTCATCAAGTTGATTCAACCGAGAGGGTTCATGCTGCGTTGTTCAAGCGCTGTGCTGCCTGCATTTTCCTATTCCAAAATGACTGCCTGCTCCTGTGCCTCTCTCCTTGGACCCTCTCAGCAGTTGGCGGCAGAGGTAGCAGTAGTGGCCAGCGCATGCCTGCATAGCACCGTAAAGGAGTTCAGTTGTGAACTTTGGCTTGCTCCTTTGTAATAATATGCATGTCTTGCAGTGCACTTGAAGCGCACCATGAAATATAAGTGCACCAGATCCAATTTGTAGCAATCACAACTTGTTGTGATGGCAAAAGATTTTAGGCAGCAGACTGCAGCGTCTCACCCAGCATCGCAGCAGGTTGTTGTTCAGAACTTTGGCATTCCTCTGTCCACACTGTGGGCATGGCAGCGTGCGCGCTCCCGGGTCGACATTGATCCAAAATTGATTCCTTGCCTGTGCCTGCGCTCTGCACACAGCACAGAGCATTGCTGAGGGACAGGTGCCAGAGCCAATTGGCCACAAAATATCCCTTGAGAGGCAGGTCAAGTAACAATGAAGGGTCCCTTTCCTGCTTCCACAGCATGTCACAGCATCCTACCTATGAACTTGCGCATCCCAGTCCTGCTGCCATCTCTGGACCTCCGAGTTGTCAAATAGTTTGCATCCACCCTCGCGGAAATGATCATAATCCAGAACCGCCTTGTTACACTTGTAGCAGAAGTGCCGATGACAGTTCGTGCATGTCATTTTGTTGCAGCCCTCAGTCTTCTGAATGGCCATGCCGCAGTTTGGGCACATCTTAGATGTTGCCTGCAACATGCAATCCTACTGCTTAGCAAAATCGTACTATTGTCGTCTTTAAATATAGCATGTATTTGGACAACACTCACCTGGATGTGCACAAGGCTCAAGTACTCCCCCTCACGCCGCTTCAAGTCTGCTGCTGTGTCCTTCCTCCCTGCCATGCGCTCTTGGAGCACCTTCAGCTTCAGCTCCGCGCTCATGCACTGGCACAAAAAACTTGCAAGCTCAATTTAGGCAGCTTCGGCATATACATTGTGCATATTGACATAAAAGGCAACCGCAGCAAAGTCTCAATACTTCACTTTATACGAGTCTTGTTCCAGCAGACGTAGCAGAAAGCACACTTGGGTGCCGGTGTGCCAAGAGTCGGAGCAGAGGCCACAGAAGGCATAGAGACACTTGGGGCACTGCGCGCAATTGTCACTATCCTCCACGCATGCAGCGGAGCAGCGGGGGCAGTATAGAACATCCGGCATCCTCTCCAGCGCCTGCTTCAGCTCCAGGTCCTCCCAGCGCTGAGCCAGCTCCTCAGACAGCAGGCCCCTCACATTCTGCGCACAGAAAGCAGCCATGAAGATTAATGAGATGTGTCATACAACCAGACAATCAGAGACACCTGTGGCCCTTCATATCAGATGTGTCATGCAAGAAGACAATGAAAGACGTCTGTGGCACTCCGTTTCAGATGTGTCATCCAACCAGACAATGAAAGACATTAGTGGCCCTCCATACTTGGTGTACATGAACTGGTGCAGCCATCACAGGCGCTGCTGCTTGATATGAGAACAGCTGGCAAACATCCTGCAGACGCAGGGCGGAAGGACTGAGTGAACGAACATACCTGGCGGACAAAGGGGGCTTTGCAGTCGGGTGTGGGGCAGCGCAGGTTGTCCAGGGAGCCCTCAGCAATGTGCACACTGCAGAGCTGCCCGATGCAGTCCTGGCAGAACGCATGCGCACAGCTGGACGCCCACACATGGCGCACCCCCGGCGTGTCCTCGAAGCAAATGCCACACATGTGTGACCCCTGCAGCATCCAAGTCAGCTATCATGGCTGATCTGGTAATGTGAAGCTGTCATGTGTTAAGAGCATGACATAGCATCTAAACCTCAGATAGCACAAGCAAATTTCACGGAAACAGACAAGACTTCAAGGCAAGCCTGTACCTCCTTGAAGATCTCCACATCGCGCATGGCACTGTAGCTGACCAGCTGAGCCACAAGAGGCATAAGACTATCCATGCCCCCGTCATGTGCTCCCTCTGAGACTCGAGGTCTGGGTGAGACGATGGTATCCAGCTCTGATGTGCTGGCGCTGCTGTGACCAGTCCTGCAAGCTCCTTCACTGTCCTGATCAACTGCAGCGCTCTTCCCCTTGCTAAGTTCCCCTTCCAGCTTTCCGTTCTGCTTATGATTGCTCGGGCTGCCTGGCACCCATGCAGGCGCGCTGGGACTCAGACTATTGGCTGAGCTGCTCTGTCTCACTGCTGGGCTCCCATCAAGTTCTCGCTGCCCTTCACTGCCTGACAACAGCAGGCCACCCTGAAGGCCCAGAAAAGGCAGTGCCTCATTCTGGAGCCAATCGATCCAAACAAAGCCCACTGGCAAACCAGGTCCCTGCTCCTGCCATAATCTGTCCAACTGCTGCTGCAGAGCTGCAATCTGACTAGGGCTGAGCCAGTCGCAGATCAGCTGCGCATCTGGCGGGGCTTCTTCTGGGTATTCAGCAGGGATGTCGAGATGCAATTGAAGAGGCGGCAAGTGCCTGACTTGCGCCAGAGCTGCACAGCTGCTGCTGCTGTCCTCTCTGCTGCCTGACAAATCCCCTTTCACCTGCGCCCACTCCAACGATGTAAATGTCTCCACACAAGAGCCACTACATGCTTTTCATGGATCAAGGGGCACAAGGAAGCTGTAGTGCACACCTGAACGGCGAGGCCATCTTCTGGCAGAGACACATGCACAGAGGCCATACAGCTGAGCCGGCGCCCCTGGCACCCCTTCTGTATGAGCTCATCTGCCTCTTCTGGGCTCAGTTGCAACTCAGTGTCGTCCAGCCAGCACTGGAAGTGTGGCAATATGGATTGCAATACCAGAAACTCCTCGACAGTGGCCTCCCAACTGTGAGGGGGCTGCATCCCTGTCAGGGCCAAGTCACGATCCTAAACGACCTGCAAGAAAAGCAGCCGACAGATGACTATCAAACGAAAAACACGAGCAAGAGAACTGCTGGGCACACAACGATACAACTTCATCTGTTGTGAATGCTAGGCACCTGTCAGGATATAGGGACCTCAGAGTGTGCTGCGATGGAACAAAACGAAAGACGGCCTGCTCACAATTGTTTGCACAAACGCGTGATTTCCCCTTGTCGTTTGTAGCTCACACACTGATATCACGTAAAGGGACGCGCGCCACAATCAAGATCGAGTGTCCCTCTCAGGCGCACGGAATATAAGATTAAGCGCACAGCATGAAAGTATTTAGACCTAATCTGATATTAAGGAGAGCAGATGCAGCAACTTGTGATAGTGAAAAGAGATCACCAGATCACACTACCTTGACAATTCATTAGCATCAACGTTATACCACATATATTGCGAATTCCTCAAATATACATCAAATATTGTGAGGGTGATGCAAAATATGGCGTCCAGAAAATGAAAGAGAAGCCACGATCGGTCTTGCTTTCGCCAAAGCTTCGGAAGCTTCTTGTTGGCGAAATATGCATATATATGGCTTTTGTCCTCAGAAAACGGTGGAAAACTCGTGAAAACCACAATTGTGAAGACGAGGTTGCAGTTCTGTCTGGAATCAGGGCTATGATACATGTTGGCAGCTACAATGAACGGAATTAAGGCTCTCCCTGGCTCTGCAGTTGTAAGATCACCGCATCTGGGTAGGAGCACGAGCCCATCATCCTGCAGACCAACTCGCAAGTTCAGGCCGCTATACAAGGTCCAGGGGTCTACAAGTGAAGAGAGACGTTCTCTCAAATCTTGCAGCCTTCTGGGAGGCGATGGGGGTGGAGGCAGTGGTGGAAGCAATTTTCGGTACAGTGTTTCAGGTGCAGGTTTCACCCTTGACTTCACTTGGTCATCTAAGACAACACTGTACAGCATAATATGCGAATTAGGAATTTGATGTTGTTCGATCTCTTCTTTCGAGCAGTATTGTTGCAGTTTTGACCTGCATAGATCAAGATGTTTCCATCGGCCTTTCTTGAAGTGTTGGACCTGCATGTTTTAACTCCTACATCAATTCGACACAGTGAAATTTTCGTGTAGAGGACGACGATGGTGGGGCGAGGTTCTACAAGGCATTCAACCTCATGGTTCTCTTCGCCTTCGTCTCTGGCCTCAGCCCCTCGGCAGCACACGCCCTTTCGCTGAGAAAGAAGAAGAAGAAGCCCATCAATCGGTCCATTGACCAGTATTCTGAACGTCTGGTTACGCTGGCCTGGCCTATTGCCCAAAATCTGGGCTTCAGCGGCGCAATAGGCTTCGCAACTGCATTTGCGCTCAAGGTATCAGCCTCACCCAATTCTTGGCTCTTGACTACTATTCACTGCATGTGCATCTTGAGCACTTCAGCTGATGCTTTGCTGCGGGAGTGCAGGCAGTTGGATCTGCTCTTGCCATTGCCTTCGGAGCACTTTTCGTCCTCATCCAGGCGAGCCTCTGCTTGCTATAACCCTTGCTGCAATCACACCGCTCCAATTACTATCTTGTGTTGAAAGATGTGAAACTAGAAGATATTTTTTTAATGAGTGCAGGGTGCTGCGTACCTTGGCTACATAGAGGTGAAATGGACCGAAGTGCACAAGGAGGTAATCCGCAGGCTGGATGTCAACCAGGATGGGTAAGCCCTCATGCGGAAGCATGCAGCGCAATGCCGTAAAATGAAGAGCTTGCTTGGGGGTTATATAGGGACCTTTATTGTTGTGTAAGTGCTCATCTGTCTGGCTGGTGCAGGAAATTTGACGCCAGCGACTTCAAATCTTTGGTGGCATCTGGGCTGGCGGTTCTGTCAGAGGGTGTCCCTTCTGTGGGAGGCTTCCTGGCAGGCTTTGCACTTGGGCTGAGATGAGCTTGTCAATCCTGCAAGCTTTTGCATCTGGAAGATTGTGCTGAAACCGCCATTGTGGTAGATGGCACAAAAACTCCACGGTGCTCAAAAAGCTCCCGCAGGAAATGGATGCCCCTGAATAGATACCAGGGACTGCAAACAGAGTCATGATTGGCTTGGAGACTGCAGGGTGATCTCGGTGCTTGTACACCTTTTGTTGTTTGCTTGCTGTCCTTTATAATGCATACATGCCCACCTAAGTGGGGCTGACCATATTTGCTAAGGTACTGTCCCGACCACAGTGAATGTCATTCCCGCTGGTTTTTACATATGAAGGGTCCATCTTATTAAGCGGCATGCAGTATTTTAGGTTTGCAAATCCATTTAAAGCATGCGCTCGCAGCCCACTTGCAGCTCGCTCAAGATGTAGCGTTAGTATATACAACTATGTACACTGTTGCAGCCCAACCAATGCCGAGCGTTGCAAACATTTATTGATCTTGTGCTCTACAGCAGTGCTGAGCAGCAATGTGTCTAGTGTCTATGTACAAGGGTGCCAGTCTATGTCGCTGTCTATGTACAAAACTTCTGTGCGATCATGACTAGCTATCCAGAAATAAAATTGCCGGCCTACCCATTGTGCAGAAGCATGCCTGTAAGCCATTCGTTAGAGATCCAAGGAGAGCACATATGCATGCTTCCATGCATCCTGCAGTCTCCCGGTTCACAGTGACGGATCAAAATTCTACTTCATGTGGCAGTTCCAAAATCAAATCCCCAGAACAATCGTGCGGTGTAAGCAGAGTCCGACTTAGAAGCCCTTGACATTAACCAAGGGGCGCAGCCTTGTGACGACCTCCACGAGGTCTGACTGATTCTTCATCACCTCATTCAGATTCTTGTACGCCTGCGGCGCCTCGTCCCTCACTTTCACATTCGTGTCGCACACTATGCCCTCCATCGCCTTCTGGAAGTCAGCCTGCGCCGTGCACATGTCACATGTGTCAGCACCTACCCATTTGTCCTCTAAGCTTAGAGGACTTAAGGCCAGTGCAGATGACGACCTCCTCTTGCACCATTTCCCACTGAGGATGAGCTCCAGTGCAGAGGTTCAAGATGTGCAAAACGGCCAGCAAAGCCTGAGAAGCCCACCTGGGAAATGACTTTCTTGGCGGCGGTGCGGCTCATGCGGCGGCCGGCCCCGTGGGAGCAGGAGCTCCAGGACTGGGGGTTCCCTCGTCCCCTCGTGACATAACTCCCCGTACCTGAACAGTCCCAGCCAGTTCTGCTCAGCATCAGCCGTCTGCACCACCTAAAGGTGAGTCACCCAGTCGTGCCCAGAGCCTTTGAATTGATGATGCAAGGGCGCGGCGCACCCATGCTGCCGGGAATGAGGCCCATCTGGCCCGGAGCTGCAGGGGTCGCTCCCTTCCGAGTGATATACAGATCCGCGCTGATCTTCGCACCACTTCTGGGGTCCTGCACAGCGTCATCCATCTGAGAACACTACTGGACAATATGCTCTGCTACTGTCCTGCTCTGCGGCTGGATTATTTATTCCTATTACATGCCTTCCAATCCATCAGGATCAGGTGCCACGCAGCAGCGTTTCTATGACAGCCTTCCAGCCTTCTTTATCTTGGGCTCTCCTCCACCAATTCAGAGATAGACTGCAAAATACACTTGACCCAAAGAAAAGCCCAAAGCCTGCACGGCATAACCATGACAGGAGAGTCGAAGGATTTTGGCGCACCGTGTAGTTGCAGCGCTCGCACTGGCAGAAGTTGTGGTGGATGTTGACGCTCTCATCCAGGGAGACGCTGCCCTTGGTCACGTCCTCCACAATATCGATCATGAGATCACGCATGAAGGAGCGGTTGTGCCACGCATATTCCTGGCACCACAGCATGTCCTGCGCAGGGACAGCCCCACATGTCCATTCAGGCTCCATACTGAGAACACTTAGTCCGCTCAATCTGGAGGAGCACCTGAGGAAGTGGGGCCATCATTGTTATGGCCTGCCTGAATCCCAGTCGAGCTGCAAAATCCGGGGTTGGGGAGCTCGAAATAACAGGAAGATTCCACTAATAGACACAAATACACTTGAAATTCTTCAGGCAAGGGCCCACGTGCGGACCACTTTTGGCGCTGCAATGCATGTACAAAGCACCAAAGTGGGTGACCATCCGGTTCACTCTGTCTGTGCTCCAGACACCATCTGCACCATGATGAAGCAGTGTGTGCACAGAGCAAGAAGTGGGCCACCTGCAGGTACTGCTGGCCCTCCTCGGAGTCTATCTCCAGGTAGTTGAGGTTGTGGGGGGTCGTGATGCCCCTCTGCTGCAGACCCTCCTTGGCCATCTTGTCGTAGTGCGTCGCTGTGATGTTGCCGATGTTGCGGCTGCCAGAATGCAGCATGATCCACACACGACCGGTCTCATCGTACACAACCTGTTGTGGCAATAGGTCAGCTTGGAGGGAAATCCTTGCCAGCGCCCACCTGATGATTACCCGCTAATTGCAGCAGCTTGCCATGTTCAACAGTGTGCCAAAAATACTGCGAATATACAAAGAAGTTGAAATTCAATTGAAAGTGGAGTCAGCGAGCAGCATACCTCCAAGAAGTGGTTGCCACCCCCCAGTGTCCCCAGCTGCTTGAGGACTTTGGGCGCTGACATGCTCTCCTCCACAAACTTGGAGGGCGCCCTCTTGTTGCTGATGTCGTCTATCGTTTCTTGCGCGCCATGCAATGGAATCTTGTGCATATCAAAGCCTGCCACAAGCAATTGGCATTGCAATCAATTCACTTGGAGCATACCATAATTAATAATTGCATCACACAAATACAATATCATACTGAAGCAAAGAGATGTGCAGGTGCAGCAGACCTGTGGGAACGCGCTCCTTGATGAGCTCCTGCATCTTTCTGAGCTGTTTCTTCGAGAGGCTGTCTTTGTTTATGCCGTCAAAAGGGACAGCACACATCCCGCAGCCTGTTCAGCAAATCATGACCATTTCATCACAGGATTTCAGCCGCACAGCCACCCACAGCCTGTCACAACATCAGGACAGGAGAGCACTTTTCTAGGGAGGACTCACCAATGTCGACGCCCACTGCCATGGGTGCAACATAGTTGGCAGATGCAAATACTGTACCGATCTGCGGCAACAACAGCACCACGTTTAAATGGAAAAGGAGACATGTGACCCCAAGACGTGTACAGAAGTGCCTGAACGATATTCACGATGAGGGGTGCGCACCGTGACTCCCTTGCCGACATGCACGTCTGGCATGGCCGCAACATATCCCACTGGCAGGGGTGACTCTGCCAGCGCGATTAGTTGCTGGATAGCCTCGGACTCAACCTCGCTCCGCTTTGCATATAAGAGGATCTGATGGGGCACATCAGCAATGGATTTCAATGCATGTCTCCTTCTATGCTCTGAGGCTACCCATGCCCATGGTGATCTGTTGGTCAGGAGATCAACTTGGGGACACCACGATCTCACCGGCACATTCTGGGTCTCGATGATCTCCGGAAGTCCCCGCTCCTCGTTTGTCACAACGCTTGCAAGAAAATCCCCAGATAATGTTCCCTGACTCTCTGCACTAGGACTCAAAGAGCTGCGCATTATGGGAAATGCCGGGGACTCTGATTCTGCTGTACTTAAGCGTGCAGTTTGCTGCGAGAATGGGGACAGTAATCGTGTGCATTGGGACAAAGAGCTTGCAAGTCTGCCTGACTTCGCTCTTCCAAGGAAAGTACGACCGACCTGACCCTGGATTCCGCAGAGAGATCCCATTTTTTAAAGCCAGGACCCTCAGCAATAAATTCAATTGTATGGTAGTTTGTCACATCTGAGGGACTCAGATAATAAGTTTGAGATGAGAGTCTCCCATTGCACCCTCTCCAGCTTCCCCTAGCTTCATTGGGACAGCGAGGCATTTTCGCCGCATTGACGTCATCTCGTCCAGATGGACCTTCTCGTATATGAAGCTTTCTCTTCTGTTTGCATTTAGTGTGATGCAATAGATCAGCAAGGCGTCCTGTCGTACTGTTGATGCAGCAACGTTGAGTTTAAGACATTCTGAGTCACAAGAGCACAAACGGCCCATCTGGCCACTACATGCTTTATGCAAGCTAACATTCAGCGCACTTTATTGCGTGCTGAGCGAACTTTCACTCGCTGGTTGGCAAGGCAGACTCCTGCCTATTCACTAAAAGCCTCTCCTGTCAACAGAAGAAAGCGCTCAATCCAAACCTGTACATATAGTAAGGTAAGTTGACTTATGCTACTCGATCTGAACAGCGTGACAAATTTTATCCAGGTTGTGACTTAGCTTGCTTTATTTGCAGGCATACTGCAGAGTCAGCGCTGCGTCGGGCACCTGTGAAGGGGACCTAACAGGCTTGCCTTCCTCTCAGCGGGATCTTGTGCTGAGCTACTTGGACGCTGTCTTGGAATACAATCAGCATACAAATCTTACAGGTCAGCCCGCCATGTCTCCTTGTTATAAATGGTGGCTCCTTGCAGGGCGGAAGTGTCTTCTGATACCAAGATCGCGGGGACCTAAATCTTATTGAATTGTTGTGTCTTGTGCAGCTGTCAGGGATAGAGATGAAGCTGTGCAGAAGCACATTAATGACTCTCTGGCACTTCTGCCGCCAATAGATACCGTGGCAGCAGGACTACCTGACCAAAACCTGAGGGTCATCGATGTGGGCTCTGGCGCTGGGTTTCCTGGGGTGATCATTGCGATCACAAGACCTGAGTGGCAGGTACGACACTGCATGTTATTATCAAGCCTGCTGGTACCTAGGCTACTCACCAATTCGCTGCTGAAAGATTGTCTGGTGGCCCCTTTCGAACAGGAAAGCTAGAGTGTTTGCATGGGAGCAGGTGACCGTTCTGGACTCCTTGAAGAAGAGATGTGATTTTGTAGAGGCCACTCTCCAGCGTCTTGCCATTGACAACGTGGAGGTCCTGTGGGGCCGTGCTGAGACTGCTGGGCAAGACCCAGAGCACAGAGAGAAATATCACATTGCAGTCGCCAGGGCTGTAGCAGAGATGAGGGTCCTGTCGGAATACTGCCTGCCTTTCATTCAAGAGGGTGGCGCATTCGTAGCTGCCAAGGGACCTTTCCCTGAGCAGGAAGTGGAGGATGCCCAAGCTGCCATCAGCATACTGGGTGGCAAGTTGCTGTCAATTGATCCTGTGCAGTCATACTCAGATGGTGAGAGCAAGCCCAGGACAGCAGTCACGGTGAAGAAGGTAGCACACACTCCACCTGCTTACCCACGAAGGGAAGGGAGGCCTCTCAAACGGCCCTTGTAGCAACATTCATTGACTCAGCAGCAAAATCCGTGTATTTTATGTATTCTAGGCCGCCTAGCGGCTAGCACCTAGCCCCTTCATGTCTCGCTTGCACCCAGTCTCTCCGAGCTCGAGAGTCTCTGCCCCGTGCTGTTTTTATAAATAAAAAGACTGATGGGAAACAGATGAAATCAGACATGCTGAGAGAAGGTTGAATTCAAGGGTGATGAGAAGAGGTCAAGTGTCTGGCAGGTTAAGAATGTTCTGATGAATCGAACTTTAAATTTTGAATACGGTACTCCCTCTGCGCAATTTTTGCACCCAGATGCATGACATACGTGACACAAAGTCAGATGGTCAGATGCCATAAAGAAACAGAGCGACAACACTGAGCCAGCACCTTTCCAGACATTTTGGGAGCTTTTCCAAGTAGCGCATGCGTTCATGTGTCAAGCCCAGCCACAAGTAACATTCATGTCCATCTATCCCATTACGACAGGCAAGTCATAATATCCTGAGGTCTCAGATGAGCTCCTGATGCACAGGAATGCCACAAGGGCATGAGCAGCTGCTCCTATAGTGCAGCCTTCTGCTGCAAATCACCATCTAATCTCCTAAGCCGCTCTGCTCCAGGACAGCCCGCATTACAACCTGCGTCGCCTGTGAAGACAACAGCATAATTCAGAGGTTGCACACATCAAGCCTGTCTTGACAACAGAGACTAACATGCGCATTGGGGATGCTGGTGAAGGCATGCACTGCATCTATGATGGCCAACGGTCCTCCTCTGTTAAGCAGGATATCCGCGCACCTCTGCATACCGATCACAACACCGCGCCAAGCATTGCTGCTCACTGCTTCCAAGACTGCTTGATGGTTTAGTCACGCACTTCTCAAAACACTTGTCTCTGACGGTCTGCAATCCACAGAAGTGATCAATGAAATTCCATGCATGCCAGTGGCTCCTAGTGGCAGACCCTCTTGACGTGACAGCAGGGAACACATTAGGTACACGGTGTGTGTCTGGAATCAAATCAAACATCAGGAACGAAGTCTTGAGGCAGTCTACCGTGTAAAATTCCTGAAGGTAGGCAGTCTGCAGCTCTGTTTGCAACTGTCCAGCACAGCAAGCACTTCAGCAAAATGATCGACAATTGCTGTTTTATCAAGAAGGAGAGAGGTCACAATTTATTTCAGAAAAATTTGAAAAACATCTTGTAGGAGGCAAAAGCACCTGCGAGATGACTTGGTGGTCACTGGGACTTCCCATCTCCGGATCGTGACAGGAATGCCAAATTGCCAACGCGGTCGAAGACAAGCAGGAAACGGAGACCAGAAAGACTTTGCTAAAACAGATTCGGAAAGTGCAAAAGTACTAGGAGGAGATCATTCTGCATGGGTAGCTGCAGGAGCTTGCAGGTGGGCAGAGTATAACAAGCACTCTCCTTGCACACCAGATGTTTGCCTTCTCATTTCCTATAAAGCAACTGTTTCTAAGGCATCATATTATTTATCTGAAGTGTTGGCTGATCGCCATTGTACGATTCAATAAACAACTTTTGTTGACACGCTGTGACGTGATCAGTGTCGGCCTATAGATTGTGAGGTCGTTGTTTCCCTGCCATAGCTTCACTTCATCCAACTCTCACTTTATTCAGAAAGGTGCAGCGAAAGTTTGATATTGCTGAAGACTTTCAGGATTGCTTCTGTTAGGCAGCCCAAGTTTCCAGGATCTAGCTTTCCTACTCAGAACGTTTTGTCCATACAGTACAATGGCAGAGACAGCAGTGCATTTCATGAAACAGCGCAAAGCTGCACTCAGTGCGCACATGGACTCCGTGCAGAATGCCATCGACGATCTCACTGGAGCCCACAAACTCACAGATGCCGAGGCAGAGTGTCTGGTCCAACTGGCAGGGGAGCAAGCAATCAAGCTGCTCAAGTCCCAATTGGAAGCCTGGGAATCCCTTCTTCGCAAAGACAAGGATTTTGCGGTGAGACTAGGCCACCTGCACAAAGTACGATTGTCACTTCTTGTTCCAGGCTTTTGCCATATTATATATGCCTCTTACAGGGCTGAAACAATACGTGCATGCCCTCCAGGACACTCAGGAAAGTGAGACGTTGACGTCAACGCCTCAGATCTCTGATGAGGCACGTCGCAGCAACGCAAGGTCCAAGTAAGTACATCTTGTGGACCTGCAAATATTTCCCATTCTACATGCAGAAGGGGTGGAACACAAACTCAGGGGAACACAAAACTGTTTCACTTGCGCATTGCTGTCGACAGGCTTGCTGCGATGGGTGGTCAACCGGTGCTAGGAGGGGCCTTCCTTTTGCCAGAAGGGGAGCTGCTGCAGCGCCGCCAGCAGCTAGCTTCCACCAGCAGTCCGGCTGCACAGGAGATGGCTCGCCTGCGTGCCACCTCCCTGGACAGCCGCATGGCCCCTGCACCATCCCCTATGCAGAGCCCTCCCTGGCTGGTGCGCGCTACGTCTCTAACTCTGAAGCAATGTGTTTTGACAGCGGGCGCAGTCAGCAAGCTTGGCCAATATTTCCTCCCTGCCACCTGAAATGCTAGCGACTTACTGCCCCAGAAGGAGGGCACTTGCGCCGCAGGGCCACACCTTGGCTCTGAATGCTGATGTGTACTTTGCAGATGCGCAAGGAGCAACGAACTGGCCAAGCTTCACCATCTCCTCCCATGGGCATGTCAGAGGACATTGCTGTGTCTTCTTAGGATCTGGAGCTGGCAATATGACCCCGGGCTTAGGAGTACGCTGAGGGATGGATCTGAAATAATCTGGATTAGTTTCTTATAATGCATTGAAATAAGCATGTTATAGCTGCTGCTGAAAAGCAGTTCAGAGATTTGTATGCGGAATTCTTTGCAGCAGGCAGGCATTAACATGCCTGATTGCTAGGATTTTACTGTTAGTATAACGGGTGCGGGCCCTGGCTGGCGGGGGCCGTTAAAACTACTGAGCACGGTTGATGGGGTCTTGCTTGGATCTGGCGATTCCATCGAGGGGTAGGACACGTGGCAGCCTGTGCCATGCACCTTGTCTGCACCTTGTACGCACCTTGCCTCTGGCAGGAAAAGTGTGTAATAATAATAACAAAAAAATGCCTGATGCTGGTAGACGCTCTGGAGGACTGGTTTGTCTCCGCATATGCCGTGAAGCACCGTTTTATGTCAACACGCCCTTGGGCGCACTAGGGAAGCTTATATGCATGGACAGCTTCCGTTTCAACAAATTGCCTGTTACCATAAGCTTTGCAATGGCCATTTGAATAGGATGGTTGCTTTTATGACTGCATTTCCTTGCAAAAACTGTTTTAAAACTTCCTCCGTCACTCATGCAAAAGAAATATTGCCTTTTTTTCCCCGGCAAGACTGCCCCAACTGAAAGTCCTGAAGCAAAGCGAAACTAGTGGTAAATCAGCATTTCGTTCCAAGGATGTTCCAAGTTTATTTCTTCCGCTGTCCTTTCCAGGCTGGCAACAGCACTGATCAGCAACTGCTCATGAGCAAGCTGTAGCTCTGACATGCGCAAGGATTTGCTGCTGCTGTGTCTTACTATACACATGCTTGTTCCCGGCCCGGTCCGGGACATGGTCCCGACCTGAATATAGGCCTGACAACCAGCTGCACTGCAAAATCTTGACTGGTTGATCAACTCCACCTTTCTCACATCTGCTAGCAAGCGGTCTTTGACAAAGCTTTAAATTCAATTAGCGACTGCTCTGATACCCAAATGGCTCTGGCACGTAGCTCCGTATCAAACCTACTTCATGCGGCGGCCAGACCTGCACGCACAGAACGATCACCATCTTTAAGTTTGCTGCTGCCTTTGCAATGCAACAGCAGCTTGCCGTGGCTGACGAGAACGCTCTGCTTACCTTCAAGAATGCACGGCCTTTGATCAGAGCATAAGGCACCGGTCCATAATGCCTCGAGTCGGTGGAGTTCAGCGTATTGTCCCCTTGCAACCAGACATGGCCGCGCGGCACCTGTGCAAGAGCCCATCCTTGAGCTAACTCTGTTCTCTTATTTAAAATGGCCATTGCCTTGCAGCCAGGGCAATTGGCAGGTGAAGAGGTGCAAGCAGACACTAACCTTGACCATGCGGCCTTCCCCAAGGTGTGTGCTTGGGGCCACACGTACTTCGTCCCCTTCAAGCCCCAGCACTCGCTTGCAGACTATCTGCTTTGGATTCTGTAGACTCCTTGCTAGAACTACATCTCCTGAAGCACAGCTTCTGGTCAGTTTATGCAATTTGGTATGCTATGCTATTTGGAACTGTGATTGTCATGAACAGGGCCATGCAGATAATCATACCCACACGGACGTGTCCAAAGGTGGTCGTGATGTGCTCCAGCAACAGGACATCTCCTCTAGTGTTGAAGGTGGGCAACATGCTGGGTCCCATGCACTGAGAACAGAAGACCATCATTTTTCCTTGATGACACCAAAGCATGCAGTGCACATTGAAAATTTTGAGATCATTTTGTCTTCGCTCACCACTGATAATTCGATGCAATATTCACGTACAAAGTAAACGAAGCCTGCAGCCTGTATCAAGGTCTTGCCCTTGTCTGCGAGGTCTGCCAGCAACACACTGAGCTTGTATTTTTGCCAGACCTGACCCTTAGTGAACCAGTGGGTCATCAGGACCCCTGCAAGCGTTCAGAAAACTAAACAAAATGAAATTTCCGTCACCATCTCATATATATGTACGACGTGTCAGACTTCGGGCAGGTATGAACGCATGAAATCAAGGTTAGAGGTGAACAATTCTCAAACGATAGGCAGATCATGTGTACTGTGTGTGTTCCAGGTCTGGTGTGGCCTTGAGAAAGCAATTGTGCATGCATCAAGCATGCATGTGCATGCAAGTGCCAGCACATGGTGATCAAGGACCTCCTGTGGCTGGCTTCTGTGTGTTGTTCCACTGCAATTTAAGAGCACACTCTATGTTATCTGGTTTGTGAAGAGTATTGAGTAGCTTGTGGTGGAAGTAGCTTCTTGTAGCTTGTAGCTTCTCTCTAGATGCTGATGCAATGGGAAGAGGTGAGACGCAGCAGCAAGTCGAGCGTAGAGCGAAGAAGATATCAGAGGATATGTGCGCCAGCTACTACACCGCGTCACTGAAATGTAAGGATCCTGCATTCAAGGGCGCACGCTTGACTCCAACAGTTCTATTCAGCTGGCGTCCCACGTCATGAAGCTGTTTGGTTTGTAGGCCTGGAGAAGAACGGATACGATAAGTCTAAATGTCAGCAACAATTCGATGAATACGTAGATTGCAAAAAAAGAGAGGTCGGTCTTATTGATCAATGGTCTTTTGCACACCTGGCTGCACACCCTATCACAGGTTCCCTGCCAGATCTTATCAAGCGTGCACTTTCTCAAGTCTGATCTGGATGCATGCAGTCAGACAGCAGATTACAGCGAAGGATAGAGAAGCAAGAACAGAGGCGCAAGTGAAGACCTAGCTGCAATGCTTCCACTGATGGGCCGAAGGCGGGCTCTGTGCAGCTTGGCATCTCAGCTGTCTGAAGGAACGTTTCCAAGGGAGGTCCTCGGGCGCTCAGCGGATCACGAAGCTGCTACTCCTGTGGCAGTGCTAGTCGATAAATTGCAGCATGCTGCCCGGACAGTGCATGTCCTTGTGGGGCCGGCAGTGCAGAGTCATGGGAAGTGCCTGGCGGCAGAACAGATGCAGCCCTTGCAGCAAGGCCAGAAGTATAAGCCAGCTCAGCCAAAGCACAGTCAGGCTCCAGTATCGGTAACACTGCCATCCATCAGCCGGCGCAGTGCGCTACTGCATGTGAACGGGTCGCCTGTGCAACTCAGCGCCATTCGTTTGGCACACAGCTCCGCAAGCTCAGACACAAGACCACAACCAGGTCCACATCGCAGCCCTCAAGATAGCCGTCCCTTCCACCGGAGTGATCCTCATGCTCACAGGCCCCCCAGTGGACCCATTGGCCCGGTGCGGCACAGCAGCAATGACGGCAGCAGTGACCTTGACTGGCAGAGCACAAGGCAGGAGCCAGCCGGCAGCCCTGACAGGCATCTTTACGACAGCGCCGCTGCCTGGGGCCTAGGTCCAAGTCCGGGCCAGCCAGAGAGTGGGCAGGACAATCAGCGAGGCAGTCAGCAGAACCGGGTCCAGCGCAGCAATCTAGGCAGAGCCGGCCCCCAGAGCATGCAAGGGAATGGCTCGGAGGCACGGACACCGCCAACCGGATACCAGCGCTCAAGCCCACCCAACCAGCGCTCTGACTGGTGGCAGCCGCCCCCACCTCAGCAGGCTCGCAGCTCACCAGGTGCGAGCCCCTTGCCATCATGCCTGCTCTCTCCTAGATACTCCCTTTTAAAGGTTGCCGTGTTTATGAAATCAACACTGTGGCTGACAAGGTGTTTACTGCAGGTCCGCCCTTGCAGAGGGCGCCGTTGCAGCCGCTCAACAGGGATCCCTTTCCTGCACCGCCGCCGCCGCCCACTGTACCGTTGCTGCCGGACGAAACAGAGATCCGGCTGGTCCGCGAGGACAAGTCCCACGAGGTGTGTGCAACGCAGCAAGCTACAACCTCACATTCAACTTGTATTGCTGCTGCAATTTTCTGGGTCCAAATGTGCCTCAAGACACTCCAAAGTTGTTTGTATGGTCCAAAGGGAGGGATGATCCCAATGCACTGCCAAGCTGCAGGCGTGCATGAAGTGCATGTCTGGTGCGCGCAGGTGTTGACATACAGGAGGGCTGTGAGGGAGGCGCAGAGGGCGGGGCTGGATCTGATCGGTGTGGCGCTGACGGCGCAGCCGCCGGTGTTCCGGCTGGGCAACGCTGACAAGGCGGCCCACGCGGCGCGCCAGCGCGAGAAGGATCTGCGCCGCAAGGAGGTGGAGACGCGCAGGAAGCACACCGTCAAAGAAGTGGGCTCCTGCCCTGATCCCCCTGTGCCATCGCCTATGCATGCATGTTTGCTCCCTTGTGGTCGCGTTGAGAAATTTTGAAAGCGGACGTGTGCTTCCATGCTAACAGGACTACGTTTCTGCTCCTGGGCCTGGGAGGAGTTTGTGTTCTGTTGATGCACCCTGTTATACCTGCAGAGAGCCCTTCCTCCAATCATTGGCGCTCGCTCTGTCCTCGTGTCAGCATTGTATCTTAGCTTCTTTCAATGGCATTGGCAGAGTGGGTGGCAGCAGGGTTTATAGACTAGAGGTGGTGGGTGTGCAGGTGCGCATAGGGCCCACAGTGGCAGAGCACGATCTGCAGGTGAAGCTGAAGCAGGCGCGGGGGTTTGTGGAAAAGAACCACCGCGTCAAGCTGTTTGTGCCGTACCGTATGCAGCAGAGGCAGGATGCATTTGTCATGCTTGGTCGGCTGCGCGAGCTGGGCAGCGAGTTTGCAGCCGTTGCCAACCCTGCTGAAAACGAGCGGCTCGCTCGCAACACCTTTGCTATCTTCTTGTCACCCAAGTAGGCCTTGCGCCATGATTTTCTTTTGCTGATGCTTTTGAGCCAAAATAGCCTGCCATTTCGGCTTAAATTCCTGCTGCCGTTGCCTCTGGGCATTGGACCTGGGTGGCATTTCGTCATGTAGCTTTCAGTACTACCAGTATGCTTGTTGAGCAATACTCACTATTGTTCCTGATGCTGGCAAAGTGAGAGGAGGACACTCTGCTGTAGCAGCTGGTGCTCGTGAATGCTACTGGGAGCCTGCCGGGGACTTTTTTTGAATGGACACCTGATCAGATCATGATCATGATATTCTTTATTGGCCGAGCGGCCCTGTTTTCGCTTTGATTATCTATATGGTTAAGTAAGCCTATTGCTCATCTATAATCATGATCATGATATTTTAGACCCAAGTCACGCCGCACAGATCACTTTTGGGCTTGAATTTGAGCGATATTGATTATTCAATTACGGTCACCGGTATAGCTATACCGGTGACCGTACTAGTTGCACTATAGTGCAACTAGTTCTTGCGGTTGAACTCACCTCAGGTTAAGGCTAGCTCAAGATTGCGCATTAATGCGTATGCGTATGGGTCAGTGACATGGCACATGCATCTTGACCTGATCATGTGAGATTCAATCCCTACATCCGTTCTTAATTCTTAGTTCAAGTTTTCTGGAGATGGACTGTGGAAGCTGTAGGAAGCTGCGCTAACGAGGGGACCCTGAGCGTTCAGCCTCTTTCATCCTTCCATCATATTACTTCCCATCCAAGCTAATCGAAGTCGGAATCGGAACTGTGTTACAAAAATTTTTCAGTGAGCTCGAATTGATATTATCCATTTTTTTGGGCGAGTGCCTACTTCAATGCGACAGCAATGTTTCCAGCATTGCGACGTGTTTCAGCAGCAACCTTAGCTGGGTTCTCATGTTATCATCTCTGTCTATCGCCAGCATATTACAGCGCGGCAGATACCTCATGCGAAGGAGCTGTGCCAGGTAAAGCTGCCGTTGGCACTGTCCAGGGAAGATGTGTTACAATGCATTTTTCGCATCTACAGATTCTTGAATGTTGTACAGGCAAAGTCCTTCAGGGGCTTGCTTCGCCTTCTGAGCCTTCTTGGTTGGCATGGGGACGGAGCCTCCTTGGAGTGTCTCAGACTAGTTCCCTGGAAGTCCCCACAGTGCTGCCCACCGACAAGCTTACTTGCAAGAGAAGGAATCATCAGCCTGGCACCACGTACAAGCCAGTAGTACTGCTTTCCTGTGGCAGTTTCAACCCTCCTACCTACGCTCACCTGCGCATGTTCGAGCTCGCTGCTCAGGAGCTCACAAAGGTGCCGCAGGCCCGATTTCAAAGGCACCTGATTAATGCCGTCATCAGAAGTGGCGGGCCACCCATTGATGCTGGTATCAGCCTGCACCTTCTGAAGCAGAGCATGCAAGTGGCAATAAGGTCTGTGATGTGCATTGCAGGCAGGGTACGATGTGCTGGGCGGCTATATGTCCCCTGTACACGATGCATACAGCAAGAAGGGGCTCGCGCCAGCTGAGCACCGCGTGGCGATGTGTGAGCTTGCAGCGGGTGCATCTCCCTTGATCATGGTTGACTCCTGGGAAGCAGCCCAGAAGCAGTACCAGTACAGCCTGCATGTCCTGCAGCACCTGGAGCGAGCAGTCAATGATGCGTGCTCCCCCAGCTCAGGTGCAGTTCCTCATAGCCAGACAGATGCAAGCCATGACTTGCGTGCTACCTGCAGTGATTGTATTCAATGCAAGAATCATGATGGGGAGAAGCAGACACCATACTGTGCTGGGAGCAGGGCGCAGCACGGAGAGGGAGGAAGTTGCATCGACGGCTGACAGGCCAGATGCTGAAAGTCTAGATGCAAGGCACACGAGGGTGCGCAGCATGCTGCTGTGCGGAGCAGACATGGTTGAGAGCCTGACAGTGCCAGGCGTGTGGCGACCTGAGCACGTCAGACACATCCTGCAAGACCACGGTCTTGTCTGTATAGGCAGGTGTGTGATGTGTCTGAAATGCTGCTGCTGTAAGTCAGCATGCTCTGTGCTTGTCATACAACATCGTGATTTCTCGGCGCTGCAAGTTAGCTTGCTTTGTGTGTGTGTGGGAGAGCTTTTGTTCACGCGAACATTGCTGCCTTGGGGAGCGCAGGATACACTCGGATGTGAGGCGGCTCATGGAGGGTTCTGGCAGTGTTCTCCATGAATTCGCGCACAATATAGTACTGGTGGAGGATCCCATAGTCAATGAGATCAGCTCCACAAAGATCCGCTCTGAGATGTGCCAGGTGTGTCCCCTATTCTTAATTATCCTTAGAAATCAAATAGGAATGCCAGAGATACCGGAGCGATGTATCATTCTGTGGTTTCTCTTTACTCAACTGATTGGAAGAGCGACTGTGTCATGGTGTGTGCAGGGACACACTGTTCGCTATTTACTGCCCGACGCAGTTGTTGATTACATCCAGAAGAATGAACTGTATTGTTCTATGTGATCGCAAGCTGCATGGCCTTTCTCATGTTGCAGCCATGCTTTCTCTGTCCTGCAAGCCAGAAAATCTTCTGGTGGTCGCGAGAAATCGGGACACCTTATAAGCTCAATCAAGTGCCACAGCGTCAATTGCTCCTTTGTTTAGGAAACTACCGTAGCTAGTAAATGTGCCACCTTGTGAATCAATTGTAAGATGTTTGCTGCGCCTACAGTGCTACGGCCCACTGTGACATGTAAGAGTTAGAACTGATGAGATTGCTTCGCACTAGTGTACAAAGGCCTGATCAACGAGACCAGGCCTTTCACTTGGTAACTCTCAGACCTTCATGTCGCCACACCCTGCATCACAAAAGCAAAGATGCCTCAGTGCATGCTTAAGACACATACTCAGCCGCAACATTATCTCCAGGAAGCACAGTTCCCACCAGTGCTTTTGGATAAATTCCCTGTTCAGCTTTTCCCAATAGCAGAGGCAGGCATGGACAGTCACGGCTGCTCCATCTCACCTGTGCCTCTGCTGCTTCTTTTGGCTGGGCTGATGACCAGTCGTACCACCTCCTTAGCTGATTGAGCTGCACGGTCTCATTGGCAGCGTGGCAAGCCATGAGAAGGTAATTCCGAGGATTGATAGCCCAGGCAAAGCGCATGAACAGAGCGCTATACACGCACATCACTGCACAGCACACGTTTGTGAGCAGTTCTTAGTTCTGACATGCTACAATGAGCTCTCATACAGACTTGGGCAGGACAACTAATTTGCTTCACATCAAGGCCTGAAACCCACCTCCTGTCATGTTGGGGGATATGACCGATGGTGACTTCTGGGAGTCAGAGAGACCCTGTAGATATAAGCATATCATTAACGTGTTCTCATTCGACGAAAGCCAGATACAAATTTTCCAGATCACAATATAAATGCCTGGCGTTTTCGAGGGTTTCAGGCATGCTGGATCGACACACGGACTAAAAGAGAAGTGCTGAATTTCTTTAGAGCAACGGATGCTATATATACAAGTGAAACCTTTCCTCTGGGATGCTGATGGCCTGGTGAAACTATGATACTCACCGCAAGGACAAACCCCCAGTTGGCGACAGGACCCCAGAAGTGGGTGGTCTTTGGGCCTGTGGGAGAGTTTATGAAGGCCTTTGCAGCGGGAAGCAATCCCGTTACCTCCTTCGCAGCCATGCCTGGATAGTACTGTTTCTCTTGATACCGGTTAAATGCAGCTGCAACGTTCGAAAGGCTGCTGTTAACAGATCGAACTCCGCAGCACGACAGTGCTATCGAAAGAATAGATGGTGGACGATATGAAAAGATCGAGCAGGTCTTCTGAAGTCAAGTGGGATTCAACCTAGCCAGAGCACGTGTGCTGCACCCTGCATGCACGGGGCAGCATGCTGTTCGAGAGTCACCCTATCCTGGAAGCTCCAGACGTTGATTGCCTGCATGCTTATATTAGTCCACTAGGCGGCATTGTCAGCTTTAAAGGTGAGTGCACCTAAAATTGTACTCTCACCGCTTGTGCATGCGCATGACGGTGTACCCACTGGGAGGCTGGTCACTGTAATCACTGGTGGCCTCTCCGAGTCACTGCAGCAGTGATTAATTGGTCACCTATGGTAGGCTCAGCTGTCTCGAACTATTACATGTGTCCTGCCGTGTATCATGTGCGCTTGATCACACAAAGTTTTGGCCTGGCCTGGACCATGGTCTGGGGTCCAGACTCTGGACTCCATGGATGAAGTTTCAGGGGAAAGTGCCCACACCGCTATGCCAATCATTCCAGGATAACTCATGCCGAGGTCATTGAACACGCTTGCATGGGCCGTTTCCTACCGCCGGCCACTTTAAACTTCCAAAACAAGAGAGGCCACATGCTGGAAACCTCAGCAGTCAGTCCGCACATGTCACAAAGGTAAGACCAACAGCTTGGGAATGCACTTTCTCAAAGCACAGCAAAACTGACTAGGCCAGAAGAGTCTGGGAAATGAGTCAGATGTTAGATTTTGGGGCATTGAAAGCATGCACATTCCCACTCTCCACACCAGCAAAAGGGTCCAGCGTCACATTGATCAGGGCGGGTCGCATGGCTGCAAAGGAGATACGGCATGCCGCGGCCAGCTGAGCAGAGCTGTTCACCAAAAACGCATCCCCACCAAACGCATCCATGATTGCATCATACCTGCACATGCATAATACCTTCGACAACAGCACTCATCACTCTGCATGCCTGTCTGCAGCTGCACAGAATTTCAAGCATGCAGCTGCAAGTGCAAGGTAGACCACTGCATAGAGAGGTGAGCACCTCGCATCTGGCACAAAGGCGGTCGGCACCGGGTCGGCCGCAAAACCGGCATCGGCAGCGCCCGAGGTGGCCGCTTGCTGCAGCGCGCTCGGCCGCCGGTCACCACCATAGATGCCGCCGTTGTTCAACACTATGACCACCACCGGCAACTTGTACCTGCGCATACAGGAGCAGTGTCAAGATCCGTTTTTGTATTATTGATGCACTTTGTCACACCTGCAAGGCAGCTCGTTCGCCCCCTTTTGCGCTCGCTCGATTTTTCGTTTTGCATGCCCTCTCGAAATTAATTACACTGACACCAAACAAACAAGCTGGATAGCAAGTTTAACACAGCAGTGGCCTATCAGATTGGGAGGTCCAAGAGCTCGAAGGGGCTGACCTGGCGATGGTTTCGCACTCCATGCCAGAGAAGCCAAAGGCCGAGTCGCCCTCGACAGCCACAACCAGCCGCCCCGGTCGCGTGGTGGCTGCTGCCACTGCATAGCCCAGGCCCACGCCCATCGTGCCCCATGTGGCTGCATCGAGCCGCAACCGTCCCTCCATCGCCGGCTCCAATATCACCCTGTAGCACCACAGGCAGCCCACTCCACACGCTCATCCTCACAATCCTGTTCATGGTGCGCCTTGACTTGCTCCTTGCTGCGCAGCATGCTTGAGGTTTTTTCTTCTGATCAAATGATCATGACCACCCCTCAACATGCAATCATTGACGATCATAGTATCACATTATGGTGCAAATGGTGACAGTGAAAAAGTGGCGATAATTTGTTCATTACTAGGGGTCAGGGCAGCACCGGGCGTTGTCCATGGTGTTGGCGCCCTCAGAAATGACGATGGGAGCAGGTGACACCGCCAGCAGCGCGTCCCGGATCACCCGCAGCGTTGTGCTGTAGTCCAGGGGGAACGCGTCCGCAGACAGCCGCGCCTCCAGCTTCAGCTTGGCCGCCCGCGCCTGCAATGTTTAAACTGCAGGAATCTGTGCAAGAGCAAATGTACATGCACCTGAAGCGCATGCCACGCCAGGAATGTCCACACCGGGGCTGCTGATTCCATATATCCATCGGCCATGGAATGACATGGCTGGTGCTTGCCATCTTGCCATCAGAAAACCAAGCACCAGCGTTCAGCAAAGAGTATGTATGCTGCATGCATGGTGGCACTCCGTCCTTACCTTGCTGCCGAGCTGGTCTTGCCAGGCCTGGGTGCGAGCGCTGTCCACGCCAGAAAGAGACCGTTCAAGCTGCTGCGCGACTGCGGCAGCGTCCCCGCGCAGAACCACCTCGGCCTTGTCTGCATCCCGCTGCGATGGCTCCACATCTACCAGGATGAAGCGCACCCCCGCCGCCCACTTTGGAGGGTCCCCAAAGTGGAGCTGCCAATTCAACCTACAGCCGCAAAAGATGGTCGATACAAGATCATCAAGGATAGAGGCTTCATGCTGGGCAAACACCCAGCTGCAAATTTCAAAACGTCCCTTGGGCTTGTCCTTGTCCAGCTGGTTCACCTCTAAGGTGGAGCTCACTCCCAGTTGCCCGTCCAAAATACCAGGGCTTAAAGAGTGATACAGTACATTGCAACAATAGCAGGTCACTTGCAGAGTAGCAGTAAACCTTTGAGAGTGAATCACCTGGCACCAAAGATGATGGCGACGTCTGCTTGGGCCAGTGCGAGGGAGCGAGCAGCGTTGGCGTTGCCGGGCGCATTGTCTGGGACCACCCCGCGGCCCATCGCGGTCGCCAAAAAGGGTAGCTGCGCAGCTGCCACGAAGCTGCGCAGCGCCGCGTCCGCCTGAGAGTACGCCGCGCCCTTGCCGATCACCACAAGCGGCCTGTGCACCCTTACTCAGCTAGCAAAATGCAGACCGCTGCCAACAGAACTGCACATTCAAATTTTCAGCAAATTCATGCAGACCACTGAGGGACACAGTAGAGGTCAAGGCAGTGTGTGTGTGTGTGTGTGTGTGTGTGTGTGTGTGTGTGTGTGTGTGTGTGTGTGTGTGTGTGTGTGTGTGTGTGTGTGTGTGTGTGTGTGTGTGTGTGTGTGTGTGTGTGCACACCTCTGTGCTTGTTGCAGGAGCCTGACCGCGCGCTGCACATCACGCTCTGCTGCACATGGCCGGTCAGCCAATGAGCTCGCTACTGGTTGGCTGGTAGCATCAGGAACCTGCACCAATTACAGCCAACATCATCTTCCACACTTGCCGGTGGATGCGTAGAGGCATGCAACAGGTAGCTGCACGGCATGGGAGTGTATGCAGGTGCAGCCGCCGCCTGTGCCAGTGCTGCCTGTGCCAAATTTGGCTGCAAAAGTACACCTGTGTGAAGCTGCTGTAGAAGCTGCCAAGTCTAATACTCAGAGAGGCTGCTCACCTCAGAGGGGCCGGCGAGAGCCATGAGGACGTCGGAGGGAATGTCCACGTAGACGGCGCCGGGGCGGCCGGTGATGGCCGCCTTGATGGCAGCGGAGATGAGGGGCGCGATGTCGCGGACACAGCGCGCTCGGCCAGCGTATTTGGTGAAGCGCTGCACCGCCGCCACCTGGTCCAGCTCCTGAAACGCCCCCTTGCCCACCTCACCCTGCGCAACCCCATACAGCTCTTCACAAAGCGTGTAGTGAGTTATGTGAAATAGCCTCAGGGAGGCAGATCAGATGCCCCAGCCGTGTCCGCCAGCGCCCACCAATGGCTGAGCAGGAGGACAACCGCTGCAGCGCTAGCCTTGACACCCTGAGTTCAACGCCACAAAACAAAGCTGCAAACATCATGGTTGGAGAAGAACTGGACTCGAAAAGTGCTTGTCCTCACAGGCAAAGAATGCACCTGCAGATGCTGGGCTGGTGAAGGGAAAGGGAAGGGGCAGAGGAGAGGGGGGCACCTGCTCAGCGGAGCCGGAGATCATGAGCATGGGCCAAGTGTTGACTTGGGCGTGTGAGAGCCCAGCTATGCCGTGCACCGCGCCGGGCCCCGACACAGTCAGCAACACGCCCGGCACACCCGTCAGGAAGCCGGCCGCCGCCGCCGCGTAGCCGGCCGCCTGCTCGTTCCTGAATCCCACAAAACGGATGCCAGCCGCCTGTGACGCAGAACCCAGTCAACACCCAAGCTCGGCAGACCACGTCCACAGCATTGGAGCAAGGCCCTAACGAATTTTGTTGAATATTCTGGCACCGCGCATAGCGATGCTCCTCTCTGCCGCAACGCCGCCAGAGAGTTCCTCTGCTTCAACCACTGCCTGGTCAGATTCCCCGTGCATAAGCATCAAGGAGTCTTAACCAAGGAGACCAATGGTTGGTGCAGGTAACGTCCTGGCCGACATAGCGGCTCAAGAAAGCGTTCCCATACGCGGTGGCAGGGGAGCTACCACTTCAGTGTGCCACAAGCCCAAAGGCAAATTCCCTGCCAAGGCCACAGCTGCACAGATCCGCTCCGTCACCTGACCAGATCTCAATTGCTGCCCTGCTGTTTCCGCAGTGTCTCATGGAAATGCTCTCATGGAAATGCTCCGAAGTGGCAACCCCTCGCATGCAGCAGTGCTTCTTAAACAGGAATCAAGAAACTAGCAGGAGTTGAAGTCGATTGAAACGTGGGAAGAGCACCTGCGCGGCTGAGGCCAGCTCGGTGACTGGGATGCCAATAACGCCGTACATGCAGCGGATGCCCAGTTGGGCCAGTGCGCGCGCAACCACCGTATAGCCATTCGCGGCCGCCTCTGCTGAGCCGCCGCTAATGCTGCTGCTGGCCCCTGTGGAGAAATTTACACTCGTTCCGATCTCCGTCAATCCCTTGAAGAATTCCTCTCCAAAATGAGGATCCCATGCATGGTGCTGACTGCAGATCATTACACCGACAGATTGATATCATACATACTCTCCTGCAAGCACGTTGCATGCATTGCCACGGCCTACTACTTCTACAATAAATTGCTGACAATCGCCGAACCACTGCACAAAGAGGTGCTGCGGCCCACTTGTCTGTCTACACATCTCGGAAAATTTTACTTCTTTTAGACCACTGTACATGACACTGTCAGGCCCTCGCTCAACTTCAACATTTTAAGGCAGTTTCTGCTCATGATGCCTCGGAATCTGATAGTTGTTCCTTTTTCCACCTCACGTGTTCCTCCCAGTCGCAACTCACGATCGGACAAATACTTCAAAGGCCAGCCCTCTCGCTCCCTTTCACAGCTTGGAGTGGAAGAGCGGCTTGCCTGAGGCGGTGTCCTTCCTCTCCACGCCGCCCTCAAGCTTGCCGCCCCCCTTGCCTCCTTTGCCAATGAAGTGGCCCACCATGTGGCGCCGCTGTATCTTGCCAGTGGCACCCTTCGGCAACTTGTCTGTGATGAAGATCTGCTCTGGCACCTGCATTGCAGCAAACTTGCTGACATCAGCACAATCATGATATTCAGGTGCTATCATTCTTCTTACTTCTATTTTCAGGGCACTGCTTCTCCTTTGCAGGTACTGCATGCAAAGCTCATAGGCTAGTTGGAATGAAGAATACCTTGAATTTGGCCAGCTTGGTTGCAGCAAATTTCCTGATGTCGGCAATGACTGCAGCCTCGTCGTCTGCAGGCTTTGACAGCACCACGCCGGCCGCCACAACCTCGCCATACTTCTCATCCGGTGCCCCAAAGGACACTGCCTCGTTCACCAGTGGGTGGCCCAGCAGCGCACTGTCAACCTGCACCGTGCATGCATGTCAGAGGTTTCAACAGGTGCACTTACGATTGCTCAGCTGTTTTAAATCTTAGGAGCTGAGCCTGGACGAATGGAGCCAGGCATTACTCCCACCAGTGGCAGCAAATCCTGGCTCAGGTATTGCAACCAAAAGGGACAGGCACTGCATGAAGGATGCAACGTCATTGACAGTGTCTGACCTCAAGAGGAGAGATCTTCTCTCCGCCCCTGTTGATGAGCTCCTTGAGGCGGCCGGTCAGTGTCAGGAAGCCATCCTCATCCAGGAAGCCCTGGTCGCCCGTGTGAAACCAGCCGCCTGCCCAACACATCACAAGCACGATCTCAATCATTTCCTTTTCTTTTTTCTTTTTTTCTTGTTCCTTAAAGTCAGAGCCTGCTGGTAGCACTCCTGCTCATCAAACAAGCACAGCTCAGACCGCTCCTCAAAGGAGCGGCCTCTTCAGCCTTTCTGCCTGTGCACAGACCTCCACTACTTGCTATATCCTGTCAAGCCTCTTGCCTTGAGTTTATAAGTCCAGGAATAGCTAGGCAGCAGCAGAGTGAACGCGATGCAAGGAGGAGTGTATTGGCCTCACCTGCGTAGGCCTCCTGGTTGGCATTGGGGTTGTTGATGTACCCCTTGGTCACATTGGGCCCCAGGATGCACACCTCCCCAATCTGTCCCACGGGCAGCTGCCGGTTTTGGTCATCCAGGATGGTCACTTGGACGCTGCCCTGCGCGCGGCCCACCGTGCCGGCCTTGTGGGGGCCGTTCTTGGGCAGCGGATTGGACGTCATCTGATGCGACGCCTCTGTCATTGCGTACGCCTGCGCAGCAGAGCTCGCAGTTCAATTCAATACTTTCCTGTATCTTTCTTTCTTCTGCAAGGTAGGTGACTGGCATACTTCAAAGCTGATGACTGTCAGCGTAGCGCTTCCCAACAGCAAGAGGCCACCTGCGCAACTCACACAATAAGTGGCAGCATCGCCTACTGGCTGGCCTCGGTGGAAAAGGGGGTTGAAATGGGGGAGGAATTGACCTCCAGGACTGGGACGTGGAAGGTGGCCTCCAGCTTGTGCAGGGTGGGGGCAGCGAGCGAGGAGGAGCAGCTGCGGATGAAGCGCAGCGGCGGAGGGCTGTTCGCTGGGTAGTCCTTCTCCGCCCTCGCGAGCAGAATCTGCCAGGCAACAATTCACATCGGAGTCACTCATTATTATTAATTTATACACGCTTTTCCTGCCAAGAGGCAAGGTGCATCTGCAGAAAAGCTGCAATTATGGGCTGCCAAAATCCTACCCCTTGATGGACGCACCAAATCCAAGAAAACCCAATCAACCATGGGCATGGTGCTCAGTATTTATACCGCCCCCCGCCAGCCGGGGCCCCGAGTCACTCACTAAGAGGCGCAAAGATCATGGGTGTGACAGGGATCTTCAAAAAATGCATTTGATAATCTGAGATGGGCACCTGGTGCATGGTGGGCACAGCCGTGTAGAAGGTTGCGCCAAATTCGATGGCGTCCCTCCAGAAGGTTCCCGCCGAAAATCTCCCTCCCACCGGCAGAATGATTGCCGACCCCGCCAAAAATGGCGCCAGCAGTCCTGTAGCAGCCATGACTTTCTGTCATCAATCGGAAGGGTGCATATGTCCTGCCTGCAAGAGATCTAAGCAGATCTCTGGCCTGCAACAGAGCTGAGCAGAAGCTGGTGGCACTTGCTCATCGACCACAGGCTACCAGCTTCTTTTCAGGCTCTATGGGCTTACAGCAAGCATACAGGCAAGCACAGCAGCGCACCTGCCATGAGGCCGTGCACATGGAACAGGGGCATGACGAGCAGAGAGCGGTCGCTGGGAGTCAGCTCGTAGGTGGCCACAATGTTGGCCAGGCTGGCTGCCAGGTTGGCATGCGTCAGCGGAACCCCCTTTGGCCGAGAGGTCGTCCCAGAAGTGTGCAGAAACAGCGCAACGTCATCGCCACGTGGGGGATCTTCCAATTCTGCCCTGGCGCCACGTGTGTCGAAAGACAGATCGCCTGATTTCCTTGTCAGAACGGTTGACAGACCACCTGCCAATAGAGGATCCACAGTCAGACGTGACAAGCTAAGCATACTCAGCTACTTGAGAAGCGAGGGAGAACATAGACTGCAGAAGCATATGGCACTGTAGGCTTGACAGGAAAGAAGAACTGACCGTCTGTCCAGGAAACAGAGACAGAAGCAACTGGGATGTTGCAGCTTGAGGCTGCACTCTCCGCCTCCTTGTTCCCCCTCACAGGAACCAACAGCAGCTTCGACGCAGCATCTTGCATGTAAAACTTGAATTCATCCTGCATCAGGCAGACTGAACAGAGTAGGCTGAAGTGCCCTACTGTCATGAGTGGTCATTGTAAATGCACGTGATGCGCAGCCTGTCCTGCTGTTGTGCCAGAACAATATTTCGGGGATAAATCTGGCGCACCGCTGTGTAGTTTGAGTTCAGGGGCGCTGCTACAGCACGCGCATAGGTGACTCCCAGAAAAGCAACCACAAAGTCGACCTGGAACAGTGAATGAAGATGGCAATGCTTACAATTCTTTGCGCAGCCTTTCACATGGTTGATCAAAGTTGCAGCATGTCTAATGCAATATGGGAACAGCACAAGTCTGGGATCTGCAGTACCGTGTTGGTGTCAGCGATGCTGACAGCATCCCCAGGGCGAATCCCACTCTTGCGTAGCTTGATTGCAACACCTATTACTTGCTTCCTGAGCTGGCTGCGGGTCAGTCGTGGTCCTCCACCAGCGCAGAAGATAGCCACGGCATCTGGATGTCCATGTAGAGTGTCCAACAGCGAAGTTGCACCCATCATCTGGATATGACTTGACAATCGTGGCCACAAAGAAATACTTCCAATGGTCATATGCTGTAGATCGCGAAGAGGAAAGCATCCTAAATTTCCTAGTACGGCACATGCAGGGCATATTGCTTGCACGTGCCATTCTTGCTCTAGTTGCTCTGTCTGGCTCTATTTGCAGATTGTTACCAGTCAGGAATGCATCAAAATCTCTAATCTTACATGTTTCAGGATGCCGCAGAAAGCTCTGTTCAACAAGGCTCGAAAGACGCAGGGAAAATCGTTGGCTGCGAATCGGCACGGAAAGATCTTGAAGCAAAAGAAAGGTGTGGCACACGATCTGCATGTATTTTAGAACTCTGATCATTCCTTTGCGATTGGATGGTCGCCAATGCATGTAGACCGTTCTTGGCTGAATGGTATTTGTCCGTCTCTTACAGGCAAATTCGCCCTGCAGCCGAAGCGAGACTCAGCCAAGAAGATATTGGATGATGGAATGGTATGATTTTCTGCACTGTCGCCAGTGCAGCTTGTTTTGTGAGTTATACCATTGCAAGACAAAGGGATAGGTCTTTTACTAGGCCTCTTCAGGCAAAGTGAGGAAGAATCCTCGTGTTGAAAATCACGTATAACAGTCTCATACTGGGTTTCCTGGTCTGGCAGGAACTGACGAAGGCCATAAATAAAAAGAACGAGGAAGCAGCCGCCGGGAAGGCCGAACAGAGTGGGGGCAGGCTAGGCATCGTGAAGGCACCACCAAGCGCAGACAAGGACAGCAAATACGGGCCCAAGAAGCCCAGGTAGAGCAAGCATGGGGCTGCTGTAAGAGCAGTCATGGCAGTACAAATCAAAGCATCAGATTGCCATTGTCCTTGCTAGTCTCTGGTAGAGGCAATCCAGCATCAGCTGACCCAAGAGGCCCAAGTAGGGCATGCTGCGGGCTGCTATACTGCAGACATAGCATTTCTGCTATATTGTTCACAGTATTTGATTGTCGTGTGCTGCTTTTTACTCAGCACCATCATTGACATGCGCTTGGAGCGCTTCAGATGTTAGACACGTCATGCTGCTTCATACCTATGCAGTGAAGCTGTAGTAGACACTAGCTAGGGTAGTCTTTGAGCAGCAAAACCTGGTGTGCGGTCAAGCATGGATTGCTGCTTCTTCCGGTGTCAGACATGCCTGTCTGCTGATGGTGTCAAACAAGTAATTTTGACTGGAAGTGTTTGCAGAAGAGTGCAGTTGCAATGGATGGAAGGGAACGAGATCGAATTGACTATGTCAGATTTGCCAGATATGACACAGTCAATACAAATCTGCTTCACCATCGAATTCCAATGCAGGGGATTTTAATGCCTAATCAAGAAATTTTCCTTCAGCCTTGGATGAGGAGATGCCTTGTTCAGGACATAATTTTCTTTGTGGTGATGACTACATTGAATCTGCTGCTCAGATCAGCTGTTCACAATGTGCATCATAATGAATGCATGCAAATGCAGCAGGTGCCAGCCACAGTGTGTGCAACGCAACAGAAAATACTGTACTGCACTCGACATGCAGTCACTACACATGTGGGCGCATTGCAGATGATAGCTTTGATCATTAATGTTTTATAAATATTTCAATAGCTGCGCAAGCATCAATTGCATGTCTCTCTCTCTACAGGTGCTCCGGCAAACATGAGTCCACCTAATCTCTGACCCCCCCACCGTGATGCCATGTCACATCTGATGATTGCTACCTGTGGTGCAAACTACAAGCCAGGACAATCAGCCCTTGTAAGGCATCTGCCCACAAGGTGTCTGATTTTGCACCCACTCGAATGATTCAAAAGCATGTCGGTACTCATACATGAAGCTTCTCAAGGGCAACAACCACATGTTCCATCTTCAAAGAAGGTCTGCTACATTGGCGGGCAGCTCCTCAATGACTGTATTGCAGTAGCGCTCAATATCCTGCAGCAGACGCTGCTCCTCCCCTGTCACAAAGCTGATGGCCAGCCGCTTGCTCCCAAGACGCCCGATGCGGTGCAGATAGTTCTCTGGCTGAGTGGGCAGGTCATAATTGATCACCAGGGACGCCTGCAGGCAACCCCGACAGCTTCTTGGACTTCTCATCACTTGCATTGCTGCCAGGAAGACCAACAGGCCCTGCATGAGACTGACCTGACAGCTATGCAGATTGATAAGAAGAGAACAATATTCATTCCGCGGCACACCTGCTGTTCATCAATGCCGCAGGCATCTGCAGCTGTTGTGATGAGGCCATGGCAGGAATTGGAGTCCCGCTTTCGTGCCATGCTGTCATGCCCGTCCTGCTCTCTGCTAGAGATATTGATGGCTGTCATATTGATGCCCCTTTCGCGCATCTTGTCAGCTAGCCAGTCCATCTGCACGGCAGAATTTCTATGAATGTGGCTGTTGCCAACTCTACTTGCCATTGTATGCAACCCAAAAAAGAGGCTTATTAATCACACAGACATCAAGATATAAGGGGATCCCCTTTTGGGATTGAGACACGATAGCTGCATTGGGCATTATGTTGTAGTTTGCCTTCCCTCACGCAAGCCTTCCCTCGACTAGCACATCACAAACATGTGACCAGAGGCTTGGCTTGCATCACCTTCCTAGTGGTATTTGCGAAGACCAGAATATTGTCGATGGCCAAAATGTCACGCAGGTCGCAGAGGGTGTCCAGTTTCCATCCCTCATGCTCCACGTTCACATAGAACTGCCTGAGTCCCTCAAAATTCAGCCCATCGCGCTTCACCAGAATGTGCACCTGCGCTTGCATGCCTTCTCCCATCAGGCTGCCATGATCTTTTATTAAAGCAAATATGAATGACTATCAAAGCATCCATATTTGAGCTGTGCCTTACAGGAATAAGGTATCGAGCAGACATTCTAAAATATTTAAGAAGGCAATTGCTGTCCATGCTTTCATCAAGACAGACGATGGAGAAGTTCTCACCGGATTGTTCATGAACTTGCGGGTGAGTGCCAGAACTTCAGGTGGCAGGTTTGCACAGAACACCCCCACCTGAGACACGCACATAGCCGTCAGATCAACAATTTTCTGCATGACATCCTTCAAACCTTGCAATGATACAGGGCACTGCTGAAGGACACAAACAATTTACCTGCAGCCTGCCAGGCAGCAGCTGAAAGATCTCATAGATGAGCTCCTTGATAGCAGGAGACAGCAGCTCATCAGCCTCGTCCAAGACAAGCATCCGGATTGAGTTTGCATGCAGTGCGCGGCGGCGCAGTAAGCCTTGGATGCGGCCAGGAGTGCCCACCACAACCTGAATACCCCCTTCCAGGATGCGGATGTCCTCCCTCAAGCTTGGACCGCTGACAAAGCAGTGACACTTCACCTGCAGGCACGTCAGACACCTCTGAACTCCTGTGCAGAGCCAGGAAGAGAGCTCACTTCCTGCCAAGTCTGGTTGGAGGATGATCAGTGCGTGTGCCCCTTTTGGAAAGGATAAAATGTCATCTTATCCAGCAATTATGCTCCTTGTGACTAACCAGTACTGCATGGACAGGGCTCATGCACCGAGCAGAAAATCACCTCTTGGAACTTGCCCACAGCGCGCATCACCTTTGCAACGTGCTGTGCCAGCTCACGAGTGGGGGCCAACACAAGGGCTTGGCACTCGAGCGAGTTGTAGTCCAGGTTCTGCAGGATGCCGGCGCAGAATGTGGCAATCCTGCCAGTGCCCAGCTGAGCCTGCTGGATCACATCCAGGCCCTTGGCAAAAGGGACAATCCCTTTCTGCTGGATGGCAGAAGGCTTCTCAAAACCTGCAACATGGAGCATTGCAGTCTTGTTGCTTTCAGCAGTACTGTGTACTTTGTAACCAAGCAAGTCGCAACGATTCCTGCTACTAATGATCCCTTGTAGATCTCTGATTTGGAAATACCATAGGCGTGGAGTCCATGCAGCAAGTCCTCGTGCAGGCTCATCTGATTGAATGACACATAGGACTCCTCCCACTCGGTGTAAAAGCTCTCTGCCATGCTGCCTTCAACAGAAGCTGAGGATCACAACTCTTCACCAAATAATCTTGGCCAATATAAAGCGATCGATGCAAGCAGTGCTCGTCATCGAACTCACAACTCAGCTTCTCAGCTTCTCAAGCCATACTGGGCAATAGGGCGAATACTTCTGGACGATGCAATAAATTCAATAATCGGAAGCAATTTCGTGCACGGTTTGTTTCCCTTGTGGTCTGGACAGGTGTGGCACAGGTTTGTTCAACGATTGATGATTTTCGAAGTGAAAGATCCTGAGAGTGATCACTCATGTGTTCAAAAGGAACGTGGGGATTTTGCATGCGTGAGACCATGAGGTATTCCGTTAGTCTTGGACGAGGTGATCCAGACGTCAACAGAGCTCTGTGTTGATGGTGACTTCAAGAGTGCAGAGGCAACAGGATTGCTTTTTTTTTGTTTGAAGAAAGCTGAAAAGTACATCTTCCTCAGAATACGTGCACGGATGTCTCCAACACTCTTGCATGCATGAATGTGACTGCAGCAGGCTGAAGAAACCTCATATTCTCTGCATAAGCCAATGTATTACTACGTTGTTACTAGCAAGCAATTATTTGCTGATTGGTTTGCAAGCTAACGCCTGAGAAATTCCATTTAGACATGAGGACTACCGACTGCTTGGTGCAGAAGCCATCATGCTGATCACCGATCAGGCAGTCTTGAGCGGCACTGACATATTTGCGAAGTTTCCTATTCTGCACAGATTCGCGACATGTACATGTTTTCTTGACGAAGATTAGCAGCTCTTCACCAAAGACGCTATTCCTGGATTCAGAGCCGGACTCTGCACTGGAGACTCGCTGAAGCTACAACATTCCTAATCTCTTCCTAAGCTCCCTTGCTCCTCTCCTTTGTGAACAGCTCGTCAATCAGGAACTTGACAATGGGCGCTGTCTCAGCCGCCTCCATGTCAGCCAGCACCTTCTCGATTGTGGGCCCATCGCTCCTGTCCTCTGCATCCAGAATTGTTTCGAACACCCTGGATGATTCGTCCAGGAATGCCAGCACCTTGGAGTCATCAATCGTCACCTGCACACCATCCCTGCTGTTTGCATCTGCTGAAAGCAAAGCATGTACATAATACAGCCCCCACGCCCTACCCTGGTGCTCATTTTGCCGATATCTCTGCGCCTATTCTTTTTTTTGGGTTGGCATGCACAGCATACAATGTGCAAGTATGCGGGCTATTTGCATAGCATACTGAACTGAAGCCATACGGGCAGATGTTTTAAATGCACAGCACAGTGCATGAGCACATGCGCGCTGAAGTCCACAGCATAAAGTCTTGCAAGAACATGCGGCTGATGTCCACATGCACAGCACAGTAAGTCAGGGCCTGCGGGCGGCCGCACCTTGTTGTGGGTGTCGAGAGTGATGTAGCCCAGGTCGGCTGCGCGCTTCCAGCAGGCCATGGCGCTGACTGTGTAGGGCCGCGTGGCGCTGCTGTCAAACATCTGGAAGCGCCGCAGGTCCTGCAGCATGAAGCTGGCCACCGCCCCCTGCACATCCGCCTACACAAAACAATGTGTCACTTCATGCTCTGTGCATCCAGCCGCCTGTGGCTGTGACCGCATGTTTGGCTGTGAAGTCGCTGGACTGTTCTCTTACACCAACTTGGACATGTGCAACCCGATTCTGCTGGGTACTGTTTTCTTACTGCAAGTGATACCCATGTCTGTCCCAAGAGCCTTGCTGGCGGCTGAGCCCCTCTAAAACGGGCCTGATATCATGAGGCCCTGATCAGATGTGACGACAGGCAAGGGTAGTAAGTACTACCTAGCAGCCACAAGGCAAGAGGGTTTCCCAAAGAGGGCCCGACTGAGGTCCAGCTCCTCAAGGACATTGACACATGTCAGGCGCTGTGCATGTGGATGGAGGCCCACCTCGGTGAGGAGGCCGGCGGGCAGCAGGAGGCGCATGGTGTGCAGGGCGGTCAGCTCTGCGCGTGGCTCCTCCAGCAGGGTCTTGGTGGACACCCGGATTGCGTCCTTCACTGCGTCAAGGCCGTAGATGGCGTGCCCTATCTCATGCGCCGCCACATGCCACACTATCGTGCCCACCTGAAGCCACCGTGATTTTGTTGTGATGGAGAATATTGTACGCTGGAGTCTCTTCTGTGGGCAGGCATCTATTATCAAGCATTCGCACTAAAAACAGCAGCTGTATTCACGTCAGGTGGTGTCAAGAGCAGATTGAAAGCACTGTTCTGCACTTTTGCTGGGGGAGCTGTCTACAATTATGGTAGTAATACATTTCCTGACTGGCTGTATCATCATTCAGGGTGGCACTGCTGCAACTTTGCCTTTAACCACCATGCAAAATGAGCTTCTCTGCACAGGTTTGCAAATAACGGGAAGAACTATGCGCACCGTGTCGATGCTGTTCCTGGCAGGGTCGGCCAGTACTCGAGCGGCCAGCTCGCGCGCAGACTCCTCGCGCGCGGCAGTCGACACCGGGTCAAAGTAGATCTTCACTCCCTCTGCCTGCCGCACCTCAGACCTGCCCCCACAACCTTCTTCGGCTCCTTGCTCATGTATGGCCTTGATACTGGGCGGCTCCAAAACCTAGCAAGACCGCTAGCACTGGAGACTCCAACATCCAGTACACACCTGTTGGGGATGGACTGGCCCGAGAAGCGAAAGTAGAGGTTGACGCCGCACTGGAAGGGCAGGTAGTAGATGGCAGCCAGGGACTTCTTCAGCGCCCCAATGCCCTCCTTGGCCAGCTGCCCTTCGCGCTTCTGAAAATACTCCACCATCACATCCTGGATCTGAGCACATGGTGCAGTCCCCCTCAGTACATCATTTTAACACTTTGAGGGTGCTGCATTTCTTGTGAGACTGTGGAGGAGACAAAAATGTGAGGATGTTGTGATAAGAGGGCGTAGGTCACCTTTGCAATGGTGGCGTTCTCAGCAGCATAGTCCTGGTCTTGCAGCCGGATGGAAAACTCTGGGGACACCTGCAAAATGTGCCAGGGGGCAAATATCTTCTTTGAGCTTCATGCACGTAGTAGTCAAGACCAAACTTGAGTGATTGCAAGCATTGGGGATCACAAAATGCTTACCTTGGTCCGCAGTGGGTCACCATACCCATACTCAATGTCGTGAACAATCTGAATCCTGCAAGCATGTCACCACAATTTTGCATGCCTGCTCCACTGGATGCACAATTTCAACATTGATAGCAGCCAACAAAACAAGCTGAACACCTGCGCCTTATGAGGAGGCAGGATACTAAGGATATGCTCTCACCAGTACCGAATGCGCATCCACTTTTCATCCAGGATCCGCCACTCGTCCTCCAACCTGTCGATGTCTGTCTCTGCCAGACATGTCCGGTACTGCTTCAGGTAGTCGAGATAGTCTGCCTTCACTGCAGTATCCTCTGCCTCTACCTTGGACATCTCTGCCCAGTGACATCACCCTGTCAGCTCAAGCTGGTTTGATGATATTCTCACCATTACATGCGTTTCCTCCCAGAGGCAAGGTGCATCTGCAGACTCAGCTGCAGTAAAGGCAACCAAAATTTTACCCCTCGATGGACTCCACAGGGGCTCGGTGTCCACAGATTACACATACAGTCAAGGGGAGGGGGGGGGGGGGTTGTACAATACTGAGTATTGTGCCCACGGATACTTTGGTATTGCTTTAATCTGTGGACATATGACTAATTCTGCATCACCCCGTCCTGCTTGACAGATGGCAACATTGCTGGCGATGGCAGCCACAGCAGAAAGGAGGTGTGCATGTGAGATCTTGGAGTACCTGCAATCCACTCATCAAAGATGGAGACAATCTTGCCGATCTCTGCAGGGAAGGCAGCGGCGTAGGGTGCCTGCGTGTATTGGCCGTCCGGGGATGTGCTGATGATGGTGTAATGGTTGAAGAGCTCCTTTGGCACCTTGCCCTCCTTGTCATCCTGGGCCAGCTGCTTGGCTGTGGCATTGCCCTGCACAAAGATGGCTCTCTCTTTAAATCATGGTGGCAGTGATGGAAAAGGTGCAAGTATGCAAGAATGCCTGGGGATTCTTGTTGCAAATGGAGCAAGTCAGGCTCACCTGGACCGCCTTGGCCCAAGCCTTGTACCAGCAGTCGTAGGCATCGTTGACCAGGCTGGCATAGTAGATCAGATTACGATCAAAGGTGCTGAAGCCGTGGTCAAGAGTCTCAAGCGCCTTGCGCACATAGGCACGGGTGAACTGCTGCCGACGCGAGGCAGCAGCATAGACCTTGAAGAACTCCTGTCCGGCCAAAGATCGCACGTTCAGTCTAAGTGATTCCGGCATAGAGTGCGCCAAGCGCGAGACTTGAAAGGTAAATATTTTTAGTTTAGTACAGCGCAAGCATAGCACCTCTCCATACTCCTCGATGCCTGGCCATTGCTGATCAAGAACAGCCTTCAGGAGGCGCTGTTGTTGCTCTGGAGCAGCACCGAGCAGGTGGCGGTCGCTCTCAAAAGAGATGTTGTCTTTGACAATCGATCTCGTTACGCCTGTGAAAGTCAAGCTATATTAGGCATCCTTGGATCTAGACACAGCAGCAACACCTGAGCGTGTCACATTGGATTAGGATTCCTGATCAGGTACAGACCATTTACAGAGCACATACTTTCGATGGCCTTCAAGAGTTCAACCCCTCGTTTGCCTGAGGTTGCTGAAGACGTTGATGCCCAAGTGTGCTTGTCAGCCACCAACACTTTCACACTCTGGTCTGCCATTTCAGATCCTCTGTAGAAAATAACTTTCTAAAAGTAATTGGAAAGAAATTGGAAATTGTCGATTGATTCTGGTAGAGAGACTTCTATTTGTCACAGCTCATCATGACGTGCTACGTCATGGCATGACTTAGCACGTGCAGCAAGAGATGAAGAAGAGTGCTTGTGATGAGACCTGATGGCCTGCAGAAGCTGATTTACCTTGCGCTATGAGCACGCGTGATCAGGAATAGGCATGAGGTAATAGGTCAATCACACACATGGATCGTGACAGATGTATGCACGCAGATGCAATGCATGTGACATGCAGCGGAGCTACTATGCTGGGAGTGCCTTTTGCCATTGGCCACAAAAATGATTCTGGAACCAACATGCCTGGCCGTGGCTCTCGTGCCGGGAGGATACATTTTTACCTTGCAAGTAGGATTCCTACGGTATGATACTACAAAATTCATTGCTATGTCACTCACTAGACGCAACCGTCAAGATTCCTCACAACAATTCAAAAGCTTGAAAAAGCTGAAGTTGCTGCTCGCAAAGAGTTTACTTTAATGGCAAGCCTGCCATGAAACAGGCGGCATGCATCAACATGCCGACTGCATACCCCAGTTGAACACCTCCCATGATCTATACAGAACATTACTCATTCAACTTCTGGTGATCTGAGATGCACTTTGTCAGCATGAGGGCAAGACAGCAGGTAACATGATAAGCTGCCCAAGAAGGCATTATACTGTGAGCATGCACCCCGTGCTAGCTGGCACAGCCATCTGGTTCTGTCCTTCACCAGAACACTTCTATTCAGAAGCTGTCTCCCAACGTACCCCCGCGTTCTTGCACACATACGGCACTTGTGTCCATCCATTAGCGGTGGTGCTGTCTTGTTATTCTTGGTGCTAATATAAGGTAGCTCTCCCAGCGCACCAAAAGTCCCTTTTTCTCCTTCTCCATGCAATCCTGGGTCAACCCAGCCATTGCAGCCCCTTCGTCTGTGCACATCTATCTCTCTGCGCAAACATTCCCTTTTGCGGAGATGCAAAATGCTGCCCTGCTCGCTCACTGGCCATAGCACCGGGTCACCAGGCACACAGGCGCGCATGCTGCAATCTGCAAAATTCATCTCTGCAAGCCCGCTTCTTGATAGCTCCTTCTGCTTGAGTGCTGCTTATTTGTGCGCCCATTCAGGGCGGCTGAACCCAGGCTCAATAAGGCTGGACGCAGTGCTCAGATGAGGTCTGCCACGTTGGCGGGCAGCTCCTCAATGACGGTGTTGTAGAACCGCTGGACGTCCTGCAGCAGGCGCTCGTCCTCCTTGGTCACAAAGTTGATGGCCACTCCCTTGCGCCCGAACCGGCCGGAGCGCCCGATGCGGTGCAGGTAGTTCTCGGGCTGGGTGGGCAGGTCGTAGTTGATCACCAGGGACACCTGCACACACCCATGCCAACCCTCTCACCACCGTGATCACTCCTATGTTTGAGGTCTGCCAATGCCAGCACCAAGTGAACACATTCAACAGCAACTGGCAGTGCAGCTCTGCATGAGTCACATATGCAGCTCATCTCCTTCTCATGAGATGTATGTTCCATCGATGCATTATGCTCACACCACGAGGCAGCCCTCCCTCCCATCTTGGCGCGCGCACTGCCCTGTCCTGTGTCCTGCACTGTCTCTTGGCAAATATGAGAGGCAGAAGCTGCACCTGCTGCACGTCGATGCCGCGTGCGAGCAAGTCGGTGGTGATGAGCACACGGGAGGAGCCGGAGCGGAACTCGCGCATAATGACATCGCGCGTGTTCTGGTCCATGTCTCCGTGCGTGGCGGACACGGTGTGATCGCTCTCGCGCATCTTGTCAGTCAGCCAGTCCACCTGCGCGCCACATCAGCCACCCCATCAGCCCTGCCGCTTTCGGCTGCAAATTGACCATAATGCAGGGCCACACGGCGGAGCCACTTACTGGGCAGTGACCCAGCCAATGAACAGGAGGATTGCTGATCGCCACACTGTTCAACAATCTATGACCTGCAGTTCCTTCAGCCTTGTACTAAAACCCCAAGGTGGACAGGACTGCAGGCTCAGATGTTCCATGATAGCTGCCTCGAGCCTGTTACTGAACCCCCACACTTGAAGCAAACTCGATGCTCACCTTCCTCCTGGTGTTGGCGAAGATGACGGACTGGGTGATGGCCAGGGTCTCGTAGAGGTCGCAGAGAGTGTCCAGCTTCCACTCCTCGCGCTCCACGTTCACGTAGAACTGCTTGATACCCTCCAGGGTCAGCTCGTCACGCTTCACCAGAATGCGCACCTGCACATGCATGCCATGCCCCGTCAGATACCATTGTCAATGCCATGTCAATGGTCAATGGAACAGACAAAACAGAGCCGTGCCATAAATGGGATGCACCTGTCAACACACGTAGACTGTCCAACTTCTCATTCGAGACAGACAATAGAGAAGGACTCACCGGCTTGTTCATGAACTTGCGGGTGATCTCCAGGGCCTCAGGCGGCAGGGTGGCAGAGAACACTCCAACCTGAGACATGCACGTAGTGTTCAGGTTAACAGTCTCCTGCACATTACATCTGTCCTGGGTTGTCTATGCTTACAAAATGACGGGTGGCTGACCCAGCCAAAGAGTGTTTCCTCCTCAGGCTGGAAGCTCCAAGAAGGATCACCTGCAGCTTGGGAGGCAGCAGCTGGAAGATGTCGTAGATCTGGTCCTTGAAACCGCGAGACAGCATCTCGTCAGCCTCGTCCAGCACGAACATCCTGATGGAGTCAGCACGCAGTGCGCGACGGCGCAGCATATCGTAGACGCGGCCAGGAGTGCCGACCACGACGTGGACGCCACCCTGCAGGATTCGAGTGTCCTCGCGCACGCTGGTACCACCAACACAGGCGTGGCACTTGACCTGCACACACGATCGAAGCCTCTCAGTGGCGGAGATCACAAAAGCGAGCGCGCTGAATTTCAACTTCGATCAGCGGACAAGCGCTGAGAGCCTAACACAGTATTATTCTTGCCATCTTACATCATCAAACCATCTTTCCTGATGAAAAAAGATCCATGCAGCGAAAGGAGCCCTCACCTGTTGGTAGTCGCCCAGAGCGCGCATCACCTTCTCGATCTGCTGTGCCAGCTCACGAGTGGGAGCCAACACAAGGGCTTGGCACTCGACAAGGTTATAGTCGAGGTTCTGCAGGATACCGGCGCAGAATGTGGCAGTCTTGCCAGTGCCGGACTGAGCCTGCTGGATGACGTCCAGGCCCTTGGCAAAAGGCACAATTCCCTTCTGCTGGATGGCAGATGGCTTCTCGAAACCTGCAAAGTGCATCCTACATCAAGACAGTCCCCAAACAGACACCGCCAAGAGTGCTAATGCCGAAGACACAAGTAGGGGCTGCCTCAACAAAGCAACCAAAAAATTTCCAATATTTCACAGCTGAAGGAAAAGCAGAGGAGCAGCATGAAGAAGAACAGCATGCAATGTCAATGTGGTATTCTGTAGAGTGCGACCAGCACCAAGCTAGACAGGAGATTGAGCAGTACCGTAGGCATAGATTCCACGCAGCAAGTTCTCGTGCAGGTTCATCTGATCGAAAGACTCATAGGACTCCTCCCACTCGGTGTAAAAACTTTCTCCGCCTTCGCCCGTCCTGCATCCAACAGCAGCTGAGGCTCAATACTCTTGACCAACCATCTTGTTGCCTTCACGTGTGTGGCCCACAACAAGACCAATGATGCAAACAGCATCAATGGTCGTCATGAAACTTACAGCTCCTGCATCTTGGAGTCGTAGGCGCGCGCATCGTAGGCATTCTGAGCTTCTCCAGCCATACTGGGCAATATTTCTGCACACCACAATAAACATCTCAGCACTGTTGTTTTGATTAACATTTACACAGCAAGTCTGCAGAAAGACAGATAACACCATCCTGCAAATACCTGTATAGCGTTTCTAAATCGCTCCTAGGTCGCTTGATAGGAAGTTAACTGCAGGAAACATGTGTGGGCCGCCGACTTCAACACCGAAGCAGCAGTCGTACAGCGGTGTTCCCTCAGCGAGGTTCCCGCCAGCTGCTGAACCCCAAAGCTGCCATGTGAGGGAATCTGTCCCTTCTCCATTTTCCTCCCTTATATTTGGAATTCACTCTTGGACAATGTTATACACTTCATGAATATTTGATCATGCAATATGTGATCATGCAATATTTTTTTTAATTAACAATTTTATAAACAACTTGAAATGTGTGCGCACGCCGGCTGTGCCGGGCCGGGCCACTGGCATGCCACTGCAGTGAGACAGAATTAGTAACTTTTATATTTCAGCACTTGTCAGTGAGTGCACTTTGGAGTGGTAGCCATTGCATGGTGTGCTTCACAAACTGCACTGGGACTGCTCTGCAATTGCAGGATAGAGACAAGTGGGTAAAACTCTACACAAGACCAAATGTGCACGACCACCATGATGGTGCGCATGTGCGCAGCACAGTGACATGCATGCGAGTTGCATGCTGCAACACAGGAAGTGCAATGCTATGGGAACTTTCTTTTGGAGCAGGCCTTCATGACACACTTGCTGACCGGAGAGATCACTGCCTTCACATAATTTCGAGCAACAAATGCATAATTTTGCTTGCCACTGAGGGTCACTTGATTCAAGGCATCACCCTAATAGGGACCGACGCCCAATCACAAATCATATGGTCAGCTTCCGTGCCGCAAACACATAGTGCAGTGTTATTTTTTTTCCCATGAGCGGGGATCAGCCAAAGACAGACGTTCACACAAAGTCACTCCCAGCAATGTCTAGTCGTGCTTCATCAAGGAAAGCTCTCTTCGCCTTGCAGCATAAGGTTGAACTGTTGGCCGGAACTCATCTCTTGCGAGGATCTGACGATGATCATCCTGATTCCCACCAAGCACAACACAGCAGAAGTTGCCGTGCATGTCACAGTTAGTAAGACCAGGAACCTTGTCGCTGTTTTAATGATGCTGCCCAGCCAAAGTGAACATGCCGGCAAACAGCACAAAACAGCCAGATCGCGGAACACAATCCCCTGGGACCCACTCAGGCAATAACTGAGCAGAAGATGCAACAGATAAAAAAACCCAGTACCTTACCTACTCAGCCATTGCAGGGTGGCAAGCCAAGGATGACCCACAAGCGGCACTTGAAACAAGCACCAGGAGCTCCAAGTATTAGAGTCAAATCTTAGTATTTGTCGCAGAAAACCCCACGGCGTGATTCATCAATAGTGCACATAGAAAGGCTGCAGCGTCAACTTCGCGTGGACTCGGTATCACTAGATCACTCAGACCCTGAGCTAGACCTGCCAACATGGATTGAAGAAAATGAGGCCCGTGAGACTATTGCTTGCTCCGTCCGAAGCTGCCTGCCGCAGGTGGCACGGCCAGAGCTTTCTTGCCCAAAGCCCACACTTTGCCCAGCAGACCTCTGCGGTGCTGAGGCTCCTGCCCACGAGGCTGTTCCCCCGATGCCTCCGCTCCCCCGCTGTCTGCCGGCGACGGCCACTCAGCACCGCTGCCGCTGGCTCCCGACCCCGTCGCAGCCTGAATTGCTGCCGCGAACGGCGTCAGCTGCTGCAGCTCGGCCGCCGAGGTCCCGGCAGCAGCGGCTGCAGCGTTCCCTTCGCCGTGCGGCCGGTCCCGGGAGCCGGCCGGCAAGTTGGTGGCCGGCTCGACCGAACGCCGCCCGGGGGCGTCCTCCCCACCGGGGAGGCCAGCGGTGGGGTCCCGGTGGCTAGGACTGCTGGAGGAGGAGGGCGGCTGCTGCTCGCCATTGGGGCGGCTGTTGGAGGGTGATCTTTGAGCAGCGGCAGAGCCGGAGCTGGCGCTGGCCCAGGAGCGGGAGCCGCCGCTGCTGCTCTGCTGGCTGCGCTCCTGCTCGTGTATGCCCTCCAGCACAGAAGTCTTGCCCTGGCGCCCCTGGCTGTCCATGGTGAGGTTGCCGTCGCTCTCGCTGTCGCTGCCGCGCTCCATGCTCGACTGCACCTCGTCCACCTTGGACAGCTTGGGCCCACACAGCGCATCACTCCAGCCGCTCGAATGCGCTCCTTCCACCGGCCCCTCACCCCGCTCCCTCACATCCTGAGCGCTCTCCGGCCCGTCCTCTTTCGTCTGCTGCTGTGGCTGCCCGAACGGGCTTGCCATGGCCCCGCTGGCCGCTGCATCCGCTGCCTTTTCAGCTCCCTGCGGGTCTGCATCCCCGCCGTTACCGCCGATGATCCGCCGAACCGGATGCGGCGGAGCCGGCTCCGGGCATGACACGGGGCCGTCGCCGCTGCCGGTCGGGTTTTGCTGCGCGATCGAGGCGACGCCGGGGCCCGGGGAGAGCAGGTGCAGGATGTGCAAATTGGCGGCGTTCATCCGTGCCCCCTGCTGCAGCGCGCGGCGCAGCGGGTCGGCGGCCTCGAAGGAGGAGGACTTGCTGCGAGGCTGGTCAGCGCTGAAGCGGCGGTCGGAGGCGGCCGAGAGGCGCCGCGAGGAGCGCTGCGAGCCGTCTTCACTGCCGTGGAGGGGCAACGTGAAGCCCGAGGGGCTCGCGTCTGACCGACGGCCGTCGGTGTCCGGTGCCGCGGCCGCCAGGCCGTGCACCTGCCCCAGGCTCACCGTCCGCGGCCCCGCCTGCGGCTGCAGCGGCTCGGCCTGCAGGATCTGCGCTGCCCCTGCAACCCAGCGCATGACCGCTTTCAGCACAGGTGATATGCTGGCCGCGTGAACAGTCCCCAACGGATGCAGGCACCCAGCGGAAGGGGATGAAGATGCATCATTGTGGTACAGGATTTAAGGCAGCAGCTGTTGTCAAAGAAGCCATGCCTCCCACTATCAACAGCGTTGAACACCTCCTAGCGCAGTGTTCTGCAGCGTACATTTAGCCACCAAATCTACATTTAGCTGTGAGCATGACGGGCACGCACCAGGAAATTTGGCGGAATGGATGGGGTTGCCGGCCTCACTGATGGGCGCCTCGATGCGGCGCTGGCGCGACAGCATGGCGGTCTCCGTAAGCAGCTCGCGCAGGTCCGTAATGGCGCCCTCGAAGCTGGGCCGCTGCGCCGGGTCGGCCGCCCAGCAGCGCTCTATCAGGTCCACGTACGCGGCCCAGCCCTCAAAGGTGCCCCCCTGCGGCTGCGCTGGGATGTCCGGCCGCTGCCCCTTCTCTGATACCGACACCATAATCTGCCACACACCCCACCGCCATCAGCCGGACACTTGACATTACTTATATGCTGGAGCCAACTTCCAGCCGGTCACGTAGGTGTGTTGAAGAGATGGATGTACTCATGGAATTGGGTTGATGCAGTTGAGGCAAAATGTGGACAAGGACAGGAGTTTGGCAATGTGAAGCAAATGACAGTAAGGGCATGCCTGGAAGACGCTGAGCTCCTCCCAGGGCAGCTGCCAGGTGGCGAGCTCCCAAAGGACCACCCCAAAGGAGAAGACATCCGCCGCCTTGGAGAACGCCTGCAGCCCCACCACAATCAATTCTTAGCCATGAGTCATCAATCAACTTCAGGGAGATGCAATTGAACCTGCACCCCCTGCATCCCAAAAAACGCGCAAATTTGCCTTCTTTCACCAATCTCAGCAGGCGAGCATGGAAGGCACGACTCCCTTCACCCCATAACACAATAACCTGCGCCACTTGATAGAGCATGGGAGACATGTAGCAGGCGCCTGTGTTGGCAGAGGCAGGTGGGCAGAAAAAAGCGCACCCGGCTGGAGATGACCTCGGGGGCGAGCCAGCGGGGGTTGTTGGCAGAGATTGAGGTTGTCTTGTCCTGTGCGCTGGACTCAACGCGCGATAAGTTGAAGTCGCACACCTTGACCCGCCAGTGCTTGTCCACCAGCAGGTTGGGGGACTTCAGGTCGCGGTGGATGATCTGGCGCGTGTGAAGCTGCAGCATGCCCTGCAACAGGCAGCCCCAGCACCTTGCCATGTCTTGCTCATTCAAGCCATGCACCTTTTTCCAAACATGCATATGCAGAGCGCACAAGCCAGCCGCAATGCACATTTCTGTAGACTTGCCGTTTTCAGTACGCTCTGAGTACCGGCTTCCTGGGACTGAAACAGCAAAGCACATCAATTGTCTTGCCTGCAAAAGGGCTGCTGTGCTCGAGACCCCAAGGGGACGCTTAGCAGCTCTGTGCTGGACAAAAAATGTACTAGGGCAAGGACTTTGACATGATGGGTACAAAGGCGCAGAGACACCCAGACCTCCCCGCACCGTGTATGGTTGAATCCCGCAGACACATGAAGAGAGGCACCAAAATGCTTGCATACCAGACTCCTCTCATACTGTTCCTTGAGCATTCATGGCACAAAAACGCTGCCGAACCCATGAGGCCTACAGTTCAGCCAGAGCCGCCATATATATGGTATCAAGAGTGAGATGCTCTCTTAACTCAAAAATCCATCACAGAATTGGCATCTGAAATCACGGCGGGGAAAAAAACATGGGCCACACCTTGGCTGCGTCGAGGGCCATGTTGAGGCGGCGGGCCCAGTCGAGCTGCGGCGCGAGTGCAGGGGTGGAGCGCGCCTTGATGAGGACATCGAAGAGGGATCCACGCGCGCACCACTCGGACACCACGCACGGCGGCTCCAGGCACACCCCCATGAACAGCACCACGTTCGGGTGCCGCAGCGCAGCCATTATGTTCACCTGCTCGGCCCCCCAAAAATACAGTGTAGGGAATCGGCATTCAAAAAAGAAATCGTGTGAAGGTGGATGTGCATCTAATCAGCAGCGCTGGCGGTCATGACTGTCAAATTGCAGCCATACTGTTCACCTGCACCTCTGAGCCATCCTACATGGGCGCTGGTGGGCCGGACAGGGTCTGAAGCCTTCATACAAGCATCTTACTCCCCCTAAGAAAAAGACCAATCAATGGATCGTCATGATTGCTGTCTGCAAACCGCTGACAGGTCTCCCAACAGCGCATGTGTCCGACCACCTTGATGGCACCTCTTGCATCTGGGCAAGTGCAAGTCCTGCATACGGTGTTGTACTGGGCCGCCAGGGGCGAGGCAGGAGGGCCAGTAGGGCAGTCTGAGGTGCATGAAAGCAGTAACTCGTGTTTCACTCATGCATCAGCAAATTGAAGGCTTACCTCCCGCTCCAGCGTTTCCAGGCGCGTGCTGTCGTCGGCGAGGGCCCTCTCCGTGGCCTCCCTGTTCTCCGCCTTGTCCTGGGCGGGGTCCGGGGTGGACCCGTCTGCAGCCGCCTCCGCAGCCGCCACGCCGATGCTGGACAGGCTGTTCAGCACCTGCTCACCCACAGGCTTTTTATAAATATTGCTGCACTTTGTGCTTAAATTGTTGTATGCTTGTACAGTGATTGCATTGCAGCAGCAGCTCAATAGATCCTTCCAGAATCCCCTCTCCTTGCACAGACACTACTGCCTCTGAATGATTGGAGCAGCGGGCTTGTGAACCCAAGGTCCCCATGTCAGACAGGCTGCAAGTTGGGCTATCGCCATTTTGGACAGGTGTTTCTGTTGATCATCTGCATGTATTGCCCTGTCATAGCTCGAGTATAGCTCTTCCTCTCCACCAACCACATTGTAACGCAATGAACAGATTGGGTGTACCACTGCAGGAGATCATTTTGTTTGTCTATGTTTGCCAAATGTGCAGTGGGCCAGAGCAGAGGAACATGCACCCACCTTGATGGCGACATCGGTCTCCTGCCAGCGCCCGAGGTGCACGCGCCCGATGCTGCCCTCCCCAATCTTCTTCTTCAGCGTCTGCGCAGCCGGCCAGCCAGTTAACCAACCACCCCTCACGGCTGACTGCAGCTCAGAACACCCAAACACACCCCTCATGTGACACATCAGATATGGCAAACAGCACGCAGTGGAGTCCGCATTGATCTTTCGAGCCATTTTCTGCACCAAAGAAGCTAGCAACCACTTATTTTTGATCAGCGGCCATGAAGCCAAACTCATTGCTCATCATGTCAAGGGACGAGAAAACAGCAGGCAATGCCCTGGTGACCTCATAAGCGCAGTACTGGACTGCCGCATGCACCTACTGCCTCTTCATGGACAAAGACAGCTGCAAGGTTCTGGGCAAACATGACACTGTGAGGGGCCGCACCAATTCAGAGTAGGGGATGATCCAGTTGGGGGAAAAGGCGACTTGGGGCCAGGTGCCCAGGCTGGTGGACTTGAGGCTGCCGGCCAGCGACTGCAGCTCCTGCCCCGACCCATACTCCTCCGCCATGTTAGGCGCACTTGGAGAGTGCCATATGTCGTACGCCGCCTCCGCCATCGGATCCGCCCTCATCGCCTCGCCTGCATGAATGCCCACCACGTCAGCCCCATGCGCACAACTTTATAGCCATGAGAACGCACCGGGTGTTGCAGAAACTTGAGTGAAAACATGAGTGCGGCAAGGCTGTCTCCTACAACACCCTATACTAAATGCACAGCACCTGAGCCCCATGCACACTTCTTCCCAGCCACAAAGATGCACCAGGTATTACCTGCCATCGATTGGTGGGTCAATCTTGACGCTGATGGAAAGAAAAAGGGAACAGCGGGTGCATGCTGTTGACTGCTGGGTAAAGGTTCTGCCGAAGACAGCAAGGTCTATCTATGGAGGGCCCCTTCCTCTGAAGCTTGTGCCCTCAGTTGTACTCTGCACCGCTGCGTGCTGGTCACCATGGCACTCAATAGCAGTATTGCCGCTTTGGCGTTTTCCATGTGCGAGGGGCGGGGGCACTCACCTTCAGCCTGAGGCGGAGGCTCGGTGGCGGCGTGGGGCAGGTGCTGCTCGGAGAGAGCGGGCAGAGAGAGCTCGTGGCCAGAGGAGGGGCCGGCGGGCGGGGCGGTGAGGGCGCGGCCCTGGATGGACTGCAGGGAGGAGGTGAGGTCTGAGGCCAGGGAAGTTGCGCGCGTGTTGCTGCCAGGGCCGGCCGGGTCGTTGGTGCTGCTCGTGCTGCTGCGCAGGAGATTGGCCACCTCCTCTATTATAATCTGCGCCTCCTCGCCTGCGGCCAGGCATAGTTTGCTGAAGCCTCCGACTCTAGAGAAGCACAACGCACAGGCCTATGCATGCAGCCTTGCATGCCAAGCATGGGAAATTCAAGACATGCAGAACACATTGTTGAGCTTTGTGGCACACATGAAGATGGGACACTTCTTTCTCTACTAGGATCAAGACATTTACATTGCCAGGTAGAGATATAAAGAAGCAAAAACAAGCACATGCATGTGCATGGGCATCAAGAGACAAGGCAGCGCCTTCTCTGTCGCCCAGGGACTGCACAGGGGAGAGGCGCGACCCCTCGGCAGTGCCGGCGCGGTGACTCTTCACGCGGTGTATAACTGCCGACGCCAGCGCGTACTCCGCCATCGCTGCTGAGTGTGGCGTGAAATACCTCTGCAGCACCTGCACAGCCAATGCACTTCCTTTAAACTTTTTGGGTTTCCAGTCTTTCCCCTCAACCCTCCAGAGCAGGATACAGTCACACGCATACTGAGAAACCATGAACTACAGCGAGCCGAGCATGTTCCCAGCTTCCACAGACCACCACTACAAAAGGACGCACGTATAAGGTTCATCCTGGCATAATTGAGTGATGATGGGACTTGAGCGTGTTCCTACTTTTGTCTGCACCTCACATTAGACAAGGAACTGCGCAAGAATCAGTCTGAGATGGTTCAGTACAGGACTCGCAGGGAAGGTGGGCCGTGCCTGGGAGATGGAGATGCGGTGGCCGTCGCCCTGCGCGGCGCGCGAGCGCGTGGGCAGCACAAAGCCGACGGCCTCCGCAACGCTGCGCAGCTCGGCCTCGGGCCACATGATGACGCTGCCATACACACTCGCCGTCACTATGCTCGCCCCGCTGCCCACTGCATGCGCCAGGCCGCCCCGGTGCGCCTGTTACAACCATAGCCGCAGAAGTTAGAGTGACTTGTTGCTGTTTCCTGCCGTTGTTCTATAATGGGCAAAGAGGCCTGTGAGCTCTTCCTCATCAGCAATCAGGCTTATGCTCAGAGCCCACATCTGATGCCTATGAGCTCTGCCCCATGGATATGGTGATGGGTAAGGGCACAGAGAATGATTAGAGACACAAACACCCCATGTCCATGCAAGAAAGGCGCCATCAACTTTCTTCTGCTGATGGGCAGGCATTCAGATGGAGCTGCAAAGGAGGAGGGTTGCAAGGGGAACACGCACGCAGAAGATCCCATGTTCCCAAGATGTAAAAGTATCCAGGCGAAACTGTGCTCTGGAACAAATTTTGATGGTGGGGCGGTCTCATGTGGAGCTGCAAAGGAACAAGTAGCGAGGGGGGCACGCACGCAGAAAATTCCGTGTCAACAACAAAATAAGATATCCAGGCAAGCCCTGCACTCTCGGAGAGGTGCTGACAATGGGCAGGATAGAATGTGGAGGTGCAAGAAACGATGGCTGCGAGGGGCCACGCACGCAGAAGGGGGCACGGAAGTGGGGGATGTTGAGCGCAGGCACGGGGCCGTCCGGATCAAGGGTGAGCGTGTGGCGCTCCTCGGCGGCGCCCGTGGGCAGCAGGCGCAGGATGATGGTGCCGTCCGTGTGCGCCGTGCCCCACAGCCCTATCTCCTCGCACAGCAGCAGCGCCCTGCGAACATTGCTCATCAGTGAGAATTCCGCTGCCGACCCTTTATCGTAATCTGCACGGACGCATACTTGAGTGTGAGGGCTGTTGTCATGGCCATGACATCGCGTACATGAATGACCTTGTGTTGATCAGTTGTTGGATTGATTGTTTCTGCAATCCTGCTGACCTGAAAGGATGCCTCTGGTGTACGCCAGCTTCTGCGCACATTCAAGCAGCATAGCTGACCAACAGTCCCTCAGGACTGGAAAACATGTTGAATAATGGTATTAACAAGAATAATAACATAATAATGGCTGAACAAGAGGACCAGTGATGGGCAGAGTGTAGGGGTGCCGTACTTGGCAGGTTGTGTCTGCGTCCCCAGCACGGCGATGGGCTGCAGCTGGCCGCGGCTAATGTCCCACAACTGGCAACGGCCGCAGTTGTGCGCGGTCATGAGCTGCCACAGGCTGACCATGCCCTTCCCAGAGTTCTGCCGCGTCGCCGGCTGCGGCGCATTGCTCTGCACCTGCGCCCTGTCTGGACTGGTGCCGCCCTCCTGCGCCTGCCGCTCGGGAGAGGCTTGAGTGCCACTGTCCTGGCGTATCACATTGACATACCTCGGCATCGTCATGATCGCGCTCGCCGCCCCTGCAGCCGGCATGAATGCATTTAGTACCAATCGTAATAGTTCAATCACCTCCTCCAGAGGAGTGCTATTGGAATAATTATCCAGCGAAGCTTCCAGCACCTGCCTTGCAAAGCTGTCAATAACTCAACTGTGAGGTCCATTGTCAATCCCTTCAATCTAGACGGCTATATTGGGGTTGTCAGCTCTTCTGAAGTTCAGAGAACACAACGCTGATCAGTGGGATGGATGGCATGAATTGAACTTTGTTTGGAGTGCCCAATTTGTAAGCTAGACGCAGAGCCTCACCGAAGGCCCCCAGGAGGACGGAGGAGGAGAGGTGCCCCTGGGCGGTCCACTCGCGCAGCGTGGCGGCGTGGCGATCGCTGCCGCTCGTCCACACGCGGCCGCCCTGCGCCGCAATCGCCAGCACCGGGCCCCCATGCGCGCGCATCGCCTCCGGAGTCACGCCCGCGGCCCTTTGGCCTGCAAATGCCCACAGGAACCCATTTCCACTACCTATGTCTCATGAGGTTTGAAGGCGTCCCTTGCTCCCCCACAGTACTTGTGAACGGCACCAAGCAATGCTCGCCCCACAGCCGACACATGCCGGCGGCCACCAATATCACAGCGCCAAAATTGCACCTCTATGCCTGTGTCTGCACCTGTGTGTGCAAAACTTGAACTGCAGAAGAGCAGACAAGGCGAAAAAATGGCAAACTATGACAACTAAAGAATGAGGTGGCAGCCGGTATGCAAGTCCGAGATGAGATTAATAGCAACACCAGCATTGAATAGTATAATGACTGTTACTAGTCGCTTCCGCCTTCAGTCAGCGTCAAGGGGTTCACTTGCAACAGGGGAGAGACAGGGAACCGCACCGAACGTGGTCCAGGAGGAGGCGAGGGAGGTGAGGGAGGTGAGGGAGGGCGTGCGCGCGGCGGGAGTGTCCTGCGCGCTGCCAGGAGCGCTGCCGGGCCCCCCCCACTTGAGCGTGGTGCGCGCCTCAATGCGCTTGCTGAGCCCCCCGTGCGGCTGCTTCTGCACGGCCAGCGCCACCGCCCGCACGTCCCCCGACGCGCTGCCCAGCCATACGCACCCGCTGTCGTCCATTGTTATGCACCTGCGCGGCCGGGCACAAATGGAACTCTCAGCGATATTGAGCACATGTCTCAGTGATTGCATTTGGGGATATCACTGTAACTTGCGCAGCTCCAGAAGTCAGCGACGTTGTGCATTCATCTCTCAAGAGGAGAAATATAGGTGTCCCTCAGTGCCTCAGCTTAGGGTTCAGAACAGATGCTATCCAGGTGCTCCGGCGCATGCGATGCTCAGGGATGGAGCAATTTGTGGAGGGGCATAATGTAGAGACATAGGACGGTGTGCTTGGCAGGGATGCGCATATGAGAGGCCTTGAATTTTAAGTAAGAAGTAGCTAGGGAAGAGTTTGGAGGGAGACTGGGCGCACTTGATGTCGGAGTGCATGGCTCTGTAGGGCGCGCAGACCGGGTTGTGGGAGGCCTCGCCCCACACCCTCACATAACCGTCCCGGTGGCCAGTCCACACATTTCCGGTGATATCCTGAGCGCAATGCAATGCCACTTCATGCATGTCAACCGATTGACCGTCGTCAGTATTGACATTGGGAGCCTTGGCATGCAGCATGTGCCACGCAAGAAGGGGAAAAGGAGTGCACCTGGGCCATCACGGTGATGCCGGGCATGTTTCTGTTCGTCTTCACAGACTTGGTCTCGTTTTTAGCCAGGTTGTGCACCGCCAGCTGGGGGAAGCAACCGCCCACATACCACCACACCTGCAATGCACCACACCATAAAGACCACGATCTGCCTTCCGCCTGCAGCGCTGACAAGAGCCCATGCCTTTTAACGGAGGCCATGACAATCAACGGTACTTGGCACAGCCCCTTTGAACGGGCAGTCTCTGCAAGTGATCTGTGGAATGCAAGCAGTTGCAGACCTGGCCCAGGGCAGCTTTAACGCCTGAGGAGCGCTCTGGAGGAATGTACAGCAGGCTCCACACGCAGTTGCGCTGCCCGCCCCTCCTCAGCCGCGTGCGAGACAGCAGCACCTACTCAACATGTCAAACCACCTTTTTATGACACGGGCTGCATGGATTGGCAAGGGGACATCAACGCTTTTCCAGGCAGCTTCAGGCAGCCAATTTCCTTCTGTCCGGTAAACTCCGAGACACACACAGCAGCTGAAAGAAGTAAAGGCCTCTGAATGTGCACCAGAAGAGTCCGATTCTTTGTACTTTACACTCCTAAACACACAAAGTGGCAGATTATTCAGAAAGCAGCGAGCTCCTGACTTGCACCTGGGGATTGGTGTCTTGCTGCAGCATAGCCGGTGAGTCAGGCATGCTGGATTTGGGCGACCAAGGGCTCCCAGAAAATGCGCCCCTTGACCTCGGCGTGCGGGTCATGCGCGCCAGATCAAACCTGGAACGCATAGTAACTCATTGGCCGCAATATTCCACAGCAAGCCAGTGGCGTGCAATTGCTCTCATGGAAATTCCTTGCCCAAAAAGCAGCATACGCTAGGCATCTTGCTCAGCATCACAATACAATGCAGCGACAGATACTGCAGATGTGTGCGGTCTTTGGGAGCACAGCAGCCATTGGATCTGCAGCATTGTGAAGAAGGGAGCACACCTGGAGGTGGAGCTGGCATTGGGCCCCTCCTGCAGCGCCCAGACCTGCTGCGTGAGCAGCGTCAGCCGCTGCACCACCTCGTCGAATTTGGCCTCGGTGCGCCGGCCGCTGATCTGCTTCATGTACTTCTTCCAGCGCGGCTGCAGCCCGTACACGCGGATGCGCGTCTCCCCCAACGCCAGAGCGGAGGACACCTCCGTGCACAGCATCTGCAGCTCCTTCTCATTCGCCAGTCCCAGATTCCCAGTGTACAGCGCCTGCACATTGAAATGCCCCCTCACATAATCTGCCAGTGGGTGTAGATTCACTCCTCACCACAATGCCCACTTACATACTCTCCTAAGATTAAATCCTCATCTCTGCTCTTGTTAACGCGTCCTCTTCAACGCGTCCTCCTTTGGGCAATACCCAGATTGCGATTCAGACAAGCGCACAGCGGATGTGCAACGTAGCTGATTAATTGCCCATCAAAGATATCAAGGGGTGAGGATGCCTGGGAACTTAAGACAATGGGGCAGGGGTGTATCACCTGGTCGAGCGCGACAGAGGCGGCCATGGCAGCGGAGAGGATCATGGAGCACTTCTCGCGGTGGCTGACCACGAGCTTCACGCTCGCGCGCAATTCTGCCACCACCTTCTTCACACCACTGATCAGCTTCACGCAGCGCTCCAGCATGCCAGGCAACTCCATCTCCTCATCTGCACCGCCAAACTTATCTCAGACCCGGCCACTTAATGCATGTCTTGAATGCACAGATTCCCCCTTTCCTCTGGACAATCTGCAGCAATCATTGCAAGCACATCGCATTTTGAGCACAGCCGAGCACGGCACGAACTCTGCACTGAGTAATTTTTTGTGGGGCGGCAAAGACCGACCTCGGCGGGCTTTGGGGAAGGTCTTTCCCCGCATGAGGAGCTGGCCCTCGTCCACAGCAGGCGGTGTGCCTTGGGACAGTGAGTCATGTTGGGGAAGCTCTGTGCCCACGTCCTGAGCCATCGTGGGCCTCAAGGCAGAGTCCTCGCTTTTCCTCATAACTTCAATACTTGTTCGCCATTATGTTGCGTTCCTCTGGCGCCAGGCAGCCCTCACAGCTGCGAGGAAGGGTGCAAGTGGAGGAGGTTAATGGAAGGGCCTTTAAGCGTCTTGTCTTTCGATGTTCAGTGCCCAGCATTTGCTGTAGATTCAGTTCGCATTCCCGTGTATACCATCAGATCACTGAAATGCCGGGAAAAAACCCCTTCTGTTGCACAGGGGCCAGTGACCGTTCCTCCCACAGATGCAACACATTACTACTCAAGAACTGGATCTGTCTAGGTAGAATTGAGTCAATGTAGTTCAAATATTGTGTGAATCTGAGTGTCCTCAAGAAGGCTTTTGGTGTATGTTGGTGGGCAGTGATGCGTACCCTGCAAGGCGCCTTGCTGGCCAGAGTACAAGCGATCTCCACCGAGGGGGCCTCAAATGATCTCTAAAGACGTTATTAATCAATAGCAGTGTATGATCATCCCTGAAGACGCGAGGACACGTTTACCTAGACCTGTCTGGTGCTGTGTGGCAGCAAAAGAGAATAAGGACTCTGGAAAACTTGCATGGCCCGACTTAAGATCGAAAAGAGATAGGCAGAAAGTCACGATCGCGAAGAACTATAGCAGGCCTGGATCGATGCAAGGTGGGTCTGGGTCAATTGAGAGGACCGCGCCCTGTGGGGGCGAAGCCGAGCGGTGGTGTGACGCAAGGATGACTCAACGCGGCTCTCCCTCCTCCCTCCAGCTCCCTCGTGTTCTTGTTCGGCACCTAGAAATTTAAACCCGCAGTCGACTTGGTGCCAGACCCAATGCACTGAAAATTGTATTCGCTGTTCCATTGAGATATCACAGCATCTTTTATCCGGCTACAGGCCAATGCAATAGTCTTGCACGAGTCCAATGCTGTGCAGGTGTTGGATGGGGAGAGACTAGAGTTGATTTGACTCCTGATCAGACTGTGATCATTCTCCTATCTGTAGGAAATGACTTTGAGGTTTTAAATTGATCAATTGCAGAAAGCCAATATCGGGAAAGCTTTCTCTACTAGATGGACAGTGGACATGCCTGTCTACACAGCACTGCAGTTCGAAGAGCGCAGCATGGATCGTGCCAGATCTCTTTCCCCAAGGCGCAAGTCCCGTCTTCCACACTACCAAGATGATCCCGCAAGAACCAAAAGGGGGAAGTCTGCAGCGAGGCTTCCAAGAGCTTCTCTTATTCTTCTCATCCCCCTGGTGTACCTAGGTGATCCCCGCCAAACTTACCTTTAGTTTATCCAGTCACTCCACTTTGCAATTGATTTAGAACATGCAGAACAGCGCTTGACTTTTTGGTGCAGGCCTGTGGGCTCTCCGGTGGTCATGGCAGGAGACAGCTGTGGAGGTGTGCGGTGCCCGTCTCGATCCCCTGCAGCTGTGGGCGGGCGCCCACCAGATGAATGTCGTGCGGAGGGGTTTGTACGATGTCCTGGAGGCCCAGCTGGGACACACAGGCCTGATGCTGGGTGGGGCTTTCACCTAAATGTCTTGGCTACTCTTAACATGCGTGACCTGCCTCCTGGCGTCTCAGCCCAGGTGCTCTTAGTGTTCAGCCGGCCATGCTTCCCAAGTTGCCCAAAGCCCAGAAATCTCAGGAGTGACTGGAGGTGTGGAAGTTGACATAGAAATGGCTCTGCGAGCTCACACATCGATCTAATCCTTCGGGGATGGCTAAAGACACTGGCTTCAGATTTCTCTGGGACTTCATTTTGGTGCTGAAAAGGAGCGGACAGTAGTACTACACGGTGATGTGGTCATGCATCGTGTGGCAGCTCCCCTTTTTTCTAGATCTCTGAGTGGTTGGTCGGGGGCATTTCCACACCCAGGTCAATCCTGCCCTCCAGGGTAGCCCACCAACACTCTGCATCAGGGTCACTCTTGCGACCATCATGCACTGACTGTGCAGCATTGCTGGACGCTTTGCAGGGCGGGAGCAGACGCAGGGGCTGGACGCGCGGTCGCTCTTCCGGAAGCGCGACGGCCGCGTGGAGCCGGCGCTGCAGCCGCTGCAGGTGCCCGTGCGCGCGGTGGTGCTGCACTTGGGGGACCCGGCGGCTGCGCGCGCGCTGTCGGCCGCGGTGGCGCGCCACATGTCGCCGCTCGCGCAGGACGCCGGGCTGTGGCTGCAGGACCCCGCCAAGTACCACGCCACGCTCTTCCACGCCTCCACCCACGAGGTAAGCGAGTGCAGCAAGACTGTACATCTCCTTTATAATGAATTGCTTTCCAAGCATATGATGGTGTTGGAATACCACCAATTGATATGATCATATTGCTTAGTCACTGGTAAAGGTGCAGTCCAGTCCAGTCAGCAGTCCTCTGTGACCATTACACCCTTCCTGACGACACAGCAAAGTACTGCTAGCCGAGGTATTTGGTAGTGATTTTGTTGGTTGGCATTGATGGCTTTTAACAGATGCCCACGAAAAGCAATCCCCTCGCTGATCAGCTGGGCGCCCACCATGTCCAAAGCATGCTGCCTCTGTCTCACCTGGGCACCCGTCGTGCACATGATGGTGACTTGGAGAGGGCAATTGGAGGACTGCAGGATGTGTGGTGTGCAGTTTCCGGTGGAGGCCAGCAGCGCGGAGGTGGAGACGGAGGTGAAGGCGGTGGAGAGGAGCGCGGTGCACCTGTGCCCCATCGAGGTGGTCCTGGAGCGGGTCATTGCAACGCCCACCGGCAACATTCTGGCCTGCTGGCAGATCCTGGGCGGCTCTGATCCGGCTGCCGTGCGCAGGCACGGCTCCCCCTGCCTTCCCAGCTGTCAATGGTCTCAAGACCACGCAATGCAAAGCCAACAAGGAGGCACCGGGCTTCCTGTGCACCATGGATGGGCCCTTTGGGAAGTAAGGCAGAGACCATTTTCTTAGACACAGCATGTCCCTCTGGCAGACAAATGAAGGCTACCACAATTCAAACTCTCCAATGCCTTCAAACACGCCAGATCCAAGCAAGACCCAATCAACCGTGGGCACGGTGCTCAGTACTTATACCACCCCCCGCCAGCCGGGGCCATTGACAGACAATTGACCTGCAATACCGTATATGCAGCTGTAATCACACATGCCTTCCTCGGCAAGATTACCGTTGAAGTGAGTGTAGATATAACAAAAGTATACTTTTGTTCGTAAGAAAGGTGCACCAACTCTAGAATCTCGTTCCTGTGGAGCCGAAAGGTGAGACGCGGCTACATGTGCAGGGCGCTACGGGGAGCGCTGCCGCGGGCGCCGCCGGCGGAGCAGCAGACGGTGCATGACCCGGCCATCCTGCACACGACTCTCGCGCGGCTGCTGCGGCTGCCGCGCGCGAGCGCCGGCCGCGTGCTGCGCTCAGGCGCCCCGGACGGCGCCGAGCTGCTGCGGTCGGCCGTCGCGCGCATCTCCGCCGACCTCTGCGGCCTGCGCGCCACGCTGCCCACGCTCTGGTGCACTTATAGCACCGCCTTCTTAGAGAGCATTCTGCCTGCAACATTCCAGTGGCAGCCCTGTTTCCCTTTTTGGCGGTCCTGCTGCCTTGTCGGTGTTGCATTCTTCTTGGCTCCGTTGCGTTTGTGCAACTCATGTGATGAGCTGGCTTCCTGAATCATAGCAGTCTTGGCTGAGACAGTGCTGCAAGGAAAATTGTGAAGCAGTGTTGAATTTGGTCGCAGGTATGTGGAGGAGGAGGATCTGCTGGCGTTGGCACTAAATGGGCGAGTGAGGAAGCACCCTGTGCAGATGCTCTGCCAGCGGCCGCCGCCGCTTGTTGCGAATGTGGAGAGTATTCAGAAAGTAGCCGCAAATCAGTTCCCATTCAGCTGATTCTGTCTCGTCTATAGAGTGAATAAGTTAATTACAGACCAAACTCATGTGCAAAACTTTGAAATTGAAGATCCACTTATGTCATGTGTGGTGATTTGATGGAGAGACCCAACAACAGATTCATTTTTCCGATTTACAGCTAAAATTTAGCCTTTTCAGGGTTGCTTTGTCCAGATGTCTGTGCAGATCCTGATGTTTGTCCAGATCCTGATAACCAAGGTCTCCATCCTGTACTGTCTCCTTTTATGATTCAAACTAGTCCAAGAGCACCACCAGAACGCCAGTGTCTCAGTGTTGATAGTATCTCACAGCTCTAAACAAATTGACCAGTTTTAGAGAGAGAGAGAGATGCAGTGTGAATTTCCACTTATCAGCTTGGACGTTGTCTGAGAATTCGACTGTCGCACAATTGCCTTCCTTCCTTCAACCCTTCCCTTGCCGCTGCGCGCACAGCGGGGGGCTTGGGGGGGGCTGCGCCCTCCCAATTGGGGGCTTGCAAATAAGCCTTCAAGGTTGTTCCACACTCTGCTTGCCTTCCCTGTATCACACTGTTGTGCATTGCTGCGCGCAATGTCGGGGCTTCGTCAACGGCGTCTCAACGCTATGGATAAAGAGGAGTGCAGACATGAAGGCAGCGCCGGCGCCGGGAAGCAACTGTGTCATTTGTACTGAGTAAGTTACCCAAGGAGATATTTCGAAAGGCTTTTTCGCCACGCGAATATTATGCAAGCGTGCCAATATCACTGTCACAACGGTTGCGGGAAAAAAATGCAAGCGTGCCTGCAAGCAATTCTGGTGTTGATGAGGTACATGCCATCATGCATTGAAGATGAAAAAATACCAAAAAGTTTGCATTCGGAGGGATTTGAACCCTCGCAATGACGCTCATCAGAACTTGAGTCTAACCCCTTCCGCGGTTGCGGGACCAACTTATACGAGTGTTGTAGGCGCAGGTCCCCAGCAGTAATAGTAATGCAATTGTATCTCTTCACTATCTGCTTGCATGTCACTACGCGCAAGCAGAGCGTTCCACCGCTCGTGCTGCTGTGCTCTGCTGCCGTACTATGCTAGTAGCCTTCTATGATCCGCTATGATTGGTGGTACCACCGGTGCGATTGCGCCGAGCCGGTGAATACAGCTTTGGGGGATCATACCCCCTTGTTGGCAGTTGCCTGCTGAAGTACGGGTAACGAGATCCCTGGGGAGCTTCACTTCAGATAAAGCATTTGAAAGTCCAAAAATGGAAAAGTGTGTCTTGCAAGTAGAGGGATTTGAACCCTCGCAAGCTGACGCTTATCAGAACTTGAGTCTGACCCCTTAGACCACTCGGGCATACTTGCATTTGGCCTAATTAGGATCGGGGATCACCCTGGTTTTTCCAGGGAAGTTCACGGTTGTCATTTTCTGAATTTTGGTCACACATGGCACTCTTGTGCGGCTTCGTCTCCCAAAGAGTAAGCTTCACATCTTCCCTCTGCTATCGAAAGGCAGTTCGACCAGCTCTTAATGCTAAAAATACTTAGGAAACATCGGCAGCCTCTTACGCGTCGTTTTCTGCAACAAACAACCCTCAAGTGATCACGGATACTTCTCGGGCGCAACTGGCTAGGCCCAGATAGAAATTCATTGCACATGTTGCATTCTATACTTCGCATCCATCGCATCGACGCTCCTGTGTCAGTATCAGAATCAAAGCCTCTTGACAAAGGCAAGTCCCCCACAGGCAGAACCGAGATCTCGACACCAAGGAACAGCAAGCACTGAAACACCAGTAATCACAAAGCTACTTGGGAAGTCTGGCTGATCGCGTTTCCACAAGTACCGATGGGGTGATATAGTACAATACAAGAGATATGCTCGCCGTCAAAATGCCCAGCACCAGCTGCAAGCTGGGGGCCAGGTCAAAGAATATGACTGAAACCACCGCAGTAACAAGCATCGCCATCGAGGTGGCATACACCTGCACAGCAAACATCAATCCAGGATTGGACAGGTCTCCTAGAATGTGTCAGGCCAGCCCCTAAGTAGGGTAAGGGCGGGCGGGGGCGAAGCCCCCGCTCCGGCCGCTGCCGCGGCAGGGGCTGAAACTCCGGGCATTCCTGAGATACACGGAATTTGTCACGACACACAAGCAGCTTTTCCCTTGTATCCGGCCGCCAGCTGCTTCAAGTTGCCAAAAGAGGCTGTGAAGCCCCCGAGTCACAGCCATGTGTCTTTGGGGCTTAGCCCTGACGCCGACATGCCAGATCCCTGTATTCCCAAGGCACCCCCGAAATCCTACCCTGAGCCCAGAAACTGAAGGCCGGTCCCCTAGGGGTCCCTGAGGGGCTGTCTAGCCCTGCACTAATCCTCTTTGGCATGTCCTCTCTTTTTCAGTCTTGAAAAGATCAGGAAGACAAGCACCACCGAAGCTGGGGGTTAGACGCATGCGCACCTTCAGAATGGAGTCAGCAAATTTCATAACCCAGGACACCAGCAGCCCGCTGAAGGCCAGGTTGGCAACCACCAGCACCGTCACCCAATCATACCCCTGGAACAGCGTGAACACCCACACGCCCTTCTCAAACCCTGCAGGGGACAGCCATGTGAACTCTCTCAGCCATTGCTCCGCCAAAGGCACAGCAGGGATTGGCAGGGGTCCAAGATACTTTTAGGACAGCCCCAAAGTAGGGCAAGGGCGGACGGGGGCTTCGCCCCCGCCCGCTGCCGGGGTAGCGGCTAAATCTTCAGGGCATCACTGATGTACACAATATTTTTTTCCAGAGGCACAAGAGGCTTTGAATCTGGCCTCCAAAAGTTCCATAATTGCCTCGAAAGTGCCCTTGGAGTCACAATATTTTGCTTCAGGGCATTGCGCTGACGCACAATTTCCAGATCCCTGAATTTCTAAGAGCATCCCTGACCTCTTCCCCTGGGCCCTGACACTGAACGCCAATCCCTCAGGAAGTCTGGGCTCCAGAATTTCCTGAGTGGTTGTCAAACCCTGACGCACAGTCTCGAACGCTTGCAAGCAGTACCCAACTTCTGCTGAATGGCGCCTAGGGCAGCACCTGATTGGCATGAATGCAACAACAACCGACGATGTTGAGCAGCAAATATAAAGAGCAAGGCTGTGTAGAAAACTCACCCTGTTGCAAGTCCCCAAGAGTGAGGCCGAGCGCATTGAAGGCCACGCCAAAGCTGTACAGCTGCATGTTCTGCCAGTACAGCGAGTCCGAGTTGCGCTTCATGATCCACTCCGTGTACACTGCCGCTATCGCCGACAGGAACGCGCTCAGCACCCCAAACAGGTACCCCTGCACAAGCCACAGGCGACTCTTGAGATTAAGGCAACTCATGGCCTCTTGAGATGCTCCCAAAATACTGTCAATGCCTCCAATTACTCACTCCAAAGCCTCATGCAGTCTAGAGACAACCATAGGTGAGTTGCACTGTCTACCCAGTGATGCTCATGATCTCCACTGTGGACAGGACAGCAGACCTGCAAGAAGCAGTGCTGGGCACCACTACAAAAGGGAATGCAGGTTTCTCAACAGTGAAGGGAACAACCCACCGCTACTGGAGCTGCAAGCAGGGACGTCGTGTCGCACCCGGTCTTTAACTGCACGCCAGCGCTCACGGTCAATAGCTGTGCAGGAATTCTGACCAATTGTTTGGAAATATCACACACTGTTCCTGGCAAAAACAAGAAGCATCTGCAGACAGGCTGCAGGCAAAGGGCTGCCACATACCCTACCCCCTTGACGGACTTGCCAAACAATCAAGATCCAACAAACGGTGGGCACAACAACAGTGTTTATACTGACCCTTGCCAGCTGGGCCCCTAAATGCATTGGGAAACAAATTCAGCCAAGTTATGATAAAGAAGCACAGTGCCAGCATACCTGGCTGACTGTGGCACCGATCATGAGAAGTGCCAGGGCCATCCACTGCAGGAGGGTGAGCTGGCGTTTGAGGCATGCCCAAAGCAGGAGCCCCGTGGTCACAATCTTCAGGTTGCCCATGATCTGGTACGTGGCCGGGTCCACGAATTTGAGCGTGACGAACTGCACGTTGTTGTGCAGCCAGTAGATGATGGAGGGCACCAGGAACAGCGCTGCGGTCCGCCAATGGCGGGTGATGCGCGCGGCCTCTGGGCTGGTCTGCTTCTGGCGCTGCAGCAGCAGGCTGCTGATGAGCAGCTTCAGCATCTCCGCCAGCAGCGGCACCGTGGCAAAGTTGTACCTGTAGCTCCCATTGCTCTTCGATGCTGTGGTCAGCAGGCCCTGTGGCAGACCAACATGCCACCTGTCAGACCTCAACGACACTGATGACTGACCGCTGCAAGCAACCATTGCAGTTGCAAGGCACCAAGTTCTCGAAACACCAGAACATTATATGGGAATGTTTCCAAATACGGATAGCGAGCACAAAGCACGATTCAGATGCCAGAACATTACAAAGACCACCAGCTTAGAATGAACTCCAGATCGACTTCTTAACCTGAAAGAAGTCGTACCTGCGAGCTTGTAGTCAGTGTGAGAACGCTCGCCACCAAGATGGTCTTTCCTGTCAGTTGGAAGCCCATGCCGGTGCCAGCTCAACTGCCTCGCAGCAGGCAGGACTGCTCTGCGAGCCCGCGAACGTACTGTTTGCAGCTAGACATTGTTTTACTGTTTTGGGAGCCTAAATTCGACCAGGAAATGAAGGGAGAGGCTGCAAAATTGTCTGAGCGACTTGCCTGGAAGTCATGTCATGGCACGTAATCGATAGTCATCAAGCTGGCGTTACTAAGTTCGAACCCTCCAAGGACAGAAGCTGCACGGCCACTCTTTTGGTAGCCGGACAATATTACGCTAGAGGGAAGCCATCATGCAATGGCTTACGAGCACGCTTGCCTCGCAGAACGAGTGGGTCGTAACGCTGCGAAGACTGCTTCGCTTCGGATCTTTGTTTCGGAGGGACAGTGCGCTATCCCACAATACGGACAGAAAGACTGGTGAAAGCGTCACAGCCAGCATTCACAATGACGATCAAGGAGATCCTCTTCCGCAACAAGGGCACGGGAGTGTTATTAATCGACTTCAGCGTTTTTGCCGTCCCAAAGAAGTGCGAATATACCACCCCCTTGACGTCTCTATGCAAGTAACTTTGTCGGGAGATTTCCCGTACACTTAGCGCTCTTTCTAAACTTTTGTAACTGCATCAGGCTGAGGAGGAGCAGGGCGGAAACCATGGATATCATCACCAAAGGATGGGTGCGTCCTTCTTGAGCTTCTCATCTTGAAGGGCCCCGCCTTTCCCGGGTTGCCTCTCTGTAGCGATGCCTTTCGCGTTGAGTCGTGCAGACTTCAGATTCCGAATTCATTTGCACGGCCGGACACGGCTTGAGCTAATGTGGCACGCAGACATTCAACGAAGACGCTCTATCCGCCATGAGAAGAGGATTCTTCGGTGATGAAGCTGGTATCGGAGATGACACAGGCATACCAGAAGGTGGGTGTCTACCTCAATGCAGTGCTTCTGGTCTAAATGAAGAGAACACTGCAGCTACAACTTGTTTATGTTCCTTTTGCTGTGCCCCACTTTAAACAGTTGACCAGGCTGAAAGAGAGGTACGGTGCTTGCAGGTGTCGCAAACCATCAGCCATTTGATCTGAGCACGAAGGCAGCGATGGCCGAGATGGAGATGATCATGTATCCTGTTGTGGAGGATGCCCTGAAGGCTTCTTGTCTGCAGCCGTCAGAGGTGTGGAGTCGCTTCCATAGAGCCGGGTCTTGCCTAATCCTGGTGGTGCTGCGCTGTGTTTGTCATGCTGATCATCTGCAAGCTCTACAATGATCAAGCATGCTCTTGCACGGGCTGAGCAGTACCCACAAGAGGCTGCCAATCAGTGCTGTCCTGCCCTAGCTGGCAACCATGTTCTGCCTTGTCAAATGCGTGCATGGTGCTGCCGGCATTCACTTCAGGGCCGTGCTTATCACATCAATGCACCAAGTGCTGGCATTGCATTTATTCGCGTGAGCATATCTGCAAAGGCAAGCTTTGCGTGGTTCAGCTGCAACTCCTTCTGACGGTGCTTGGGTCATGCATGGCAGGTTGACATCCTGATCACGGCGACAGACTCCTATGTGCCGGTGCCATCCATGTCCGCCATGATCGCCAACCGCTTCGGCATGCGCACCGACCTGCTCACCTACAGCTTGGCCGGCCATGGCTGCACCTCTGGCATCATCACTGTCGACCTCGCCCAGCAGCTCCTCACGGTGGGTGTGAGCAGAGCATGCCATTATCATTGTTGTTCTTGTCACAGGTCGGCAGACACAAAGCCAGATGCTATGGGGCATGCTGCTGTAAGCGCCTCTCCTGTACTTATCCAAAGGGATCTGGCCCCATCACCAACCGGTCTGTTAGAGGTTTGCAGTTGCAATCAACTGGAGATGGTCATCATGGAAGCACTCACATGATGACAGGAATCCACACTCTACATGAACCTTCTGCTCTTCGAGGTCCCCAGCGCCTGTCTCTGCGTCAATTTGGCCTCGGGCAGGCCATATCCTTGCGCCCCACTTTAAACAGGCACCTCCCCAGTATTGGGCCGGATCAACATGTGTAGAACATGCGCGTCTGTGTCGGCTGAAGTTTCATGTTGTGGGCCAGGCGGCAAAGGGGAAGAAGGTGGCTCTGGTGGTGCTCCATGAGAACTGCACGGCCGGATTCTCGCGCAGCAACGTCCGTGCATGCGCTGCAGCCAACGTCCTCTTCCGCCTCAACGGAGCCGCGATTGTGCTGTCAAACAGGTGCCGCACCCAACACATGAAAGCCTTCTTTTGCTGTACGAAACAAAACTGCACCCGTGTGTGATATTTCAATGGTGTACGAACAACGTCATTGCCCAGGTGCCTCATGTTGCAGGTGGTCCAAAGATCTGTTGCCCTTGAGCAAGAAAAAATCTCAGCAACGCTGCACTTTGGTTGAAATAGAAACATTCTGCACGTGCGCCATCTAGGGCGGCAGTCCTCTTCTATCTGCGGTTCCCCTGTGCCATCTTTAATTGGGCATCACTTAGCACCATTGCTGAGCTGGCAAGAAGATTTAGTCAGTGAAGTTGAAGTAGCTATGGTAGTTCCAAACTGGCATTCAGCAAGTGAGGACTGAGGCGTGATTACTATATATTGAGCAATGTGGAAAAGTCTCCGTTTATTCTTCAGCAGCTCCTGTGTGCATGCCTGAAATGACAGATGTGATTTCTGTCCTGTGAATTTGATCATGTGGCTGCACAGGCCCAAGGATCGGCGGCGGGCCAAGTACGAGCTGATGCATTTGGAGCGCACCCTGCTCGCCACGGACCAGGCTTTCAACAGCATCAAGGTCCGGCAGGATGAAGACGGTGAGACTGGAGTCTTTATTCACAAGAAGGATGTCCTGCCAGCGGCCAGCCAGAGCATCAAGCTGACCCTCACCAAGCTGGGCCCCCGCATACTCCCCCTCTCTGAGCTGGTGCGCCCTCTGCATGCCCCCTTGTGTCCCCTGCTCCTGAGTACCTAGATGTGTGCGAATGAGGCCAGTGCAATCCTGTCATTCGGTCGACTTTGTCCTTCACAAGGATGAAAGAATCCTGCCATAATGATGTCCTGTGCACAACCAGCAAGATGTAATTTCTGCAGCATTCAACTGCAGCTTGTCTGCTCATGCACCTTGGCGCGTGTCGTAATATGATTATGATTAGTGATTAGAGAATCATGTTCTTCTCATGAACTCCAATCGCGTTACTGATATCTTGTGTCTCTGGCCTGCAGATACGGGTCGCACTGAGCAAGCAGTACAAGCCGGACCTGGCGAGCGCGTTTGACCACATTCTCATCCACACCGGCGCGGCTGCGGTCATCTCCGCGGTGGCGCGTGGGCTGGGCCTGCCACCCAAGGCGGCTGTTCCCTCCCTGGAGACCCTGGAGCGCTTTGGCAGCACCATGATGTGCTCCACCTACTACACCCTCGCCAACCTGGAGTCGCAGGTGAGCTGCTGCTGAGTCCCTGCATAAAGATCCAACAGACCTCGATAAAATTCCAGAGTTCCCCACACAGCCCTTCTGGATATCTCTGGGCGTTCTCACTCAGCTCTTGGCAGCTTTGTCATGATGCAGTTCATATGCGTCTGGGCATGTGCATGCTTTGTGTGTATTGTGATGATGAAATGTCCTGAGGGATCAGGCAGGGTGGGTCAGAGGGCGATGCGTCAGAGGATTTGCTTTTGCATGCATGCCAGGATTGTCATGGCGTGATTGGGATATGTTGGGGGGTACCCCTGACCTGTACCCATTCGGATGTGTGCACATGAAATATTTTAGGCAGGAGTCCTTTGCTGGGCGCAGGGAGCTGTCAAGAAGGGCCACAGGATCTTGCAGCTGGGGTATGGCTCGGGCTTCAAATGTGCGGCAGCCTACTGGCGCGCTCGTTGTGACATCAAGGATGCCGAGCACAAAGCCTGGGAGCCTTAATGGGTGGAAAGCTGTACCAAAATTCAACAATCCGCGATGAGCGACTACTTAGAAAGCATTCCACATCCATCCAGAATTAAGACATTTTGAAGGGGCCACCTGATGGCCATGAACCGCAGCTGAAGATTTCTAATGAACTTAAAATTAAGTTGAGACTACTTTTTAAGGATGACTGCAGCTGTTCCCAGCTGCCTCGCAGGATTGACTGCGTCTTGGCCCAAAGAGGCCATATGCATGCTTGTGGACAGATGCGTCGGTGAAAATTTGTATTGGTTTTGTACGAGGTCCAAACAGGCTAGAATAGATCAATCTTTTGTTATTTGATAGGTAGAAGTAATGGTCAACGTACATCGATCAAGCTGGCTCATCTCTTCAATGATGTGTGCCTGTGCTTACAATTGTCTGAGTTGCACAAACATACAGAGTTTCTGTAGTTTAATGAGCACCGTTTAAGTACTGGAGGCACTTCTCTGTGCAATCCTAAAGTTCTTGAAGTCGCAATAAAGCATCTCTGTTCACATGGCCCCAGCTGGCAGGGCTCAGTAAAAATACTGAGCACTGTGCTCACGGTTGAAAGGGTCTTGCTAGGTGTAGATTGTGTGGCAGCCTTTCCATGCAGAAGCACCATCATGTGCCAGAGGCATCGTGCCTCTGGCACAAGCTGCGTGTAGTAACCATGTAATAAGACTTCTAAACTTATCCTCTCTGTACATCAAGCAATCATTTGTTCGGTGCATCATATACTGCGCATTAAAAGGTTTGCATGACCCGTGCTCAACCGATTGTTCGAGGCAGGAAATGGCAAAGAGAATCATGATGCCCTAATTGTTACAGTCTCGCTCAGGCTTTGGAGGACAGTAATAGTGCGACATTCAGGGTGCAATGTCATACGTTTGACAGCGTCTGGGGGTTTGCAAGGCGGCAGCATGAAGGAGTGCTCGTACTAGTACTCACCTTGGCAGCCAGTCTTTTGTCACAGCCTGCCAGGGATTTTAAGGGGTCCTAGATAATTTCAGGCCAGCCCCTAGCCTTGTAGTAAGGCAGGGGCGGCCGGGGATTTCGCCCCGCCCTCTGCCGCAGTAGTGGGTGGAACTATGAGTCATCCCTTAGATACACCATCAATCCACAAGGAAGCCGCAATAATTCCCTCGCATCCTAGCTGCCAAGTCACTTGAGCCACGGTGGTTCAAGTTGCTTCACAAGTCTGGGCCAATTTTGAGTAATATTTATGTAACTTTGCAGCATTGCCCTGATGCCTACAAGCTAGATCCCTGCTTTCTTCAGGGCACCGCTGAAACCTGCCCCTGAACCCTGAGCCGCACTGTTAATCCCCTGGAGGCCTGTCACTACCTGGTTAGTCACTGAGCGTCTGTGTATTCATGGTGCGCATGGGTATGCCATGCATGAAGATGCACAGAGAGCACGACTTCAGGTCTTTCACCTGCAAGTACACCAAGCAGCTTTTGCGCCAGTTCGCATTTCCTTTTGGCTTTGTAATCTTGCAGACCTTCAGCTCGCATATGTATGAATGGAGCTCCTGTAAAGCAGAGAGTCCTTTGCCTGAGATACAACAGTCTCCCTAATCTTAGAAATGGTGGCTCAATCTGAGGTCACCGTGCTTGAAGCATTGCTGGGATCATCTGCTGCTACAAAGTAAGAGGTGCATAATACAGATTTCCGAGGAACGAAAGAACAAAACAGAAACGAAAAATAAAATACGTTCACTGGAGACTCGAACCACTTATTTGTTGGCTAGCAGGAACCGGTCTAGTTCGGCTCTCACCGCTATTACCGCTCTTCCCTTCAGGAGCCTCTAAATGTAATTGAGGAGAGCCTACCCAGACGCAATCCTGTTACACATCAGACACAAGCAGACAAACAGGACACAAAGGGCAAACAACATCACTGTGACAAATGGATAAGTATGCCTGGCTCGGTCTGAAGAGGAACACACAGTGAATCAGTGCAAGGCAAAGAACAGGAGAGCAGGCAGACACCAAACACTACCTGCAAGAAGGAGTGGAAAGGCGATCAGCCATGTAGGAAGGCAGTCCCATGAGCAAATGCAGCACTCCGAGCCAGGAGCAGATGCTGGTGATGGAAGAGATGTAGAAGGCAGAGGTCCTGGTGATGCCTGGTGATGGTGATGGTGATGGAGGAGGGCAGGGAATAATCTGCAGCAACCAACAGGGAACGCACATGACAGTCCTGAAAGAGTTGTGGCGGGACCGCCTAAGAGCAGCCTCCCACGCCAGGGAGATCACGAAAGTGCTCCCGTATCAGCAAGATAAGCCTGTCAGGGGAGAGGCCATATCGACATGCAAAAGCAGGAGCACGGCGCTCTACTGTACCCTACAAACGCCGGGCGACACACCTAGCAGACCAGTCAAGCAACGCAGAACGCAAAGTAGTCAACACACTCAGCCTAGCTGAAGCATCAACAAACGGGACTGGATCGGGCCGGAAGGAAGCTCCACAGGACATTAGCGCGGACATGGCAGTGCCCGGACAAAGGTGCTCAAGGAACCCAGGATTTCCTCTTCCTGAAGGCTGACTGGAGGGACCAGCTCATGCTGGACCAGCTTGGAAACAATGAAGAGGGCGTCTGCAGACAGGTGTCCAGTAGCAGCGGCCGCCGCTGTAGGGACGTACGGATGCCCAGGGGCAAGATAGCCCATGGACACCAGACCTTGCATCCTAGCCCAGTACCTGGCCATGCGCTCCTGATCTCCTGATGCACAAAGGTGGCGCTGCGTGTGGGGCTGCAGCTGAACTGGGAAGGGAGGTGAAGAGCCCACTGAGCCGAGTAGTTCATCGCCTGCAAGACTCCAGGAATGGTTCGGCACTGCTAACCCATCAAAGCCAAGCACAAGACTCAAACCATGTGGATCCCCGAATTGACCGAAACCAGCCTGGAAACCCACCTTGGAAGAGGAGAAGCAGAGCAGAAGTGTGATGGCAAAGCATCGTGATCGAAACATGTGGAGGTGTGCTGAGATTCTTGGAGAAAGGATCTGTTAGGACACACAACAGCCGGTTTCCTCAACCTCTGGAAGCCAAGGAAACCCAAACGCAAGCGATCACCCAAGGCCCCTTAATACGCATCCCCACACACAGGGTGGGCAACACGCACGCAGGGGGGAGAGGGCAACCTCACCCCAGGCGACAAGCGCTGAGACGTCCCACAAAGTGTGAGCACGCTGGGGCGACAAGCATCTAAATGTAATTGAGGAGAGCCTACCCAGACGCAATCCTGTTACACATCAGACACAAGCAGACAAACAGGACACAAAGGGCAAACAACATCACTGTGACAAATGGATAAGTATGCCTGGCTCGGTCTGAAGAGGAACACACAGTGAATCAGTGCAAGGCAAAGAACAGGAGAGCAGGCAGACACCAAACACTACCTGCAAGAAGGAGTGGAAAGGCGATCAGCCATGTAGGAAGGCAGTCCCATGAGCAAATGCAGCACTCCGAGCCAGGAGCAGATGCTGGTGATGGAAGAGATGTAGAAGGCAGAGGTCCTGGTGATGCCTGGTGATGGTGATGGTGATGGAGGAGGGCAGGGAATAATCTGCAGCAACCAACAGGGAACGCACATGACGCCTCTGCATTGGACACTCCACCCTACACCAATTTTCCCTGCCAACCTCGACTTTACAACATTCATGTAGTTGCCTGAAGTGTTCATGTGACCGTTGGCGTTCAGAGGAATTTCGTAGTAGAAGTCGCTGCAAAGCATTGGCAAGTCTGCTGTTCGATGTCAACAACAATGTAAGGACGCTGGCCACTAAGATGGGTTTGCTGGGGCTGTCAACTGCAAAGCATATGCACGTTACCGACTGGTCGCAGGTGCCACTCAGCAGCAGGACCGTTGCCATATTCGTCAGCGTAGTCATCGGGCTGTCGTCATTGCCTTCGAACTCGATCCTTCCAAGACAGCAGTCCCGCGTCGTGGCCACCTTGTTCCTTGCCAGCAAGTGTTAGAGTGTGGGACGCATGAAATGCCAATGCCAATGCAGTGCTGTGTGGGAGTCCGTCTGGCGGCCACACCGAGGCCTGGAAAGGTTCCTCGCTGGACGACGCTTTAACCGGGTGACGCTGCACTTTGTTTTAGGGGTAAAAGGATCGCCAAAGTCCCTTGAGAATACGTCAGATCCAGAAGTAACCATGAAGCTCAAGGAGGTTCTCTTCCGCAACAAGGGCACTGGAGTGTTCTTACTCGACTTCAGCGTTTTCGCCGTCCCAAAGCAGTGCGCACCACTACCTCTTAACTGTACCTTTTTTAAAGTGCAGCAATCGTACCAAGACGATGCGTCAAATTTGTCCTGCTTCTGCGTAGTTTAAGGAAGACCAGAGAGGAATCGATGGATCTGATGACCAAAGGATGGGTGCGTGTTTCTCAATGGCTGTCTTTCCTGTTATTTGGCTTCCAGGGTGCTGCCATCAAAAGGCAGACATTCACCGATATTGGGTGGTGTACAAGCTGTGACAGCAGGGAGTCAAGAAGCTTCACTGTGGTTTCTCTGGCATGCAGAGATTCAACGAGGAGACTCTATCAGTCATGAGAAAAGTGTACTTTGGTGACGAAGCGGGCGTTGGAGATGCCACAGGAATCCCAAAAGGTAGACACTATAGGTGGCGATAGCAAAAGTATTTGTGTTGCACACTTCAATTACAGCACAGTGCTTATCAGTACCTGCATTCAAACGTCCAATTTACATAGCCAGGGGATGACACCTCATCATCTAGCTTCTCATCAAGTTTCAGAAGGGCTTAGAGTTTTCCTCACTCTGACAACAAACATTTGCCCCGTACGGCAGATTCTAGGAAGCTCTGAAGAGATGCAGTGCTTGTGTGCAGGTATCGTGGCCAATGTGCCGTTTGATGTGAGCATGGATGCAGCTCTGGCAGAGATGGAAATGGTGATCTATCAGGTCGCGGAAACTGCCATGCAGGCATCCAACATAAAGCCATCAGAGGTGCGCGGCATTTGCACCAAAAACTTCGATGACCTGTGCTGTGTTCAGTGCAAGGTGCAACTGGCATTTATATAGTGTCGGCAGACATTGGGTTCTTCAAGTTCAGCATATCTGCAGTCTCAAGGCTTGAGTCGCGAAGACTGCATGATTTCAGCCTCCTGTGTCTGCAGTCTCAACGCTTGTGTGGTAACGATTGCATGCAAAAAGCGCTCCGAGTTGGCAAGCGCCTCTGACTATGCCTTCCCCATGCATGGCAGGTTGACATCCTGATCACGGCGACAGACACCTATGTACCGGTACCATCCATGTCGGCCATGATCGCCAACCGCTTTGGCATGCGCACCGACCTGCGCACCTACAGCCTGGCCGGCCACGCCTGCACCTCAGGTGTCATTGCTGTCGAGCTCGCCCAGCAACTCCTCAAGGCGCGTGTGAGCAGAGCACATCATATTGTTTGACTTGATTATTATTACATGCTGTTCCTGCCAAGAGGCAAGGTGCGTTTTGCAGACAGGCTGCACTTAAAGGCCACCATACATCCTACCTCTTGTTGGACTTGCCAGATCCACGCAAGACCCAATTAACCATGGGCACTGTTTTATACCGGCCCCCGCCAGCCGGGTGCACATCGTCTAGCAGAAGATTTTCTGGGTCCTGCGGGCTGTAGACCTCAGGTGGCAAGTGCCTCATCGAATTCGAGAGGTCAATGCTGCTGATGGAGTGCTCGCAATCGCATGCAAAAATTTTGCTCCCCTCTGGGACTGGGTTTTGGCTTTTGGGTTCTGAAAGGGGTTCTGGCCCGCTCAGAGCATTTGCCACAGCGGTTTAAAAAAAACAGGGCGGGACAAATTGCCTATAATTGCCCAGTGACATCCAGTCTGGATCTACCAGGTCTCCAACCCTGGATCTGCCCAGCAATTCCTCAATGTAAGGAGCCCCTGCTCCAAAGAGCCTTTGCATCTCTTTACTGCAGCTCTTTTGGAGAGTGGAAGGATATTGAGGGGCGTGTTGACAGGGCGGTGGCTGGAAGTCCAACAGATTTGCTGCCAGAGTATGTGATCAGAATGGGGTTCATGAGGGTGGAAATGTATCAAGTTGGCAGCGCAAGGGCAAGCAAATGTCAGATTGCGTGCCACTCTCAATACTCGCCTTGTGCCAGCACACGGCAGGTCATGCCTGGATGTTTCTTATTGGAGGACTCAGAACATATGTTACTCTTTGTGCAAGAGACTGAATATTCTCAAGAGGCTGCACGTACAGGCTAACATTAGTCAGGTTGGCCTCAACTTGTACTCTGCAAAGGGGGCACATGCATGCAAGGCACATGCATGCATGCATGCCGTGCTAGGGGTAAGTACATATCTATTTATCAACCTAGCCGTGCGCAAGGGAGCCGCAACCAGAGTATATTTCTTTTTCAGCCTGAGCAGGCCACGCGGGCCTGACAAAGGCAGGCATCACAAAGTATTGGTTGCCAATCTCTCGCCTTGGTATTGAGCTAGTGTTGTTCTACGCAGGCGGCCAAGGGGAAGGTGGCTCTGGTCGTGCTGCACGAAAGCTGCACTGCCGGATTCTCTGGCAGCAATGACAAGGCATGCGCGGCGGCCAACGTTCTCTTCCGCCTCAACGGAGCCGCCCTCGTCCTCTCCAACAGGTGCTGCGCCCATATGCATGAAATTCCTTCATGCTGTACACCATGATTTGAGTAGAGCGCCTTGCGCACGGCTGCAAGCAGTCAGTCTACCAGGAGACCTCGTTCTGTGGCGCTCCTGTGTGAACTCAAATGGCCTAAGCAGATTGCAGGGCTAATGTTAATTGCTGCGGTCCCTTGCCTAGGATGATCCCTGCCTGTCTGCCATCAGGACATGGATCTTTTCCTACTGAGCTGGCAGGAAGGTGTATTTTCAGTAATGTGGAGAGCCGCGCTGTCCTAAAATAGAAAAATCAACGAGCCGTGCTGTCCTGAAACAGAGGACAACTAAGCTCTCGCTGTGGCTAAGCAGGTCCAAGGATAGGCGGCGGGCCAAGTACGAGCTGATGCACACAGAGCGCACACTGCTGGCGACCGACAAGGCTTTCAACAGCATCAAGGTCCGGCAGGCATCCGACGGCGAGACGGGGGTCTTCCTGCACAAGGAAGACCTCCTTGCAGCGGCCGGCAAGACCATCAAGCTGACACTGACCAAGCTGGCCCCCCGCATTCTCCCCCTCTCTGAGCTGGTGCGCCCCCTGCATGCCCATCCATCGCTGCTCTCTAGTTGAATTTCCTCGGCAGTCGTGTTCTGAGGGGTGCTGAAAATTGCGCTCAGTGATCTCTAGTGATATTTTGTACCCCCTGCCTGATTCTGCGAAAGCCTATTGACACCCATTTTAAGTGAGGATCCAAAGTGGTGTGACAGCCAGCAAGGCCTGCAATGCCAAAAGCTGAGATTCGCCACCGCGCAACCCATTAAAAATAAGGGCAATCAATTTACAGCAAGGTTGTATATGGGTTAGAGATTAGTGGCCCCGGCTGGCAGGGGCCGGTATAACTACTGAGCGCTGTGCCCATGGTTGGTTGGGTCTTGAATGGATTTGGCGAGCCCATCAAGGGGCGGGATGTGTGACAACCATTACGCAGCTTCTCTGCAGATGCACCTTGCCTCTGGAAGGAGAAACATGTACTGATATTTATGATGACTAACCTTTACTGATGATTGTGCTTGTGGCACCATGCAGTTTCGGGCCGCATGGAACAAGGATTACAAGCCGGATCTGGCGAGGGCATTCGATCACATTCTCATCCACACCGGCGCAGCTGCCGTAATAACAGCAGTTGTCAAGGGGCTGCAATTGGATCCCAAGGCGGCCGTGCCATCTTCAGAGGCCCTGGAACGCTTTGGCAACACCACCATGTGCTCCACTTACTACATCCTTGCCAACATCGAGTCTCAGGTAAAATAATCTGGATACACAACTCAATGCGCATGGAGGAAGACATTCCATGTACATCAATTGGTTTTACACGGAAGCCGTTCTCTGGATGTATTTATTGTGCATGCAATCATGTGCATGCGTGCCAGGCTTTGTCAATAATTCAGTCGATTGGAGATGTCCCAACTTGCTGGGAAGTGGTAATAGTTGCTGCCCCACGAGCCCCGAGGGAACGTCCCAGCATACTACAAATAAGACTTCTTTGATGGGTGCAGGGAGGTATCAAGAAAGGAGACAGAATTCTGCAGCTGGGATTTGGGTCGGGATTCAAGTGCGGTGCTGCCTTCTGGCGCGCTCGGCGCACCGTCAAGGACGCCAAGCACAAAGCCTGGGAGCCTTACACATGATCGGCCTTTGTAGAATAATTTCGAGCAGATCTAGATGGGTCATACAGCACGAAACCAATACTTCTGTATTCTGTACCTGCGAATATCTGATGGCTGCAGCTGGCTTGCAGCAAAGTCACTCGCAGCTAGTATGTACTTATATATTCTTTGCCCAAAGTGGGTTAAGTACATGCTTGAAGTCAAATGCATGGGGTTCAATCAAAAGATGAGGTTTGATTAGCCGAGCGCACATTAAATGCAAGGTAGAGTTACATGAGGTCTCCATTGCTTTCTTATGCAGGCCTAAGTCAAAGCAGACTTGGTAAGACATACAGAAACAGGTATTCCTTGTGCTAGCGTGACCGCAATATCGCACCCTGTGTCCTGTATGCACTTGCTGTCAATGGAAGAAATCCCAAAACGCAGAGCTGCAGATCATGTACGTACAACCATGACCTGCTCAATTACAGAATCTGCATTTGTGCGCAGAATGAACTGCTCAGCCATACTTGCACACCATTGATCACTACAGGATGCACGATGCCCCAGAACCGGTCCAATTCTGCTTCAAGCCACGCAGGCATTTGCAGACACGACCGTCTGACATCAAGATGTCATCTTGATGTCAGCGTGAAAGGGGCCTCGCGAGGTGGCAGCGCGAAGGTCTCTGCTAGTGTCAGCAGCCAGTCCTCTGTCACTGCCTCGCAAGACTGGTGCGGGCGGGTGCTGCCATGCATCACCACGCACAGTGTGCAAGACCTCAGGCCTGTCACCTGCAAATGCACACAGCAGCATTCTTGGTATTCCAGGCACAGCTGTGATATATAATTAACCTGCAATTATATGCTCAGATCTCGGGTTGCATATCTTCTGTGTTCAGCACAGATAGGTCAACGAGGCTGAAGAGGGTCTGCCTAGAGCAGAACCTAGACATTCAACCAAGTAATTATATAATTAGTCATGAAGACAGTAACATGCTTTCTTACAACAACCGATGGCAGCATGCCTTCAACATTCCCTGCTGGAAAGCACCGTGCTACTTGTGTGAATTCGCTCGTTTACAGGGCATCCAGAGTGCAGGTTGCGCACCTCTGCACCGTGGGCAGTCGCGGTGCGCTTGAGAGCGGCCACACGGCTGGCTGTCTGAGGAGTTTGTGCATCAGGTTCCACTATGTGCAGGCTCTCGCCCTTCAGTAGCGGCGGCTTTCTCTGCTCGTAGTGCAGCCTGGCCGCAGCCGCAGCCGCGCTGTAGGCCACCTGCTTGCACCAGTGGCATAAGCTCTGAGACCAGACATGCATGCACCACATATAATGACACCATTTCAACATTAAATAGAAGTGTTGTAGTCAGAAGTAATAAGCAATTCGTGGGTTCAGAGGAATTATGACGGGTCTGTGGTGTACCTCGGCCTGGAAGTCCTGCTCATCCTGCCACTTGCCTGCCTCCAGGGAAGCTGTCAGCCATGCTGGCGACAGCAGCCACGCACCCTTTGCAATCGCCAACATCACCTGAATGCACCCAGCATGTCCTCTTGGAGGTGATCGGATAAAAACTGCTTCAGTGACTGCAAATTCTCCCCCTGGTGGGCTTTGACACGTGCAACTGAGTTGCCAGCTTTGCAGCAGCGCCCCTGTGTGGCACAGATACAGCCATTGTGCACTTGCTGTAGGCAAAGAATATGAAATTGAGTTTAAAGATGTGTGGAGAAGCCACACTTTCAGTGTCCGCTTCTGCGAGCCGACGATAAGGTGGGTGGCCATCTCATCGCGCCCCTCTGGACACATCCTCAGCCGCCGCAGCCGCTTCACGGCAGCTGCCGCCAGCTCCGCCGTCCCTTCCTCAACTGCACAGCAATCACACACCGACACTGAGCCCCCTGACAACAAGTCCATCATCCTGTTGCATGTTAAAGCGATCGCCAAATGCAGGTACCTTGAGCCAGTGATAAACATGCAGGGTGAGATTGAGCCGCTGCCAAGTCAATCGAACAGACTTGTCAAGAGTACAAGCTGCATGCAGCTGAGGTTGTTCCTACGAGGGTGCAGATTTAGGCTGACCTGCAGTGAGCGACAGAAAGCCCTGGCGGGGCCGGCGCGACCTGTCAGCCGCCTCTGCCTTCCTGTTTGCTGTGGCTGGTGAATTTCCTGGTTGGACGTTCGGGTCGTCCTGTGCATTCTCTTTGAAACTGGCCTGGGCTGGAGTGGTGACACTGTCACCGTTTTCGCAGCTGCGCCTGACGCTGGAGGAGGGCAGAGAGCGCTGATCATGCGCTGGCTTTTCTACTTCGCTGATGGAAGGTTCTCCAGGCTCTTCAGGGCCCGCTGACCCTGTCACACCGCCAGACCTGCCATGCTGCTGAGCGGGAGATAAAGTCGGGAGGGGCTGTCCAGCAGATCTGGAGCCAACAGTAGCATCACCATTGCTGGTGGGCCAGGCGACTGGAATGTTGTCATGGAGATGCTCTTCTAATTGAACCTTCTCTGCTCGCATCATGTGCTCCTCAGTTGATCCTGCTGCAGGTGGGTGAGGCTGGGGGAGCTGCCAGCTGACAGCTGCATCCTGCACTGGGACAGAGACACCCTGGCCGGGCAGATCATCTCTGCGCGCAGAGGCAACGTCCTCTGCCGGCTGGTCCGCAGGCTGGTCGCCTGTGGCCGCTGCTACATCTGACAGTGTGTCCTGCTGCACAGCAACTAAATATCAGTGTGAGAGGGATTTTGTACTGCAGAAATCTACTTGAGCATGCATGGCATCAGATAATATATTTCCCTCAAAATTGGCCATCCGAATAGGCTGTGTGTGGAGGTGCAGATGTACCTGAACGAGCGCCTCCTCCGGTGGAAGCAGCAGGGGCTGGGGACTCTCCACCTTCACGCGCTTCTGAGCGCTTCTGCCGCGCGTGGTTCTGACCGGATTGGGACTGGGCGAACGCGGCCGCATGCGCGTCGGCCGCAGCCCCGGCCGCGCATAAACTCTCACCGGCGCCGACCGGGGCCTCGCCGCCGTCTCGATGACATCTGCGCCTTCGCTGCCTCCTTCTGTGTCATCTGGCGACTGATCTGATGTGGCAGACCGCCGCCTCCTTGCAGGTCCAGCAGTAGTTCGCGGCGTCGCTCGTGGTGTGCGAGCAGAGGCGGCGCGGGGCCTGGGCACTGAGGCGGCGGCTCTGCGGCCGCTGCTGCCGGGCTCGGTCTTTGGAGTAGCGCTCCTGCCCCCACGCTGGCCGCGCTGTCCCCTTGTGACAGGCTTTGGCGTGACGAAGCTGCCCGACGGTGTGGCATGCCCAGCTATACCTGACAGCATGCAGTCAGGGGCTAACAAGGCACATTTCCTTCAGCAGTCATCATGGTGATGAATTCGTAAAGATGACGAGAGGCCATATGAGCATGTTAAGTTGATGAGAGAGCCAGAAGTCTGTCTGAAGCAAACCTGCTGGTAGACCTAGCAGAGTCTCTGCTGCTTCCTGCATGTCCACTCTCTCTGAAGATGCCCCCGCCATGCATGACTGCTCTGAGAGTGCCTGAGACAAGCATGCATCCTTTATTTCATGGATGCTTTGACATTCCATGCAAATGTCATGGCTTCACATTTGGGGCATTCTGTGCATCAAAGAAAAATTCCTATCGAGGCACAATGCCACTTTTGCAGGCCGTGCATGCGTGGAAAGATGTCAGATGCAGGCATCGCTGCTCACCGAAGGTCTAACGGCTGAGGGCGCTGTCCCTGGCCTGCCAGCCTTTTGAGGCCACTTGACCTTCTTCTCTGCTGCGTCAGCGGAGCCAGGATAGGTGCTGTCTCTTTCAGCACCTGGTGAGATGCAGAGAGTCAATGAGTGCATGTGTAGCGTGGGCGGACATGCTCAACTGGTCCACATTCACCATCTCATCACTAACTGTAAATGATGACAATTGCTTTGATGATCACCTTGTGGCACACCATCTTCCATCATCTGCTGTGTGCTTGAGAAATCCAAAGCGCTCATGTCCAGCTCATATGCACCTGCACATGGACATGACTGGTCCTCAAGTTGTGCACAGGAGTGATGCCTCAAGGCAGTTCCACTGCGTTGCGCTTCAGATTTACTTGCCTGCTGGCTTAGGCTGCTGCATTCTCTTCTTCCTCTTCTTGCCTGGAAACACCAACCTCAATGGGCTCATTTGAGACTCTGCAATTCGTTGGTTGTGGAAAGCACCAATCCGCCACCAGTGACGCATGTGAGGAAGGCCTTACGTGCTGTTGATCCAGGTGTCAAGGCCTTTGCAAGGTCAAAGACGGGGCTAGGTGGACAGCTGATCAGGTATTTGTTCTCCTGCAAGCCAGACCCAAAAATGCCTAAGATCGTACACCAGACTATGAAAGAGGTGAACACAGATGCGTGTTGTAGAAGTGCGAGGCGGAGCACCTACCAGCGCTTTCTCTTGCATGCTGGCACACGCCTCAATCCAGAAAGGGTCCACGAAAACTGCAAAAACTCCGCCTGTCTGTGCTGCCTGCAGAGCAGATATGTGTCACCAGAGAAGCAGAGCTAAGCTGCCAATTCGGATGAAGAGCTAAATGCTTGCGATGAATATCGCAGGCAGTTCACCTTCTCTGCCTTTGCATACAAGCCACGCAGCTCCTCATCATCTCGCTGTTTCTGTTCTGATGAAGCACTAGCACTCCGGCGAAACACAACATGTGTCACCCCTTTGCCGAATCGGGCCTTGACAGAGGCACCCAGGCTTTCTAGCTTTCTGTTCAGTGCCTGCTTGTCATCCAAGGATCCTTGTGCCGTGCAGCACACAACATAAGCAACCACATCGGACAGGACACCCTTCTTCACGATTTCCATTGGGGCAACCCTTTACATCCCTTTCATCATCTCATTTGCCATTCTGAAGATCATGAAACCATCGATATCCTCAGGTTCAGTCATTCCAGTTTTATTGAGAGAGAGGCCTTTCCTCAGATTAACGTTGAATCAAGTGTATATATATCACCATGTCTGCCACACTCTGACGTTGTATCGATCAATGGCATTCACAAGCAGCGGATCACGTATGAAAGATTACTTTTCACGAACACCAGATACATATCTGAATGTCTGCACGCCGAGCTGTTGCAGCGCTTTTAAAGTCGCGAGGATGGGCTCGCCCCTGAATGGCTTGGACCTTGAGAGTTTATTTTTGTCTCTCATATTCACTTGCAGTAAATGCATCGTAAAATGCCCTATGCATGGACGGGGTGCCGAAATTAAGAGATCGGGAAACTCAGCTGGCTCAGGCACGGCTGGGACTGCAAGCCGCATTTGCTACACTTCAGAATGGTAATCCGGTTGCAGCCTTGCAGGTGAGAATGCATCGTTTCTTGAAAAGGAATAACTTTTCATCCCTTATTTGCGATCTGAATAGTCTAGAACTGACCTGTGACTCAGGAAGTGCTGAGGATCACACGGGATCTGGGAGGAAGTGAGGCGCAGGCACCACTCATCCAAAGGTAGCTAGCTAGCCGAAAGTTGTTTGGAGCAAGCATCAAGTTGCTTGTCTTCAATAAAGAGTGCAGATCGCATCTGGACAAGGCAGATCGCTCAGACCAACTGCGCACGTGCAGGGCATTGGAAGCTTTCTCGCAAGGCCAGAGTCAAAGCACCCAGGACATTGCAGCACTTCTTGCGCAGTGCAATCTGGAAGTGACAGAAGAGGTGAGGGCAGGCAAGCATTTATACCCATTTCTTCCCTTACATTTTTAGCAGGACCACACATCACCTGCTGATCCCTGGTTATCAACGCAGAGTCAGAGGTCTGCACAGGATGAGGATGCAAGCATGAAGCAAGTTGATCAGGACCGCACTGCGGCAGGAAATGACGAGAACAAGCCCATCTTGGCGGTATGGGGCTCAAAATATTTTGGTGTCACATTCTGCATTATCTTCTGTGCACATGCACGTACAGCGTTCTGAGAAGGAATGCATCTCGAGCTCATGCCTGTTGGTGGAAGCAGGAGAGCGGGAGGGAGGGCATAACAGACGCAGCTCTCATGGATGGGTCAAGCTTTGTTTGTGGCCGTTGTGGCGGTGTTGTCAGTCGAAGCAGGGAGAGCCAGCACCAGTTCTGGTGCTCTCAGTAAATATCTCAAGGGGGGATCATCCTGATTGATCATGCAATTGCAAGGCATGATACTAAAGCACAGTTGTGTCCAAACATGTGTGGAGCATACCCTACATGTGAGCTGCCTGCACAAATTTCAACGCTCGCATCAGAGAGCGGCCTCTTGCAATTGCCAAAAATGGCCAAGATCCATTCATTGCGCTATGTGAGAGAATATCCAGATGAATGATTGCTGCCGATCACAAAATATGCTTTTTTGAAAATATGCGGGCAACAGGCATGGTAGAGTGAGACTGGTTGCGCAGTGGCGTGCAGAAGCTACTAACATTAGTGTTGAGAAGGTTTCCCAGTTTGGAAGGTCTAGCTTGATCAATTGACGTCAGAAGCGGCTGTTCTTCACAGAACTCGCCTGTTGCATGACATTCAATGCATTCATTACATTTGCTGAACTTGCCTGTTGCATGCATTTATTACATTTGCTGTTCGAAGCTGCCAAGCCAATAGCAATGGAGGACACAGAGTCGAGTTGTGGAGTCACACACGTTTGGTGATCTCATGAGCAGCTTGTGAAATGGCCTCTGCTGCATGCGCTTGGGTGCAGCAATTGTAATACTAGCTAAGCCTAGGACCCAATCTCTGCTTAGATTTCTTATTGCAATCCCGCAAGCAAGCATACTTTACATTGCGCTGCTGGATCAACTTATTCATTTACTGTACTATAGTAGACATCTTCCTGGGAAAAAAGAATGCAGCACCAGATTAGCAAATCCAACAAGCCGCCAGGTTGGAGCTGAAAGTGATGCGCCAAATTAATTTGTCTGGCATGCTGGCCATGCAAGAGAGTTGCTATCACCTTAATTCGTTTCAGATCACTCAATTCATTGATTCTGTGCCGCAGAAGCATGCTGCTACTTCCACCAGAAGCTCACAGAGAAGCTGATGTTGACAGAGCGCACATAGTGCCACCATTTGGGAGGTATGTAGAGCATCTCGCCCTCCGACAGGATGGTGTCCAGGAAAGGAAGCCCCTCAGAGTCTGGGAACCTGGCAAGGTCAGGCGCATCCAGATCAACCTGGCTTGAGTTTGTCGTCAACCCCTCCTCAAAGGGGTACAGCCGGGGAGTCGCAGATGGCGGATACAGGCGCACATACTTGGTGCCCACAACCTGGGCCAGCAGATTGTGGTGGGGATCATAGTGCAGCGGCGTCACCTGCGCACCAAATATGACAGTGCATTGACACTTCTCTGTTCGAACACCCATTCTTCCATTGAACACAGCGTTCTCGCGTCTGAATGAATCTGCCAGGTGCTTCCCAGGTCCATGCACACCTTGTCATTAGGTGCAGGCGCACGCTGAACAAGACACTGCATATAAGCCAAGCTCTGACAAGCCGTTCCTCCTCGGCACAAGCAGTTGTTTTGCTGCATCAAAATCAACTTGACAGGTGCATTTCCAGATGTATGCACAACTTTGCGACCAGCGGCAAGGAGCAGGCGCGCACCGTGCCGGCAGGTCCGAACCACGCGTTCACGCTTTGCATGTCTCCCTCCCCCAGGCTGCAGTACTCGGGCTCCATTATGTCCCTCGCCAGCTCGGGAATCTGCTCAAAAAGGGGGTGCTGCGCCAGATACCCTCTCCGCTTATCAGCCACCTCCTTGCCGAGAGAGGCATCCTTGCCCAGGATGTGCTGCACGATAAAGTCCCGGAGCGGCATGAGGCACTGGCCCCAGCCGTCCTGGAGGTAATGGTCTCCCAGCTCGACAGGGACTGTGCGCAATCCCGCCACCTGCTTCAGGTACGCCGGCTTTTGCCACCGCGTCATTGCTGGCCAGTGCTGCATCGCCCCTGAGCAGCAGCCACACATTGCGTCACCTCACCTCATCTTGCGGGAAACACCTTCAGAAAGAGGACAAATGGATCTTTTGGAATGCACCCTGATGACAGATACAGTGGAAGTGCAGATCTTGGTATAAAACACCCACCTGTAATCACGCAGGGTTTGCCTCCTCCAGAGCCGCACATGTACTCAGCACATAAATGCTCCAAGGATGGCAGCGCCTCTACTTGCACCCGGCTGTCCTGTCTCAAACTCCCTGCGGCAAGCATGCTTCTTCTGAGATCAGAAATGAAAGGTAGTGGAGCAAGCAGGGGCACTGCAGGACTGGTGACATGGCCACGATTGCTTCCCACCCACCTGCAGGCAGCGAGGCACGGGCGGTCCTCTCTGGCCAGCAGTCCCCCATCTTGCCACATATCTCACCGTCAGGCTGCTCAGCCAAAGGCTCCTCATCTGCCCTACATTCCCTATCGCAGTCGCCATTGTGCAGTGTCCGCCTGACTTTGGTGGGCCGCTCTGGCTCTGCACTGTCACTGCAGCCAGAATGTCCTCCTGAGGGACCCTGCTGCCCTGCTCCATGCTTCCTTGCAATCCCAGACAGTGCTTGTCCAGCAAGCTGCACATAGCGCTGCTGTACCAGCTCAATCGCTGCGTCCACCCATGGCCTGAAGCGCAGCCCGCCCATGATCACTGCCAGATCAAGCTCCCTCATGGCCGCCGCCAGCCTTGCCTGCTGCTCTGAGACGCTGACTACACCCTCTCCACAGCTGCTCCCTGACTCTGATGTCCTCAATCCAGTAGCAGCTTGGGTGTAAGTTGTACCGTCGCCGTTCTGCTGCTCTGCGGACCCCTCTGACAAGGCTGGTGCTGCAGGAGGCAGGCTGGCTGCCCTGTCGACGCTGGCCAGATCTAAGAGTGAGAGCAGCAAGCATCCCAGGGAGTACATGTCACGCCAGGCCATGTGAACATGTTTCCAAATGCCTGTGTGCAGCTTCTCCCAGGCTGCCTGCACCACATGAATTTGGCCCATCCTTGACATGTCACAGATGTCAAAGCCAAATTGCTGATTTGACTGTAGCCTGAGCAAGCTGGTTACCTCTTGGACAATGCGCAGATGCATAGTCTTTTCCTCCAAGCTGACATCCTGCACATGAGATACCGTGTTCACATCAGCGTTATTGCTCATGGAGCTAGATGCCTTATCAGCATACATAGCAATCAAGGGAGCGGCCCAGTTATCGCACCTGCTCCTTCAAACCCATCTGCAGCATTACGACACAAGATCCACCCCCGAGACCCTTTAGATCTGCAGAACATTAATGATCTCGGCTCTGCAATATTATTAACATCACTTCAAGGCTTTAGAACACATGTTTTGTGACGGCTCACCTGTGCAGAGATCCGCCAAGGCATCTGAACCCCTCAAGTCTTTGAGCACTTGGTGCATCGTTTCATACTGCATCATTGATCAGGGTCTGTCTTGGCTAAGGCTTCATCCAACTCGCTGTAGTCTTCCATTTCTTGGATTGTGTGTGTTGATCCTAGAAACTGCAAGGCACAGCACATGCTGATCATCAACAGCTCTGGCAGCGTAGGCCAAGTGTAAGCTCCTACACGAAGTGGGAGAATCAAATCCCAACAATTTGAGCTTGAGCAGCACACCTCGCCATTGACGTGCAGCTGGGGCAGATCACTAAAGTCTGGGCTCTGAAGCAACATCTCAGATCGCCGTGCAGGTTGCTCTGCCAGATCCACCTGCATTGATTTTGCATTCCAAGGGTTACACAAATGAGTCCTTTCAGTGAGGATGTCAAGGGAAAGGAATATATCAGTGCAAGACTGACGAACACACCTCTTCATATTTCACCTTCTTAGCTTCCAGCAACTCTTTCATGCGGCGTATGTCGGCTTTAAGCTTCAGTGTAGCTGCTGTGGATGTCGTGTACATCACAACCTTGGCCATCGTTCAATATAGGTCAAAATGCATCACCAGCCATCTAGGATAGCACCTTTATATAAATAACGAGGACATTCCTTTCAGAACGAGTGGAAACAACAATGTAGGCGCCACGATAGGCGATCTAATAAGTGCACATGTGCGGGTGAAAGACTTTGCAGCTGCTCATGTACGAAGGGACGATGTCACTTGAGAAATGAAGGGACTCTGACTAGAAACGTCCAAGGCATCAAAGGTGCGAATGGGATTTCTGTCACGGAGGAACATCAACAACATTGTGCGGCATGCGTTGTGGCACTTGTCGGTGACGGGCGTTCCCTTCGTATGACATGTTGGCATCAACTTGAGTCATGCTTTCAGGGCACCACCTAGCATGATTATCCTTCCCAATCGTGCAATTCCATTGCTAAGAAATTGCCCTGCAGGCTGCCAGCAGCTGGATCTTTTTATGCAATTTACGGCCACTGGCGGCCGCGAGTGCGCTGCCGCGCGTGATGAGTTTGAACCTGGTGCTCATGGTTATGAACCTCGTGATCACGTGGTCCACTAGCAGTGCGCAGTAGCCACAATCTTAGCCACTATGAACATGATTGCATGGGAAACTTGGGGGCATTGATCATAAAATCTCCATTTGGTACATGCAAGCATACTATGTAGTAGTACTACAATGCTGTTAATAGGAAAGCTTAGCTGGGCAACAGGTGGAACTGTTCCACCTGCGGGGCTCATATGTGCAGGAGATCTCATTCCCATGGGCCAGGACATATTCTGGGCAAGAGCGCATGTGCAAACCAGCTAGGCCCAATAAAACCTTGCCCAGCAACAGCTTGCGTCTCTCACTGATGAGCTTAAAGAATACGATAGACAATCAGATGCCAAGCCTCAGATGGCTGGCCGCCACACACGACAGCCTGCTGTGTCCCTTTGGAATTTTCCAGTGACACGTCAACCCTTTGGCAAGTGCTAGCACGTGTTGATGGCCAAACGGTACCGGTGGTGCCTGGTTCAACTACAAGCCAATGGTCTTGACGTATTGGAAAAGATTCCTCGTGAACAGTTCACACCTGCGAATACATGTCCTGTCTGTCAGAAAAGCTTCTTGTGAAACCTGGGGGCATGCGCGACTGTTTGCATTCTCTGGGATGGATTATTTTTGTCAATCTAGACGGGAGAAGGAGCTCACTTGAACGGCTCGCCAGGTGTGTACAGAGGGTTCTTCATCACGTACTCCACATACAAGCCATAGATATAGGACAGGTTGTCCCTCAAGTCTCTGGCGTTGGGATCAGTGTTCAAGACAATCTGCGAGGCAAACTCATCAGGTGAGAGTAGGGCACCAAGTAACTAGGAAAAATATGCCAATCTGCCAATGCTGAGTTGTGCAGGAGCACTCACCTTTATTCCTGATGGGGACTCCAGGAAATGGAGCTTGTAGTTGTTTGTTCTGAAGCTCCGGAATGTGCATGATTCCCCAATTCTGAGCGGGGTCCCAAGCTGTGTCTTAGTATCTCTGCAGCACACGAGCACGCCTTCAATATGCAGGTGAGCAAGCGAGACATGAAACCGACCATGTCGTATCAAATCAATTGATGCAGCAAGTGTAATTAAATTTTAAGATGGCACAAGTACAAGACTTGGAAGTCTAAATCCCTCACGCCCGAGTCCGCTGAGAATAGACCACAAGATGCAGATCATATCAGGCACAGCAGTAACGGCACGATTGTCTCACGTTCTTGGGTCTATTGCTGCTGCAAAAGTCTTCAGAGAGAAGAACAGCCCAAACATCATCGTCTGGTCATCTGCAGGTGTCCCTGCTCCTTGTTTGACAGGTTTGGGTCGGGACCACTCATGGTAAAACAAGCAGACTCCTTGGCGGTTATAAATGTATATATTGTAGCACCCACCCATCGCTACTCATAATGCCAAACAGTGCATCTGGGCCATCAATGTTCAACCTGCCATATGTATACGATCAGCGATGGTATGATATCCTTTCACCTCTTCCAAATTTCTTACACGTAAGTAATCTCTCCCATTTCATGGGCCATTTGCACGACTGGCGATTTATATGAGTATGTGTTCGATCTGAAGCCTTCCTGCTGCTGAGTCACTGCTATGGTGTCCAATGTGATTTGATGAGAGCAATTAAGAGTCGACGGAATAAGACAAGATCTACAGTCCAACTGTGCTCAAGATTGCTCAATGTCACATCTGTGGTCGTATATTTACAGCCAGACACGTTAACTTATATGAAGATTAGTTGCAATCTGCGAAATCGCCGTTGAGGACTTTTACACCTCTGTACCTGAATCATCCGTCTCTTGATATTATGGATTTGCTACATGGATTACCCTGTAAAGGTTTCGGGCATAGGACATATTCTAGACAGCCCGTTTTGCAGCAAACATTGGCCTCTGATAGATATTTAGCCAGGAATCTCCTTTCAGAAAGAACCATCCAATGCAATAGATTGCGTAGGAGAGTCAGAGGAGACCAATATCGCAGCCATATATGCAGCGCGTCAGGAATGTGTCGCTCTTCATGGAGCTGTAAAGGTCATCGGCATGTCAAAATATCCCAGCAAGCACCCCTTCCCCGAGGCATCAGGGCAGTGCAGACATCAGATGTAGAGGCAGAGAGTTCAGTCGATGATGTGAAGCTGCATGGAGAGCAGAATGGGACTGCCGAAGGCTATGGCATATCAGTCAGTGACTTGCAGCGCTTTGCAGAGCTGGCCCCCCACGAGGTCTTTGCACCAAAGACAGGATTTTTCGTGAGTGCCGCTCATCTGGCCACGCTGCTGCAAACTAGCCTGTCAGCAGGAGTCTCAGGCGGCCGGGCTGAGCTGGCTGCTAGACGACAGGCGCTGGGCTCAAACAGCCTCCCTGAAAGAGACCAGGTCTGCCTTCAATGCTTGCATGCCCTCATCTGCTCTTCCACATGTTTTATGATGTAGAATGTAGCGTCTTAAAAGATTCATTTCAGCCTGCCGGGCCCACCATTGGCTTGGCAGATGCCAGCTTCCACATAGCTCCACACAGCTTCATGACTTGCTAGAAAGCAACCACAGGCCTGCATGGGTAGTCTGTTGCATTTCCAGGCTGATACCATGCGCAGGTGTCTTTTTGGGAGCTCATAGCCAATACACTGGAGGACTTTACCATTGTGGTACTGCTGATCAGCGGAGTGACCAGCATCGGCCTGGAGCTTGCATTTGGGGAAGGGGACAACGGCTGGATAGAGGGGGCCGCCATCCTTGCGGCTGTGGCAGTGGTGTCCCTGGTGACAGCTGTCAATGACTACGAGAAGGAGCAGCAGTTCCGCCAGTTGAGCGCCCTGTCAAGCGACACCCAGATGACAGTTGTGCGCAATGGAGAGGCCCAGGAGATCAGCACCTCGGAGACTGTTGTGGGGGATGTCATGCTGCTCACCACTGGAGACATCCTGCCCACAGATGGGCTCCTCTTTGAGGGCAATGACATCAGGCATGCGCTATGATTGATCAATTTTGCTGGCACATGCTTCAGCCATGCATGCTCTCAGTGACTCGCGAACACCTTTGGTTTGTATATGTATCTACAATGTAATGCAGCGTTGAGTTTGTGGAGATGCTTGGGTGCAGGGTTGATGAGAGCCACTTGACTGGGGAGAGCGATGATGTCCTTAAGCATGCGGACCTGTCTCCAGTGATGCTCAGCGGGTCCAAGATATTGGAGGGCTACGGACGCATGCTTGTCACGGGAGTGGGTGAAAATTCCGCGCAGGGGCGCATTCTGTCGTCCCTCACTCAGTCGCCACCCGATGAGGACGGCGGTCTCAGGTAGCTGCTCTTCGTTAGTTCTCAGAATGCTTGCAATTGCTCCTGCTAAAAGCTTCAGTACCCCCAAATGCTCAGCTCGCTCGTCATCTTTCTCACCTCCTATTTGTTCTGCCGTTGCTACAATCCCATGATCTGCAATCCAACATGCTGAAGATTGTGCTGCAGAGAAAGCACAGCATTGCAGAGGAAGTTGGAAACCATGGCGCAGCAGATAGGGAATTTTGGGCTGGCGGCCGCCATCTTCAGTCTGACAGCCATGGCGGGCCAATTCACGTGGTCCACCTTTTTTGTGGACGGCCAGGCTTGGGACTATAAGTACCTGTCAGAATACCTCCGCTTCATCATCACTGCAATCACAATACTGGTGCGTGCTCCGCTGCTACCGCTGACAAGATACAGTGTCCCCAGCTGCCTGCTTTTGCAATGTCGCTTGCAAGGATAGCACTCTTGAACAATTTGAAGTCTAAGAATTTGTTGTTTGCCAGGTGGTGGCAATTCCAGAGGGGCTGCCTCTGGCCGTGACCATAGCGCTGGCGTACTCAGTAAAGCGCATGCTGGCAGACAACAATCTCGTGCGTAACCTGGCGGCTGCGGAAACCATGGGCTGCGCCACAACCATCTGCACGGACAAAACAGGTGCTGCTCATCAGCACTACTGTCTGCTGCAATCCCTGTTTCTAGCTCTCTTTAGGTAGTTAGCTGGACGCCAGGACAATGCAACCCAAAGAATGCATGGCAGCCTGAAGAGGCGCAGGATCGTATTGCCACCTGTGTCCTGATGGTGACCAAACTGCTGAAACACCGGCAATGGAAAGCTCTGGTCAAACAGGCAAAAATGGGAGCGGCAAAGAGGCCGCAGCAGAAGCAGTCTCTATGCCTGCATGGAAGCAGGGATAGGAGCAGCCATAGAGGCAGGAACAAGTGGAATGGTCGTGCTGCATCTGAAAAAGGGGGGTCTCATGCGCGCGCAGGAACGCTGACGCAGAACAGGATGGCGGCGGCGCGCATGTGGGTGGCCGGGCGGGACTATGGTGACTTGACGCGGCTGCTGTCCCCAAGCGTGGACATGACGTATGCGGGCGAGGATGACAGCAGCCCCCTGGGCCTTGACACGCGCGTCCTTTCTCTGCTCACCTCCGGCATCGCCCTCAACTCCACCGCCGAGCTGCGCCCCGGCGATGGTGAGACCCCTCTGTTGTACTAAATTCACAGATTATCATGCAGCGAGCATGCAGTGAGGAGTGATTGCGATGCCCTCTGCAGAAAGTCAGAGTTCTAGCATAGGCCCAAGGCCCGACGGCAGTGCAGCTGAAACCTGTACCTTACATGTGCCTGTCGCCTCGCCAGGAATTGCTCGCCAGGAATTGCTGGATCAAAGTGACACCGCTGAACTGGCCTTCCTGCAGAAATGTTAGTGTTCCTCCGAGGAACGCGGCTGCCAGCATGGCACTTGCTCTTACCAATTTCTTGGTATGCATGTGCATGTGTAATTTCTTGCAATGCAGCAAGAGGCGGAGTATCTAGTACAAAGGCTGCAAGGCTTCGCTGACCGAGGAAATGCTGTGTACGCAGATGGGCAGGTGAGCCTGGTGGGCGACAGGACGGAGTGTGGGCTGCTGCAGCTGGCATCCTCGCTGGGCGCTGACTACCACCTGGCACGAGAGGAGGGCCAGGTCCTGCGCGCGTTCCCTTTCTCCTCCGAGCGCAAGCGCATGTCCACCCTCACCACCCAGCCGGGCGCCAGGTCAGCCCCCCTCAGACTGTAAACCCTACAGAGCCCCAGAAAAGATCAGATGTGTTCCTCTGGTTCTCTAGATGGGGCATCCTATCACTGCATGCATGGCAGGATGTGTGAAAGGCGGGCCTGGCTCATATATACCCCTGCATTCTTAATTTCTTTCATGTCAGACATAGCAGTTATATGTCTGATTCCTGTTCTATTCTTTCAACATGGGTCAGGCAATGCGAGGCAAGCATAAGTCACTTATTGCACGGATAATCTGCTCCTGTGACTGCTTTGCTGATGATAAATTTTTTGCACATTCTTGCAGCACGTCTGGGGCCCTGTGCGCGCGGCTATTCACAAAGGGCGCGGCGGAGATCTTGTTGGACCACTGCAGCACGCGCGTAGCTGAGGACTCCTCTGTCACTTACCTCAACGACGCAGAGAAGCAGCAAATCCTCCAAAGCTTCGCCAAGGAAGGGTCCCTACGGTGGGCCTCCATCTCTTCCCCAGCGCATGTCTTTGTGTGGCTCTTCTATCTAATATTTCCTGCTAGCTGCTTAGGGCTCACGATAATGGTACTTTCTCTCCATTGCTTCTCTTGCTATTGAAGAAAATGCGTGCAGCTGACATCTTGGCCAAAATGAAAAACAGCCGTTCCTGTGGCGGAACGTGCCATAGCTACCCATTAGCAGAATTGCATGCCCGAGGATGCTGGCGGTGCAGGTTGCTGGCGCTGGCGTACAAGGATGTGATGATGCCGTACCCATCTCGGGGCGAGTCACTGGACGGCCTGCAGGCGGAGAGCTTGGAGCAGGGGCTGACGCTGGTGGCTGTGGTGGGCCTGGAGGACCCCCTGCGAGTGGAGGTCAAGCACGCCATCGCGCAGTGCCAGAGAGCCGGCATCACCGTGCGCATGCTCACAGGTGCGCCGCCCACTTTCAGCTTCCTCTCTGCAGCACCGCCATCTGCTCTGAAACGACACGTCCGGCAGGATCAGTCCAAGATGGAAGTTCTGTAGGGGGTGTACCTACGGAGGCTACACAAGCTCTTGAACACCAGCATGAGGGATGAAGCAGCCTGTGCATCTCGGGCCTATATGCTCTCCTAGTGTAGTCATCGTGGAGAGCCTTGATTTGAAAAATTAACATTTCAAATTTTGCAATGCAGGTGACAACTCCACAACGGCGGCCTCCATAGCGCAGCAGTGTGGCATCCTGGACAGGGGCGTGCCCGTGCCGGTCATAGCAAGCATGCCAGTCAGCACATCTGGGCAGCAAGATGGCAAAATGCAGGTGAGGGCCCTGCTTCCTCACCGGCAATGAACCTCAATTTGGTGATGGGAGATGGAACCTTGTTTGAGCAGGAGAGAACTTGTATTGCACTAAATTTGAGTATTACAAATCACTGGTGAATACAGGATGTCCTCGTGCAGACGCCAGATGCTGACGACAGGATTGCTGCCAGCGTGAGCAGAGAAGCCACCAGCAACGGAGCTGGGCCCAGCAGCTCAGCCCCTGAAAGTGCGCTGCGTTACTGCTTCGAATCACATAGCACGCACCACCCTCTGATGTTGCATGTCTCACACAAGATTTGCCCGCACACACCCATAATTGTAATAGCAGCCCCCTTTTGGGCGATGCAACTTTGGACTGTTATCACCAGCAGCGTGGGTGCCTGAACTGGCTTCTGCTGCCTCATAGGAGTAGGGAGCAGAGGGGATGAGGGGCCGTCCTCAGATGCATCGGATGCAGTTCTGACCGGGCCGGAGTTCCGCCAGCGCGTGTTGCGGCCAGACGGCTCGATAGATCGGCGGGAGTTTGATGCGCTGTGGCCGGCCCTGCGCGTCATGGGTCGCTGCTCGCCGCAGGACAAATACACCATCGTGCGAGGTGCGCCGCGCTCTTTGTGACCCCACCACATGCCGCTAGGGATAAAAATCCTTACCCTCAAGCAGTATTGTGTACCTGTCCAGCTCCCTCAACACGGCGGTGTCAATTGTGCAACGCATTACTTTGAGTAATCGTAGAAAGGACGGGTCAAAGAACCCACGGGTGAAAGATCCCATACTCTTGCATATGAGTGGGCCGTTCTGCCTTGAAGAGTTTGGTCCAGGTCTCAGATTGATGACAATAATGCAGTAAACCTGAGACCCACGAAGGACCTCCTTCTCAACACATCTGGCTGAGCATCCACTCAACGACAGAACCTCTGAGGTGTGGCATGCTGGTGTTGGTGCGCAGCGCTGCAGGGGGATCCGGATGAGGTGGTGGCCATGACGGGGGACGGCACGAACGATGCGCCGGCGCTGAAACTGGCGGACGTGGGATTCGCGATGGCCAGCGGCACGAGCATTGCCAAGGTGCTAACAGAACTCCCCTTCCTGTCCTTCTGTCAGTCCTCTGCAGAGTCTGCACATCGATGTGCTCGGCAGCGATTACCCCTTTCAGAGCATGCAAGGCTTTTGACATTGTGTGCTGTGCCGCCTGGTTCACACCAGGAGGCCTCGGACATCCTGCTGCTGGACGACAACTTCAACTCCATCGTGAACGCTGTGAAATGGGGCCGCAACGTTTATGCCGGCATCACCAAGTTCCTGCAGTTCCAGGTGCGATGTTGTTGTACCCTACTTCATTCGTAAATTTAATCCCGGTTGAAAGCTGCAAGAATGATGGGTGCTTGGTAATATTTAATGTTTGCAGCGGATGTGCGGTTTGCTGTGGTGGGCTCAAAGAATCTTTTGGCAAAATTTGGGTTCGAATGAGAAGCAAAGCTGAGTGGGAAGTCCTCTGCGCAGCTTGTGGTGAATGTTGTGGCGGTGGTCACGGCTGGCGCGGGGGCGGTCTTCCTGCAGGAATCCCCCCTTACAGCCGTGCAAATGGTGAGCGCCCTCTCTCGCACGGCTCTTTGCATTTTGGCATTATGACTCCGAGGCAGCAGCATAGGACCTCTTGTAACACACACACCCATGCGGTGCGATTATGTCAACTTGGCTGATTGTTCAGGTCACTTAGTGCAATTTTCTGTGCCTGCAGCTGTGGGTGAACCTGATCATGGACAGCCTCGCATCGCTGGCGTTGGCAACTGAGGCCCCCACAGATGCCATGCTGGACCTGCCCCCCTACTCACCCTCGAAACCCCTGCTCACACCCTCCGTGCGCACCCCGCCCACCCCAAACCTTCTTGCTATTATTACCCCACTGACTCGGGTTCCTGGGCTGGTGTTCCTTGAGCACAGCGTTTTTCCTTACACTCTGGCCAGCAAGTGATTGGGGATGATCGCCATCTTGCATCTGATCGCCCTGCTGTGCAAACCATTGGGCAAAAATGTCCTCCAGCCTCCAAGCGTGACAGAACCACCATGCATCTGCTCAGGAAAAAGCACCAGAAGATCTGTGTAAGGGTTGTCAGGACTCAACTTGGCTTGAAGAAGGGATGTGTGGTGTGCAGATCCTGAAGTCGATAGTGGGCCAGAGCTCGTTCCAGCTGGTGGTCATGTACCTGGCAGTGTTCCATGCGGATGCTCTCTTCGGCGTGCCCAATACTGGCCTGGCAGACGGCCCCTCACTCCACTACACCCTCGTCTTCAATGTCTTTGTCATGATGCAGCTCTTCAACCAGGTCAGTCCACCTGTCCCGCCACCTGCCTGCCAGCTTGATTGCTCATGTCATCACGACATCATCTACATAGGAATGGCATACGTAGCGCATCTTGGACTGAAGAGCAGCAGCTCTGCTCTAATGTGTTTGCATGTAAAGTAGAAAGAAGTCTTGCGCATGCGTCTGAAACTACAAGGGATTATTTCAGGTGAACGCTCGCAAGATCTATGATGAGGCGGATGTGCTGGGAGGGATTCTGGATAATAAGCTCTTTCTGGGCATCCTTGGCGCGGAAGCTGCCCTTCAGGTGTGCTGCAGTCCCCCTGCACGTTGTCCTTGCTTCCCTGCCACTGCAGCTTTGTATGGCTCAATGATTGCCCCAGAGCATGTGCATTGTCAGGGCGCGCAGCCCAACGCTCAACACGCCATCTGCCTCAACCAGTAGTGATTTCCTCTCCTTTTGGATGCAAGATTTGAAGCATCTCTTGTTTGCATGTTACCTGATGGGTGGCCCACTCAATGTCATCTAAGGCCTTAGCAATTTAGATGAGTTGAAAATACTGCATGCCCGGACGCAGGTGGTCATAGTGCAGTTCGGCGGCGATGTCTTCTCCACGCGGCCCTTGTCGCCCGCGCAGTGGGCAGCATGCACCGGCATCGGTGCCCTGTCGCTGCTCGTGCGCGCTGGACTTCGGCTGCTGCCCCCTCACCCGGAGGTCCAGGATGCACAGCAGAGCGACAGATGACTGCAGCTACAGAGTCAGTGCGAAGGTTAGAATGACTAAGAGGGGAGTGATGGACGCCTTATTTGGTCTGCAGCTGATACAGAGTCAGGGAATGCGTGGTGTCAGGGTTCCATCAGGACTAGATGAGAGCGCATTAGTGTGTGTGCATGATATGCACGAGAGAGGGAAAGATGTGTGACGTGAGCGGAATATTCTTTCTGCATTGAACTGGGATTGCACACCATGGCTTTGTACTGCCCACCTTTTAAAGGAACGTTGGCTGCCAGAGTGTTGAGTAAGTGAGAGGCTTGTTCTTAGTTGTAATACTTGCTGGATGATACTTCAAGATCAGCCAATAGCATCCTATGACACCCCAAACGCACCATCTAGTCCCATCAACTGCCACCACCTTTTCATGTTCTCACCCAAAAAGCAGGGCATTCTTTTCTATGCTTGGAGATAGCGGTACTTTGACAGCTGTGCTACAAGTGAGTCCTTCCTGCAAGCACTCTTGCACCCATACTACCTAAGGCACAGTGCTGCATGCAAAACGAAATCCCGCAATGCATGCAGCACCGTTCTGAGCTCCTGTCTAATTCTCAAGGAGGGCATGTATTTTATTGTACAGTGCATCCAACTGCCCAACCTAGATTTAGTAATGACATTTCAGGCAATATCTGCTGATGTACACTTCTACACCCCGTACTTAAAAGTTCTGCTCGTCATGCATTCATGGTCTGCTGCTGATAACCAAATGGAGCTCCGCATGAGCTCACTTGCCCGGGAACTGTTCTTCCCAGGGGCAAGGAATGATCGGTTTAACCCGAAATTATGCAGATTGCTGCCAGAAATTTTTAGGACTTAGCTCCAAGAGACTGCTACCTTACCCTGCCCCATGACAGGATGTGGATGGCACTGCATGCCGGGTCATTCCTGTCATGCCCTACAATCACACTGCTGGGGGGCTCTCAGGGCTCTGCTGCAGCATGCATTTCCAACATCATGACCTCGCGCTCGCTGGCTGCTTCTGTGACCCTACCCTTGAAGTGTGTGATCCCATCCTGGCAGCCCACGCGCGTGGCAGTGAAGGCGAGTGTCTCCCCCAGCATTGGCAGTGACCGGTACTTCATTGCATGACGCACCACCCTCAGCTGCGCTGGCCTGTCAGGACACCAATCCCCACTCTTCAGACTCTTAACAACAAATTCCCTTACGCAGTCTCACAAAGAGGCTCTGGTCTTGTCATTGTTATAATATCAGGTCGACAAACTCAATGCAGAAGGGCATACACGCGGTGCGTCTGTAGCCACATGCTCGGGGCCTACAATAGTCTGCAGCCTAGCATTGTTTTGCATATCTCATTGCATCTCAAGGACCAAACCTTCGTGCACTCCCTGTTCCCGGATATCCTGGCCATGATCATGCAATGCTCAGCTGGACATGGGTTTGGCAAGATGCATGCCAAGGTAAATACGCATGTGAGCATATATGGAGATTGCCCGTTTGCTCGCACTGGCTCAGGTCCTCATTGGAAGCCAGCGAAAAGAGATGGACTGCGTTGGCGCCCACGATGGATGCTGGTAGGGCCGGCACATCCGGGAAGTGGCCTGCTGTCTGCAAACACCCAAATTATCATTACACGCTTTTCCTGCCAAGAGGCAGAATGAGTCTGCAGAGACAAGCTGCAGGTACAGGCTGCCTAAATCCTACTCCATAATGGACTCCCCAGATCCTAGCATACCCAATCGATTGTGGGCACAGTGATCAGTATTCATACCGCACCCCGCCAGCCGGGGCCAGCAGACACCAATCTAAGTCTGGACAGGAAGTTTGGTATTGCAGCTTGCATATGCTGACACATGCCCTCAGTTGCTTCCACAGCCCTGCAATCAAGTGTGAGCATGAGCAGGGAAAGCTGATTGTGCCCACCAGGCGAGCATCCTTGAAGTGCAGGCTGGCAGTCCGGATGTCAGCTGCTGGCGCCTGGATGTCTGACAGGCAGATCAGGTCTGTGAACGGGGATGGCAGCGCCAGTGCCTGCACAACACACTCTTCAGATAATTAAAGGCTGCACAATGGCCTGGTGTGCACAGCCCAACCTAGCATTCTGCAGATCTAAAGATATTCATTGCTATTATTATAATAGGATCAAGTCCCTGAGGACTAGGTACGTCAAGCAAACGTGTATTAGTGCTTTCAGTCTTTTCGATTCCTGCAGTTCCTCTGCCAGTCACATGCATGTTCAATAGCCTTTCCGGTCATTCCTCACATAGTCAGTGTCCCTGGACATGATAAAATGGTGCGCCTGTGTGCAACGGGTGTCACCTGGGTTTTCTGAAGCGCAATGCTGAGGCCGCAAGCGGGGCGTGTCATTTGAGCACGGAAGGTCTGCTCTGGAACCACCATAGAATTCACCTGAAACGCCACACCAATGCGACTAATTGCAACCCCTTGCAATTGGGCAGACGTTCAACTTGATGACGTTCACATAAGTGTGGGAGGGACCCTTTGTATCATGATCCGTTGTACCGTTGTAATCTGATCAGATGTGTATAAGTAAGGTGTTTCTCATGCGCGTGGCATGCCATGCTGTTTCCTGCCTCCATTGCAGGAGCTGGCTGAAGAGACACACCTTCATTTCAGCAAAGAGCCTGCGGCCGCCCAAAGATCCACTGCTGCGGCTGAAGATCCGGATGTTGACGGTGGCAAGGCCTCGATCCAAGCGCTTCACTGTCGCCTCAACCTCAATTGTCTCCTCCATGCCCCCGCTGGGGCCTTGCTGCAACCCTGTGAATTTGTTCCGAAGGTGTTTAGCCTCAAGAAGGTCTCCTTTTGGACGTGAAAGGTCAGCTGTCAAAGGAACGTAGTGTCAGCCCTGCTCTGCCTTCTCATTCAATATCTAGAATCGAGATGTGTACTGTAACGAGTGATAAGTGGATAGCTACCACAGCGGCTGACCTATGCTTGGGGCTGCGTTGAAGTCGGTCTTCATGGCCAGGTAGAAGTGTCTCTGCTTGACTGGGTTGACGGCAGCGCAGGCCACCTCTGCCACATTTGCTGCATGTCTGCAGATCTCGGCGTGAGACATGGGCGCATGCTTTTCCAGTGGGTTGGCTGACTCTCTGTCAATCACTGCCCAGGCAGTTGAGCCTTGCACCTGCAGCAAGCACAGCAACGTTTGTTAGAGTCATAGAAGGCACCACAATTGCGTTTTTCGATCTGAGAGAAAGGGAAGTTGACCTTCAAGGAGGAAAGACGCAAGTAAGGTGGTGTGACGTCGATGAGGTTCAATAGGTGCATTGCATCCACTTCCTCCTCCTCCACCTCAGTTGGCATCGGAACAAAGATGCTCGCAGCTCTTGCTACATCGAGAACGTGAGAACGTGGCGATCGTAAGAAGATGGATGCAAGGGGTGGAGGCGCGGAGGAGCGGATGTCCCTGGTCAAGCATAAAGGTCATCATCAGTTTAATGGGTTGTCCAATCGACAAGACAGTGGCTTACAGATATATTTAATTTCATAAATAGAATGTCGAAGAGGTTATACCATGTGAGCATGCTACATATTATGAATAAGGGGCCGACTGTCAGGTTAGATCGCCACGCACCTCCAGAAGACCGAAGAGGCCGAGAGTTTCTGAGGTATGTCGGCAAAACTTTTGCTGATCTTTCGAGAACATTGCGATCTTCTGCATGAGGACGCATGCTGGAGTTGTTGGGGCCCAGGTCGGAAGGCGGCTCGCGCACCCCTTGATGTCAACATGCCTGCCCAATTTCTTCTCAATTCCTCCCGAAAAGCGCAGATGTAACCCAGCACAGATCTTTTAAAATAGAAGAATTGTTACCTAACTGACAGAATTCTTCACGTCAGGACTGTGTCACCGGAATGCAGAACCTTGACCAGAACGACGTGAGCGCGTCGTTCGGTCCAATAAATTGGCGCATTGGAGGAAATTCGCTTGGCAGGTGCGTTGGGAAGTGCGAAAGTCGTTGCATTGCCGACGTGGTCAATGGCTTCCTTGACGTCAGCCACGTTCTCTTTAGTGCCACAGCACCTGCCATCGCTTGGCATTTGCTCTGAAGAGAAAGGTGACCTTAACAGAGTACGGCTGTCTGAGTCATATTTGTCTTTCATCCCTGCACTTTGCTCAGGTGCCTTTATGTGCCAACACGTCGGGCTGGTCATTGAATTTCAAACACACACTGTGGCAATTGGTCCAGAAAGAGTGACACTCGCAACACAGACATGCATGCAACGTGTTTGCCACGCCAGGGCTGCCTTCAACTTAATTCCTTTTATGCTTCACAGCACACTTGCCATGTTGATGCCTTGGACACTGGAGTTGTTGAAAGGGTCCTGGCTGGGTAGACACAGGCAAACATGCATAAGAGTGGAAGCAATACTTGGTCTCTGGGGCAGCATCGATGCGCTTTCAAAAGCACAATGTCCTTCCCAGCTAAATGGGACTCCACAGTGTCACAGCTCAACACTGCACTAATCATCTTCTGAGCAGTTAGTCATACTCTCGTCACACGGTATTCACCCAACAATGTCTACCAGGTCTCCCATCTGCAGCCCAACCCCGCTGACCACCACAAATGCAGCCGCCACAAGGCCCCCAACCGAGCCCAGTCCTCCCATCTGAAAAACACAGCATGCATTCAGACATGCAGTATCTGCATGCACATGAGTGATGCAACAGCACACCGGCATCAGCAGGGCGCTGCTGAACTTACAGCGTAAGCAAGTAAGTTTGCCTGTGGCGGGTTTGGCAGCTATGCCAAGGGTTGCTTCAAGCAGGGCACCGGCAGGGCCTTGGATACCAGCAGAGGAACCTGCATGACATGCATGGCATGTGGTCTCCAAGATGGTTACAGAAAGGCACCCACCACGACAGAGGCAATAAGAGTGCCAATGCAAGCGAGAGCCTTGAGGGCGGAGCGAGCTGGCACAGAGAGGCCGTCCGCCAGCAGAAGGCCAGTCACAGCCGCTGTCGCCCAGGCAGCCACCGAACACAGCATCGTCATCACTGCCGGCACCGACAGCTCATGCTCCACCTGTTCAGAGCAACAGTTGCAGCTCACGTGCATCATGCATGGATGCATGGTGCCCGGAACTCAGCGCCATCACATTCACAGCAAGCAGCAGGGCAAGCAGACACATGCCAAATGTTGTGGAGCTGCTGAGGCATGACTCGGTGTTAGCTCCGGGCACTTTGGATCTCGGTCCTGTCAAATGACGCCTTTTCCCAGCAGGGCATCGGTTTGATTTGCAGCAACAACAGTCCCCAATGAAAGCTTGAGGGACAGTGGGGCCTCTGCCTCTACATAAAATGGGCGGGGGATGCCGTTGTACAAAAGGTCTGGATTGCATATGCATCTTGCTTGCTGGAGATGGTTAAGCATGAGGGAAAGGGGACGGGAGCGCACCAGCTCAATGCCTTCCCCACACAGGAACCCCACCAGGAGCAGGGGCACTGCCGGCAGGCAGGTCCTGTAGAACTCCATGGTGCTCGCGCCAACCTTTGCCTCCTCCTCCGCCATGTTCCTCGCCAGCCCTGACGCCCTCTCGCCTGCACAGCGCCCATCCTTTCACTTACACAACTTTATAAAAAACATGGAAAGTGTCGTTTTTGCGAGGGGTGAAACCGGTGTGATCAGCAATACAAGGACCATAAGCAGTCATCCAGCAGCATGCTCCTTGACGTGCGAACTGATCACATCAATCAGTAGGGGATGATGTGGGCAGACTTGTACCAAGATAGAGGACGCCCGGTTCTGAGTGCACTTTCCAGTACTCCCACGCCAGCTCTCCGGCCTCCGCTGCCGCCCACCCCAGCAGGCTCAGCAGCCCCAGCAGTGATGGCCACAAGCCCAGCAGGCAACCCACCAGCCCCAGGCCTCCCACCCCCAGCAGGCCATTCTGCTGCACCTCCAATTTGGATCCCTGCAGGCCAATGCTAAGGATGGGATTCTCTAGATCGTTCAGAAACATGAGCAAGAGCCCACCAGAGAGCTTCCTAGGAATCCCCATGCGCGCGGGTCCATTTGGCTCAGATGCAAGGATTCAGACCTAATGTTGGGAAAACGGCGTTTCATGGGAGTACATCAGAGGTGAAAAGAAAGCAGCAATGGATCACCTGGAGCAACCGCTGTGCTGCCTTCAGTGCTGGAGGGACCCATGTGATCCAGGCCAGCACAATTCGCACGTCGCTGTACAATAGGGCTCCAAAGAGGCACAGCATCTGCATTGCACATTCTCATTTACAGCTTTTCTGATTGCCATCTCGCTTGGTCACAAATAGTGGCATTTGAGACATTTTTGATGACGAGGCTCTGTCACAAGATGAATAAAGTACCTTGAGTGCACTGAGTCCAGCACTTGGGCCAACTCCCAAGGCTGTTTCCTTGGTCAGAGGTCCGACATCCACCAAGAACCACAAACCACATACTGTTGGCAAGAGGTGAAGGAAGCCCTGAATCCCTGGTGTGTGCAGCGGCTGAAGGGATGCCTGTGCAAGGAATCACAGGATGTCCAAGAAACTTTTGACAGCGCCCGCAGCGTGACAGTTGAATGCAACTCTCTGAGCCATCGCTACTCTCACCTGGACCAGTACAAGGCTGACAGATGCACATGTCAGAAACAGAGCGCCAATCACGTAAAGACGAACGCCCTCCAGAACTCGTCCCACGGTTTCAAGGTCAGGATCCAAGGCCTCGATATCTGCATGTTTCCTTTTCGCCTTGGGACGTTCAAGAAATGGATCTTTCCCAGCGCTATACCCACAAAGATGTTCAGTGGAGGTCGTTAAGGGCAAGCTTGCAAGAAATGAAAAGCAACGTGCAATACAGGACTGTTGCCATCACACAAACAAGATGTGCACCTGGCCTGACTTAGAACTTTGTCGAAGTACTCAGCCCCCGCTTTTCTAAGCGCTTCTTTTCTGGAGGCTTCATCGCCGTTGTTGGGGGCGCTGCTGCTCTCAGAAGTTGACACCTCAGCCATCAAGGATCAATGCTGCGAAGGCATTGTGTTATGAGCGAGTGAGAATTCGGCATGCATAGCAAGTGCATTTGTTTCATTCAATGTCTCATTCGATGAGTTATCAAGATCGGATCATGCGATCCGTTGGTGACGAGTTGAGCATTGGATTCAACATCAACGAACTGAGGGCAAGGGCTTCTCAAAGCCCTTTCTTCTCCCTTGCCACAGGGGCGTCACAATGTCGAAGTTCCAGTCCAAGATCCGTCCCATTCAGGTGTGGCAGATTGTCCTGCAACTCTCTCCAAAGGCAGATCTCACTGTGCATCAGATAGGAAAAATTAAAGCCCTGAAACCTACGATCGAGGTTGCTGCTTAACGATTGGATACGACAGAGTTGGGGCCGTTCCGTAATTCCCCTCATCGTGCGAGCCATGCCACTGCCGACCTTGCCGTACAAGCGCCCTTTTTTTCAGATAGCGCTGGCTTCTCATGAAATTGAGGTAAGCTAGCAGCATAGATCTCATCTTCAATTTGTTTGCTCTTCGAGCCCTGTAGCTGCAATTGAGAGTTTCTGCCTTTCAGTGTATGCAACTGATGTGCACGTTTCTCAAATGTCACTGTCACGCATCTGAGAGGCATGTTCAACTTTTCAAGCACTGTTTGTGACCTGCAGGAGGACATGGCCATCATCATCACAAATACCAAAAGGAGAAGGCGTTCACCCCCACCTCAGAATGGTGGTAAGGACAGGGATACGCACATGGAGAGATAACGAGCAAATGCGACTGTACAAACTACATTGTAATACTTTGCATGGAAATCTTCATTGATGGGTCAGCTCTTGATTCCTGTGTGCCGTCACTTGGTGTCAGAACTACGACATAAGGAAAATTGATTTTATTCGACAGGAATCGTCATGAACCATCTGTATTCGAACAGTCAAGCCCCAGAAAGTTCTCCCCGTGGGAGAAAGCCTGCGTGATTATGCCAAGGTCAAGTTGCAGTGAAGTGCAGATCCCCCAGGCTGCTTGAGGTTGTACCAAGAATATGGCAACGCGTGTTTTAGGTTGATGAATGCAAGCAATGTTGTATATTGGAGGGATTGCAGGACACTGGTGGGGTAGGGAGTTGATCACAAGGCAGTCCTTGACATAAGGGATGGGCAGCCTGCCCTCAAGTTGCGCTTGCTAGAAGTCTTGATTTTAAGTGCGGTGCTGTCATTACACAAATGTAGCTGTGTCTGAATGTCTTAGTGTAACATCAATTGGTTGGCCAGCTAAGTTCCATATAGCAGAGTCTTGACCTTCCAGCTGCAGCGTTGCCTCCCTATGGGCGAGCTCGGCCTGAGGCTGAGGGTGCCTGCCAGTGGCAGGCTGAGGATGAGCTGGCGGTCAATCCCATGAGCGTCAGCTGTTTATCACCCAGGCCAGACTGCTTTAGCAGCGCACTTGTTCAGCAAGTGACAGCCGCCAAAGCCTCCAGGAACCTAGAGCCGCCGGTTCCTTGTCAACAAATTGGCATCAAGAGCGATGTATGTTGCCGTGTACACGAAACACATGACCTCTGATGCGACAGAATTGCATGGTTGGCGGGCCTCTACATTAAGGATTCCTTTCCTAGAGAATATTCATGAGCAGATCTCCCAAGAACTTCTGAAATCGCCCATGTGGGTGCACCGTGGGTCAGTGACTGGGCCTCCTGCAGTCACTGTCATGAAATGTTGACATCATGCCCTGCAGTGCCACCGGCCTGCCAGATACTGACAGAAATTTTGGGGCGGCCCTTTCTCCTATCTTCTGGTACTCGCTCTGCTTTGATGTTTGCATTCCAGTTTATCTACCAGGATTTGCGAGGAAGTCCAAGTGACCAGGCATCATCAAACTTTGAGCTTGAAGCATCTCCACAAAGTCTTTGCCCGATAGCATCAATTTGGAAGTACACAGATGTATAATTTTGTGTACCTCTCAACTGCGCCGTAAAGCTTTGAGAAGACGCGGTGATATGCTCCAAGCAGGTCAATTGGAGTGTGATCCTGTCACAGTGGGCATTGGCAGGCTTCAATGATCACCGGCCCGGGAATTTGCAGAGCATCGGATGTGAATGTTACAGGTCTCCTTCAGTCACCGCCAGCAGCTGATAAGTAAGAGCACCAAGCTGCCAGTCTGCATGTGTGCCTGCTTAGCAGAGGTTCTAAGCCCTACTTGTGTCAGGACAATAACTAATTTTATTCCAAGACTGGGATGCTATCTTCTCTCCTAAACCATGCATATCCACGGGATTTAAGGCACAGCTCAAGACACGTAAGCAGCAATGTAAAGGTAGCAGACATGTGCTTGTATCCATCATCCTCAACAGCGCCAAAGAGAGTTAAAACTTCTAAGTTTGCAGATCTGACTCAGGTGGCAACACTGCAAGAGTGCGACCCCAAAGCTGATCCACTTGCTTGCAGCGAAACGCAAATAAAGACTGCCGTCTGCCCAGACAGTTCTGCCGTGCAGGAATCAAGCCCTCAGATCTTGTATCCTGACACTGTGAATCCTCGCCCAGCAATCTCACCTGCACCAAGCATACAAGGTCAGCAATGCATCCTAGTCGACAGGAGTGTCTCAGGATGATTTACAGCTGTATTGCAAGGACAGGCGGTTGGAAAGGATGTTGGAATGCGCACCCACAACAAACCATGCGTACACCTCTGCGACAAACAAAGCGTACATGCCAACCTGAAAAATCACAGTAGACCTCAGACTAGTATCTGAGTCTGTGTGCGGTTGTTTCATGGCACTCCCCGAGATTGAAGTCGTCATCCCTGTCACACTTACTATGCAAACTTCATTTTTAATGGGTATTTTGGCTATGGTGTCTGTTTGACTCACCTCTGTCAGAGGCAGATCGTGCCTCTGCGCCAGCTTGCTTTTGACAGAGCCCCATTCATGGTCTACTTGCTTGATGCCAGCAGGTATCCTACAGACATCACGATCAATTCAGAATGACACACATGGCCAAAGGAGCCAACTTCAAATATTATTCTTTGCATTTGACCGCAGCTGCTACCTGGAGAGATTTGTGTAGAACCACTTTTTCAACAGCTTGTCGGCCTCTGCAGGGTCCTTCACCACATACTGTTCGCCCCCTTTTAGTATTTTGTCGTATTGCTCGACCACGACCTTTTCTGTAGCGTTGTATGCAGGCTTCACAGTGCCTTCAAGCTTACTCATTAGCGGTCCCAATCGAGCTCTCAGGCTTTGCGCCATGCTGATCTTACCTAAGGAAAGATCTACAATACCGCACACCTATAATGCTTTTAAGCTTCATGCCAGCCCTCAGCGACCTGAAGGGGCGCCTTTCTCGCTGTTGCCCTAACCCTAAACTATTCGTAACCCTGGATTAACAACCTATATATACAGGGGCCTTACTATATCGGTATTTTCAATTTTTTCTTGGATTCAGATTTCATCGAGGAAAGAATTTATATTCCACATAAAGACTAGACTTCCAATTGTGAACATCTTATTTTGCCCTCAACAGCTCTATATTGAACGAGAGCTTGAACGTCTGCAGGAGACCTTTCGATGTCAGATCATTTCCATGTTGCAAGGTCACCTCAATACACATGACTGTCATGCAATTAGAGCTGAAGATATTGCTATTCGTATTTATTTTAGTTGCCAAAGGTGCGATAGTTTTTGCCCAATTGATCATCGAGAAGCGATACCAGACTCAACTTTGCAGCTGATCAAGGCACTTCCTGCAGGTGTGTCGCAGACTACGGCAGAAGAGCAATGCGGAGAATGTGAGAACAAACGTTATGCCACTAAAGGAGCTGTTTTGGGCTACGTCACCCCCTGGAACGGTCGGGGCTATGACGTTGCAAAGGCAGATCGTGGGAGACTAACGCATGTGTCACCTGTTTGGTACCAACTCAAGACCGCCTCAGGGTCTCTTGTCCTATCGGGATCGCAGGACAAGGGATGGATCGCTGACGTTCGACGGGAACATGACCTGGTGCTCATGCTCTATATGTTGTGTTACCAAATGGGGTTGATGATAGGAATCAGCTGGGTACATCTGCTAATGTGTTAATACCAGAAATATCTGAACCTGACTATGTGCTGACAGGGATGCCAGACACCCAAGATAGTGCCGCGCGTCGTGATGGAGATGCACCCACAGCATCTGCTGGAGGCCCTGACAGATGCCAAGCCTGAGGCAATCCGGCTCTTGGCCAAGGAGTGCAGGCGCCATGGATTTGATGGACTGGTGCGCTCAGTACCCTGCAGTCGATGCTGGAAATATCAGTAAAGACCACGTGGCTTGGAGCCTGACCCAGTCAGCCAAATAATCACTCCAAAGCTCCGCAGGACAAGACATTTTCAAAGGGATTGTCTCTCTGAATTGACTCAGCGGCATCTGTGCTGAGCAGGTGCTGGAGGCATGGTCACTCTGGCATGCATATGGCTTAGTCCAGCAACATTTCACGCTGATCAAGAGTTTCTTGAAGGACCTGGCAAGGGCCCTGCACAAGCAGACAGGACCCTCCGGCGATCCTCTGGTGAGTCTGGTGTCCTGTCATCCATAAGAGAATTGATAAGATTCCCATGGTGAGATGCTGCAATTCCCATGGTGAGATGCTGCAAATACTGTCAGGCATGTCACGGTGTGGAAATTGGCAGTATTTTTTTGTCGCATTATTTGAACCCTGTGTGCAGGACCTTATCCTGGCAGTGCCTCCTGTGGTGCCTGCGCAAGGCCATGGGCAGCCTGCCTTCACACCAGCTCACTTCAAGCAGCTGGCTCCATTCGTGGATGGGTTCTCCCTAATGACCTATGACTGGAACATTGGGGCTCCTGGCCCAAATGCGCCGTTCAACTGGGTGGAAGCAAACCTGAAGCAGCTGCTGTCAGCCTGCTTGGGGTAAGTCATGTCAATAGAGGAACGCTGAATGGCGCCGCTGATGCAAAATGGAATGATACCCTCTTCCTCAATGTGCACTGTGTTTCAATGCTATGTTTTGCATGTGGCATCATGCAGGCACAGCTGCCACAAAGTGTGGTTGGGAGTGAACTTCTATGGAAGGGATTTCACCCGCCAAGCGCCGGAGGGGAATGTCGTGCTGGGACATGATTACACTCGGATACTGAAGCAGCATCAGCCGCATCTGCATTGGCATGAAGAGTATAGGGAACATGTCGCTACCTATCAGAAGGACGGCAGGCAGCACCAGATGTACTATCCAAGCGTTGAAGCTCTTCAGGTGCGACAGACTGACACATCGGTGGTGCAAAAGTTGTGGCCTGGCTCAGTGATCAGTAGTTCAAGAATTTAAAATTTGAATGCACTGGGTCAGAATGGTGCTGTGCAGTGAACTGGAGGGGTGCTGGTGCAGGCTCGTGTGACACTTGCAAGGGAGCACATTTTTGGGATCTCCATCTGGGAACTTGGGCAGGGACTTGATGACTTCATGACAGCCTTTTAAACATATGCAAGCTATGAACGTCATGATCCTGTGGTCATGCGAGCCAGCATTGTGTCCCTAATGGGTGTCTAACAAGTTTCTGTAGGGACAAATGAGAGACACAGAACAAAACATGAATCATTTGGCTGTTGGTATGATTTCTTATTGCGCTGTGCATTTCGACTCTAAATTTTACCAATTGAAAGGCGCATGCAATTCCCGATCGGACAGTGATTGCCGCAATACTGGAAGACGCCCTCAAATCTGCAGGAAACGGACAAAACAAGGAAAGCTGTTTGTGCACGCTATGCATCCTCAGGAGCAATGTTTTATATTGCAAATCAGTACTTCTGTAACAACTATTGCATGCCTCAATATTGGTCCTGCATCCTGTTTCTAGCGGCAAGGCCGATCTGCGATCCACGGCAAAGCCGTTCTACAGTTTATATCTATTAAATGACCGCCGGAGCCGCGCAGCCTTCAAACCAGTCTTAACGAAAGAATTTTTCTCACGTTCAGTCAGCTGTCGACTGCCATGGGCTCTGCAGGCGCATCCGCAGGGGCCGACTCCTCTGCATGCCCGTTCATGTGCACTGCCTCGGGGCTGTTGGCCGCCTCCGGCTTGTTGTCGGCGTCAGACGTGGCCGGGGCGTCAGCGTCCCCCATGGCTGCGTCCGCTGCTGGCTTGCTCTCCGCCTTGGGCGCCCTGTCGGGCAGCTTGGCCAGCTTCTGGAACATGGTCTTGTACATGGCAGCGTCCCGCTGGTTGGCCGCCGCAGACTCTTTCTTGTAGCGGGCCAGCAGCGCGCGCACGTCCTTGTTGGCCGGCTCAACCTGTCAGAAGACGGTTAATCAGAACGGCACACACTTTGATAAATTTGGTCCCTTGCGCTGCCCACTATAACAAGTTAATTGTCACAAACGCCCTTTCTGAATACCCGTGCTCTGTCATCATGGTGGTGCCAGGTCAGCTTGGGATCCATGCACATGCGCATGATTGTCGCTGCTGCCTTTCTATAGCACCTGGAACTATGCAAAATATGCTTGCAGGCCTGACACGATAATTGTTGGCTGCAGAGCAATGGGCATCCAGCAAGCGAAGAGGAAACCCCAGGCCTAATGAACACATTTGGCACCCCAGAGCATGAGTGCCACTTTGCTTAGCTATGCTTGTACAAACGCTGGCAGTGCGTATTTGTAGAGATGCAAGGATGCAAGATACGGACCTGCAGGGCAGCCTTGATGTCGACGAGCGCCTCCACAAAGTCCTGCGCGCCCAGGTGCGCCTGTGCTCTCCTGTACAGCGCCTTCACATTGGACGGGTTGGACGCCAGCACCTGCATGGCATACAGCAGATCTGAACTCAAGGTTGAAGTCATTTGAATCTGATCAAACTCAACCCTTCAACCTAAGATCAGAGATGCTTTAACCTCTGTCCTGGCAATGAAGGGTACAGGGCATGAGGATTTGAATAGGTATGGGGTGCATCTTGTCATGAAGCTCTATAACAAAAGAGAGGCATGTACCTTCTCTGCAGCCGAGATGGCATCCTTCCACAGGCCCTGCTTGATGCACGCAGCCGAGGTGTTGAGGGCAGCGCTCTTCTTCACTTCGGCGCTCTCCTTCGACAGCTCTGGCGCAAAGTCCTTCTGCAGACCACACAAGAAATTGTCACAAATGCCTGTTCTCCTGATTCTCTACAATATGATCTGACATATTGAATCGGACTTCATTATAAAAGGTCACATGCAGCTGAGATTCCTCAATGTTGGTACTGCAGACAAAGGGGCACTCACGTCCTGGTCGATGAGGCTGCCGGCAGACTTGTACCTTTTGACAGCCCGGCTCCAACGTCCCGCCTTGAAGAATGCATTGCCAGACTCCTTGAGCTTCTTGGCTTCCTGAATCTTCTCCTCATCGCCCATGTCCCATGTGTCCTTAGCCTGCGAGCAACACAGATGACGTTGATTCCAGGTTTCTTATCCTGCAGAGTCCCTGATGTCTTCCACATGCAAGAAAGTTTAGAATACAGAAATGCATTGATCAGGATGTCAACAATCGATACGTTCCTTATTCTTGTACAGACCGACCCAGCTATGAATCGCTGTAAAACGAGCTAGAAACTGTTGTAAAGTATCAGTATGATTACTTTGGAAGTAAAAGAGATGGCTATGGATTATCACCTTGGTCACTTCGAGTAGCTCCACAGTGTAGTGCAGGGTTGAGTTTGGGGGCACAGTCCCCAGGCTGCGGTGCTCCTCCTTGTCGCCATAGCCATATTCTGGCGCCACTGTCACCTCAAATACCTCATCCTCGTTCACCTTCAGGATGGCTGCATCCAGCCCCTCCAACACTTCACCTGTGCAGGCGCCAAAAAGTAAATTTGAACCCAAATTAGACAGAAGAATAGTCAGCTTTGCAGAATGACAAGTCTGCGTGAAGCAGGATGAAAGACGTGGCTGGGTGATACAACCTGGCAGAATCACATTGGCCAGCATCAAATGTAGCTATATTGAGCATCATCCAGGCACATAGCAGCATGCAAAGTAGCAATGACTAATGCTTGGCACAGAATGGCTACATGGCTTGTGGCTGGCTCTCACCCTTGTCAGCTGTGAATGTCAGGGGGCTCTCCCGAGACACTTCCTCAAAGACTGGCCCGCTGGGGCATCCAATCCTGGCAGTGTAGGCCACCTTTACTGTGGTGCCCTCATTCGGCCTCTTATAGCTCTTGCCCTTCTTGATCAGCTTCACAACCACCCGCCCATCATCTGTGGCCTCCTCGACCTGCGCAGTAGATATCCTGCATTGTCCCCAACGCATGCATGACACCAGGGGGTACTAAAGACTACCTTGGTGATTAGCACCCCGTGATGAATCTCATTACTATGTCAGAACGAATGTGAAACCCATTATTCGTAAAAAATGAGACCTCTGTATGTGCATGTGGGACCGTGCAAACCACTGAGTCCACTGTGGTGTTTCGGCAAAGCAGGGCAGCACACCTTGCGAATGACCAGAAGCTCCAGATCTGCCTCCAATTCTGCATCTGCTGGCAGGCCCGCTGCTGTGCCCTCTGCGCTGTACCCATCTGCAGAAGGTAACCAGAGCCACTCACGTTTCATCACACGCATTGATATGCTGCATGCAGACCACCTGAGATTCCCGCATTGAATTTTTGCAACATGCATCACTTCAGGATCAAAAGTCGAGCATCACATGTCACAAAAGAGAGAGTCTCCTCACATTCTGGCCTGATGAGCAGGGTGGCCTTCTCAGTCTCTTTCATGGTCTTCAGGGCCACCTGGAAGGCCTTGGGCTGGCAGCTTCCCACAGCCAGAACATCGCCATCAGCGGAGGATGATGCAACAGGCTCGCCATTGCTGCCCCTCACCCTCACAGTGTACCTAACTGCAAACAACCCAAAACGCTAAGCAAATGGTGCTAGATTCATGTCAATCCACCATCTCTTGAAAATATTCTAGCCTTTCTTGGGTGCTCTGCACAATCTTGGCAGTGACCACCAGAGCATATGTGGCAGACCCACTCAGATAATGATACAACTCTGCAAGTTACTAAGAGAAGAGGGGAGAAGGATATACCTAGCACTTCATCCTTGTCCTGTGGTTTACTCCAGCCGGAGCCTTCAGAGAGGATGGTCTTGATGACTCCACCATCTCCAGCAATGTCCTTGATGCTCTTCCATGATAGCAGCTCAACCTGTGGACATCAGCGGACAACTTGTCATCTCAGCAGGCTCTTCAGGAAAATTCATATGGTACAGATTTCAAGGCAGCAAGATTGCCCGGCATAAGAACAATTTGTGCAATAGCCTACCTCAAAGTTCAGCGTGGCATTTGGTGGGATCTTTGGAGGAGAGCCACCCTCGCCATAGGCATATTCTGATTTGCAAGTTAGCAGGGCTTTCTCACCCTTCTTAAAGGTTTTGACTCCCTCGTCCCACCCCTTGATCACTGCATCAGAGTTGCCGGCGGTCACCAGAATTTTCCAAGACAGTTATCTTCTCAAATGTGAAAGGCAGGCTGTGTATTCATTGATTCTCGACTTCAAGGATGTGCTGGTCTATAGCTGCTAAATAAGGAAACTTCCAGATGGTATAGAACACCCCCTACCATTGCCAGTGCCCAGGTTGAAAACAAAGGGTGAGTCTCGCTCCCTGGATGAATCGAAGACGGTACCATCCTCCAGAGTCCCCACATAGTGGACTGCACAGCAGACAAACGTTAAACTGATCATACACCGCTGCTGGCAAGATACGACACAGCGGAGACAAACATGATAAAGGCGCACCTGTCACTTCGTCCCCTTTCGAAGGCGTCTCCCAACCTTTTCCTTCGACGATGATTTTCTTGATGACACCTCCGTCTCCCTGCGCAGAAGTGCTCGCTCGTCACATTGTTCGACGCAGACAATAGATCAACATTCGCAAGTCTGACTAGTTGATTCTCGGTGCTCACCGTCAGGTCCTTCTCTTTTCCCAATTGCGTGTCGTTAAACTTTTCGTCCAGAACTTCATCTGCGATCGAGCACCGTGGACCGTCAGCAATTGATTGGCAACCCCGACACGTCAATGCAGTGAGTGCATTGAAAACCGCAGCATACCTTCCGAGAGGCCTGGAGGGTCCATCGTGCTCGTCTCTTCTGCCATCAGATTAAGACTTTTTTTATGGATTCTTCTTTTCGCTCTGAACTGTAATCTCTAGCTCACCACGAGCTTCCAGAATGCTCTGTGAGCCTCTAGGGTTTTATATTAATTACCCGCGATTATAATTATATATGATAGCCCTATCCGACCAGCTGGCTGCGAAGCTGAACTTGAATATATAGATAATTTAGCTTTACAAGAATTTGATCTGAAAGTTTGATTTCTTAAAAAGATTTATCGCAAACTTCGCTAGTACGAAAGGAACGGCCTTTGTGCTGGATAAAACCGATAACTGATCTTAGCAACTTGCGAACATAGCCTCATTATTCTCCGTCTCAATCGATAAAAAGATTTTTTTCGTCTGAAAAATTGTATGACGTAAACGCATTCTGCTTATGATTGCGCAGCAAGATCTGTCTAGCGCGGGTGTTGGCAGCTCGGTAGCTAGCACGTGCTGCAGGCCACAGAGAACGTGTTGGGCCAGGAAGGATGGAGCTGGCTTGCGACAAAGATGCAGAAAACCAACTTGCAGAGTGCAGGGGACACCAGCACCAGGGGTCTCTGTGCAAAGTTGCAGGAGGAACAGAAACATTGTAGTCCCCAGAGCCCTCGCTGAGAGTACAATTGCTGGTGAGCTGCACTGCCGTACCATCAAATTTCCATGCCATCAGTACTAGGCTGCCAATCAGTCCCATCACCGCTGCATGCCTAGTCTGCGCTCAGTACTAGCATGGCACACAGTGTGCCAGCTGAGATTTTGATTCTGATGCAGCTGCGTTGGAGGCGGACCTGAGCTCGGACTCCGAGTTTGCGCGCTTCAAGGAGGCGGCCGAGAGGGGGAACCTGGTCCCCCTGTTTGAGCGCATCTTTGCAGATCAGCTGACCCCAGTCACCGCCTACCGCTGCCTCGTGGCAGAGGATGACCGCGAAGCGCCCTCCTTCCTCTTTGAGAGCGTCGTCAATGGCACCCAGACGGTGTGCACCCCTTTTCCCACCTCGCTGCTCCTCTCTTCCTGCTACCCAACAGTGGTGCTTGTTCGCGGCCCTATGTTCTGCAGATGTTAACGCCTCGTCTGGCACACCATTCTCTTGCATGCATGTTCTAGATTAACGCGCACTCTCCTTAGGCACCCTTGGAGGAAGACAGGCAAGCAGGACTCCATGTGATTTCAGTTCATACAGATGAGGGCCACCATCAAGAAAGTGATCAAGTGACTGCATAGATAGGATGATGCATGGCAGGAATTTCTCGGAACATTGGAGTGTATGGAAATTGAAGTCTCACCCCTGGGCCCTGGCAGGGGCGGTACAGTTTTGTGGGAGCGCAGCCGGCGATGGAGGTGGTGGCGCGGGGGCACAGCGTGACAGTGATAGACCACGCCAGCCAGCAGCGCAGCACGCGCATTGAGGACGACCCAATGGAGGTCGCCGTCAGGCTGAGCGCCGACTGGCGGCCGGTGCCGACCGACGGCCTCCCCGCCGTGTTCACCGGCGGCTGGGTCGGCTACTGCGGCTACGACACTGTGCGCTACGTCTACTCGGGTGCGGCTCCCTGCATGCTGCAATTACACAAATAAGGCGTGGATCACTGGGGTCTTGGAAGTCCACCCTTGTATACACACCAAAGGGCTGTGTCTTCCTGATGTTATGAAATTGATGTTGAATGCCTCTGAAGCATGGCTTTCAAGGAATTGAATTGTAGTCAAGTCAGCAACGCAATTGCAAGTGGCATCTGCAGCGCTGACCAATTGCAGGCCTACCAGGTATAGAGCTGCAGCACCCTTTGCGAGCTGTGACCAGATGTTCAGATTGCAAGCAGCTGATGTAAAAAGAAAGTGCTGGGTGCAGGCAAGCTGCCGTTTGAGTCTGCGCCAAAGGACGAGGACGGTCTGCTGGATCTGCACCTGGCGCTGTACAACAACATCATAGTGTTCGACCACGCCACCAAGCTGGCGTACTGCGTGGCCTGGGTGCACATGGGCGCACATGCCGGCGTGCCGGAGGCCTACCTGGCCGGCAAGAGAGCCCTGGCCGCCATGACCGACCGCATCTCTCCCCTGCGCACCCCCAACCTCCCCCTCGGCAAGGCATGCTCCTGCTCATCTTATCTACCTGCACCTTACATAGAGATCCTTTGCATGGGAGCCAAGGACTGGATGTTCCTTCCTTGCTGGGCTCCCATGGATGATCAGCCTGCAAGACATGCCACCCTCCCAGCTGGTGCACCTAGCGGCTGTCACTGCCAGACAAGTAACGAGCAGGCAATAAACCTGATCCTGCTCTTGCAACTTGCAACTTGCTTTGGCAACTTCACTGCGCATAGGTGCGATACTCTACTTGAAAGGGGTGATTGATGCATGTACTCTTCCTTTTGCCAGCTTCACTGCGCATAAGAGCGCTAAATGAGTCGGGAAGCAGGGAGGTGACGACTGCATGTGCGCAGGCGACGCTGTCACTGACGAGGCAGCCAAAGCCGCCGGCGACGTCCAACATGAGCCGGGAGCAGTACATCGCGTGCGTGGATGAGGTTAAGGAGCACATCCAGGCCGGCGACATCTTTCAGCTAGTCCTCTCCCACCGCTTCAAGCGCCGCACCTTCGCAGACCCCTTCGAGGTCTACCGGTGCGGCCCCTTTTCCCCACTCCTGTCTCCAGATTACACATTCCTAGGATGCAGTTAGAACTACCAGGGTAGAGCCACGTGCACTTCTCTGGACGCGCTGTCTGTGTAGCAGATTTGCATCCACCATTAGATGGGCCCCTGATACTGGTGTGCCTGTGTTGCATGTTGCAGCGCCGCACCATTCAGAAAGACGAAGGGCGGCCCATGCAGGAAGTATATTGTGAGTAGCACTGTAGTGCAGGCTTACAGGGATGGCATTCAAGCATGAGTGTTTATGAGCCGTTGCTTGGACCTGGGTTCTTCTCACAGAAGCTGATGGAGTGTTTTGGTGGTGGTGCAGGGCGCTGAGGGTGGTGAACCCGTCGCCGTACATGATCTACCTGCAGGCGCGCGGCTGCATCCTGGTCGCATCCTCCCCAGAGATCCTCTGCCACGTCAGCGAGGACCGCGTCGTCACCAACAGGTGGCGCTGCTGCCCATTGCCCCCGCTCACTGACATCCCTCGACCCCCTCCAGTGCCTGGCTTCTCTCAGGGCAAAATCCTTTAGAAACCCTCCTAGTTGTCTGCAGGTGTTACAACTCAGTGACTACTGAATATATCAGACTAGTACAGATCGGTCATCAGATGATCCTCTTGGGATCAATATCAGTCATCTTGACCAATCTGTAACAGCAGAGCACTTCTTGCCTGAGCATCGTGCTTGGCATAGCGCTCTCCCGGGGCCAGTGGTGCAGCAAAGTGCTGTCCCGAACCTGTGACTCGAGTCTGTGAGGCATGACTCACATTCAAGGCTGTTTGTGTGCACGCCAGGCCGACTGCTTTGAACAGGCTGACCATCATGCATGGGCACACTGCTTTTTCCCAGTGCAGTGCCGCCTCTTTCTTGTGGCCTTGTTAGTCCGCACAATCTAGAGGAGCACCTGAGAAAGTGGGGACAACCTCCTTATGGCCTGTCAAAATGTGAATTGAGCTGCAAAGGCAGGGGAGCTCGAAACAACAGTAAATTCACAGATGGATGGAGATAGTAGACTGGGAATTGTTCAAGCAAGTGCCTGCGTGCGGACCATACTAGTCTTGTGCAATTAGTGATTGTTGTGATGGTCCACACATTAGGCCGCTGGCGGGTACGCGGCGGCGGGGGAAGACTCCGGATGAGGATGAGGCGCTGGAGGGGGAGCTGCTGAGTGACGAGAAGGAGTGCGCGGAGCACGTCATGCTCGTTGACCTCGGCCGCAACGACGTCGGCAAGGCAAAGCGCTGTCCTTTCGCCCTGCCCTGAGCCCCTTGTTGCCCATACAGTGTCACAACCTCTGCACCCTGCACCGTTTTCTTCTTGGGCCTGAGGAGGCGCATTGCAGGGAACTCTCATCTTGATCAATCAGCTTGATTTTGAGGCTCCAGTGCAGCAAGGCAAACAGACTGCTAGAGACATGTGTTGAGCCTCTGGGTCTCAGTGAAGCGACTGATACTGAAGATTTAATTGGCTTGGTACTAAAAAAACATTAACCATTCGGCTGAGGGATGGTGCTTGAATGCTTGGCATGCGGTGGAGAAGAAAGAGTATTAGGATGATTTGGGGGTGTGAAGGTATCGGAGGCGGGGTCGGTGAGGGTGGAGAAGTTGATGGAGGTGGAGCGCTACTCGCATGTCATGCACATCAGCAGCACCGTCACTGGCCACCTGCAGCCGCAGCTCAATGCCTGGGACGCCCTCCGCGCCGCGCTGCCTGCCGGCACCGTCTCTGGCGCCCCCAAGGCATGCCCCACAATCACATCCCAGAGTCTGTGCTCTGCATTACATGTGGTTGAAGCATTCTGGGCTGCACTTCCATGCTCTCTTCTACGTCTGAAACCTTCCTTGTAAGCCATGTAAGAGTGTAAGTTAAGCGTTCTCTTGAGGTGCTTGACCTTGAGGTGCTTGAGCTTGTCAACCCCAGGTGCAAGGATACTACTATGTACGAATTGTTCCTGAAAAATTCCACGGATGGTGCCATGAGGCAAGCGCGTAGCTGCAGCATTCAGCTCACACTCTTTTTGCTGCTCCACTGACAGTCTGCTGGACGCGTTTCCGCAGGTGCGGGCGATGCAGATAATAGACGAGCTGGAGTGCGCCAAGCGCGGCCCGTATGGGGGCGGCATCGGGCACGTCTCTTTTACGGGCGGCATGGACATGGCGCTTGCGCTGCGGACCATGGTGATTCCTACGGCCGCTACGGACACGCTGTACGATTACGGCGTTGACAAGAGCCGCCGCGAGTGGGTCATCCACGTACAGGCCGGCGCCGGCCTCGTCGCCGACTCGGTGCGCGCCCCCTGGCGTGCATGCTTTTTTTTCTGTGTACATCCCTTTGCATGCAAAATTATCTGTGCGTGCCCCTTGGCATGCACACCTGTCTGCGTGCAGCTGGCAGTATCCGACCAGTTCAGTGTGTTTGCATGTTGAGAGACAGGAAATGCAGACACTGTGAGTGGGGTCTCCTTGGGACTGCCAAGAATGACTTCCCCTACCTGTAGATGTGGTGCAAGTCTGAACTTCATGTGCCATTTCATCTCAGAAGGCATGGTGCACATTTTGACAGCCCCTACACCCGCCGTGCTTGACATGTTGCATTTGTTTTATGGCACTGGCACTGTGGACAAGCTTGTGTTGCCTGTCAGTTGCCGTGGCACCCATCAGATTGCCATTCTGGGGATTGTCCTGTGAGTTTGTGTGTCTTCTTGTGAGCAGGTGCCCGCAGCAGAGTATGAGGAGACGGTCAACAAGGCCGCAGGGCTGGGTCGTGCTATTGACCTGGCTGAGCAGGCGTTCCTGCAAGCACCTGCTGAGGGGAGATAGAGGCAAATGGCCCTGTCTGTGCCTGTATGCAGTGATGGAGTTCCCAGTCGTCTTCCAAGTCTCAAAATACTGCTATTGCACTTCTTACAGCTATTACAGCTGGAACTGATGTGACTGTCATCCTATATATGTTGTGCAATGCTAAGGAATCCTTCGGAGTTTTGACAACCGCAACGGAAATAAGCGATTTACCATATTTACAATCATCTCAGCTCAGCTCCCATACAGGCGCATAGACACACAACATTTCCAACACTCCAGAAAGACACCCACAAATAATCTGCCAGCTTTCTGGCACTCCTCATGAGCGGAGGTGCGGCGGCAGATCATCAACAGAGACTTCTGCAGTCACGGGTGGCGTGACTGATCTGCGCGGCGGCTTACTTCCCTTTGATCTGTCTGCCTCGCAAGTGTCCCTGCTTGCATGCTCTTTACGGTGCGCGGGACTGCTTCTTCGGGCGCTGTCAGACCTGGCAGAGATCGAGGGGCGGTCCTCCACCCTGCTCCTGCCAGCCCTGCTGTCCTTCAAAACATTGCCCTGTGTCGCCTTCTCAGGCCGGTCCCTGTACCGGCCTGCACCTACACAAAGTCACTGTTCATTGCTGCCAGAGTTTGAATCACATTTCCAGGTAGAAACCTCGAGATAACATATCCGCTCGTGTTGCCATTTGTAGTCTCCCCGGGTATGAAGTTGTCTGCAAGCGGTCTTACATTGTCACGGCCGCGCAAGTGAACTAGCGTGAAAACGTCAACTCCAATCACCACCTCATCTACAAAGACTGCCAGGCAATTAATTTAAGCTGCAGCCACAACAAGTCAGCATGATTCTCCCACCTCTCCAAATTTTTAGGACAGTGCAGGTGCTCACCCTGGTCGCTGCTGCGGTCCCACTCGCGTTGGCGCGCCTGTTCACGAGGCCCGGGATTCTGCGAGCCGCTGCGGCCGCGCTCTGAATTCTCACGCACCCTCTCTCTGCTACGCTCACGCCTCCCCCCCGCCTCGGCTTGCCTGTCGGCCTTGCCGTCCCTCCTCGACAGCGCCGGCCACTCCGCCGAGTTCCTCCGCTCCGTGCCTCCTTTCTCCCTATCCTCCTGTTGCTCCCGCCTCTTCTCTCCTGCCGCAGATGCCGGCTGCTCAGACAGCTGCTGCTTGCCCGGCTCCGGCGCGGGCAGCCCGTTCTGCTCAGGATTTGTCCCTGCAGCTGCGGGGAGCCCCTTGGGCGCTGCTACGTCAAAGTACAGGCGGACACCCAAGTGCGGCGGCAGAGCGGCCATCAGCGCGGGGTTGCCAGTGAGGCTCTGCCGGGCTCCCCATTTGCCGCGGTCCACGCTCACATCCAGCGGCAGAGCCACGGGCGTGGCCAGAGCAGCCGTCTGCTTCCCGGGCTTGCCGTCTGAGACCTCTCCCTCCCCCCAGCGGCCGCGCTCCTTGTCATCCTCTGCTTGGGACTTTGCAGGCCCGTTTGGACGCTCCTCCTGCTCTCCCCATCTGCCGCGTTCCTCTGCGTCGTCACCGGCGTCCGCCTGAGCCTCTGTTTGGAGCGCTGCATCCTCCCTCCGTGTGATGTCGGTTGGGAGCGGTTGCTCTGATTCCGCTGCAATTTCCTGGCTGTCCGCCTTTGGCTTGGCCGCCCGGCGGGGGAAGATGCTGCCAAAGAAGCCCATGTCGCCGGCAGGCTCTCCCTGCTGCTTCTCCACCTGTATTGCGACAATCACAGTGCTCAGTCATGGTGAATTTTGTACCTTACAAAAAGGGATGCCATTATACGCCCTGGCACTATTACATGGGATGTATAGCCTGCAGATTGCGGCATTACATGAGGCACAGAATGAGAAATTGATGCAGTCTCCTCCCGTACAATATTCCAGTGCTCCATGGATCAGGGACATTGCTGTGATTGTGACCAGAGAAAGCAGGGCAGCCGTCCGGACCTGCAGGAGTTCCAGGCCCTCCTCGTCGGCAGCGAGCAGGCTCTCGGTCTCGGAGAGCGCCTCGGAGGCGGCCTCCTCGGCCCAGAAGCGGCGCAGCTCCGCGTGGGAGAAGAAAAGGTGCCCGTTCTCCAGCTGCGCGCCCAGTGTCCCCTTCAGCTGCCCCGGCTGCGGGAAGCGCGTCGCCGTTACGCCGTCTGTCAGCCCCGCACCCACCGCCTCCACCAACTCACCTGCAACAATATGGATGCGGTGCAAGTTTGAGTGACCATACAAGAAGATGTGTCGAGCATGGCTTCTACATTGCACTCTCTCCAGATTGTGCCTGCCAGGGGCCACGAAACTATTGAATAGATGGTTGAGTGAAGGCCGCGAGAGGGAATCGTCTTTGCTCTCGATAACGGAGACTATTGGGTAAGTGGCGGCCTAATTAGTTAGGGCTGCGGACTCCAAGAGTATGGGTCCATTTGCAGCAATCTCGGGCAGATGGGAAGTCTTCTAAAAAGTGCGCTAAATCCGTCTGCCTACACACTGCCTCTGCCAAGAGACCGTGCGGTGATGAGGAGTAGTTTCTTTTCACAGAAGGCATGGTGGCATTTTCCCTGTCATCTGCGACTCGTTTGGGAATGCCTTGAGAGGCCAGAAATCACACAATGACCAAATTCTAAAAGCAGGCTGACTGACGCATGGATGCGGAGCCATGGGTCACACAGGGGACGCACCAGCAGCTTCGGAGGGGGCATTCTCGGCTGAGGAAATGACCACATATGGCGGCCCGTCAATGAGTGGCTCCAGCCAGCTGGGAACCTTCAGTAGCAAAACCTGCACAACAAAGAATAGAGTCCCTTTTCAAGTGCCCCATGCTCGTCTTGGGAGGTGATGTTGCACCACACTCCAAGACATGCACAAAATCAGACTCCATGTGGGAGAGGAACTCTCAATTCGGGTCAACTTTTCTGCAAAAAAGCAAGACAGCAGCAGGCGCTCACCTGCACGGTGTCATCATCAGCCACGCCCGTGACAGAGAGGTCCACAGCAGACCCCAGAGGTGTCTCAGCCACATGCCTGACGCCAGGCTGGCTGCGCAGCACCAGCCGATCGGCAGCCACCTCACTCAACTTGGGCCGCGCCCTGCACAGCAACAAACGCCTGTCAAATGCACCCGAAGAAATTCTGTGGTGCTCAACATTAAAAAAATCTTGTTTTCTAACAAGTACCGCAGGGTTTTCCCGCCCGCTCAAAAGCTATCATTTTGTGTTCCCGCAACCCCAAACTTGGCCCACTTTATTAGGAAAATTGGCTTTTTGGGCTGCAACTTCATTTTTAGTTGAATGTTCCCGCATGCAACTTCCCGCACCCCAAACACCACAGGCTCAAAAACGACTAATTATGGGGGGTTCTAGGTTGAGAATTACAGTACAAGACGTGACTGCCAGCCACCATGCATGCATATTTTGCCTGGACCCAAACTGTACAGAAATGACAGTGCCCTGCGCACAAGCATGCACAGCAGATAAAGAGAGTAGAAGGGTACAAACCATTTCAGCATGACCTTCCGGAAGCTGGGGTCCAGGAAGACAGCAGTGAGGGCGACCCTGGTGCCCGGCTCTGTGGCAGGCTGTGCCTGGCTGTAGCCCCTGTAGATGTCCTCAACACTCTCACCTGGACACATGCACAAGCACATCACCCCTTCATGCTCCTTAAAACTCCAGCACCAAAGGGTATTTTGCAAGGGTGCAGGACACAAAAATTATTTTCTGTGTGCGGCAACTGGGCTACCTTGCTCAACAAATCCCCCAAAATTACCTCAAATACAAAACCTGAAAATATAAAAAGTAGAAAAGGAGGCTGACCTGCGGGTGATGCACGATTGGACTTTGGAGCGCTGGGGGGCCTTGCAGCGTTTCGGTCAGGCTGAGGGGAAGGGGATTTTAGGGGATTTGGCAGGGGCGTTGGCAGCACTACTGGCAGGGGCACCCGGCTGAGGGCTTCCCTGACAGGGAACAGCTGCTCCAGAATGCTGTCCACCCCTGCCCGGCCGGGCAGCCCAGCCCCTGGCTTACTCAGTAGCGGCGCCAGGGCGGCAGCCGCCGCTCTGAACACCTCCTTCACTGTGTCCATATGGTATGTACCGCCAGCAATCTCCCTGCAGCACACGTTGGAGGGTTTTCAGACAAGACATCACAGGTCACCTCCAGCAAACAAGTTTTGAAGGGCAGCCATAGATGTTTTCCGGACACTGCGGTGGGTGAAACTCCTACCCAATTCCCTTTGATTCATGGTGGTGACAAAGCATCACCTGGGGAGCATCATCAACATAGCTGTGAGCATGCAGATACTTTTTTAATATAGTTGGGAAGAAAGGGTCATTCTCGCCTCAGAGTGTCTGCGTCCTCCACAGAGATACGGGTGCCCAAGTGCGACTGAGCCGGCACAGCGCCGGGGACTGCCGTCCTTGAGACTATGCCGCCGCGTCCAATCGCGACAACATGCTGGTCATAGTTAAAGTAGGTCCCATACCGCAGCAGGAATGCCAGCAGTGAGACGCCCAAGTTCTCTTGTCCACGGCCCACCTGTTCATGCAGAAGGGGGGTCTCACACGAGGTGTTCAGCTCGTCAACCCATCCAGGTCATACCTGACCTTGTAGCATTCACCATGACGTCACAATTACATGCAAGCTTCCATAGTTTCCTCTACCGTGGGGTGAAAGTGAGCGATACACACCTTTTCCTCTTCCTGCAGGTGTGCAATCACCATGTTGGCGAGAGAGAAGCTGCCAAGACCACCTTGGGAAACGTCGCCCAGTCCTAGCACCTTCAAGCACCCGCCATTGTTTCTCAGAATTATTACCTGCTTTCTGTATTGTGTGGATCAATTAGCAAGACAATATGGTTCTGGATCACAGCGAGAGGAAGCCAGTTCCATGAGGAAGCATCTCCGATACGGGCAAAGACTCACAGCATTGCATAAAAGCAACATGTCCTTGCATGAAGACTGGGAGAGGAAGTGCACAAAGGGAGCACCTTGAGGACGGCTTTGATCAGAAGGATCAGAGGCCGCAGTGCCGGTCTCCTGGCCTGCTGATCAATGAGAAACTGTGCGGCGCAAATGCCCCGGTCGCCATTCACAGACACATCCACATCCACACCCTCCACGGTAGTGCACTGTACAGAAACAGTCAATCAGCACCATTGCTCTTGCAGCAAAAGTACTGTAGGTTGCTAGCAGTGGTCTCCAGATGCCGTGCCTGCATTAAAGTTGGCACCCCATGCATGCCACAGGGTTGAGAGCGTGCAAAGACCATGGTAAGCAATGTCACCTTGATGATGGGGACGCGCGACTGCCTGATGTGGAACGTCTTCCGGACGCTGTTGGACCTCCTCAGCTGCTGCACAATCTTGCCGAGGACGTCGTTCACCGGAACCTTCTCCTCTGTAGTGTATCCTGCGCCCAGCATGCTCAAATATCACAGTGCTGACCTTGCTTTGTGCGTTCGTCAAATACCAACCCCAATAAATAAGGCTGGAAGCTAACTTGTTGTTGCATGGGATGTGACGCATAAAAGATGAGTCAGCGCACCCAGATTGTCCTTGCTGGGCTCCACAATGCCCAGCACGACCACATCGATGTCCGAGTTCCACAGCTCCAGGCCGCTGGCTTTGCTGCCGAATGGGTACACGTCATACAAGTGCATCATCGCGCAGGCGCCCTGCACCCGCCCCAGCGCTGCATCGCGCAAATTGCTCTCCTCCCATGTCGGCGCCACGTTTGCCACAAAATCCACGATCTCCTGCACCCATGGCAGATCTTCATCTTACAGATACCGTGCTTCTACTGCAGCAGGTACATGTACTAGCTACAGATTCTTGCTTGTCAAAAGCCTATCATGCACCACGTCATCCATATGGCAGGACAAGGGCCCAAGCAATGTCAGTACCTGTTGGAGCCTGGCCGTGCACTCAGGATTGACGCTGGGCATGCGGAAGGAGAGGGTGACTCGCTGATCCGTGGCCGCCCCAACTTTGGCTCTCTTGCTGCAAGCCCGGTCCAACCCCACCTGCGCCTCCTCGCCTGCCGACACCTCCCGCCTGCTGCCCAGCTCCCCCTCTTCCTCTGGGCTCGCGCGGCTGACAATCCGGATCCTGTCCGCATCGCCGCCCACAGAGCTGACCTGTCGCTCCAGTGACTGCGCGCGCCGCTTGCTGCCCTGCCCCGACCCCTGCCTCTGAATGTCTCCGCGGCCGGCAGCGCCGACGGTGTCCACGCGGACCTGCCGCGCTGTCCGGTCCACATCGCCTGCCCGGCGCCCTCCGTCCGGGAGAGTGCCACGCGCATCCGCCGGGAGCAGCATGCCGCCCCAGCCGATGTGCGTGTTTCCTCCGGCGCTGCCATGCGAGGACCTCTGCTCCCCCTGGCTCCCATACGCGGCTGCATCCCCTGGCTGTAATGTGACGGCGCGCCTGGAGGGCTCGTCGGAGAACCTGCCGCCTGATCCCGCTCGCCTTGTCCTCCGCTTCTGACCGCCCATGCTGGTCAACCTACCTGTTGCAACACAGCTGTTTTGGTCAACGGGTCACTACCATCATGAGCCATTGCATGGCAGCACAAGTTGACTGTATTAAGACAGCTTTGCCATCGTCTGACAATTGGGCTCAGAAAAGGAGCTTACCGGGTCTTGCAAGGCTGCACCCTTCAGCTCTGCTCACAGTTCAGGATCAGCTTGTGCGCAGGGCAGCCTGGAGAGTAGTAGTCTTCAAGGACGCCATCCAGCTCAAAACCCAGGAACTTGTACAACTTGATGGCTGCCTCATTTCTTGGGTCCACATGGAGGGTTGCACAAGATCTCTTTGCCACTTTCAACGCTTCCTGGGATATCGATCAAGGAGAAGCTCAGCGCAAAGGTGATGAACACACAAGATGGCTCTTTAAGCAGTATCTGAGCGAAATGTACAGAGAGAGATTATATCAGGCACCTTGATCAACCTTGAGCCGATGCCAGTGCGTCTGTGGCCCGCATCGACAACAACTTTGGCTATGTGTAGCACTAATTTATTGACAACTACAAACGCGTAGCCAAGGACCTGTGTGGGTATAAAGGGCTTTGGCATTAGGCATGATGCATGCGAAATGTGCTAAAGGAATAGACACCATACAATTGGTGTGTAGCACAGAAAGCTTGACGCCCATACTTTCGATCTATCGTGATCTACAGCATAGAGAAGAATTGTGTTCTTTCTCTTCGTCTCCTTTACCCAGTCGTCTGCAATGAGGATAAAGGAATATGAGTATCGCGTACAAATGTAAGATCAAGCTCACCACATCCCAGGCCGCTCAGAATTTTTCAATCACCTTTGGAGAGGGCCAACGATCGGTTGAAATTGCGTCTTTCAAGCTGACTGACGCTTGCCAAAACTCCTTGCTGTGCTCGATATACCTCAACTAGAATGTCAGATGGACATTCAGATGCCGAAACCGCCAGTTTGACCGACTCAATCTAAGTAGGGAAGAAACCTTGGAGATTTACCCCCTGCCTTGCGGAGACCTTCAGAGACGGATCAATGCCTGCAAAGATGCATGTGTGTCCTCTGATGAGAATAATCCTCTTGGTCGATATCCCCATCCCCATTTATTTAATAAAATCGAAGCATGCATGGCTCATGCCTGAAATTGTTGCCTGCCAACTTCCAACTCCCAAGCAGAACTTATACGCTAATGCAGAAAGATGATGCGGCATACGCTATGCCAGCTACGATATTCGAGCACTTAGGAGCGCTTTTGCTTTTCTGATTCATCGCATCAGCCTCTTCTGTCCTCTACTACCAAGTGCTTTCCTGGACAGGTCTTTCGATTCAACATATTGTGGAACCACCGTCCAATGCTGTAACAACTAGAAATGTCCACAGCTGAAAACATAGCGGCTGCCTTGAAAGACGCTGAGCGCGTTTGCAAGAAACAGAAATTATGTGCTTGCAAGACAGCACAGTGCATTGATAAGCTAGCTGAGGCGCTTCGGGCCGCTGAATTTGATTCACCAGACGATGCGCTTTGCCCCGACGGTCTTCACGAGCGATTACTCAATCCTGCTGAAAAACTCCTGAAAGATCTTACGGAAAGCACGAAGGACCTGCACAGTGCAGTAAATAAGCTTGGAAAGGTATGCATCCCCATCCTTGCCTTGGGGCAACGTACATCTCGCTTAATTCCATTTAAGTTCACCACAGTGTCGCTATTCAGACCAAAAATCGTTCTCGTGGTGCCATGTAGGCTGTAGACAAAACCTTCGTCCAGGACATATGCGCGGCGATCAGGCCTGTTGATTTCGATCAGCCCACCCTGAATAAGGTATGCATCTTGCATGAGCTTACTGTTTAGCCTTAGCAAGCTGCATGGTACGTTTGGGTGCTGGCATGGTTACCTTGCTTGCGACTCAGCGTTCTCTGGTGCAGGTGATAGCAGAGCACTTCTACCAGCAGGGAAACTTCAGAGTTGGGGACGCCTTTGTCAGAGAAGCTGGTATCGGCAATGGCGACGCGCTCAAGAAGCCGTACATAGCCATGCACTCTGTGCTTAAAGAGGTCAGGGGACCCTCTGACGAAAGTCCTCTCCTTGAGCTCGTGTCAACCAGTAAAATTGCATGCTGAGGAAGATAGACAGGTAGATCTGTAAGCAAAATCATTTTCTCTGGGCAGGTGCTAGGACACAACTTGCAGCCAGCCCTGCACTGGACAGAGGAACACAAGGAAGATCTCAGGGCCAGCAATGGCAGCGCTGCTGTCAGCTCCTTCGAATTCAGGCTACACCGCCTCCAGTTCCTCCACAGGCTGCAGACTGCAGGTCTGAGAGCTGTTGCCTGAGCCGATCATGCCCCAGCGCTATAACTGGAGTGGTCCGCGCTTATTGATTACTACTCTTCATGTCTGTGAATCTGCTGTTGTTTTCAGCTCCCCAGCCCCTGATTCGTAGCTCGATTTGGATTTGGGCAGGCCACATAAAGTGGGGGACAGATTTTCTGGCGCTCCTCTATCTGGGCGGACTAATCAAGTTGCTGAATCGGATTGTTCTTGAAGGGAGCTCTGTGTACTGCAGGGCCCAGCCAGGCTCTGGCATATGCGCGGGCGCACTTTGCAAGCTTCCAGGAGACTGAAATGGGGGAGATACAGCGCCTGATGGGCTGCCTGTGCTTTGTGAGACGGCCCGGATCGTCGCCGTACTCAGACCTGATGGCTCCGGCACAGTGGAACGATGCTGCTCGAGAGTTTGCTCGGCAATGCTGCGGACTGCTGGGCCAGGTGGGGATGTGCCAGTGACTGATAAGAACTCCTGGCGTTGAAAGACACTGTGCACAGCAAAGAACTTGTCCTGTGTTTTTCATGTCCAGGGCGATGCGCTGACTGCATCCGTCTCGTGTAGGGCAGGTGATGTCATGTGTATGTTTGTTGAGCTCTGATTTGAAATCTAATGAAGGCACGTTGCTGTGTGCAGGCATGTGAGAGCCCTCTGCTAGTGGCAGTTGCTGCTGGCAGCATTGCTCTGCCCACGCTCCTGAAGCTTGCCACAGTGATGGCAGGCCAGAACCAGGACTTCCAGACGTGCACGCAGCTGCCTGTGGTGAGCTACCTGCACACTCCTTGGGGTTTTGATGTGACCAACAGCCTGCACCCCTCTGTCTTCTCTCGCTGGTGCTTGGCCCAGCTTGAAATGGTGATGAGACCAAAGTTGGTTGAAGAAGTGTCTCTGCCCTGACTGCGTTGCATTTCCATGCAGGAGCTGGAGTTGGGGAGCGAGTTTGTGTTCCATTCTGTCTTTGCTTGCCCCGTGTCGCGGGAGCAGAGCACAGCGGAGAACCCACCAATGCTCTTGCCTTGCGGGCATGTTCTGTGCAAGCAGTCCCTCCAGAAAATTGCAAAGAGTCCTGCGCGCGCCTTCAAGTGCCCATACTGCCCCGTGGAAGCCACGATGAACAGCTGCCGAGCAATCTTCTTCCCTGACGCTGAGTAACCTGTGGGAGAGGTGGCGCAGAACTTAATAACTGCATTTGGGTGTTGTAGCACTGGTGTATGATAGACGATCAACTGGCCTTGAAGGCTGCTCCTTTTATGTACACTAGCTCGTTAGATAGCTCATCCTATGTATATCACCGGCTGACCCTCTCTTGCTTGTACTATCAAGCAAAAAGGGCTCCCGCCCTCATTGGTGGGTGGTTTGCTACATCCAACATGATATTCAATTAAAGGTGAACATTAACCTTGCATACAAATTTATTGGGGTATCCCTGGCGTGCCTTGATCTCTAGAAGATTTGCAGCAGGACAGCTGGCAGACTGTTTGCTTGTAACCTCGTGGTGCTCAGATCTGTGCACTGATTCTGCATATGCATGGATCCTTCCGGATGATGACCGCACACTGGGATGGGCTTCATGTTTGAAAGATGACCCACATGCGAGGGTGCAAAATTTTGGGCTCATGGGCTCATGTAAACAGCATGGCATGTAGTCATCGCATGCTTAATATAACGAGAAGAGTGGCGTCATGCGAACATGCAATCAGCAGCAATTCATGGAGGCTGGATGCAACTACTATACATGTGCGGCATGCCTCCGAGGAATAAAGACTATTCTCTTCGTCAACAGGGGTGACCAGCTGGTGTAGGGAGGCGAATGTCATGCAGGCCTTTTTTTTTAATTAATTAAAGTAATCTACTTCTTAGCTTTATAAATTTTTATAAACTTCTTTTGCCTAACTTTTTCTTGTTTTGGTTACACACATGGTATTTCAGCATCGGAAGGAATCCATTGCTTCAATTCAGATCAGGGGAGGCCAGCTACAGAGGCAAGATGCATTTTATTTTAGCCAGGTGCCCTGCCAGGTACATGCATGAGCGCGTAGTCATGACATGCCGTACCGAATAATAGGTGCATTGACCAGAAGTCATGTCTAATCAGGATCTGGACACGTGAAATCGAGTCTCCTTCAAGAGTAGAACGGTGTGTTTGACAACAGAAGTTAGTATTATTATTACACGCTTTTTCTGTCAAAAGGCAAGGTGCGTCCTGCAGACAAGCTGCAGTTAAAGACTGCCACATTTTACTTCAGTCAGTCAATTCTAATGCATTTTTCAAATTCAATATGATCTCAATTTCTTCTGAGATCCCTCCTGTTGGAGAACAGGTGGTGGTATCAGGACAAAACAGTGATGGGCAGCTCTTGCATTATACAAGTAAAATGCACATTGTACAGTTCTGTTTTAGGTTTCTGTGATAGTGCGCAAGAGGCCCCCCGAGTACTTGAAAGACTTCTGTGTCTCCTCTAGGCAGCTGTCTTTCTCTTCCCGCGTCCAGCCTTCTGCCACCGCATTGAGCTGAGCGCGCACTTCATCTAGCTTGGCTCGGAAGTCGCCCTCGTACTGCAATGCACATCACTCAACGATCAGGCTGGTACTAATGCACATTGCTGCCGGTTGAGTTGGTAAAATATAAGGTGGGACGAGTCGATGTGGGCGGTACAGCATGTCATGCATCCAGAGTAGAGAAGCGCTTCTGCTCTTCGCACCCCACCTTGTAGAATTGGAGCTCTCTGGAATCCAGGATCATCGAGGCAACCTTGGTGCCGATCATTCGGCCGCCCGCAGTGTGTGCAAAGTACACATTGTAGAAATGGCACAAGAATTTTGGAGGGCAGTCGCGCGCCAGCTCCTTCAGCAAGCTGCGCATGAAACACCACCGCATTAGTACAGCATCTGAAAAACCTCGTCATGCATGCAACAACAACCATGAATATCTGTAAGCATGACCACTCGCCCATGGTACCCCCTGCTTTGCTCAATGTGATTGAAGATTCCCACAGCACCTGCTGTAAGCGCGTCCTGGCCCATCCTCTGACAGCTGGACAGGGGCCAGGCTATACTCCTGCTGCATCCAGGCAATGTCCTCTGACAGCCCTGCCGACCGCTCCAAGCCTGTGTTCTGAAAACGTGCATCTGCACCCGCACCAAGACAGCCAACGTCATACTCAGTGGTGAGATCTACTCTGACTCAGATCACGGTACACACTTCAAATTGCATCAGAGCACTGGCAGGCTGAGTTTCAAGAGATGGGATGGGGGCTCACATTCAGGGAATGAAGCCTCTGCCACAATGTTCTCCAGTGTTTCATACACTTCCTTGGACTCCGCCAAGAAGCGCAGGTAGCCAACACGGGTCGGCTCCCACTGCATTCACACAGCAAGATGCTCAGCCGTCCTGCCAGTCTAGCCAGTGTGATAAATACGCTGAGAATTGCAGAACAATTGAAGGATAGCTGGTGTTCCAGTGATCACCGCTTTCCAGGCCTTCTCTGCTGACTCCTGCTGGCCCTCCTTTGGCGCCTGATCCCGAGTGTGCAACTTCATGGCTACAAACCGCATCTCCTCCACGAACCCTGCACACAGGTACATCTGGGTCGTGCAAGGTCCATAAAGAGACACACCTGAAGCAGTAAAGTTTTCCTAGGTGACCCGGCAAGACCATGACAATGCAGACGTCTCAAATCATATCATCTTCTCAAGCTGTTCTTATGTTTATTCGCGCTAGCTTTATCAATCTCCACCAGTGTTCTATGCTACCTTTCTTCTCTCCAGGCCTGCTCTTGGGCTCAGCAGAGCTCGGTGCGGCCGATGCACAACCCAATGTCGATCTTCGACGTACTACTGGCTTTACCTGCAATCTGAAATGCTGCTTTTTACCATGATCTATGCGAAATAATGCTGATGTGCCAGTGCCTGCACAACATGTCCTCGGTACACCGAACCTCTGCAGATTCCCGAAGGCCATCGGAGGCGTTCGAAATTTTTCACACCAAATTCACTCTAACGGAGTTCTCCTGCGAAAAGCTGTCACTTACATGGAGTTGCCCCCCACGAGCTTGATCCTTGTGCCAGCTCAGCGGCTTAGTCACCTGCAGGCGTGCACACGTGCGCGCATTTCATCGCTTACATGACTGGCTCACAGACTCAAGCGAGGGAGCAATTGTTGGATGTGATCAGTTATTTCAGTGACCACAACATGATCATCTGTAGCATTCTCTTGATGTATCTTGATAAAGGCTTCAAGACAAACTGGTAACGTGGACATCGACTTCTTGTGATGGTTATTCCAAACGTCGAAAATATTCTGTACAATAATTTCTTTGCAATTGACTAGACATTTTTGATCATGTTGGCATCTTAATCCATGCTCGTTCCTGCCAATCATCCAGAAAGCAGCAGTGCTGAGCATAAATCTAGTTATATGTAGTGGCCCAGAGATGACGAGTGGATTCTCAAGACAGCAAACAACGTTCCCAATACGCTTAGACATATTTCTTTATCTCTAAATCGACAGACAATGTGGCTTCGATCACTCTTGCTAGCAGTCTCTTTCCTGGTGCTTCAGCTTGCACGTAGCGAAGCAGTGACTGCAGGTGCAAATTGCCTGTCACATAATCTTGCAGCTCTACAGCATGTTTTGTCCCCTTCTAAAAGTATGCAAGGTCAGATTGTGCTGGCCTGCGTGCAGAGAGGCCCACTCACAAGGGAAGCAGCGGAGCTGTGAAGGTCTTCTACCAAGTGACAGCAAAGGGCAGCTACAAGGATATCATCAGGCAGCAGATGAGCGGCCTGATCCTGAGCGGCCTCTATGGAAGGGCAGCAATAATCCATGCTTTCGTCTTGGCAGACACCAGGGAGGACCTGGCAGCAGCTGCTGAGCTGCTGTCAGAGTTCGGGCGGAAGGTGCAGGTCATGGAGCAGAGCCTGGATGGCACCAGGATGGAACGCCTCACGCTGGAGAACATTGCTTCCCTTGTGCACGAGCAGGACAGGGTCTTCTACATGCACTCCAAGGGCGTCACATACGATGCCAGCAGCGAGATTGGCATAAATGCCTTCTGGTGGTCACTCTTCATGCAGTACCACCTGATCCAGGGGCATGCCAAGTGCATAGCTCTGCTGGACAGCTATGACGTGGTTGGGGTGAAGAGGGAAAACATGCAGAGGGCCGATGCAAAGCCAGGCTACCATTTCAGTGGCAACTTTTGGTGGGCCACAGGGGCATATTTGTTGACTCTTAACCCCAAGATTGGGGATCTGTACCATGATCCTGAGCTGTTCATAGGGTCCAATGCGCCCAAGTTCTTCTCGCTGTGGCAGATCCCCACCAAGGATGGCAGGGTGGCTGTGCTCCACGATTTCCCATTCACCCCAAAGCGCTATATCGATGCAGACTCGAGGCAACAAGCACTGCATGCCTTACACAATTGATCTTGATGAGTGATTGGTCCCTAATGTGCTATTTAGCACTGTCTGTCCTATGAACATTGCAATCTCTTCTGGCAGAGTGTGCTGCAGATCGAGCAGATCTCAAAAACCTTCCTTCAGTATTGATGGACTGCATTCTGTTTGCCTGAGTACTTGAGGGCCTGCAACTTGCTAGGCAGGTTGTGATCCGTTTCACTGCATTTGGCTATTGAGGCACATGGCGGGTGCATCTTATAGGTGTGGATGTCAACTGTGACAATCTCGTATATCCTAAGTCAGGGAGACAGATTAGATCGATGAACTTGATACACTCAATGTGTTTGTGCTGATGTGGACGGTGGTTACTCTGTAACCGTCACGTCATTTTCTCACGAAAGTCAACCGTTGAGATTTATGCCTCGCGACACATTCGAGTCGCACCATTATTCGCCGTTCTTTCTTGATTGATTTTGTAATCGGGCGGATCAGAGACATTGTTGATTATTTTGTGAGACGGCGACGAGCGTTTGCCTGTCCCGGCTCATGTGATAAAGAGGATTTCTATCATTCAGAAAATGGAGCTGGATCTGAAGAGATCCTCTCGTCTACTAGCAAAACTTATCTCAGGCATTCCACTGCAGAACTGTCAACCAGGATACAGCGGCGCAAGCATTACAGTTTGGAATGCTTCGACCATCGGTGAATAGTCTTTCCTCAAGGTCACTCCGCGTTTGCTCGCATAATGCTTGAAATGTTTTTAAAATTAATATTTCAACATCCAGGTGCTCTCTCAGTGGACGATCGCGAGAGATTGGCATGGTTGATTGACTCGTTTGGCATGAAGTCAGCCCGGGCTCAGGTGACAATTGATGTTCGGGCCTCGCAACCCTGCTTATGAATGGTGGCGTGAACAGCAGCATGAAATTCCTTTGAACCGCAGGGCCTTCGTTCTCCTATCACTAGTCTTTCGAAATTGCAGCAGACCGAACAAATACTTTACATGGCTGCGCAAAGAATTGAGGGCGACAGGTTTGCATGCACCCAGCTTATCTGAGTTGCATCCAGGATTGCAGAGCCACAAAATTAGTGCAATCTGCTCAGGCACATGCACACCTCAATAAGCCATGATGCGCGTGCAGGATAAAAATTCTGGGGGCGCTGAAGAGCGGGAAGAAGACACTGTTCCTGCGTGCAGAAGATCACTCCTACCACTCAAGACAGCCGGTCTGCTTGTTGGATTTCTATGTCCACGAGCCTTGTCAGCGCAGCGGTATTGGCAGAGCACTCTTTGAGGTATGAAGAGCCTCAGCTTACCACAAACACTTTTTGCTGTTGCAGTCACTCCTGGGCAAGACAGAAAGCAAAGCAACTGGCTCAACCCAGGCATGTGCATGCAGGCTTTCTTGACGCATGAGAAGGAGACGGTGGCTTCCATAGCATTTGATACTCCGTCGCAAAAGCTTCTCGGCTTTCTGAAGACGCACTACGGTGGGTGGAAGAGTACTTTTGCATTGTTCGAGCTGACTACAGGCTCTGGCCCGCCATTCTGTGACTTCGCTGTTTGTCCTGCGCTCAGGTCTTGTCCATTACACACCTCAGGACAACAAGTTTGTGGTGTTTCCCGAGTTCTGGACTGTGACAGCGAAGCAGCAGACCATGGTCCGGCATGCAGCCTCAAGCAGCAGCAAATGGGTAAGCACCCACCCAACATTGCACACACAGGGGTCTGACAATCCCTGTTAACATTCTGTCATGATTGCAATGCTATAACAGCAGCACGTCTCACCTGCACAGAAGGTGGAAAAGGCACTTTTGCATCCTGCTTATTTGGCCCCCAGCTTGCGCGGGGTAAAACAAACACTGAGCACCTTGCCCTCAATTAGTTGGGTCTTGCTTGGATCTAGCGAATCCAACAAGGGGTGGGATCTTGGCAGCTTTCACATGCAGCTTGTCTGCATATGCTCCTTGCCTAGAGATATCCGTTTATTCAATCACTGAGCTGCAAATGACGTAATGTAATGTGCATGCAGACAAGTGTGGCGGCTCGGCCGCTCACGCCGCCGCGCAGCAGGCGCATCGCTTCTGCTCGGCAATCCTCAGAGATCAATGTCGGCTCCCCGCGATCCGCCCAGAATGGAGCAGCGAGGACCCTCAATGGCAGCGCAATGAATGGCCATGTCAGAAATGGGCCCGGGCCCGCCTGAACAAGGCAGCCTGTTGATTCAAATCCGCGCATGCAGCATTGCTGGAGAGTGCTGTTCCATGCATTGCAGGGCTGTGTTGAGACATGCATGCGCGCATGTGTCTCGGCAGCAGGTCAACAGACGGACTCAGCTGATATGGTGCCGGGATCGTGGCCGGCAGTAGTAAAGTCTTTGCGCGGTTGACTTTCTGGCCAACTCCGACTTGAATTGGCTGGTGTCCTGATGGCAGCAGTGTTCAAGGTCTCTCTAGATCTGGGTTGTGGCCATGGCACAGACATCAAAAAAATTTCACCATGCTTATAAAAAAATGACTTCGAGATGTCTCTGAAGTCCTTTTGTATGTGACTCATTTGACACCTCAAAGCTATACAACCCCCAGAATGTGTGAGTGTAAGAAAGGGTTTGCAAACCCTGATTCGGTGTGAGGCAGACGTTACGCATTCTGCTGGCACAAGTCATCACCAATCTGCATCTCTGGCTTGTGAGATGGCGATGGCACAGCCTATCCAAGCATTATCTAGCGTTTGCAACAATGAGCTTCTGCAAGAGGTGGAACGACTTCGTCGGGAAGTGGCAGTTCTCGAACAGCAGCACGGTTATTCACAGGAAGACATGGTCGATGAGGACGGGTACAGTAAATTCATCCGAACACATTTTTGTTTCATTTCGTATGTAATCTGGCAAATTACACTGGCATTTCAATCTTTTCTGCCTTTGCCACCATGTTGTTGATCCACGATCTGGGTGCAGGACTGAGTACTTCGACGCAAATCCAGTCCTGGACGATCTACCCATGTCTGAGCAATCACTCGATTATACAAATGGCGACAGATATGAGGTACCATTCACGGTCCACAAGTCTAGCCACTTGTCAGTGTTGGCACACCTCATCAATCCCTGACGTCCTGTGAGTGCAGGGGATGACTCTTGGGAATATGAGGCACGGGAAGGGGGTGCACACCTGCACGAACGGTGATTGCTACAGAGGATACTGGCGTCTTGACAAGCGCCACGGCAGGGGCAAGGCAACCTTTACCTCAGGGATGCAGTACGAGGGAGACTGGGCAGACGACAAAGCACATGGGTGCGCTCAAGACCAAAAATTTCCTCCTTTTCCTTGCCTGCTATCAAAAACGTTTTGAGCGCCATGTGGCATTGAGAGTCTCATCCAAGTGAGGGTAGACAAGTGAATTCTTCATGGCAATAGAGAGCAGGCAAGCACGCTCTTGACTGATGGTTGTATTTGCATGCAGGAGTGGGAAGGCGCGGTACGAGAATGGCGGGATGTACAAAGGGGAATTTAGGCATGAGCAGCGGTGTGGGTGGGGCCACCACACATTCCCCACAGGCGACCACTACGAGGGCGAGTGGCTGGCTGACAAGATACACGGTCAGTACTCCTACACCTCTTCTCAAGAGCCTGCACCTTTCTAGTACGCGAGCAAGGCAGCATCACAGTAGCAGCCACATGAAGATGCAAAGCATGATCCTGTGGTGTGTTGATCGCATGGCAGCGATTGCAAGTGGCGCCCTGAAGCCTTCTAAATTTGCTTTGAGCAGCAGTGAACCAGCAGTTTGCTCAGCATGCAAAGGTACCCGACTGAAGTCTATGAAAGATTTGTCTCTTAACAGGCCAGGGCAGGCACACCTTCCTGGACGGGTCCTACTATGAAGGGCACTGGGCGGCTGGGGAGCGAGTGAAGGGTATATTGGTGTCTGGGGACGGCAGCACAGAATACACTGGGCAGTGGAAAGAGGAAGCGCGCCACGGCCATGGGGTGCTGTTCCACAAGGGCTTCCTGAAATACACTGGTGCGCACGCTGCTAGCCATTGAGCAAGTGGGGTCCAAAATCCTGCGAGTCCTGCTCTCCAGAGCAGCATGCCTTTGTCCAGGCTGCCTTGCACTGCAATGCTTTTCCGATCTTTCGCGTACAATTCCCTTGTTGCGATACAGTTCTCTCCTGTCCTTTCTGTAGGCAAAGTCCTGGCTGCTTTAGAAGGCTCTGCAAATCTCTCTGCATGCATTTGCCCTGACTGCAATGCAGTGTACTACACTTCTTACATGCTGCTTTGTACTTGTATATCTGTCAACATGCATGTGCAGGCTTGTTTCAGTTGCACTGTGCTTGTGTGTCTGCAGGGGAGTGGGTGGATGATGTGCAGGAAGGGCACGGTGTGTGTGTGTGGGCGGATGGGACGGAGTACAAAGGCACCTGGAAGGGAGGCGTGCGATATGGCAGGGGGATTTACACACGCCCGGACGGCTATGTCTATGATGGCGATTGGCGCGATGACATGCAGCACGGCCAGGGCAGCTGCCGCTATGATGACGGCAGCAGGTGTCACTTCTGCCCCACCTTAGTCCTGCAACCCCTCTGTAACCCTTCACATGCAGAAGTGGGAATAGCGGGTAGCAATAACACAGGTGCTGCTTGATGTACCTGGTCCTCAGGACTTAAGAATGTCTAAACAATGATCCTTGCAATGACTGTGATATGTTTGTTGGCACCTGCGACTTTGCTATTTGCGCACTAGCATTACCGCAGGCAGTTGTAGACAGGGAGTGATGCATTCCTCCGGCGCACCTAGCCACCCAGCTCGAGAACCAGCCTTCATTCGTTTATCAACTACCACAGATTACCACACCAGTGAAATTTCAAGCATTTGGATTTATCCTGATCCTCACAGTCCTGTGCTCCCCAGGTATGAGGGCAGCTGGGAAAAGGGGCAGCGCAGCGGCGAGGGCAAGTGCAGGTTTGCAAATGGGGACGTCTATGTTGGGCTGTGGGCAGTGGATGCACGCAGCGGCAAAGGCACCTGTGCCTATGAGAGCGGAGACAAGTACACCGGTGCGCTTCCCATGCATGTCGGTCATCGATCATGAGTCACCAGATGTGAAGCTTGTGGCTCTGGCTGAGTCAGCAGGACAGCGCACGTGCGATTGGTAGCAATCCGAATCCTTCTGCACCAGATTAATCTCTACTCGGCGCAACCTGCAAGGGCCTTCATCGCTATCTCTTATATGGGGATCCACGGCAGAGGCATGCAATGGTTCAGACTAAGCCATATGCTCTCAAGATAGATACAATCGCTGAGCGATGGTGTGGGTGCGCAGGGGAGTGGGTGGACGGTCAGAGGCAGGGGTATGGCATATGCAAGTTTGCAGACGGTTCCAAGTTCAAGGGGGAGTGGGAGGGCGATGCCTGGGTGCAGGGACTGGCTCACCCCGGTCACACCAAGCTCAAAGGCCTGGGACTGTCCAGGGCTGTGGCTGGGGTCCCTGCCACCTTCACCATCCTGGTCAGTAGCCCCTCTATTTGCTGTTCCTGCAGCCTCCAATGCATATTACTGTGGGATGACTCGACATGTGCTTTTTGCTGAGGTCACCGCACAAGCACTCTTCTGCGGTGTTTGTGCATCTGCCGTTCCTACAGCCTCAGGGGTGAAAAGTAAGGAAAATGCAGCATGCTCTTTGTTCCTGTATCTCTAGGGACTTAAGTGATGGCTGACTTTTCAAGAGCGTGCCTATATCTGCAGCGGTTGCCTTTCTGTGGGCCATAGTATACCCGATGACCTCCAAGCGCAGTCTATCATGACGTGCACAGAGGCAGTCTTAAGTGACAAGCAAAGCAGGGGTGCAGAAGCTTTCAGCGCTGTCCTGGGCTCAGGTGTGAGTGTGGGGTGCAGGCGAGGGATGAGCTGCGCAACAGGCGGCTTTGCGGAGGGGATGTGTTTGAGGCGCGCCTCAGGGGGCCCAACAGCATCGAAGGGACGGTGAATGACAACAACGATGGCACATACACTGTGAACTACACGGCCACCCTTGCTGGCCAGTACCAGCTCTGCATCACAACTGGTGCGCTGCAAAATCATCATGCGAGCACCATATCCAGCAGAGCAATGAGAAGTTTTCGTCCATCTGACAGCTTCCTTTCTGCTGGGCTCAAGAGGATTGTTGGCCGCATGAATCACAATGCAGAAGTCACGAAATAGAGCTTCTCTCCTGTTTCAGGACACCCTTCAGCCTGAAAACTCCCTTGAACCCTCACATACGAATGGCCTCATGTGGCATTCTATGATTAATGCCACATTCATGGGTCTTAAATTACTGCAGATGAGGGTCACGTGGCAGATTCATCCTACTCGCTGCGGGTGCTCCCCGGCCGGCCGTCAGCCAGACACTGCACCGTCACAGGCGACGGCCGCCGCTGCGCCACTGTCAACCGCCCGGCACAGTTCACCGTCGAAGCCCGGGACGAATTTGGCAACAGGTGCGCTGTGGGATTTCCCCTCAATGTGCAATGCAGTGACTGGGACACAATCTTCAGCAGTTGCAGCTGTTACCTGTGTCTATCCGCCAGCACTTTACTGGACAGGCGCATGCAGGATCACTGATGATGCATCTCCTGGCAGGAACAGAGCCATTCAACATGCTTCTTGCAGGTGTGAAGGAGTGGACCTCGGGAAGCATCTGCCCCTTGAGGTGGAGCTTAAGCTAGCAGCTACGCTGTTACCAGTCACCCTGGAGGCACAGGAAGATGGCTGCTACACCTGCACATTCCAGCCAAATGCTCCAGGATACCATCGGCTGGAGATACTCTGCCACGGACGGCCAATTGCAGGCAGCCCATTCTCTGTCAAGGTGGGCATATTACTGCACTTAACCAAAATTGGCAAGCGCGACTAACTGCAAGGAGATGTACACTGTGTGGGAGATGTTGTCTGATGGGCCAATGTCTTTTGTGCAGGTGGAAGCAGAAATAGACACAGGGCCGAGTCCTCAGCAGGACTTCGCCCCCATTGAGGACCAGGTGAAGAAGTGGGAGCTCATAGCAGCCAGGGAGTACCAGTTTGATGGCACTGCAGACGGATGGGACAGCGACGTGGCAGAGGAGGAGACACCAGAGCAAAAATACATCAAGGTGAAACTCCCTGCAATTGCACAGGCGTGGGACCCCTACAAATTGCAACTTTCCATGAGTTGAAGTGAGAGACATGCCAATGAATCTTGGGGATCACGAAATGACTGCATGCATTGCTGCACAAGATGAGGCATTCCTTTGATCCGGTAATGAATTTATTCAGTGGAGGAGGAATTCAGACTTCCAGGCAGGATTGGATTTGAGATTTAATTTTGCAGGCGCATCCGGATGTGCCGGTGGTGGAGAATATGGAGGACATGTGGAAGGTGAGCAAGCTGCAGCGTGAGCGCAAGCGCCGAGAGGAGCAGGCCGCAGCGATCAGGGACGCCCGCGCCGCCAAAGCCGACGCGCAAAAGACGGCGGCTGCAGCTGCTGTTGAAAAGGTCTCTCCAATGAGCACGAGCACATCCGCACTGGTGAGCGGTGCCGGCAATCAGACCTTCACTTTGAAGGATGAAGCAGTATCAAGCGGGTTTTCTATGATGTGGAAGTCGCTTGCGATTGGATCGTGTGACTACGAGTGTGTATGAAGGGTATGTCTGTTGCTTGCAGGTAACAACGGCTGATCAGGACCATGGGGCAGGGAGTGAGCAGGTAGAGACACGGCTAAAAGAGGCGCCACCGGAGAAAATTCAGAATTATGATGCCAATCCAGTGAGTGTGCCATCGCTCAACGATCTGGATTAAGGTTCATTTGCTATTGAGAATCAATCTGAGGCAACAGTAGATGCAGTCTCCATTTTCCAGTACGTGCCAGCAACAGTCAGATTCTAGGATCAATTGCAGACTGTCACAATGACAAGCCAGGTAAATATCATTATGCTTCTGTCCTGCAAATGTAAGATTTACTCAATGGCCATCTTCAGTAGTGCTCTCTTGCTTGATCATGCAATAGACCTGGCTAATGAAAAGCAATGAAAAGAAAGCAAGAATAGCGCAATTTTTACCCCTACAACTTCTCCTAAGAATTCTGAGACCGAAACATAACGATTCCATCATAGCCCGAGCTTGGAGTCGACAACTTCCAGGATGCCAGCAGCCGCCGCCTTGGGGTCCTCAGCCCCAAAGATGGCGGAAACGACGGCCACACCCGCGCAGCCTGCCTCGATGGTCGGCGCGGCGTTGTCTGCAGTGATGCCTCCGATGGCCACCACGGGGATGCTGACTGCCGCGCAGATGTCCGCCAGCCGGTCTATCGGCATGATTGGGCTGTCCTTTGTGTTGGTGGCGTACACTGCGCCACACAACAAGTCAGCCTTCAAGGCCGAGTCCAGTGTCAGAGAAAGAGGAATGCAGACATCAAGGCAGAGCGGGCACCATAGAATACGGTAGTAGAACGGGCTGCCTTGCAAGTGCACGTCCTTGCAACAACAATACAATGATCCCCCGGCCCAGATTTAGATCCAGATTGAAAACACGCCAAAGCCACATATATGTCTGCCGTGCTTGCTATCAGGCATGCATAACTGCCATCTAGTTACTGATTCTCCTTTCAGCACCCATGTCCTTCTAGCTCTTTATAACAAGAGCACGATCTCACACTATCACTGCTTCCTAGGCCTCAGCCCCATCGCAGACTTCAAGGCATTGTAGGCCATGGCAGGTGGCGAGAAGAATTATTTCTGAAATTCAACTAGGGACCACCTGCGCCTGAGCCGACATAGTCAGCGCCGGCTGCTTCAGCGGCGAGCGCGTGCTCCACGGTTTTGCAGGACACCCCCAGGATCTTGTGGGGGCCCAGCAGCCGCCTCGCAACCGCCGCCGGCAGATCGCTCTGCCCTATGTGCGCTCCATCTGCATCCGCCGCCAGTGCCACATCCACCCTGTCATTTATAATCACTGGCACCTGCATGACCACACATCCTTTTAACTGCAGAACACAACGATTGTATCCAGGCTTATTGCATTAGTGTCAGGCACAGGCTCCCTTTATCTGCAGAGTCTCTGCTCTGTGTTGCATGCCTGCGACATGGCCGCCCAGATGAACAATACAGCCCTGAGGATGAACGTTTCCAGTAGTACATGCTCTATTATAGTCTCAAGTGTGCAGAGGCAGACTATCCGCGTTGTCAAGCATGCCCGGCATGTGATCACCCAGCAATAGCAGGTGATGAGCTGCAGAGCCAGAGAGGCAAGAACAAGGGAGCGCACCCCTCGGGGCCGGGCGATCTTGATGACAGCCTCCGCCTCAGCAAGGAAGTCCCCGCCATCCGCATCCTTCTCCCTTAGCTGCACAACGGTGACGCCTCCGTCAATGGCTGCGCTGACGGCCTCCACGTTGCTGCGGTGCATCCTCTCGTTCTGCCGGGGATCCGTGACTGCGTACAGCCGCAGGTCCAGGCGGGATACCTGGTCCTTGGATGTCCAGTCTGCTGTGGCGTACCTGCACCATCCGCACAGCGCATAAGTCATGGCTTACGCAAGGGCATTTGGCTGCCAAGATTTTTTCCCGCTTCGCCAATTCATTTTGGTACGCTCTAAGATTACAGACAGTAGTCATGGGTCAATCAGCTCACCCGACATTGGCACAGCATTACTTGAAAAGCAGTATTCAAGCATTGCTTTGTACATGCTGCTGAGCCAATAAACCTATGAACACTGGGCAGAGAAGGATACTCCTCCGGAGAAAAGGCTGTCACAAGGAATACTCTGCATGAATTGTGGAATGTCGGCCCTCACCCGTGGTTGAAGGGCGTCTGGCTGCCGCTGCCGATGCGCAGGGCCGCGCTGGCCTGCAGGGCTTGGCTGACATACGCCTTGGCGGCGTGCACGGCCTGAACAGGCGACGCCCCCTTTGCCAGCTCAGCCGCAATGGCGGAAGCTGTCGAGCAGCCGGTGCCATGCGTGTTGGGGGTGTCGACTCGCGGCCCTGCTATGACCTGCACTGTCTCCCCGTCATACAGCACATCCAGCGCCTGACCGCCATCTGCACGCCAGCCGTAGTATCCTCCCTTAGGTATTTGAAGGGACAAAATATGTAAGCTTTGCACAAAGCACCTTCCGCATGCAAAAGGGGTCCAAGTGCATTTGGGCATTTGAAGGAATTGATGAGCATAGCTCGGACAGGACAGGAGTTCTTGCAGTATTGACCATGCACCGGACAAGGGTGGGCTCAGAGAAGAGAAGTAGAAGCCCAGAATGATAGCCCAAGTGCCTCTGCACTGCCTCGGCAGGTCAGGGTGCAACATCCAAAGATGTAATTAACGTATGGAGAGCTGGGGCTAGGGAGTGTGCACCTTGCTGGAGGTGGCCTCCCTTGACCAGCACGCACTGGGGGCCCAGAGCGTGCAGGTCTATAGCGGCAGCTTTCATGCCCTCCAGATCGGTAATTGGCCGGTCCCCCAAAATGGCGGACGCCTCTGGGAGGTTTGGCGTGATCATTGTGGCGAGCGGAAAAAGCCTGCAACCATCGCTTTTACTAAAACAAGAATTCTATCCAAAATGGCCAGCACAGAGGCGCGGTAACACACAAGAGGTCATGAAAAAAGAAGCACGATTATCTGTTGTCCAGCAGACACAAGAGAGCGGGTGCAAGCTGGCGCAGCATAGAAGAGCAGACGGCACAGCAGAGCAGGATAAGTGCTGTGGCATTGAACGATCCGTAGAAATCACTGTCTCAGGAAGCATGGAAACTTTCAAGTCAATGCTGCCCACCTGTCGACCAGGGCGCGCGCCACATCGGAGTCCCCCAAGCTGTGCCCGCTGGTGGACACTAGCACAGGGTCCACAACTAAGCAGCTCACCCTGTGCTCCACTATCCGGTCAGCCACAGCCTCTACCACCTGCAGACAGCCATCACACGCTCACAACATACGGCAAACTTTCCATGCGTTGGTTCATGCTCATTCTCATTCGCATCCTCGATCTCATCCTCACTTTCATGGACTGTGGAGCTGCCAAGTCCTCAATTCCATGAGAGTACGGAGTGAAAACCAGAATGAGGACGAGAGGGATGCTGAGATCCTCCTGCATAGCAGCATGTTGCCCCACAAGATCTCCCGGCTTGAGAATTTTTCTGACATTCCACCCGTCTCAACTATTTTCAAACTATTTTAACTTGAGGATTACTGCAGGACCCACCTCTGCAGTTGGCAGCATGCCGGTCTTGACCACATCAGCGCCGATGTCCTCCAGCACGGCATCGATTTGCCCTCTCAGAGTCTGCAGCGGCACAGTGTGGAATCCGCGCACGCCGTGAGTGTTCTGCTCCGTCACCGCAGTGATGGCAGATGCACCGTACACACCGCATGCCTGGAAGGTCTTTAAATCCGCCTGGATTCCCGCACCTCCCCCAGAATCCGACCCTGCTATCGTCAGCACGCGCGGCACCTGACACACCCAGACACATGACTCCGTCCAGTTCTTCTTCTAACATTGTTCAACAAAACTTCAGGCGGGCCCCCAGAAGGCGCCCTGCGCTACACATCACAATCGGCATGCATCATATCAATGAGGTCAAGCATGTCTTTTGACCGCATGCATAGAAAAGATTGCATGGTATACGCTTATATCAATCCTGACCTGGCATGCAGATAGACACTTCCGGCCTTTGTGCTATATTTCTGCAGCTAGCATGACTGGGCGGACCTCAATGGGAGGGGATTGCGCCGCAGGTGAACCAAAAAGGAATGCCTCGACCTCCCGCCAGCTGCGCGCCTCATACAGTGTTCCCTCCTCAGACTTGCCCTCCACTGGCGCTGCGCAGTCACAGAGCACGTTCAAGCAACGCCCCTTCCATGAGTCGTGGTATTTACTGGAGTTCCAGGCACCAACTTCCCCTCTAGCTGGGACAATTTCCTGCGTGAAAGTCTAAGCAGAAATGCACAAAAGAATGTCCGACAGGGCCTTCATCGATGAAACCAGGATGTGCATGCGAGTGATGATTTAAATAGAGTATCTCGAATTCAGAGCAGTTGTAGAGCATCTACAAGTCCAATGCTCTATAATGTCTGGCATCATGCTCACCAGTGACCAATGGCTTCAGAGTTATCCCTGCTGCCTTGGCCACCCTTCTCAGCAGCTTGTTCTGGCCGATGACAACGCCCAGATCCACTGAGAGGAGCGGGGCCAGGTCAGACATGGAGTCACCCACATACACTGACAGGCTCTCTCCCCCTGGCCCCTGACGCTTTGCTGCCTTCTTTAGTAATAGGGTATCCAGTACAGCCGCTTTGTCCACCCCACACTCTATCCGCCTGTGCAGAAGAAAGATCCATGAGTAATTGCAGAGGGTAGGCCATGCCAGCTGCCATTCGATCCAAATGCAATACCCATCAATCATCTGTTGAGACATATTTCTCTGGGGACTATAGAAGGTAAAGGCGAGAGTTAGCTCACCTCTCAAGGCATCCTGTGCTCAAGCCGTCTCTGCATTGCAAGTCATTTGCATGCACCACAACCTGTCCTGGTCTCGCCGACTCCTCCCTGCTCACATGCATACCACAAGGTCATGGCTGGACTTTATAAGTGCCGATCCAGGATGGTGATCTCAAGCTGAGAGGCGTGTACAGCCGCAAGCAAAGGTATAATCTATGAGGTTTTAAGGGGAGCTCACGAGTGCGCCACTCCAATCCTGCCCCGCAGCGCGCCTCGCACCATCTCAGCCGACCAGCTGACAGACACCACATGCGTCACTACCCCAGCCTGCCTGGCTTGCCGCAGGAACGACACGGCGCCCTTCTGAAGTGGGATGGTCCGACCTGTTTCACATCCATAATCAAAAGAAAATCACAGCCGAAACATACACGAGAAGGCCAATAGTCAGTTGCATGAGTGCGTCCCAAAATTTGAATGATGATCAGACCTTGTTTGGCCAAAAGATTTGTTGGCACGCCGGCAAGGATGCCAGAGTCAATGACAGCAGTGTTCATGCGGCGGTCAAAGGATGACAGCTCGTCCACAAACTCTGCCATCCAGGTCATGTCGAAGGGAGTGGGAGTAGATGATTCCGCCTGCACATTGCAGCACATTGCATCAGGCACCTCCCATCTTCGATGCTTCACGAAGAACATGTGACATGTATGCATATCAAGCGTCATTCTGCTACAAGCAGCAACTTTTGCTTTGCTGTCAGGATTGAAGCTGTAAGTGAATGCTCACAGCCGGTAGCAGGTCTTCAAGCAGCTCATCGCGTTCCCTTGCATACTTTTCCACAAGCTCGTCGCGCTTGGCCTCCAAAGACTCACGCACACTAGCATTTCCTCCTGTGACATTATGATCCCCGTCAACGAGTATCTTTTCGGCAAGGAGTGATTGGCACCGCATAATCATTTACTGGTGAAGCTAGTACATACAGCAAGCTTCAGTGAGTACCTTCAGTAGCTGCCCTTTCTGCTGATTCGATGGCAGTATTGATAATGACTGAAGTAGAGTCTAAAAGTGTCAAAGTCTCGTCAAAATCGAGAACTAAATCGCCCACTCGGGGCGAGGCATGGGCTGCACAAGCAGCACTAAAAAATTCGAGCTCAAGGCGCATGGCTGTCCGATACAGATGCTGCAGATGACCTGCAGTCAAAATCAACATATCATCGTCGTATTTCTTGGTATAGCTGAGGTTGGGTTCTGATCACATGGGTGAGACATGACCATCGACTTCTCTTCTCACAAATATAGGATGAGTGCATACTAGGTCTGCTGAAGGCATGATTCCCGTATTTTTGCTTGTTACGCCATACAGTATTCACGCAGGAACACGAAGGAGCTGTCAATCTCAACAGACTTCCTGCCAACGATCTGCAATGTACAGCACTGTGCAAGCAAGTTGGGGAGCTCAACATGAGCGAAAATATACGTCTAAAGCCCTGTAGTGTTTTCCAGGAGAAATCTGCTCGTACACATCGCTAGATGAAAAAGTCTGCTCACGAAAGAATTTGCCAAAATTCGGATGGGTGTGTCCTCATCACCTCATGCATGCAAACCTGGGATTCCAAAAATACATGAAGGTGTGTCAGAGATTCAGAATCAGGCATGGGATCAGCCCTAAGTGGTTTGGAAGCAATGCAATGTGTGACTGACTGGCTGTCAAGTGACTGGCTGTCAAGGGAACTCACCAAAGTTGGCGTCCTTTCCAAGCTTGTCCAAGAGCGCTCCCTTGGTGGCTGGCAGGGCAAGGTACGCAGGGGAAGAATACGTCATGACCCAATCTTTATAGGCGTGGCTGGCTTGCGGATATGCTGCTGCTAGTTCCTCCCCCAAGAATCCATACAGCCGCGAGCAGGGCAGCATAGCCGCCAAAATGTAGACAACGTCCTGTATTGGCAGATCATGATCATGACATCTCCTTGACATCTAATATGCTCCATTCTTCCAGGCTGAGACCTTCCTTCAGCCTGAAATTCTACACAATAGTGTGCATTCTTGAGTGTCACAGGCAGCATCTTTCTAATATTGGGATCCAGGAAAACGGGTTTCTGCCTGTACCTCAGTCTCGGCGACATCTCCAAGGAAATCCAAATAAGCCTTTGTCGCTGCTGAGGGGTGCAGCATGTCGGCAAGATCCACACCCCACCCCTGCAACTTGGAACACAAAGTTTTCATCCTGTTCCTCTGTTAGAATGCTGCTGCACTCCTGATCTGGCTCGCATGTGACATCTGTGATGTCCAGGGAAGTTGATAGGCGCTGTGCAGACACCGGAAATGGTGTCATGGTAAATTTAGCTGCAACAAATCCCTGCTAGCAATCTGTCACCAGAGGGTGGCGTGCCACACCTTGGCATAAGACCCATGCATTTCCAACTCCTTGGCAACACCCTCGTGTAAGGTTGATAGTTGGGCAGCAATAGACTTGTCATCTAGTCTGGATGCTTTGCGCTCAGCCGCTGCGTATGATGAAGCGAACACAGCGAGAAAGTGAGCATCCTGAGCAATGTAAAATTGGAAGCTCTCCCTATGGTCCACACACACTGCGTTAGACAAGGTTGAACAATATAATACTGTGCCAGCTCTTTGAAATAACGGCCAAATGACGAGCATGTCAAGTCCATGACCATCCTAAACGCATCTGCAGCAGAAGAAAGGCAGCACTGGCACAGATACAATCTTTGTGTTATCGTAAGCAGCTGAGTTCCCTTTTATCACTCAGATCACTCACGCAGACCAAACGATCTGACAGTGATGAAACAACACTCCGTCTGCACAACGCATCTTGTTAGGTGTGACGATGCTTTATAAGATAGGAATGACCTTGATAAGGTACCAGCTCCGAGGGAATGAACGAAGGGGTGGTGCAATGCTCTCAGAGTGTCCAATTCGGAATCCACCCAAAGCAGCTCATTGAGGCTTTCCCATTTCTTCATGGGGCAACGACAACCTTTATTAAAGATAGAAATCTTATTTTTAATATATCAATCAATCCAATCAGTTCCTAGCTCAGCTGAAAAGTTGTGTGTTTCGTAGGGCTCTATCTAGGGTTTTGACCCAGAAAAGTTTGATATTCCCTCCTCCATCTTTGCTCCATGTTGATGTCCACATTAATGTGAAGCACATTTGTGTATTCGTATTGACACGAGGTCTGATCATCCGATTAAATAAAACTATGACGGCACTGCAAGCTTCAGGCGAGTCTGCTTGGGCCTTGTGGCAGAAGGTTAAGAACGAGGGGCCGCTCATTCAGTGCATCACGAACTTTGTGTCCATGGATTTCATGGCCAACACTTTGCTGGCTGCTGGCGCTTCACCAGCAATGGTGAGGACGAGGCAAATTGGCCCTCGAAGCACCAGATATTGCCCTGGATCAACCTGGAGCTGCTCCAGTGGAGCACCTCCAGAAGAACGCTTTGTGTCCCTGACCAAGCGTTGTTCGGTCCATGTCAGCGCAGGCACACTGCAAAGATGAGGTGCAGGACTTTCAGAAGATTGCCTCTGCGCTGCTGGTCAATGTGGGCACCCTGAGCCCAGACTGGACAGAGGGCATGCGGCTGGCAGCAGAGGCAGCGAATGCACTGGGCAAGCCTTGGGTGTTGGATCCTGTGGGCGCTGGTGCCACCCCCTTCAGGACTCAGGTACATGCTTGATTCAGCCCTTGCATGCATATGCCAAGCCCACCCCCACCATGACTTAGTTCCTCCCAACGCCAAAATAGAACTTGTGACACCATGGCCAGCTGACTTCCTTGCGTGCTAGTATTTAAGTAGCGCTTATGGCAATGTGATTAGCTGGCTATCACAGTGAAGGCAGAGATGATCAGACGGCTGTGCTTCATTGCAGACGATCATGTCCCTGGTGAATCTACGTCCAACAGTGATCCGGGGCAACGCATCAGAAATCATGGCTGTGGCCGGCGCGGCCGGGAAGACAAAGGGCGTGGACAGCACAGCCGAACCCACCCATGCCCTGGAGCATGCTAAGCAGCTAGCGAAAGATCTGGGTTGCATAGTGGCCATCTCTGGAGCTACTGATCTGGTAAGCTCTGACAGCTGCACAGCCGTCCCCTGCAGTTCAAATATCGTGTGCCATGAAATATGCAAAGCAATGCAAGACGTGACAAAGGCAGGCTTGCAAATTAAGATCAGGCTGCATGCCAGGGAGCGCATTGCTTTGGGAACAGGTTTAGACTTTGCCTTGCATAAAAGAATGTGGGCGATGTTTCTTATCTACATCTCCCGGATCTTGCAGGTGACAGATGGGGAGCGAGTGGCCAAGGTCAGCAATGGGGTGCCCTTGTTGACGAGGATCACTGCTGCAGGTTGCTCTGTGACCGCCCTGATAGCTGCCTTTGTGTGCTGCGCATCCCGTGACGCTCTCCTGGCTACTGCCCACGCTCTGGCTATCTTCGGGTGCGACTGGCGCTACTGCTTGTAAGCATGACTGTGTGCAGCATCGATGTGCGGGCGACCCAGCGATCTTCATTTTTTCCCTTTGAAAGCGAGTTGGGGTGCTTGACATGTCTGCAGCTGTGCCTGCATGAAGTGGATCCAGAACATACTTTGCAAGCTGAGATTTTCTACGACTGCATTGCAGGGTTGCCGCAGAAGTTGCTGGGGATGTCAGGGGCCCCGCGAGCCTGCGTGTAGAACTGCTTGACAATCTTTACTCAATGGATGAGACCACTGTTAGGAGTAGGGTCAACATACAATGGGATTGCTGAGATGAAAGCGAAAGACATCTCATCTAGACTGCCTCTGATCACATCTGCGTATGCCCTGTACTCGCAATCATGATGATGCTCAATTAATCATTGCTCAATTAGTTCAGAGCTCAATTAACAGCTCAGGCATGCAGCAAAGTCAGCACAATCCATTGTGACGAAGAGCAAGCAATTTTTGGTTACAATGGGCTGACCACACACATTATCACTGAGCGGTCTATCTCTGGGACTTTGACAGGACTTTCACTCAACCACAGAGGGTCTCCGAGATGTCTCCGAGATGAGTCATGCGTCTGTTCAACGACAGGGATAGGGAGAAGCACGCAGCAGCATAAAACCAGAGGAAGGTGCTTGCCACAATTTGTTGATGGGAGTGTAACAGCACAGTCTTAGAGAGAAGCTCTCGGTGGTCTCCCATTTTCAAGGCTGCTTGTACAAGCCTGCTGCACTGCCCTCATGTACAAGCGCATGCCCACAGCTGGAGGCCTCACATTGTTTTTACGATCCAACAAGGAAACAAGCAGGTGGACCACGCTCTCAACACACATCAGGTGGTATGACAGCACATCTCAAAGACACCAGTCCTCGCAGCTGTGAAGTGCTGCAGTCTGTTGCAACAAGCGCTGCAGACTGACACTCAAACAATGCCGGGGCTTGCCTCGTGCCCCAATGCTGTGAAAATGTCAGTGCGCGTCACAATACCAATCAGCTTGGCCTGAGTGTCCACAATAGGGATGCGGTGCACCTGCAAACCAGATTGCGCTTTTAGCCACAGATGGGCACAGTCCTGCCGCCAGGAGAACTTCACAGATCCGGCATTTGAACCCCTGATGGCAATACGGCTATCTGATCACGGAAACATTGTCTTAGTGAGGTGTACGAAGGCCCTTGCAGAAACATACAATCGCAGGCAGAGGAAAAGTTGCCGCCACAGCTCACCTTGTGCTTCAGCATGAGGCAAGCAGCATCTGCCACCTTGTTCTCCCCTCTGGCTGCCACTGGTGGGGACGACCAAATGTCACTAACGACCTTGCCTGTTTTGCTCAAATCCTTCTTTGACAGGACCCCCACAAGTGTCAGGTCAGACTCCGACTTCACCACGGGAACTCCTGTGACCTGCAAACAAAATAAAAGCGATGGAAATGTGACATTGCTGCGAATAGAATCCAATAGGCTCTCAACGCAAAAATAGGGCTCGATTGACGAGATCAGTTACAGGGTGCCTGACGGACCGGACCTTGCTGAAGATCTGGCCCAGGTCCTCAATCTTAGTTTCCGGGTACACGTAAGTGAGATCCGTTGACATGATGTCCTTCAGGGAGTTCCCGGGAGAAGCGGAATCCTTGAAGAGGCTGTTCTGGAAAAACTCGCCAACATCTTCGTAGCTGGCCAAACTCCAGTTCACGGGCCACTCGCCAGTCAAGCCTTCGTCATCTGCCTCTGCTTGTGCTGCCGCAGCACGGATGGGGCGTGCCACGGGAGACGCGCGGAAGCGGGTTTTTGGGAGAGCAACGAAAGCACTGGGCGCACCACAGCGAGGCCCGCTAATGGGCGACACCCTCAAAGATCCAGCAGCAATGTGGGCTTGCATCGTGAATGTATTCTAAGGTCTGAGCTTTGCTGTTTTCGAGGCGATGGGCAAAGATTTGGTGAAGGCAAAAATCTTGTTTGCCTTTTAGGGTCTGACAGGCACGTTGGCGTGACTAATCGAAGGGTTTTGCAGTCCAAGACGAAGACGAAAGCACCAGACTGTCTGGTCCAGACACCAACCCAAGAAGCAGAAAGCCGGAGGTTGTGCCCATCGCTTATGATGTCGGATTCTAAACAGCAGCATCCAGCACAGCTGCCTTGACTACACCCAGCCCAGGTATTGTTCATTGAACATAACAAGATGAGCAACAACAACAGACGACAGACGCTTGGAGGGCTCAGCCCGGCCATGCTGAACAGCCGGCAGTCTATGGGACCCGCTAGGATTGCTATGGAAGGGAAGACTGCCGGGAAGGGGCCCGGACTGAGCGGCAGACCGTCCATGTTCCCAGGAAATGTCAGGTTGGCAGGACCAGCCACAGCAGTCCCACGCAGGTGTGCTCCACAGAAGCTTGAATATTACGTTGCCGAAACGCGATTTTAGCCTTAAAAGTGTCATTTTACTTCTCCTTCTTGCCGTGACAATATGGAGATAGGCTTCGTTTCCTTAAAAATGCAGAATCACATCTTAAGGCTAAGTCAAAACAGAAATTTTGCATTGCTGACGTTGTGCAAATCCAACTGCACAGGTCAAGTGCACATGCAAAAGCTGGGGGCCCCAAGCACGACCCCAGAAGGATTGGGGACAAGGCTTACCAGGCAAACTGCATCAGGACGCTGATAGCGTACCTGTCAACTCATGGTTACGACCAGCCCCTGACCCCCAAAATGCTGGCCAACCCCATGGGCAAGGATGTCATCAACATCATGCATTTCCTGATGCGCCAGGCAAGCCAACATCACGGAATTTTGTCCTCTTGGCAAAACTACCTTGCTGCCTAATCTTGTTGAATGGCAGGCTCATCTGATTCAGGTTGCACGCCTGAGGATAGTCAGCCATCATTCATTCGTGCACAGGTGGACCCACACTGCAAGAACCAGGGGAAGATCGAGGACGAGGTTCCGGCGCTGTTCAAGCGGCTGAAATACCCCTACACCATCAGCAAGAGCGCCCTCTTTGCCGTGGGGAGCCCCCACACCTGGCCAGGCCTCCTGGCTGCCCTCGTGTGGCTCACAGAGCTGCTGTACTACGAGGAGAAGGCGGTACGCCCCCACAGTTCCTGTTGATTCCCTTCCACGCTTAACCCTCAATCATCACGCATTAGGGGTCAGTCAATATTCTTCCGTGACCTGCCCACAAATGCAAATCAGACAAAGGTGTTTTGTGGTATAGGTGCATGCACAAAACACTGTGATACTAAGTTAATGCAGCTGCATATCGCAGGAGCAAGTGAGGGAGCAGACCTTTGACGACAAGGCGCGCTCGGAGAGCAATTTCTTCAACTACGTCTCAACGGCGTACCGCCACTTCCTGTCTGGGAATGATGAGGAGTGCGCCGCGGTGGACGATGCACAGACGCGCGTGTTTCATGACCGTGCCGAGGCCACGCGCACGCGCAACGCAGAGCTGCAGCAGGTCTCTTGCTGCCCCAAACAGCCAACTACTGATATGCCTGCGTTCTTCTCTGCTTGACACTATGATCAGCTATGTCCCTGGCGCATGCATGCGCTGTCACTGCGCGCTACAAAGGGTCTCTTTCATGAGCTCATTCCCTGAAGTTTTTGTCGACTCTACTCGAGCCTGTGCAACCCAGCAGGCACGGTGGCTGACAGAATGTGATCAGACAGACAGGACAGGGAATAGGTCTGGATGCGATTGGGTACATGCAAGAGGACCACTGACCCGTGAGAATTCCCTAGAGGTCATTCAAGAGCAATGCGGGGTGCGCTGACGAAGCAAACGTGACTCGCAGGAGAATGAGCGGCTGGCAGCTGAGGTGGAGGCCATGCGTTCGAGCCCCTCCCCGCTGGAGGAGGCGCGCGCGAAGCACCAGGAGCACCTCTCCGACCGTGACAAGTTCCGCAAACTGCTGGACAACCTGCAGGTGGGCGCGCATGCCCCTCCTTTGATCCGCTGCATGCATTGCAGTGGGATAACATGCATGGGAAGGAGGCGCATCAGAGAGCACCCTCCAGTTCAAAGTCCGTTCCAGTTTGAGGCCTGACAACGAGCAGTAGTAGCGCCTTATCTGCCCAGTTGTCAGCTCAGCGTTAGATGCGACATCAGTCATCATAGACATGTCTATGTTTGTATATGCCACTTTGTGCAGTAGTTGCAATGGGGTTGAGTTTGTTGATATGTGCGGCAGAGCCACAAGGAGGGTCTGCAGAGGAAGGTGGCCGAGCGCACGGCCGACCTGCGCAGCAAGCAGCAGCAGTTGGCAGCCATCGAGCAGGTGTGTGTCTACTCCGCTCCCATGCAATGTCACAACCAACCCTCTGTTTCAGCTGCCATCCTAGTCTTTGCCTAGGTATGTGTGTACTGGGCTCCATGCAGAAGCTGATAGCCATGTTATAGTTCCCAGATGGCATCACTGTCTTGGTCCGAATGGACCCATGTGATGTGATGCCTGGTGTGCCTGCAGGAGAATGCGGAGATGCGCGCCAGGATTGCTGCCCAGACAGTGAGCAGGGACGACGTCATCCGCATGAACCATGAACGGTGCAGCTCTGCACTCTTCTCTGTCCTGTTCCTGTGGACATGCAACAGGCTGAAACTCCACTGCAAAACGAGCCACATTTTAGAATCCGCTCAGCTCCAGCCTCACTTTTTCCTGGCCGTCCTGAAAGTTGTGAAAACTGCTTAGTTAGTGTCCTGGCGGGCCCTATCCTGTTTCGCAGCCAGATTGCATGAGCGCGCGACACAGATGACCTTAATCCGATATACACATGGGCTTGGCGGCAAAGTTTTCTCAGAGGGAATGAAGCAAGGGGCCAGGTCAAAATTCTCGCTAAAATTCCTGTGAGCGTGCCGCGCAGGGTGAAGCAGGAGCAGCGGCTGGGTGCGGTGGCGTCGCAGCGGGAGGCGTTGGATGCGCGCGTGGCGGACCAGGAGCGCGCATGCGAACACCGCCTCGACGATCTCGATGCAGCCCTCCAGGTGCCCAGCCCGCCCGAGCCGCCAGTCCTCCTCGTGACTCTCTCTGTTGATTGGGCATGAGAATGATGGACAGTGTCATCTGCATTGTGACTCCAGATCAGTATGTTGTACATGATCTGGTGGCAGAGAACTCCTCGAATTACCTCATTTGCCAATAAATTTGGTAAGGGGTGTAGTGCCACAAAGGAAAAGAAATAGGGGCGAGGGGGTTTTTCCTTGCTTGCAAGGGGTGGTTTTAATCGAGGATGGAAGGGGACGCAAGTAACTTATTAGGACTCCAGATGCCGTCTTTGCTACTGGACAAGGGGGTCCTGGAGTCTATTGATCAGGCCTTGATGGTGGCTGGGAATTGAGCACCTCTGGCTGCGCAGATGTACCACAGCGCGGCAGACCGGCTGCAGCTGATCCCGGCCAGCGCCAAACGCGCGGCTGGCATCCAGTACGAGATCTCCCTCGACCGCTCCGGCACCACCGCCCACGAACTCATCAACATTGACCTCAAGGTCCCCCCCACTGGCTCTGCCCTGCCTTTCCCTCTCTCAAAATACCTTGACTTCTCATGAGCACCCGCTGCTGCTTGCAACGCATCACAATCATGATGAACAAACCCCAAGCATGGTTGGTTCTCCTCCTGCAACAAGCAGTATATAACAAGTAGTAGCCCTGTCTTCACACGTGGAGCAAGGTCTCAGCGAAACCACCGTCTGGGCCACAGGAATTTGCCAGGCAGACATGCAAGAATTATGCAGATGACAAACAGAGATGCCCCACTTAGAGGTCATTTGAGGCCTTGGGCTCCAGAGACTGGACGCTGTCTCGTCATACAAATGCAGAAGCCTAGCAAGACATGTACGAGACCAAGCCAGGTTTGTTCGTTGTACGTTTTGTTTGCACACATCGCACGTTATTGCATCAGTTCGAGTGTTCCCATGCTTTGTGTCAGGAGTTCAGAGGATTTCAACCCTCTAGGTCGCCTTCAATAAGGCAGCAGGGTTTGCTGAAGGGTGTGTGGGGAATGCAGGGGGTGGTCAAGGCGGGGCTGGTGCGGGTGCGGGAGGGCAGCGGCAGCCGCGCGCGTGAATTGGCAGAGGAGGCGCTGGCGCTGCAGGAAGGCCTTGACGGAGCCCAGCACAGCGCCTCCGAACGCGCCGAAGAAAACGCCGCCCTCGCCACCCAGGCGCGCACACCATGCCTCTCTATGACTGTCTGAAGAAATCGCCAAGTTGTTGCCATCACTCGTGACCTTCATTTTGCCCTGCACTGCAACTCGCCAGTCAGCGTCAGCCTCAGCCCAGGTTTTCTCCTTGCAATCATATAACAAGATAATGAGAGGTGGGCGGAGTAGCTTTTGTTGGGATGGAGACCACCGCTCAGCAGCATTGTTCGCACATTTACACTTTCCTTGCATGGCGTGATTCAAGCATGGGAGGAAAGCCTTTTTTCCTCAAATGTTGGGTGTGCATGCAAGCATGGATGATTGAAGCGTGTGCCTGCGACAGGTGGCGCAGCTGGAGCGGCAGCTGGCGGCGTCCAAGGAGGCGATGGAGGGGGACATCCGCGCACGGGCGGCCGAGGCGGACGCTCTGAAGGGCGTCGTGGACGAGCTGCGCAACGCCACCTGCCACACCATCGCAGGCTCCGAGGCCGCCATCCTCGCCCTCCAGGTGAATCACCGTCCGCCTTCCTCATGTCAGCCCTTGACAAGCCTTTTATGTGCTCATGCTGCCTTTGGCTTATCAACTGCTTGGCTGGGTGGAAGATCACTGGGACATTTTACCTGTGCTGTCTTCACATCAACAAGCATTTGCAGCATTTGCGACAATATCCTACCGTTTATTCCATTGTGACGCCCACCCCTCAATCCTCTATGAGAACTTTTTAAGGAAGCATGCAGAGAGCTCTTGTTCACGATCAACAGAAAAGGAGCAAGTCCGAGGTAGGGGGCAGGAGTTTGCCGAGATGCTGGAGCAGTCCCTGCACAAGAGGCGTGGATGTTAAATGCATGCTGTGCGCTGCACAGGGTCATGCGGAGGAGGCGGTGCGTGCGAACGAGGCGGAGGCGGAGCAGCTGAATGGAGACCTGGCAGAGGCGCTGCAGGCGCTGCTGGACCACAAGCTGCACCTGCAGCGCACGCTCGACCACACCCACTCCCACCTGCACTCCACCCTCGACAACATCGCCGCCACCCCTGTCTAGAGCCACCAACGCTCCTTGTTTTGTTTGACTTCGTCAGAGCCGCACCTGTGTAGAGCCACCAACGCTCCATGAAATGTTGACTCCATCGGTGCCATTTTCCTGTGTAGATTCATCAACGCTTCTGGAATGATTGACATCTCGGTGCCACTGCTGTGTACAGCCGCTGGCTGTCCTTGAGTTGTCGCCACTATCGCAGTATCTTCCCTGTGGAGCCTTCAACCATGGGGCTCTTTGGATAGAGACTTCTGACTATGGGGTCCTGACAGCATTGTGACAGTTGTTAACCAAAGGGAGTCTGCAGCTGGAAGCTCTGCAGCTCGTTTACAGGTTTTGACTAGATGGAATTGTTGTGGATGGACCGATTGAGTTGGTGCCAGACAATGTCAGTTGAACCTGTGACACTTACAATTACAGCGCAGTGCTACATGTACAGGAGAATCATGGTTTCATTTGTAGTTTGGGCATTTTCAGATTGACTGTCGTTTCTCAACTGTAATTCAGGAGTGCATTGTATCTAAAAATCCTACCCTACCAGAAGGTAGAACAACATTCTGAAGGAGTCAAGCACACATGACAGCTCTATGCGATAAGCAATCTGCATTGCACTTGTCGTCAAATTTTTTGCGAGTTGGGGGCGCGGCGCCAAGACTTCTGAGTACCTGACTGGCGTCGACGCAAGCTTTGGAAACGTGCTTTTGTCATCAATATCAATTTAGAAGCTCTCTCTTGACATCTGCCACAAAGGTACACTGAAAGCATCTGGGCAGAGCCCCTGACATCCCTGAAATGCCACCTTGAGACTCCACGCTGCAACAGTCACTCTCGGGATAAGCCACCAGGGAGCGGCAAAGAGACCGCATCATAGCCCACAGCGAGCAAGCAGAGCCCAAGAGCCGGCGCAGGCGGCGCAGTTTTCAGGCGGTCGTGCATGTCAGCCAATCTGAGCAGGGCCTGGTCACCGTGATCCCCACAGGCAGCTGCGCCTGGGATGGACTCGCGAACGCAGGTCGCCACGAGCACTCGCATCATCTTGCGCACAAATCGGTCCGCGGTCACGTCGATGCACAGCGCCCTCGTGCCTGCATGCAGAAGTTTGTCTTCCAGCCAAAGAATTGAAACAGCAAGATCCTGGAATTTCTGTTAGAGAATCGCTCGGTAATTCAAGACTCATGTTTTGAGGAACGATCCAAAAAAGCAATACGGAGAAAATTGCAGTCATGCATTCGACCATGAAGTAGAGATTGGTAGCTGCATGCCTTCTGGCTGGGACCCCCGGCAGATGAGAACAGGGTAGGCTTGTGCGGATATGATGTTGCACTGCAGGCTCTTGCCCTTGGGCGTGTCCCGGGCAAAGGCATGGAAGTCTACTGACCTTGCAGCTTCCAGGGCTTTCAGCAGCCTGTCACATCACACAACCAAAATTTTACTTGAACAACTGCTGTCATCACCTGACAGGAACCGGAATTGCAAGCCCCAGAAACACTGGGCTGAAGCAAATGTCCTGGTGGAGAGGGAGGACTACCTGTTGACTGCATCAGGGGAAACATCAAAGTCGTCCACCACACCCAGGTCCATGCCAGAGTGTGGACAGATCACAGGCGCGCACGGACCCTCAGGAACACCTCCTACTGGCCTTGAGCGCAGAGGCAGCAGGTAAATATACCGCCTCCACACGGCCTCGCAAAAGAGAATGCATGATATCAAACATTGTGCTTGTCACACTGGGTACACGAATCATGCTCACTGCAAGTAAATTCCTATACAGTGATCAGTAATGGCTGGCAAACCTGAAAGATCTTCCATTGGCAGGCTTTGTTGGCATCTGGTTCGGGAGGTGATTACCTGGAAAGTAGCATGAAAGGAACGGGGCACGACTTGCGCATGCAGAGCTCTCAGCTTGCCAGGGTCGGCAGCATTGATGCAGGTGATGATGTCATCCAGGGCAAGCTCCTCCCACGAGTAAAATGACACGACTTGCCCGTAAGCGCTGACACCCCTGTCCGTGCGCCCAGCAGCATTCACAACCACCTGCACAATTTCAACACCACTGGCACTATCATTCCAGATTTGTGGTAGACATCCAAAAAGACACTTATTGCATGCTGTGCAAGGCTGCAATCAGCTGCTTGCCTGTGTGTTCTTGTCAGGCCCAAACAGTTTGGCAACGGCATCCTGCACTGTGCCCTGGGCCGTTCCTGATAGACCTGGCGCCCACGCCCAGCCAGCAAACGCTGGCCCAAAGAAGCAGATCGTGACTGCATAGGTCAGTCGCGTGTGCTGAGTCTCTTTCCTGCGAGATATGCTGTAGGAGCTGTCTGCACTGGACGTCGGCTGTCTCTCTTGCTGTGTGCTGCCTCCAGGTCCAGGGAGTCCACTGAGCGTTTGTTCAGCTGCCTGCAAGATGCTAAAGATCTTCTCAACGCCTCAACCTATTCGATGAGTCCTTTTGAACTCATCGATGCCACCTGCTGGTGAAAGTCTGTTTCTGATCAAGATCAAGATCAGCTCCAGGGGGGCTAAGTTGTTCTACAACTCTGTGGGCCAGATGAAATCTCACCTCGGTAAACTTAATTTTTTGCAAAGATTCCAAATCGAGGAGAGAAGCATTTCCAGCAACAAGGCGGGTGTAGAAGCCTTCTATCTCCTGCACAACAAATACATTTATTGAGAACAGAATTGTCTACCAGGTACGATGGGCACAACTGCGATGATATTGGATCATCGACGATATCATTCCCATTTTACCTGCCAGGGACGACGTTCGCCTAGAAAACGTTGCACCAGCTGAGGTGCCCATCCCTTTCCACACCACTTCAGTGCAGGACGCCGATTAGGGTTATTCTCTTGTGATTTGCAAGTTACAGTATCTGTCATATATAAGACATTTATCTAATTGCTCCTGAGGGGGCTCATGAGGCTGAAGGATATGAAGTTTGGGCATTCCAAGAATTTCACGTGGGGGGGTCTCGTGAGGCTTACGAACGTCGACCTCGCTTGTGTCGAACCAAAATTTCTCGAGGGATGAGATAATTCTGAGATGTAGAACATGTGAGGGACATGGTTTAGGTGTACCTGGGAATCATTTTGCGTCCTCGCTGCCTCACTTCCTCCGGATGACACGGCTTCTCACCTCAGCGTGCCAGCTTCTGGAGGCTTCACGAGAGTGAATTACTATGGCTAGATTCTTCCTGAGATATAGGCTGAAGGCAAAAAGTATCAATGACTTAGAGCAGGAGTTGGACACAGGCGATGTCGTCTTGCTCTCAGGTGAGGAAGGAAGGGCTGGATGCCCGTCATGCTGCAGGCTTAGGCAAGAGCGATCAAGCACCAGATGCATTCCAAAGCAATGTAGCTTCCACTTCGTGCTCCACAGAGCTCTGCCACCCCTATGAGAACCTGCTTGCTAACATGGCGATCATCTGCAGACACATGACAGCTGTCAAGGAGAGTTCGCACACAAAAGCATGAAGGCATTACCGGTACCAAGCCTTGTCCTTGCCTGTGTAACAGGTGATGATCTGACATACCTAACCAGCCTTGGCTCTGGAACGTGGAGCGGCTTCTCACGATGCGCATTCTTGGTGGGGCTCAGCTCACATCTGATCAGGGACCGGCTGACCCAAGATCCCTTTCTTCTATGCAGGGCGGTTTCCTTCCTGTCCAATGGAGAGAGTGGATGTTTGATCATATGATCTTGACAAACGCAACAGAGTGTCTGGCAGAGCAAAAGAACTTTCCCTATAGCAGTGACAGGCTGGCATCCAGTGCATCAAGCTGATCAGTGCTCTTTCTTGCACTCAGATTCGCACTGGGCCGGGAGCGAAGGGCTTGCTGCTTTGTCACGCCGATGCAGTGCCAGCTACCGACAGCCCCGACAGCCAGCCTGTTGTGACCTTGACCCGGCTCTCAGAAGAGCTCAAATCAGGTCCAGCCCCTCTGCAGCAGCACTATCTAGTGGTACCAGATTTAATTATCACAAGCTCCTGATCTTCATGGACATCCACCTTCATGTCCTCCTCCTGCCCCCTCAGCTGCTTGCCTTTTGCAAGCACATGCCCCCTTCATTTGACATATCAGAAGTTGGCGCTTTCCAACAGACAGCTTGTTACCAAGGCAGCAGGAACAAAAAAGTGTGGCTGCCTAGCACAGGTGAGGTGAGCTTCGCAGTGGTGCGCAAGCTGGCGCTGCCCCTGAGCACAGCTGAGAAGCAGCGGGTCAGAGACTTTGCAAACAGGAACGTGGGCAGGCGCATGAATGAGCGCGCCAACATCTTCATGGCAGACCCCAATGACTCCCGCCTGCAGCGCTTCAACTGCCTCGCACCCGTGTTTGGCGGGAACTTTGAACGGTGAGCGCACTCCATTCAACCTCTTCCTTTTCATTTCCCTGAGTGGGTATTTATTAAGCTCATTATTATTACACGCTTTTCCTGCCAGAGGCAGGGTGCGTGTGGAGACAAACTGCATGTAAAGGCTACCAAAATCCTATCCCTTGACGGACGCGCCAGATCCACACAAGACCCAATCAACCGTGGGCACAATGCTCAGTATTCATACCAATCCCCGCCAGCCAGTGGGGATTCATTGAAGTGTTATACTGTTCCTGCCACGGGTCAAGGTGCATGTGAAGATGAGCTGCAAGTGAAGGCTCCCACGACTCCCAAACCTGGGGCATTTTGGACTGTGACTCGAGCGGTAATGCTTTGGAATCAGCTTGAGCGGTGCAGCTTCCCTAAAGGAGAACTTTGGAAGTACACTTGTCTGTTGGGTGTGCGAGTGCAGGTTCTTCTGCAGCGAGTTTGTGGCACAGATGCTGGTGGTGGCGGGCAGGGTGCACAGAAAATCTGCCACCGTAGCCCTTGATTTCCTGCCCAACAACTCGGACGGCCGCGTGCTCCGTGCGCCCATCGCGCTGCAGTGCCCGCCCAGTCGCGTCAGCAGCGCCTTCGCGCGCACAAGCTCACCAAGCAAAATGCAGGTGCGCAAATAATCCATATGATGATGGTTTTGGTAGTGGTTATTGCACGAATTTCCTGCCAGAGGCAAAATGCGCCCGCAGACATGCTGCACGGCTGTGACAGCGGTGACTAGTTGGCAACAAGCAGCAGCCTGTTTGTTCTCCATAGCGTTGCTATCTTCATGGAAGGCCTAGACATGCAGTTGTCTGAGATGCACTGCATGCATGGTCTGAAGTGCAGGTCCAGAGTTATGCCCGTGCCAGCCTGAACGTGTAGGCCAGCTTGGCAGCAGAGTGTACATTACGGGTGGAGAGTGGACTGGAGAGATTGTGTTCAGCCTGCTGCAAAATCTATGAGACCAGCTGAAATTACGCTGCAATCCAAAATCTGGCGACCCTGGGTATCGCCTGCCCCATACATACATATCCAGCAATGCCTCGCAAACTGTGTACAGCAGAGGAGCAAGCGAGTGACTACAGCACGACAACTCGCCAGACTTTCAGACAGCAGGAACTGTCATTATGCGACCGCTGTGTGGGTTCAATGGTCATACAGACTTCCTGGATTCCTGGCAGAGCAAGGACATAACTTCAGGTTGTGCAGCACACCCTTTTGCATGGTGCAGCAGTTGCAGGCGTGGATCAGCTCTCGAATGACCTTCTGACTGATCCAAATGAGCATTGGAAAGCTGCGAGTATAGAGGTATATCGCTAGAAGTATGAAGAGTAATGGGGCACAAGAATTGAATTTTGTTGGACACCGTAAGTACAGCCATGAAGCTGCAAATGGAGGAAACAGCTGGGCTGCCGGTAAAGGCACTGAGTTCAGTGCTATGGTTTTGAAGTGCACTGCAGTGATTGTTTTAAAAACAGGGGTATCTCAGATGAAGCCAGCCAGCTGATAGGACTTGCTGATTGCTGTTGTGCAGCCGATCTGTGTATGCGTATTCAATTATAAAATCAAAAAGCATTTCATGTCCTGACGAGGTCAAGGCAGAGATACTGACAGAATGTTTGCCTGCAACTGTCAATGATTGCTGGCAGATCTGGTTTTGAAGCCTGGGTACAGAACAAGATTGGGAGAACACAATCATTGCAATAGCTGCCCGCAAATCCTGTGTTACATTAATGCCTAAGGGGTACCCAGCTAGGTTGCAAGCCACCTTTCAAGAATGCTAGTAATCGAGCTGCATCGGTGTCGGAACGCAATTGCTTCACGTCACAGAACAGTGCACCAGATCCACACTGCTAAGGGAACAATGTGCGTGACATCTTTCACGCTTCAAGGCTTTAGTGCTGTTCCAGCATGATACTTAAAAGGCACCCATTTGATGAATTTATGAGTCATGACTTAGCCTCATCAATTTGACCTGAACATGGGGTGTCTTCCCTTCCCAAATCAATTCTGTCATCTGTTCTGCTGGCTCCAGGGGGGTGGTGAGGAGCAACGCTTGCCCGTGATGCAAGCTACATTCTAATAGCAGATTGTCTTGTCCTTGACCAGGACACTGTAGCCCTGCAAGAGACAGACATGCCAGGCTCAGATTCTGTGATTCTTTTATCAGGCTATGCTGCCTTGTTGCCAATGCATCACCCATTCATGGCGCGTTAGACAGACAAGCGTGGAGGTCAGTGTAATAAGCACCTGCAGGCAGACTTCCCAGGTGCCGGGAGATTCCTGCAGCCCGGCAAGGGCAGCCTGGAAGCCAGCATTGTACTCCAGCATCACACGCGTCTGGTTCAGGCTTCTCACATCCTGCGTCCACGCCATGTGCTCAAAAAACAGCAGAGCTGTGAAAGCCTTCTTCCCATCATGACTTATCAATTAACCTATTGCAGCTTCCTTGCACACCAACACAGCATGCCACTAAATTACCCATCAGATCAAGCCTTCAATGCATGGGATTTTTCCTAATACGGAAGTGAGTCAGGGCATGCGGCAGCGCGGACCTGGAATGTGTCTGAGAAGATGGGGCCCTCAACCAGGGCGCCGTTGAGGGTGTTGGGGTTGGGGTCGGGGGACAGCTGTGCGGAGACAGCATTGCAGGCAATGGGCGCAGGCGGGCAGGAGGCCGCCTCATTCTGCACGTGCGTGGGCGGGTTCTTGCCGTAGCCGGTCATCAGCGAGCGGCCCGCATCTCCCAGCACATAGCGAGTCTGCATGCAACAGAATCCATTCACTCTTGGTCAGGAGGTGCGCTTTGTTGTCTTCCTCTCTCATCTTGAGCTGCCTGCATTGACGCTCTCACACGTTTTCCTACATTCCGTTCACAAGTACCCTCCTTGATTGATGAAACCCTCCAAACCACAACATATTGATCAGCACAGACAGCCAAGCTGACACCTGGATTCTGTAATTCTGCTTGTTCTATTCCAGCTGGCTGCTACTTGATATAAAGGGCATTGTACAGCACTCATGTCCGGGCACCGACCCACTGATGTTCGGAAGAGGCTCACCTGTGCGCGCGCCCAGCAGAAGTACTTGGTGGCCTTCTTGCCGTTACTGGGCAGCACATATTTGGCGTAGCGGGTGGCCAGGAACACGGCGTTGGCGGTTGTGGCCAGCACGCCGTCGTTGGTATTCCAGGCGCGGCCGAGGCCGGTGTACTGCACGAGCTTATCGAAGCCGCAGACCCACTGGCGCATGAAGTGCTGCGAGCGCTCGTGGAATGTGCCGCCGTCTGTCGTCTCCGCCAGCAGCACGTTGGAGGCCCAGTAGTAGTCGTTCCACGTGTACAGCACCGTCTGCATGCATGCCACCAGCCCAGGGTGAGGCTCAACCAATGGTGAATAAGGCGCCATTGCGTGAAATACACCCCAGCAAATGGAAGGCTAAATACCCATCATCCATTAAGCATGCCTGTGCGCCTGTGCGCACAGGATCACAGCACCGGATCAAATCGACATGGTGGGCTGACTCAGCTGCAAGATGAAAAGCCATCTCAGCGCACTAAGGTGCCAGCAGTGGTGCCTTGGTTGCATTTGTCCCGTATCTCAAATCTAGTCTTCCAAAAAAGTCCAATGCAAGGTGCTGTGCAGCCGAAGGACGCATGTAGCGGCAGCATTAGCTTCATGATATGCAGAATGTCATGCATGCAGCCAGGCCAAAAGGGCTTACGTCTGGGGCGCCCTCATCGTAGATGTGGCGGATGTAGAAGGACTCGGCGTCGCCCAGGTAGTCGGTGTCGCCGGTGGCCTTGTACATCCAGGTGGCGGCCCACAGCAGCTTATCATAGATGGAGCTGGAGTTGTACAGGGGGATGGCCGAGCCGTTCAGCTGCACTGAGGCCGGCACGCACACCGGCACGATGTTGCTGCCCTGCAGCTTCTTCGCGTACTGCTCCTCGCACGCCAGCACCACTGCATTGCTGCCGTACCTGCAAGCCAAGGATGAGACAATCTTAATGAAATCTGCAGAGTCACAACAAACACATGCATCACACAGCTGCATGCATGCATGTTTAGTAAATTGGAAGTAGCTTTCCTGGCCTTGAAGGTGGATATTGTGGATGCAGACAGCAATGCTTGTGCAAGACACTGGTCAGTGCACTGCATCTCCACATAAGGAGGCACCTTCATCTTGATCTTCCGAAGAGAAGGCTTCAACTGATGTGAAAATGTGCAAGTGAGCGGGACACACCTGCCGAGCGTGCGCAGGGAGGCGTCGTAGAGCTGCGCGGCGGCGGCCATGAGGCGCTGGTAGTAGCCGTAGTCAGCCTTGCGCCAGACCATGGCGGCCGACGCCAGCGCGCCCACGGTGGCACCTCCCAGGTCGGACATCTTGTCGGGGTCGGCGAGGTAGTAGGGCCGCTTCATGGTGATGTCCTCGGGGCGGCCCCAGAACAGCGAGTCCGTCGTCTGGTTGCCCACTTGGTATACCAGCCCGCTGATGTTGCCGGTCGGCCCGTACGAAATGCACTTCAGCAGGTAGTCTGCGCCCCACCTGGTGAGCAGTGCACACAGGATTGAAAACAGCATGCATGATGCAACAAGAAACATAGAGCAGATGAATAACTTGAAAAGCTGCTGAGACACAGGAGGCAATATACTGCACATGCAGAATGGCCCAAAGCGGCAGTCCATTTTGGTTGCAGAAGACATGGTGAGATGTGGGCTCACTTGATGTTGGACATGGTGTCAGAGGTAGCGTTGGCGTCGGCGTAGCCCTTGGGGAAGGACATGAGGCCCCAGGACATGAGGGACACGGTGAAGGCTGTGGGCATGGTCATCTTCAGGTTGCCTGCAGGGCCTCCGTTCAGCCAGCCGCCAGTCAGATCATTGCCGTCCGGCCCTGCATGCATGCAACCATGACTAAGGCTCATTGCTCACTGCTGAAAATGGGAGAGGTTATGCTTGAGGGGTCCACAGCACATGCATGTCATGTGAGGCAAAGTTGATGGCTTACCGGTCTCGTAGAGCAGGGCGTTGGAGCGCCAGGGGATGTTGTTGTCAGCTGGGAGCAACCCCACGCGCTGGGAGTTGTAGAAGGCGTTGGTCATCTTGAGAGACGTGGAGTAGTCGTAGTGGATGGGGTACAGGACCCACATGAGCAGCACGGCAGCGATGCCGGCCAGGAAGGACAGGATCATGCAGATGCGGCACAGCCACGCCAGGGAAGGGCCGCGCGCGATGGTGGCATAGTAGAGAGCCAGGAACGGCGAAACTGCAAGGGCAAGCAAACCAATGTTGTTTGTATGGCTGCACAGATCATCAATTTGTGAAATTGGAACAGCACACCAGACAAGCTGCTGACCCAACTGCGCGTTCAGCCAGGTTGATCAGCCACTCAGGGAAGTCCTTCAGAAATCAGTCTGATCTGGTGCCAATGTGGGAAGGAAGGGGGAAGCATGCGCACTTGCTGCGACGAAGGCCCACAGGATGGAGATGATCAGGGGGGATGCCAGCGTGGGCCCCTGGGCCAGCTTGACAAAGCCAGTGATGATGGAGGCGAGCATGAGGAAGAAGCAGAGGCCGGGCATCCACAGATCGCGTAGGGCGCTGTTCATGAGCATGCTGGCGCCCTTGAGGGTCGTCTTGAACTGGATCTTGGAGCCGCAGATGGAGTTCACCGCACGCCACAGCGCCTTCACGTACGTCCACCTGCAGTTCACAGAGCAATTACTGATCATTGCCTAAGAAATCAGTTCATGGCTGACCACAACAGCTGCAGAATCTTGTGCACAATGGACAAAAGCGCAAGCAACAAAGTGCAGGCATGCCAGAGCAATTCTTCACAAGCATACATGGGTAAACAGCAGAACAGAGGCCTCACCACATGAGCTGGTTGGCGACATTGGCAAACCAGAGGGCCTCGACGTGATAGTACGAGCGCACATAGTAGAGCACCTGCCCAACATTCTCTTTCGGCTCAGAATGTTTGCAGTCTCTTTGCGCACATGATACCAATGCTGGAGGGGACATGGATGTCTAGGATGGCTCATGTGTTCATTTCTGAATTTCTGGTCAGGCAAACTCACCATGTTGGTGGCGAAGTAGTAGACCGTGACGCCCAGGGCAGTCCAGCGGGAGACCACGATGGGGAACACGCCGAACCAGATGGTGACAGCGGGGATGATGATGAAGGTGGGTGTGGAGATGGCCCCCACGACGTAGGACCACACTCCAGAGCTGTACATGATGCGCATGGGCCAGCTGAGCTTGGACTGGAGCAGGGGGCAGTGCATCCAGTTGAACATGATCTGGAAGTGGCCCTGCGCAGACACGATTGCATGCTTATCTAGATGTCATGCATTGCCCTGAAGGCTCCTGCGGTGATGATGCCATTTGGAAAGCTCGATGGAGTCATGCATGTCCGGTCCAAGACATTGTCCTGCCTCTCTCAGTCATGCATTGCATTAGTTGTTGGCCCTGGGGCCCTGGAGAGTGTCACCTTGCACCAGCGGGAGCGCTGCTGGTAGCAGTTGCGGATCTGGTCAGGGGCTTCGCCGATGGCGAGGTACTCCTGCACATAGCGGCAGTGCCAGCCATATTTCTTCAGCTGCATGCCCAGAGCGTAGTCCTCTGTCAGCGTCCAGGTCGGAGAGCCTCCCACTTCCAGCAGCGCGTTGGAGCGGACCTGCATGTGCAAACCAATCCACATTGTGGGGCTACATGTTGCACCAGCGCTCAGCATGCTGCAAAAGCAGAGGGTCAGTAATGCATCACAATCACATCTGGACACCATGACAATCTTTCGTCTTACTTCTCATGCAGGGGATGCATGCATGGTGCAGAGCTGCCCCATGCGCACCAGGAAGTTGGTGCCTGTGCAGGAGATGAAGCCCAGGGCGTCATAGCCTGGCTGCATGTACTCCCAGAAGTGCACATTGGAGTGGTTGAAGATGTCGGTGTGCAGGTTGAGGTTGTGGAAGCACTGGGGTGACAGCACCATGCCCACATCGTCACCGCCATCGAAGAGCGGCAGGGTCTTCAGGAAGAAGTCCTTGCTGGCCACCTGGCATCACCATGCATGAACTTGGGAATATGCCTATTTGCCCATGTAAAAATTGTTAGGCCATGTGCAGGCAAGGAAGGGACATGTAGTGCTCAGAAAGTGTGATTGGAGAGGCACCTGGTCGGCATCGAAGATGCAGATGAGCTCGTTGCCAGGGACCACAGTGCCCGGGGGGTAGAGCTGGGAGCAGACATTGTTGATGTTGCCGGACTTGCCGTTCATCTCGCCGGGGGGCCGCTTGCGGCCGCTGACGTAGACCACATCAGAGCCCAGGATGTCCACCCACTTGCGCTTCTTGGGGTCCTTGCCGTCATCGCACAGGTAGATAGTGCGCGCGCAGCCGGCGGGCAGCGTGGCGTCGTAGGCGGCCATGATAGTGCGGCGCAGGATCTCCAGGGACTCCTTGTAGCAGGGCACGCAGACGCGCACGTGGTAGGGGTAGCGTGTGCGCGGCTTGCCGGGGTTTGAGGGGTCCTCGCCGAGGTGGTAATTGGCCACGACTGGGTCCAGCACCAGGTTGAGGCCATACAGGATGACTGTGGTGGCGCCCAGCATCTCAATGGCCAGGATGAGGCAGCCGTACCACAGGTAGGGGCCCAGGTCCAGCGTCTTTGTGACACGGATCTGTGACATGCATGCCACTCGCATTCAGTGCCTGACATGACGGTTTTTGGTTGTTCCAGATGGTGCGCAAGGTAGTTGACAGCCTGATTGGACAATGCTAATAGCCTGGAGAACATGGCATGCGCAGGACATGTGAGCAGTGGGTGCAGGTCCCATCTGGGTGCATGCGTACCCAGAGATAGAATCCCAGGGCTCCCAGGTAGAGGAGGAAGGCGAGCAGGCCAAACCAGTTGATTTTGACTTGGCGCCTGTAGCGGATGAACTCGCGCGGCTCCTCACCCAGGGGCTGCTTCCGCTTGGTCAGCATGCCCCTCTCCACGTCCGGCGCATTGTAGGCTGGGGCTTTGTACTGTCTGGTGCCCGGAGCTGCAGCCTTGTCTGGGTCCTCCAGCGGGTCTGCACATGCCACCCGTCAGTCATGTCATATTTGCGCGACCCCTGCTGTGAAGACCAAGGTAAGCTCTGCATCAAGTGATGCCCTTACTGCATTTGGGAGGTCCTGGGACATCATCAGAACCGATTGAAACAGAGGGAAACAGTAGCTAGCGCAGCCTTGCTTGCCACAGTGAAGGCAAGTTTTACCTGCACCAAGCGTGCTGGCAGACACAGCAATTGCCTTCGACTCACTGCCTTTGGCAGGGTCGGTCCTGCCAGCCCCACTGGCCATGAGGTCCCACCCTGCGAAGCAGAAAGAGGCTTTCAGCAAGGAGGGAAAAGATCTTTTGCACAGCAATTCAATAAGCCAATATTTGCATAAGGCGGTAGAAACGATTGGTCTGTGGCTTTGTCCATCCAACAGGTCTCGGTGTGGCAGCCTGAACTATGGCAGCGCACAGGAAACAGACTCCCGGCTATAGAACTTCATATGGACACCTGACCAATCAATGAGGCTTTCAAGGTGTTCATCAATAAGAATTCGCAAAGACAACTGGAGCGATGCCCCGAAATGTGGTTGTTTTGTCGTGCTTCCAACCAACCAGAACTTGTCATGGCTGCGATTATATGCTCAGATAGAATACTCTGAGGAAATACAGACTTAAATCTAGGGTGCTTTGAACGCATCCGGTATAGCTGCTACTAAGACATGTAGGCCGGCATGTAGCAGGGCGACGTATCGTGCCGCACGCGAAAATAGCCGGTTAAGTGGCAGTCCAAGCAAATATCACACAGAAGGTAATTTAGAATGATCAATCTGTATCCTCTTACCTCAGCAAAAGCCTCTGTGTTCCTCCTCAGTTCCAGCAGGAGTGGCACGCATCAACTGTCTCAGTGTTGGATGCTCTGACCTTTCCTATCCTGTCGTTGAGCCTCCAAGAGACAAAGAACACTTCCTTTGTGACTGGATGCACTACGATGAGATCCTACAGTAAATGACTGCAGAAATGGCAATGGTGAAGGTGTTGGGGAGTGGGCAGGCATATAATTATCGTAAGCTTACGCTCTGAGTAAAATCCCTTGCAAAAGGTGGGTCAAAGTGAGCACATGGTGGTCTTCAGACCGTCAAATTGCATAGCTGAAGGGTTTGAGAATTTCTTTTGATTAGAAATTATGATGTCGCCAGTGCAAAGCACCGTCCATGCCGCTCCCACGAGAACGTTTTGACCAAGTATTCTTGGACTTTCATATTGCTGCACAGGGCAAACGTTCTTGGCTTGTAAGATCGTCGATGGGAGATTGTCCCCCAGATGCAGCATCAAGTGTGACAAGGTGGTTTTGTCTCTGCAAGCACCGTGGCACGCTAAATTTCTGATAGACTGGGCAACAGCATTGCCATCATAGTCCAGCAGTGATTATTAGGATCGAAAACCACCTCGAAATAATATATAACGGCATAAATATCTCTGATTGACCATTCAATGCGGAGGAACCGTTCCATTCGGGTGAGCAGCTTATTCACCTTGCAAAAAAACTCACAGCTGCGACACTGGTGCATCTCATCAGGTAAATGAGCATCCCGTGCTTTGCTGCACACAGTGGGAGGATGGTCGTGTCAGCGACCCTCAAGACAAACCGGGATCATCAACAGAGGTCCCTGAAGGACATGGTGGTACGATCCCAGAAGTCGCTTGTTCTGTGCACCTTCTCAGCCTGCAGATAATCAGAGATGACAATAGATAATGTTATTTGCAGAGAGGAACGATGTGGACCCATTGGATGCTCTGATTGCCGAGCTTGAGCGCATTGAGGGACAGCAGGTCACTCTTAAGGATGCTGTGCACAGCAGAACGCCAATCGTTGTTCACCCACGAAAGGAGGTGGGCCACTCTCAGCAGGCCCTCTGGCTCTCCGAGCCTGGAATATTATTAGATTGCTAGACATTTCGTTATTAATAGAGCAGATGCATGCGATGGCATGCCGCAGGCTCTTGAAGAGGATGAGCCCAGCAAGCCCCCAACTCCACAACGCTTCGTGGCATCAGGCGGCCTTGCTGGGTTCAACGTGGCTCAGGATCTCCTCAATATCGAATTCAGCCCGCCTGAAGAAGCACCAGATGAGTTCCGGAGCATGGAATACGATGCAGAGCGCATCACAACACTCAGATCTGGGGTCTCAGGTGTGGTCACGCATCCTGTTTATGTGCAGCCATTCTTGCTTATATAGTCATCTGCTCAACTGTTTGCATGATCCACTGTCCATACTTTGGTCATACATGCATGCATGTCATCCCAATGTTCCAGTGCATTGGCAAGCAGGAAGCTTTGGGGAGATCTCGGACCCAACATCTCAGGCGCTGCATGACTTCCTGCATCGCCTGCAAGACCAAGCAGATCAAGTCAGGGCGCTCATTGGAAACCAGCAGAGCATCTCACGGAGCGCAGCTGTGCTCAGAAAGTCAGGTGGCAGCGAGCAGAGGGGTGGCATTCGTGCAGTTCAAGGTGGCATGCAAAACTTTGATATGCCTGTTCCCTCGCCGCCAAGGGTGTCTGAGGGTGCTGTGAGCATTGAGTCAAAGCCCAGCAGAGGGACGGCGCATAATTTGGAAATGATGGCCACAGTTTTGTCTGCAGATGCCACCGTCACGGTAACAACAGGTATATTTGTACGTACTCCAGGGATGTTTGTACCAAGGCTGTGTGGTATCAGATTCTTGTAAGCATGTGTGATGTGGGGATTGTATGCCCTGCAGGTGCATCAGAAAAGGCAGATGCACCCACCCGGCAAACTAAAGAGATCAGCATGGCATTCTATAATAGACATCAGCAATCTGACACCATGTGCTGCCCCTCTCGGGTGGACCAGCTTGGATTGCTGCGGTGGTGGCTGTATGTTGCAGCCTTCATATTCTACTTATTTACACGAGGCACCACTGTCAATGTAGCTGGCAACAAGGCCCTATTTTTGTACCAGCTTGTAGTTTTGGTGGCAGAGTGCCTTCATTTCATTTCTGATGCTCTGATTGGACTCTGGCAGGTGAGAAGTAAATCCATTGTGCTGGCAAAACAGCCCTCCTCGTTTTCAATGTTGCATGCATGCCATCCAGCGTCCTTATGCTGGGCATCAAATGTCATGTGTGATGGTCAGACGCACTAATATTGCCAGGCTTTATGTTTCTGTGTTCCTCACCGTCGTCAGCATTGTTGAGCGGAATCATTATAATGCTTGCAAATCTGCAGGTGCGTGCTGCTGATACTCCTCTTGGCACAGAACATCTCACAGAAGGAGCAGGCAGCACGGCAGCTGATATGAAGAGGCACATGCAGCAACCCACTGTACAGTACCATGTGCATGTGAGGCTGTCAGCTTGCCCTCACTTCCCAGGATCCTGCTGCATTGATGTGATGCAGGCGCAAGGAAATTGTGCACACTACATTAAGCACTGATGTTTCTTGTCAGGTCCTTGTTTTGAAGACAGGCATGCATGCAAGTAGAAGAGAGCAGGCTCTGAAAGCAGCATGCGCCATGAGGAGGCTGGAGGGTCACACTTTTACCATCTATCTTGTGGGGTGTGAAAGGCAAGCAAATTCCTCTTCCTTTGATCCTACATTCATGCCATTTCAACTCATGCAGGGTCAGTACTGAATTGTGCAAATCGCACAGGGATGTGGATGGACCAGAGCCTGCATTGGATGGTGTTGCACACATCATTGCTTCAGACAGCAATGCTGACAAGGTTTCAATGTTGAACGATGCCTTTCGACGTATCTTCCCATCCAACACAGCAATCCCTCCAACAGCTCTTGTGGCTGTGCTCGAAGATGATCAGGCAGGCCAACACATGAGTACCACGATGTGCAGTGAGAAGTGCTTCTTATCTGCTTGGGAGGTGTATATTGTATCTCTGCATGTCACAGATTGATGGCCTGCATATGTAGTGATGTTCTTTGCATGTCTGTGTAGGTACCAGATGTCTCATATCTGAAGGAGCTCCTACCTTATCTCAGTCTTGGTGGTGTGCGCATGGTGCATTCACCTTCAGCCTATGAAAATATCGGCCATGCTTCTGATATCTACGACCAGGTTTGTCAGTCGTATTGTTTCAATTCAATCAGTCTGCATGCAACCCTTGCTCTCTGCGACTACACAGGAATTTCAATCTGTCTGACATGTGTGATGCGCATTGCAGCTTGAGACATACTGGCAGATGCACATGCTGCCCAGAGCAGAGGCCTGGGGTTGCAGCACCTGTGACAATACAAACTTCGTCATGTTTGCTAGCACCCTGCACAACCTTGGGTGGCTGCCAGCACACAGCTCCTCTTATGGCCTCGCGATGGCCCTGAGGCTCAAGCTTTCCAATCGGCTTTCTTACTTTCACTCGAAAAGCCTGGTCCAAGGTACACCCTGTTTGCCTGCCATGACTTAGTTTTTGCTGACCATTTGTGCCCTGCAAACCTCGTTGTGCTGAACAGAGTCCAAAGTAGGGGTTGGTGCACTGCACCAGTGTCCCATGCACATGTTGGGTGCATGTAGTCCATAACAATATGAACAAGATCTGATCAGCTTTAACTCAATGCACAGGGTGGGCCCCGGTTCACAGAGCAGAAATCTGCAAGAGGAAGTGTGGCAAGGCTCTGGGAAACTCTCAGCTGCTCCTGCGCAATGCCTTTGTGCATTTGCCGCATTTTGGGATCGTGCAGAAGCTGATATTCCATACAGCTGCCTGGTGTGTGTGCTGAACCCTTGCTGTAACATTCATGATGCCTGCACATGCCGTGCTGCAATCTCTTTTCACCGGGTTTCTAAGCTCAGCAGCTACATGCAGGTCCCAGGGAGTTACTGCGGTCACAGCGCTGTTCTTGTTTCTCGTTCCACTGATCCGCATTTTGTTTGGAGTTTTTCCCTTCAGTCCAAATAGGTGGTTTGGTATCGGCTTTTTGCTTTACTACTGCCTTTTTGCGCCTCTGATGTACAAGGTATCCATCCCTCCTCCTCTCTGCTCCTGCAATTCCTGCAGCAAATTGAAGGAGCAACAGAATGCTGAGTATCACGAGCACCAAAAGATGACCAAGGCACATGCTGTGCAGACTCTTGACAGTGTGTGCACATGTGCAGGCATATGAGCCTGCCACACTGCGCGCGCTTTGGCATTGGACAGTGGCAAGCCACAATCTGTGGTGGCACTATCTATGGGCCATTCTGGCTGCACTCTCTGGAAAGCTACATCTCTCCAGAGCAGTTTTGGGGAAATCCCCACCAATGGCCAAAAGAGCAGACGCCAAAGAAGTATGCAATGCGCGCTCAATTATCATGCAACAAACATGCAGCAGTCTTACAGCATACTGTAGCTTTCCGCCGACCAGAGGATCGCAGACTGAAACAATGCTGTGCATGACTGCGCAGATCCCTTCAGCAGACACCGATCTAGAGAATGGTCGGAGTGCACATGTGTCAGGGCAGCCAATCAAGGAGTCACATCCGTCAGCTGCAACTGCTGGGCGCTCTCTACGGAACTCATTTCTGGCGTTCCCCTGGACCAATTTTGTGCTCACCCTGTGCTCACTTGCTGGAGCTCTTGTGGGTGCTTGGCTGCTGTTTGGTGCATATGGCACTAGCGAGACGGCAAAGTGAGTCCGGTTATTACGTCTCTTGATGGCCTTGAATGCATGCATGCGAGCATGCAGGGATTTACTGATTTGGCAAAGAGCCTACATTGGTAGCTGCCGCATCCCCCTGACAGAGCCAAGCGCTGAATTTTTCTGATGGTCGTTGTACAGGTGTGGAGCAACAATTGTTGACATTCTGACAGCCAACCTGCCTTTGATCTTGTCCATACTGTGGTGCATTTGCAACGCCCTCATCTGTTCCATACCACTGGTTCACTATTTTATCTACGAGAGCTTTGCGTCCATACCGGAGCAGGTATGCAGCCTGTCACCTAGTTGAGACTCATGCATGCTTTCATGCATGAATGTCATGCAGACCAGGCTCTTGACACATGCATGAGATTGAGATATTTGCAGGAGGTGCAGCCCAAGGGGCAGAAAGGGCTGGCTTCGTACTCAATGCTCTCCTTGGTGATAGTCATCATGTGCATGATGATTGCAGCCATTGCCTGCATTTGGCAGGGAGCCGGGTCACACGGATTATGGGTAAGGTCCCCCAGAGAGATCAATCAATATATTACCATGGTAAATCATCTGATGCATCATCTTGAAGCTGCCAAGATGCCCAACAATATTGAGTGTTCAATTGCTGTCATTAATGACCAATGACCAATGATGACAATGGCCACTGAGGCTTGGAGTCTCGGGGGGCTCCCACAAGGTCTCTAAAATGTGATAATAATAGTATCTAATGATCCCATGCAGGGTAGCGTCCAGGGAAAGGACACCGATTTTAGTGGTGCTCTTGATGCTTCCATGAGCTTTTACGCTGCACAGCGCTCCGGTGTTCTTGGCAGCCCGCACGTTTCATGGCGAGGAGACTCGGGGCTCAATGATGTGCCCACAGGGGGCTTCTATCTTGGCACAAGTGAGTGACCCAATTTCATTGTTGACTTTTTGCACCTTACAGCAATCTCAGTATGCACTTTTCAGACTGCCAAGCAGAGTTCTAGCATGCCCAATAGAGGTGTTTGGGGGTTTTGAGAGGTGTGCTGGCTTCCGCAGATAACCTGAAGCTCACCTTCCCTATAGCAACAGCTGCCCTTCAGCTTGCATGGGGAGTGGCCAGCCTGCCCAGCTCTGCAGCAGTAGATGATCAGGTCTATCAACACTTGAGATGGGCAGCAGAATACTTAATGGCTTGTCGCATTACCCCAGACTCGTTGGTATCTCAGGTGCCCTCATCTTTGACATCATCTCGGCACATGGCAGCATGAGATTGATGTAATGAGGGCCTGTTGGTCTCGTCAATGTCGCTGCAAACTATGATACTGACATTGTGCTTATAGCCTTTATGGGCTCGCATGCCATGCCAGAAAAAAAAACAATACAAACATCAGGGTGTGCTGTGCAGGTGGGAAATATGGACAGGGAACTGAGGGCATGGACTCGCCCTGAAGACATGCAGCAGCCTCGACCAACTTTTGTCATCAGCCCACAGGCAAGTATATCACTCACCCAGGAGCTCAGTCACCAGCAGCTCTGTCTGCCTATTAATCCTTCGCAACAGAAAAGGAAATTTTCGCATGTGCAGGAGCCTGGAGCTGATCTCATGGGCCACACAGCTGCTGCGCTGGCAGCTACCTCAGCTGCAATTTTGCGCATGTCCACCACAGATTCCAGGAGTTTCTCAGCCCAGGCTCTCTCATCTGCAACAGAGCTGTATGTCCTGGCTGCTGCCAATGAGGGGCTCTACAGTAGCAACTTCATCCCCAACCAGAAGGTGACTTGCACTCATGGCTGCATGCAATTCAGAAATGATGCGTCACGTGCGCTGCTGTATGCGTTATCGGTCATGCAACGTCATGCTGCTGGCAATGCCTTTGTGCTGGTCTGCCCTTATTGCATTGGTGTCTGCCTTCGCAGCTATTTAATTCCACTAGCTATTTGGACGACCTGATGCTGGCTGCCAGCTGGCTAGGATTGGTCACAGGCAGGGTTGCATACCTGCGAGATGCCGAGGCTTACTGGGATCGCATCTTCAGTGATTCAAACAACATTTCTTGGCAGAGCATGGTGTCTGATTGGGATAATGCATGGTGGGCGAGCAACTTGCTTCTGTGGAAGCAGACAGGGAAACCGCGCTACAAGGTAAGCAAACATGTGCTGGTAATTGCTAATTGCATAAAGACACATGTCTTTTTGCATATAAGTTGATGCATGCATACCTTGACGGTCCTCAACGGGGCAATTGTAACCCTCATCAGTTTGATTTTAGCATGTCAATGTGGAAGGGTCACAATCTCCTCTTCTCATCTGCTCACTTGAAGCGGAATTGTGTCCCTGCCAGGCGCAATTTGACAGCTTCTTCGACAAATGGATGCATGGTGGCAACGGGGTTACCTTGACCCCGAATGGATTGGCACTTGCTGGCAGCAAAGGCCAGCTGGGCAATGCTGGTAATGCCGCACTGTTGGGACTGGTGTATGGGCGCTACAGCGGCGGGGGTGATGGACTCCTTCGAGCCTGCTGGGCTCGCCGGCAAGTGAGTCACTTATCTGTCAGCTCTCCCATGACTCCCTCTCCTTACATCCCTCTCCTCTGCTGTGACCTCAACACTCTGCGCATTTAAGGTACAGTCATACACCTGTGCAGCACGCATGTTTCTGGCACAGCCTGGGATCCCTCCGAAGGCATTGTCTCCTGCAGGATGTAAAGCTCTGGCTTGCTGACACAGGTGCAGAAGATTCTGGGTTGCAGCGGCCGAAGTTACATGGTCGGCTGGGGAGATGATCCGCCCACGCACATCCCCAACCCTGCAGCATCCTGCCCTGAATCAGTCCAGCCTTGCTCTGGCGTCCTGGCTAGTAGCCCACAGTACTCTTCACCAGATCCAAATCCGCATGTGATCACTGGCGCCTTGGTTTCTGGGCCTGATGCAAGGTGAGTAATCCCTTATCCTGCCCTTACCTTTCTAGTAAGCGCGCCACATGACCCGCCAAGATTGGTTTGTCTAACAGCAGCAACAGCGTTTCAGCAGGTGCAATAGCAAGGATTGAAGTGTGAAAACAACTTGATTGAGATCATAGTGGCACCATACGGATTCGGCCATTCGGCATACGGTGTATATTCGGTCGTATATTCGGTGTTTTGGGCAAAAATAGGCCGTTTTTGACCGAATTCCGTATGTGTTCAGACCGTATGACCGAATATAGCGCCGTATATTCGGTCCCCAAAAAATGTTCCGACCGAATGGTGCAACTATGATTGAGATGTGATGTCTGTTGGCTTGCAGGGACTCCTTCGATGACGTTCGCTCAGCAGCAGATACAAAAGTGAGCATAGACTATAATGGAGGGCTCAGCGGCGCACTGGCAATGCTTGCTTCCAGAGAATGGAGTCAGACTTGTGAGGGAAGGCCAGGGCTTTTAGACAGGGCCGCTGCAGACTTGCATCACAATGTTTGGTAGCACAATGGATCATTTCTAGAATGGTACGCAACAGGAATTACGCCGTGCATGACAAGAGTATGGGCAAACATTCAAGTGAAAGGCAACACATGCATGACTAGAACAAGTGTCCTTTTCATTTGAAGCAAACTTCGTGCACATGCCTTGAATAGAAAAGTGTGGAGGTATCAAGGGTCTCCACAAGTGTGAAGGTATACGTCGCTGGCGGGCCAGAGGTGTCAGCACCAGAGGGATACTGGTCTGAGACAGGGATTGCTTGATTGTACATGCAATGCTATGATATGCAATTGCTTGCTGTGTTGTGTAGCATTGGTTGGTGGTGGGGGTGGTGGTATGTTCCTTGATATGCACGGCTCACTTGGACTTAGACTTTTAGTATGATACCATATGGGCTGCAGACCAGACCTTCAGGCCCCACAGATGTGGCTGCAGACACTCTGTGTGTATGCCCTATGGCCTTCGGGCTTTGGGTTTGCCGACACTGTAATAATAATGATAATAATAAGGATAGTACAATTTAGATCAAGTCAGCATCCCATCGAGGTCCATCGATTCATTAGTACGGTGCATTTGGCATGTTTATTGCTTGCCATGCACAGCAACACATGATAGATTTTGATCGGGTAAAGAGAGCACAAAAACAGCAGCAAATACTTTCCCTGCTGTTGATATCATGTATGCAGTGCATCTTAATTGAGCTGTACACTTTTCTATGTTCAAACGGAAGGCCGTTTGGTTAAAAAACCCGTGGTGCAGTGTCCAATCAGGTAGTTAGAGGCTCAAATTTAGAGCAAATGAATATTTACAGACGGACTCCACAGAACGATCGTATCCCAACGTGTGTAATCTTGACAAGCCGTGACCCAACTGATGCAACTTCTGCAAATGCAAACTGCCTCACATGAAAGCATCTACAATTGAAGATGAGGAATCGTCCATTGTCAGTGATCAGGTCAGGTCAGATAAAGCTCAAGGATGCGGTACAGAGTTCTGATAGTGCATTGGTTTGCTCGCCACTCCTGACTCAGGCCTGTCCCTCAGTTATTTGGTCCTTGACCTTGTCGAGGGTCTGCTGAGCATCTGACCTGTTAGCTTCTGCCACATTCAGAGCATTCTTTGTGGCGGCATCTACTTTTTCCTGTACAGCATCGGCCGGCTGTCCGGCTGCTCCGGGGTTGGTGCCACCTAAATTGCTGCACATAACATCCTTGTCAATGCCCTAGCAAGATCTTGGCTCATGCAGTGCACATCCGCCCCTCATGACCGTTATGTGATCTTTACAACACTCAGCAACCAGAAGTGTCCAGGCAGGGCAGATTTCAGCAAGTCTGCATGTGCTCGGAGCAAAGTTAGCGATTTCGTGATCTGACAATGCACATGCACAGAGAAGTTGGGGCACACCAGCAGTTGGGGCCGCAGGGGCAGCAGGTGCGGCAGTGCCAGCCCCTCCCGCACCAGTCACCTCTGTCTTGACTGCCTGCTCCAGCTTGGGCTCCTCAGCCTTCACTGCCTGCATGATAGGCAGCCATCTTGTTTCCCCCCATCTTCTTCCTGGCATAGCTTGCTTGGTAAAAAGTGCAGATGCTGCAGTGCGTGCAATCGTTATGCATGGATGCATGATGACTCACCTGCTCCAACTTGCCCTCGACGCCACCAGCAGCAGGAGTGGATGGTGCAGCAGCCTGGACAGACAAGCTCATGTCAGCCCAATGGCCAGGAGTGCAGTGGAGCTTGCTAAGCTTTGAGGTGTTGGACACACATGCAGCCATGTGGCAGTGTGTGCATGAGTGAAATTGTGCGGAGACAATGAACGCATGCTGCAGGTAGGAGAGACTCACCCCGGCAGCTGGAGTAGGCTGTGCTGCAGTGGCCTGTGATAAATGTAACATAGGTTAGCATTTCTAGTGGTGGGTTCAAACGGAATCCAAAACGTCACGCAGGTGCTCTCACAGAAAGTAGGAAAATCCACCTGTCCGGTGGTTCCGGTGCCTTGCAGCTTCCCCTTCAGGGTGTCCAAGGCCTGCAGCAGCAGCAGACACAGCTGTCAAACACCTCTCCTGTCACTGCAGGGAGCGATGAGATGTGGCTCAGATTCCACCAGCAGAGGTGGGCCAGGCAACAGCGGTATTTGATGCATCTTGTGGGTATGTGAGCAGGGGTGTGGGCTGTGGCAGGAGCGTGTGCATGATGCCATGCTCAGGAGGCATCTGCTCACCTCGGTGCCCTTAACTTTGGCCTGCGCCTCCAAGTTCTCCACCTGAACCATACATATGCCAATAAATACCCCTTAAAGGCACATCAGCCTGTTAACCCTTTCCGCCCTGGTCCAAGAGTGACGTCAACTGATCTCCTTCATCGACCTCAGCTTCGACGGCAAAGCAGGCTCCTGAGGCCCATCACCATCACAACAGTCCATCCAGAAGGTGCCAGTGTCATCACAGCCGTCCCAATCAGCCTCCGGAACCTTTACGCCTGAAAAGAGGCCAACGTCCCTCCGCAACTTCTCAATCCCGGAATAGAAAAGCTCCCTTCGGTCAAAGCTCAGCACATCCAAAGGTATAACCCAAGGGTTGCAACCGGTCACCAAATTGTTTTGGCAGCCATGCCCGCAAACTGGGAAAGTGGAGCCCAATTCTGTAGAGCCGTTCCCGGCAGTTTCTGTCGTGCAATGGACTCTAGGATGTCATGCTTATCAGACCACAGAATGTCACCCTCACACCGAAGAATTGACCAAGAAACTCCTTAGGTCCTGAAAGATGTTTCCTTGTGCGAGCAGAAGAGAAACAGCTCACCTGCTTCTTCGCTCCTGGTGAGGAGAGGCAGCTTCCCATTGTGCCGGCCTGGTCGGTTCGGAAAGCAGGAGTTGGTTGGTTGGAGCACGAAGATGTCGAAGCTTCAACTTTAGAGAGAAGGAGAGCACTTTGCGAAGGAGAAAGGGAGCATGTGCTCCAACAGTGCTTCCTGGCATTAGGTTTTCATGCTGCCCCCTTGCAAGGGTTATATTGAGTTAGATCTAGGGCTCCGAAACGAAGGACGTGAACTCTTCCGAGATCCTGTTACTTCCCAATTTCTCTCCTTTTAGTAGGACTGTTGACATATTATACGATTTGCTATCCAGCATGCAGCTCTACACAAGAGCAACGTCTTCTTGTGCCTTTAGGGTGCGAATTGCACTGAACCTGAAAGGTCTGACATGCGATTTTATTCCTGTTTTGACGAAGGATCAATCAGATGAAGCTTTCAGGAACATAAATCCTCAACGACTTGTGCCTGTTCTCGTGGTATGTTCCCATTCAACGTGATGGATGACGCTCCAATAACTCTCGAGATGCTAATGACCATTGTCACTCGTGCATTCCTGTTACTGAAGGTGGCTTGACTTTCTCTATCACTTGACGTTCAATATGCAGAATGGGAATGATAAGATTGGCCAATCTTTGGCAATCATGGAGTACTTGGAGGACAAGTTTGGTCCTCCAAGTCTACTTCCCAGGGATCCCGCTGGTCGAGCCCGTGTTCGGGCAATAAGTCAATACATTGTATCGGACATACAACCACTGCAGAACACCCGTATTGATGCACAGCTGGAACGTTGGGTAAGCAGAGCAAATATCAACATCCAAAGCTCAACTGGCTTTTGCAACGAGTGTCAATTATACGCAAATAATTGGACTGACTGAGAGTGCAATTTGTTTTATAGTTCACAGTGCGGGTTGTTTAGGAAGTGGATGCAATGGACTGGAAGCAGCACTGGATCAACCATGGATTTGCAGCTCTGGAGGACATGCTAGGCGCGAGCGCAGGACCCGGGAAGTTCTGTCATGGAGATTTCCCAACCATGGCAGACTGCTGCCTAGTCCCACAGGCATGCTCGGAACTCCCTCAACAAAAATCTGCCTGTCCTATGCTGCAGAGCACCTCACTGTCTGCCGAGACCTTGAAATTTTCTGCCTGCAGACAGCGCTGCCAGCAATCGCAGTGGGCACCGGCAAAATACAAGCCTTTCTTTCCCTGTGTAGGTGTGGAATGCGGTCAATCGCTACAGTGTGGAGCTCTCTGCGTATCCCAACATTGAAGCGGTTTACAAGGAGTGTTTGCAGGTTCCGGCAATAGATGCAGCCATGCCCGAAAAGCAGTCTGATTACAAGCAACCAAAAGATTGATACTGGAGCGACAACTGCCCAAGAAGTGCCAGTGTATGACTGACAGATGTAAATGAAGTGCCTCTCTGAGTCTGTAGGTCAACCAATAACGGTCCTTACTGGTCCTGTACTGGTCCTACGGTAGGTCATGGTCAAAGCACTGTACTGTATCTGTCGGGGTCAGCTGTCGACCTTTGAAGACATGATGGGTCTGTAAACAAAGCACATGTACATGGCGGACAGTAAATTTGTGCCAAGATCCGGTAAGAAGCGCAGTACCCATGAGGTCGACGGCTCAGGTGAAGAAATTGTTATGACAGCAGCGGCTTTTGCCATCAGGATCTTAAAAAGATTATAATATCTGCGGATGCTATTGACATCAACAGTACACTAGTGGATTGACATCGATCATTTGATGGTGCCTCTCAGCTCATAAATGATTCTCAAAAGTTCTTGATGCCTCCAAGAGGCAGGCATGGGCAGGTGCCAGCAGCTTCTGCTCACGTGCACTGTTTCATGTCGTTCCATGGATTACAGCTCATGTGATTTTCAGAGGCCACACTTGTCTTATTTTTGTTGATGTGTGTCGGGTTATCCAGCCTGTTTGTGCCCTCAGAAGGAGCGTGCATCGAAGCAATCCTGGATCTTGGTGCTACTGGTGTATTGTAAACTGAGTATGGCGTCTTGCAGATGCCAGCAGGCCGGTGTTACAAGCTTTAGAAGCAGTGCAATTCACTTCAGGACGAGAAAGGCCTTAACAAGGCCTGTGTCACTACAAATTGGCAGGTCTAGTACACCAAAGCAGAGCTTCTCGGATTCGAGGCATTCCGTCGTCAACAAAAGATGGCTTTGCAGAGCTTTCGCGCAAGAAAGTGAGGCAAAACGGGAGCCGCAAGACCAAGGACCAAATTGGAAGCTGTTGCTATGGGGCACGCTCGATGTGACTGCAACACTTGGATCTGTGGGCGGAGCAGTGGCGTTCATCCTCACACAGGAAGCTATGCTTATTGGGCTGCCTTTGGTTCTGCCACTGCTAGCCCTTTACGCCAGCAGAAGACGTGAGAGCCTCAAAGTGGAGGTGAGATCTGAACGGAGTGACTTGTCAACTTGAATGTCTGGCTGAGCACAACCATTGACTGTTGTTTCCATTCTACAGGCTGGCTTGAGAGATGTTCGGGAGTCTTGGAGTGTGGTCTTTCAGCAATTCGACCGACATGAAGAGGAGAAGGTACAGAAGCTGCAAGAGGCATTCCAGTTGTGGCGGGAGGACCTGCAGAAGCAGCTACCATCTGGGAAGCTGAAGAATATTGAGAGCAAACTTGCTGCCCTGGAAGGCTCAATCCTCAGCGCAGGTGGGGCCTGTGCAAGTCTCCTTTACTGTGTTGCAGTGGCTTGCAATGCCCGCTTGCTCCATGTAATAGTTGCCATTTGAGATAATAAGCGCTGTGGCATCTTTGCAGGGAGGAGCGCTCAGAGTGCAGCACGGAATGTGGAGGTTGCCAGTAGCAGCATGGCTGAAACCACTGCAAGGCAGATGAAGGAGCTTGGCGCTCGCCTGGTCAAAGATTTGCAGCAGGATCTGCAGGCCAAGTCCGCCCCTTCACAGGGGCTGGATGCCCTGGTGTCCCGGCTGGAGGTGCGTGTGAACATTGTTGAGGTGGTCTCTGCTACATAGTGCTCCTTGCACGTGCAGCATGCAAGCCATGGGGTCCTTAAGCATTCTTTCCTGTGAGGAATCTCACCGGCTTTGTGTGAGCTCATGCAGGGCATTGAGAGCAGCTTGCAAGGCTTGGAAGAGGGCCAGGTGCAGGGCATGCGGCGGCTGGCCCAGGGCATCATGAGCGCTGTGGAGGAGGCAGAGGCCTCGCTGCAGGTACCTTCTCTTCGTGACCACAACCCACACCCTTGCACTTTGCCTCTCTGCAGCGTGATGTCATCATGCCCTCCATGGAAGCGGCTGGTGTAATTTATTTTGACTTTGTGCAATAGAGCACGATGCAATCGGATGCGCGGCGCTCATCGGACGCGCTGCAGCGGCTGCCGGCGCTTCTGGCGGCTGCGCTGCCAGTCACAGATGTGACGCCCCTGCAAAATGGTGCCGGCCGGGCGCAGCCCCCAGCAGTTGCTCAGATCGCCCCTGTGGACCGGGCCTGGCTGCAGGGCGTGCTGGAGAAATCCCTACAACTCGCTGCTGAAAGGGTGCTTGAGAAGCAGGTGAGCAGATTATACAACTGGCTGTTTCTCAATATTTCCCAGGATTGGATCTTTCTTATGCAGCTGTGGGGCTCTTGGAATGGGGCTTTTGGAAGGAAATTTCCTATTTGGAGGGTGTGTTGCTTGCGCGCAGCAGGAGAGAGCTGGAACTGCTGTGCCTGCACTGCTGGCGGACGAGCAGTGGGATGCCTTGGGCAAGCGCCTGAGGGGCATTGAGCAGAGCGTGCAGGTGAGCGCCATAGCTCATGCGCACGAGATTTTGATTGACATTTCCATGCATGATGTGCTCTGGGGCAACTCTGCTGAACACTTGGAACATTCGAAATGCACTCCTGACTGCTGTAAAGGCTTTCTGAGGCATCGCGTGCTTTCTCTGCTCAGGACTTGATGGAGGGGAGCGGAGGTGAGGATGTCCCTACCAGGGAAGAGGCCCTGGTGACAGAAATGGCTGCATTGCGCAACGATGTGTCCACTGCACTTGACAGCATCCGAGGCTCGACAGGGGAGGTCAATCCAGAGGTTGCCCCTCTGCTGTCCTCCATCAATGACTCTCTTGAGGCCCTGCGCAGTCAGGTATGACCATGGCCTCTTACATACTTATCTTGTTCCCAGAATGGGTTATTCACTACTTTTGCAATTGCTATTTGTTCAGATTGCTTTTGTAATGTCAACAGTTGAACCAATGCTTGTCTTGTGCTATGAAGGTGGAGGTTCCACTAGCAGCAGCAGGGACTTCGGATGAGCAGAGCAGATCCTTGTCAGTTGCCCTGCAGCCCATTCAAACAGCCCTTGCTGAGCTCCAGATCTCCCAGGCCTCGCTGCAGCAAGCGCTGCACAGCACAGCTGACACCTCTTCTGGCACTTCTCCCTCAACAGGTGTGCACCAGCTGGCACCTTGCAGGGCATGCTTATGTAGCCTGTAAGCTGGCTTTTCACAGATTGCATGCCTGCATTGCTTTACAACGCATGCTGTGGAATTGCAGTGTCAGTGGAGGAGGCTGCCAGGAGGGCAGCAAAGGAGGTTCTGAGAGAGTTCTCAGCTCAGACCCCTGATGTAGCGGAGCTGCGCGAAACCATCAGTGCCACTCTGGAAGCTGTCCGGAAGCTGGAAGCTGCCACCATGGAGCGCATCAGCACCCTGGCTGCCTCCATGCAAACCCTCCCCACGAGCTCATTATCCGTAGGTGTGTTCTGGATTCTGATATTATCTATCAATAACAATCCAAGGCACTCCTTTTTGGTGTATTACACAAGTTTGCGCAATCAAGCCTTGCAACACTCCAATATGTTCTTCTCCGCTCCAATCACGGCTTGGGGGCCCGGTCCTTGGATAGGCAATGATGACAAACCTGGCTGAGATATATTTCGATGCTGAGACCAATCACCTCCTACTCATACTGAGCCTTCGGTCCAAGGACAAAGTGTTTTGCGTGCACTGCTGCAGCTGCTCTCCCTGATTTCAAAAGTAGCTAAGCAAGGGCAAGTGATGAGTTTTATACAAATGGGTAATTGTGTCGCATTGCAGTGCAATACGCTGCCTAGCTGACAACATCTTGTGCTGTAACTGAACCACCCAGTCATGATGACTTGACATGCATGACTGATGCATGGCAAGCAGAGTGATGTCATCAGCATGCTGTTTGCAGGAGGCTTGGAAGGAGTGATCTCACCTGGCGGCTCACTGAATGCAGTGGCAGGACCAGATGCACCCCCAAAGGGGTACAAGGGAAATCCATCCGACACCAGAGAAGATGCATTCCTACGTATGCAGGTGCGGTGCCCATCAATGTGTATTATTCTTTGTGTCATTTCTCTGAGAGGCTCAATTCTGGCATATTGGGTCTACATAACACGACAATGGATTCCCTTACGCAATTTAGTGTTGGGTTGTGCAGGCCCTGTTAAGTACTGGTGACATGGCCTCTGGAGATGGTACAGCAGATCAACTGCGGAAACCAAGTGGAGACCCGTTAGGCACAAATAGCAGCAAGTCTGACGAGGACCTGGTGCCCATTTCCGCCTGGCTTGGGGCGAGGTCTGGGGCAGCTGAGAGCAAGCCAGAGAGGGAGCTGGCCGGCAGCTATGCAGGAGCTTCCTCAAATGGCGCTGCCTCAATCCCCACTCCCTCACAGGGCCCCCCCGTATACACCTCCAGCTCTGCATCTCCTGAGGAAGACTCTTGGGCTGGAAGTGTCTCCTCCAGCAGCAGCACAGCAGCCGAGCGTCCACCCGAGGAGGCACCACAGATAGGCGCAAGGGGGAGGCAGCAGGAGATCCCTCAACCTGACATTTATGCTGAACGCCAGCTGCCCAAAATCAATGGCGTGAGCGCACAAGAACCAGTAGATGGGGACAGGGACCCATACTCCTCACCCAGGGAGGAGTACAGAGGAGCTGCATCCAACGGTGAGATTTAACTGGAACGCATTGGCAATCTTTGCATCCCTCCAAGAAATGTATCCTCAACAGAAAGCTGCATTGCAAACACTTGCTGGCTGATACCTGCTGATCGCTGCTCTATTTACAGGCGCGTCACAGAGTGCTGAAGCAGAATTGGGCGACACGGAAGAGCAGCTGGAGGCGCTGGTACAGGAGGGGAAGCAGCTGCTGCGCGAGGGGCGCCAGCTCACCAAGGCAGGCTACGACCTGGGCGGTGCTGACCTGGCCCTGCAGGACGCCATGGCCTGCTTTGAGGAGGCTGCCCAGATCGACACCGCCAGCATCAAAGTGCAGGTGCCCACCCAGCACCTCATGTCATAATGCGCTGAAGGCGTGATACCGGCACGGGATAATCATGTTACTTTGGCATGTAATCGACTCATCGGTGGTGCAGAAGATTGCGTGAATATGCCTGGTGGCGCACTGAGTGCTTGCAATGATGCAAGGAGCGCAAGCAAACATGCGTCAAGCATTCACATCTCCCTGTTGCTCTTCGTTGTGAGATTGGCAGGCCGGGGTTGAGGTATGGAGGGTTGCATGCATGGCTTGCAGGGCAACTGGGGGAATGCGCTGATGGCGTACGGGGTGTTGAAGAAGCGGTACCTGAGCGAGCTGCAGGAGTCGCCGCCGCCGCGGTCCTACGAGGAGAGCGCAGCCGCGCGCGCAGCCGAGGAGCAGCTTACAGGTGCGTGCAGATCAGTGTGCAGGCATGCAGCGGCTAGATACTGTGTTCTGCGGTCCTGGATTGCAAATCTAGCCCATGACGAGCTCGGGCGTGTCAGCTGTGCTTCACCAAAATCCAACCATGCTTCACCATAGTTCCCAATAGCATCAGTCTTTGTCCCTAACTCAAGTTTGCTCTGCTCAGCAAGACTGCGTTAGTGTTATATCACGCATTTTTGAGCAGTGAGGATCAGGTGCATGTCCTTATTGTTTCCAGGACAGTCCTTCAACATCTTCCATCTTCGCGCTGCCGTCACCGTGTCGGCGGCACTCTGGACTTGACAATCACATGTGTGCGCAGGCGAGGCGGAGGCTGCGCTGGTGGCGGCTGGGCAGAAGTTCCGGGCGGTGGCGGAGCGCGACCAGGACGACACGCGCGCGCTCGGCAACTGGGGCCGCGCCCTCTGCGTACGCGCCGAACTCGCCCGCGACCCAGAGGTGCGCAGTGCTCCAATATCGATCCTGTGCCATGGACATCAAGAAGGCATGTGATAATGGTGATTTTTTGCAGCAAGTTGAGGTCGCAGCTAGACTTGTGTCCTGAGTATATGGAACAAAGACGAGCTGGCCCGCGGCCCCGAGGTGTGCAGCAGCACACTCCCATTTGGCTTCTCACCTGTCTCCTTAAATTTTGCACCTACGAGCCTCCTGACATGACTTACCCTGCTAGATGTGACGAGCAAGGTCCATGAAGTATCTCCTGGCTCATGTTTCAGCGAGGAACAATGTGCAAATTATCGTGGGGGCGGCCATTTGAGCTCTTGCCATGAGGGAGGAAGAACGGATGTGATACTGTTGACTGTAAGCAGCAGATTGGGGTTGCAGTTCTGAGTGTTCTGCATTGGTGCAGGTGGCATGCGCGCTGTATGAGGCGGCCGTGGCAAAATTCGAGGCTGTGTTGGAGGTGGACCCCGGCAACAGGGCGGTGCTGCGAAACTGCGCATTCGCGCTCTTTGACCTGGCTCGCCTGCAGCCGGATCCCACCTCCCGGGCTGCGCGACAGTTGCTGGAGGTGACTGCACTTCTTTTGAGAACCTGATGCAGTCTCTTTTACGGTTGTAAGGGAACGCAGAGGAAGGCAAAGACTTTGTTTCTCTGCGTGCTTGACAGTGTGATGGAGCGCTAGGTCAGCAAGGGTGTGTAATACAGAGCATGCCCCCTTCGTTGGCGGTCTTTGGAAGTAGCTAAGTGGGTGCACGTTTGCAGGATGCTGCGCGATATATGGAGGATGTCCTGACCATCAATGGGGGCGATGAGGATGCAGCAATCGCACTAGACCAGTGCAGGGATGAACTTGATCAAGTGCGCGCTGTGCGGCGCTGACAATGGCATGTGATTGATCTGCACAATTTTTCTTTACTGAGTTGCCTCATTGCCCACAGCGTGAAGGTGCAGAAGTGTGAACCAAGTTGCATTTTTTGCCAGTTGAGAATAACTTCGAAGTTGGCTGTCTGAAGAATGCAGGACTTTACATACCCTTGCTTCTCTGCCATATTGATGGGCAGAGAGTAACTTCCCAAATCAATATCGATTCAACGTCTTTGCTGTCATTCTTGTCAGCAACCCCGACAAGAACATGCATGCTTGAGCAAGACACTCCAATTGTATTCATCACAGCACTACATGTACATGTACAGCGTCACAACATCATGCATGCATGCACGACCAACACTCAGAATCGTCACTTTTGTGTCATAGAACGCATTCTACACCTGTATTTGATATCCCCCAAATTAATAATTATCATTATGCCTTGGGCATGGGCACATGCCAAACTGATTATGACCCATGCTCACAGCCATGGACAACATGATCCAGGGGACCGGGCTACCTTTGGACTAGCTGGGAGCACATCATCAATTCGCGCCCCAACACCCGGGTCTTGGCCCACTGGTCGCGGCAGAAACAAGCCTTCCTGCAGAATTCTGCTCGGGCTTCACTTCGCCACCAATACGCCATCTCAAGATCAACTGATTACTATAGCTGAAGTAAAGCGTCTAGCAGCCTCACATTGGTAGGGTTGACCAAAATCATGCTCGGGCCTCACTTCGCCATCAATACGCCATCTCAAGATCAAATGAGACCTATAGCTGAAGTAAAGCGTCTAGCAGCCTCACATTGGTAGGGCTGACCAAAATGATGCTCGGGCCTCACTTCGCCATCAATACGCCATCTCAAGATCAAATGATTACTATAGCTGAAGTAAAGCGTATAGCAGCCTCACATTGGTAGGGCTGACCAAAATCATGCTCGGGCCTCACTTCGCCATCAATACGCCATCTCAAGATCAAATGAGACCTATAGCTGAAGTAAAGCGTCTAGCAGCCTCACATTGGTAGGGCTGACCAATATCATGGATAATTATTACTATTATTATTATAATTATTATTATTATTATACTTATTATGCGCTTTTCCTCCCAAGAGGCAAGTTGCGTCCTGCAGACAAGCTGCAGTTAAAGGCTGCCACAATCCTACCCCTTGTTAGTCTCGCCAGATCCAAGCAAGACCCAATGGCACATTAAAGAATCATAATTCCCTCTTACCGTACACCACCTCACTCCTCTGATCCTAGTACATCTTCAGACAGCGGCTGGGTGGGACCTGCTTTGACCGACGCCACGCGAGGGACCGCGTGCATCTTCATGCCTCTGGCGCAGGACAGCGTGACATGGGTCTGCTCCGCTGCCCGCACATCCTCTGCAGTACCCATCTGCAGGCAGCCACAAGCAGCTTGACTTGCTGCTTTCGAAAGGCCTGCCACCCTTTTTGCACTGGCCGTAAGAGGGCACCTGCAGCCGTAACGGCTGCAGGAAATCAAGTGATTGGTTGGGGGCCCTCACCCCACCCCCAATCCATACTGGGCTCCAGGTTCAAGCAACATTACATATTACTGTTGCTCATGCGGCAACACATATATGGTTGGATGCATTCAAACATGTGAGTCAGGATCCCATTGGAGGAATGGGAGCGCAGGCAGCATATATCTCTGTTCCCTGCCACAGCACATAAGGAAAAGAGCAGGCAATGAGTCACCTCTGAAGCCAGGCGGAAGGTGAAGCTGCCGTAAAGCTGCGCGAGCGCGGTCAGGAGGTTGAGCTGCGCCAGAGGCTTTGCGACGCAGTTCCGAAGGCCCTCTGAGAACGGCAGGTAGCGCTTGACGTCTTTGCCACCCAGCTCAGCATTGGGCACATTCTCAGCATTGCCCTCCTGCATGTGCACACATGCAGGTCGACAAGTGCCTTGATATATCGCACATCAACGCAGTGGGGTAACACTGGAGTGTGTGAGCTGTCAAGTCCTGTTTTGTGCCAGCTCATGTGGCAGCAACTTAGCCCCTGACCATTGCTAGTGCTGGCTCACAACACAGTCACTTCCAAAAGGCAGGGCCAAAATACCGTATTGCTGTTACTCACAGCTAGCAGGGTGTCATGGCAGCTGTGCAGAGTCACTCTCGCCACTCCCTTAGGAAGCTTGCCAATAGTGAGCTGGAATTTGCTGCCTACAGAGGGACAGTACCATTGCACGCAGAGCTTCTCACCGTCTCTGATCAGAATATCCGACCTAGATGCCCTCACAGAAGCTCCCCATTCCATGCGAGCCTCTCGACAAGCTTTGCTACCCATCTTGGGCTTCAGACTTGAGACTTTCAGCTTCAGGATGTGTGGAAGGTACAAGTTAATCCTTTTGAAATTTACACACCTGCAGCCAGCGGCCGGGGTCAAACTTCTCGGGATCGTCCCAGAGCGCGGGGGACAGCTGAATAGCGGCGATGGGCGTGTGCAGGATGGCGCCTTCTGGGATGACTAATTTACCTCCGCCCAGGACAACGTCTCCGCAGCCCTTGATTGGAGAACGCAAGGGGACCACGCCGGCCACCGCGTAGATCCTCATCGATTCCTGTGGCCAATGCACTATCATTTGTTTAGCGCCCCAAGGGTGGGGCAGAAAAATATAGGTGACACTGTTCTGCCCTTGTACGATTTTGCCTGGCAGGTCATTTCCTCAACTCGCCCTTCCTGAATGTCTGTGTTTCTTTTAGGATACTTGCAGCCAGCGGCTCAAACATTGCAAATGCCACAAGCAAGTTTCTTCGGCTGCAGCAGCAAGTCTGCCAGCGGCATGCCTTGTGTCGTTTACCGGTAGCAAGCATATTTGACTTCAACATGCTTGCAACCCTTCAACCTTTTGGAGAGGATGTGCATGGCCTCTGAATGGAACCTGATGGAGACATCTAGTGTCCTGCTTGCAACAGGCAGGAGGCACCTTGATGACAGCGTTAAGGTATGTCAGCAATCTGAGGTCATCCCATTCCAGTTGCCGTGGTTGGGGGCTCTTGCTCGTGGCCAGTAGCCCCAGCGAAGCAAGCTCCTCTGTGATCTTTGCCTCCACTGCAGCTTCTTGACTGACCGCGTACAACGTCCACGACGCCTGGTGGCCGGTGGCTGCAAACATGTGAGCAGAGATTCAGGGCTGCAGACAAGACTAGACAGGACTGCAAACAAACACTCCTAAACTCTGACACAAGGCCAGTATGGCAAAAAAAACTAATATTCAGATTGCTGGACTTGATGCAGAGGGCTCGAGAGACGAAGCAAACTTATGCAGAGCCGCCATTCTCGCTTCACCCCGTGAAAACGATTGACCCCATTAGCTGCTTGCATGCCTGAGAGAAGCACAAGGCCATCACAAACTGGCAAAGAAGAACTATTTGGTGCCATCTGCTGGTGACCGCTATACTCATCCAAGCATTTGCAAGTGCTAGGTCAGGGGTGAGAGAAGGCGCACTCTCAAATCCGGCGAAGAAGAGCTGCGCGATCTGCGGCTGCAATACGTCGTTGCTTATGGCCTGCCCGGTGCGGGGGTCCACAATATCGAGGAGGTGTGCCGCAATTGTGACATCGGGCGGCCTCTCCCGGCGGATGTCCGCCATCAGTCGGTGGATCATCTCATGGTATCGCCTCGTCGCCGCCTTGCCCGCCCACACATCCTGCAGTCAAATGCATGCACTTGATTGCGTCCTCGAGGCCGGTCAGTGACAGCATATGTACTAGATAGGCCGGTACCAGAAGCTGCTGCTGCCCAGACATGCGCGTGTCTTCATGCACACTGCCCGGCCGCCGCAACAACTATAGTGACCCGAGTACAGGACTGCGTATGCAGAGGCTAGCGGCTATGCAAAGGATGATTACCACAGATGCGCATGTTGACTGCACTCTGCAGCCTACAGCCAGCCCTCGATTCTTCTGCAAACCGCAAAAGATACCATGGGATGCTCTTGTTCTCAAATTTGAGTTGTGCAGCACTGGTGCATGCACGAGTAATGCTGAACAGAAAAAAATTAAATGTAGCGCACCGGACGCCAGAGCTTGTAGCGGCGCAGGGGGTCAATAATGCGCGACTCAGCCTCGGCCAGCCCGGCCTGCGTCGTCGTTATGGCCTGTCCTGACTCATCGCCGTCCATCAGAGACCGCGTCGCGCCCATGTCACGCCCGAAGCCCACGTGGCCTGCGCGCATGTGCTTTCGAATTCAAATTCAGAATATTCATTGAAAACACAAGCAGCTCCATCAAGCCTCCAAGATTCTGCAGCCTGCCTGCAAAGTGAGTCTGCAGCAAGCCTCCAATCTGGCTGTGGCAGAAGGGGACGGCATAGTACAAAAAGAGTGACTGCTCCAGTCAGGGCATGGTGCCAATTAAGAGGCAGCTGCCAGTCAGATTTGAGCGCAAATCCTGCCAATCTTGTGCGCTCAAGAGCTGAGGAGACATGACAAATCAGGGTGCGCACCGATGACGTCCAGGGACTCCCGGCAGGTGGCATTGTCCATGTCCACTGCCACGCTCGGCCCCGCCTCGGCCAAAACCTGTATCAGCTGCGCGCCTGCCGTCCTGATGCCTGCCACAGCACGCACATCACATTTCATGACATCCTCTTATGCATGACGTTGCAGGCAATCTTTGTATTCCTCTTCAGGGGGCCGCCATGCTGATTCCTGCCAAACTGCCAATGGGAGCAATCCGCCTGAACAAACACCGTATTCACTGCCTGTGTCTAAAAAATCTCTTGAAAATTTCCAAGCTATGAAGCAGGTGCTAGGTCTCACCGGGGAAATTGGCGCGCAGGTTGCGATTGCTGAAAGCAGTGGCCACTGCCTTGCGCACAGCGCGCCACAGCTCATCCGTGGACATCGTCAGGATGGTCTTGTGAGCATTCGGGCCGGTGAGCTGCGCACCACAACGCCGCTAAACAAATGTGCATTACATCGTGCGTATTTCTGCTCTTTTGCTGCCCTTGAGATATCTATGCGCTGAGATATCAGCAATACCATGCGGTTGAGGCTCGCGTGCAATGAATACATGTGCAAAAGGCAGCAAAGCATGGAGCGGGCAGCAGGAAAATTCAGCGTGATGCGAGGCGACATTGAAGTCACCTCATCAATCCCGCAGGTGAACTGCTGCACGGGCAGGGCCTTGTCGAGGCTCCTGTGCCGCAGCGCCTCAGCCACGAGCACAGGATCTGTCACCATCACCACCTGAAGTGCCAAGGAGTACATGTTGATTATATGCTTCCCATGTTGATTATTTGCTTCCCGTGCTGTCCAAAATTTCAAAGCAGATTACAGCAAAACCCCACCATCTGGGAAGCTAAAGTGCTCTCACTGAGAGCCCCTAAGATGCTTTGACAAGATCAAATGCTATCATACTCAGGACCCAAGAAGTTTGCTGAAATGGCAGGCTCTGGGCACTTGTGCTTGACGGTGTGTTGCAGGTTGTCGGTGCAGATGCATGCAGAGCCCCAATGTGGCCATGATGCGGGTGGACTGGAAATGCGCCAAATGAGCTTACCCTACTTGACCTGTGAATACCATTCTGCATCCATTGTGAAGGTCCGGGGGGGACTCACGTGCGTGGTGAGGAAGCGGTAAGTGAGGATGGGTCCGTATTTCTGCGCCCACTCCCCGTAGACGCGATGCCGGTCTGCGGGCTTGCACTTTGACCCCACAGGGCCCAACAGGGAGCAGGGCAGAGTGGGAAGATGGCGCAGCTTCCTGCAACAGACAAGCTCAGGCAAGCACAGCTCAACAGCCCCTAGATTCAGCAAATTGCAGCCATTGAAAACATGTTAGGATTGCAGGCAGCATGAAGAATCAGGAGCAAATCGGCCCAGTTGATCTGAGAGCGAGAACGATTCTGGTTTCTGTTAGATGCACACCTGCCGACGCGCCAGCACCTGTACACTCTGAGGAGCCCATGGGATAGCTTCGTCAGCATCCACAGTCCAAAGACTTTAATGAAGAGATCCCTTGTCACAAGTGCTGCCCCGTAGAATTCTGGGACCACCTGCGCAGAGGGACCGATTTACTCCTCAGCCACAAAGTCTACATAGTAAAGAGCACAGATTGTTAGGAGCCGATTTTGACAGATGTTGAGTCTAGATTATTACAAAGCAAAAGATGGTGTATGTAGCTTGCCCACTTGGCAACTTGTAGGGCTTGAAGCCCTACAAGCCCTTTGCCACTTTACACAAACACCACAGAGTTCTGGCTGTAGCGTACCATTGCTGGAGTCCACGTGAACATGGGGTGCTTTGCAGTAAGTTGAGGTCTCAGGCAGACGCCAGAAACATCCAAGGGCTAAAGCGCACGAGATAGTAACGGGGAAGGCGCACGAGTCAGCAACCGGGGGCTGCTCAGAGCTCCTTCGACGACGATCGTGAGCGCCAGTGTAGATAGCAACCCTTGCTGGTTATCAGCAACTTCTCGATAGGGAGAGATTCTGGGCGTGACTTGACGACGACTGCCCCAAAGGAGGCATTGTCCGTCACGCCGTGACGATCGTTCGTAAATCGGTGAAGAGCTAAGATTCGGCCGTGTGCAAAAGGCACATCTCTAGTTTGCAGCAGTCTCCGGCGCGTGGAGTATTTGCCTAGATACTGGAGAGCCTAGTTCAGCCTAATTGTAATAGAAGTCTGTGCGCTATCGTCGTCAACAAGGCAGGTAAAAGGAACCGGGCAGAAACCTAGTCGCGAGCTATAAAGTGCCAGTGCAAGGCTGATCACCACGATATCCCGAATTTATTTGATGTTCTGTAGTAATTTACAGCACCGACTGAATTCTTACAAATACGCTTTCCAGGACGTCTTACTGGAAGCCAATCCCCGACAATCATGAGTGGGCTGGAACTCAAGTGCGGGAAAGCTTTTGCCAGCTTCGAGCTCTACAAGTACCTAGTTGACCATAGCTACCGTGCCAATAAGCACCTCGACGAGCTCCGTGAGGTATGTATTTTATTAAAAGCTTTGATGACCCGTCCAAGATACAACTCTGCTTTTGATATCTTCTCTTTGCTTTGCACCAACACAAAGCTGACACCAAGTGGGCTGTGCTGGGCAACTGCAGGTGAGTGTCAAACACGAGTGGGGTGGCATGTGCTCCCCTCCTGACAGCATCCCCCTGCTGCAGCTGCTGGTGCAGCTTCTACATGCAAAGAAAATTGCGGAAGTGGGTGTCTTCACCGGTGAGTCACCACTGTTGGGGCTACCTCCAAGATCATTTTAGAGCAGCTGACAGGGGCTCACAAGTGTCCCTGGTTGTCTGGCAGGCTACACAACCCTTGGCATGGCTCTGGCAATGCCTGAAGGTGGCAAGGTCTATGCCCTTGACATAAACGATGACTATGCTTCAATAGGTGGAGAGCCCTCCCTGTGACGAGCCGTTCTTTATCAATGCGGTTTCTGCCTTCCAATTTGACCAGACAAGCTTCAAAGCCCAAATGTGTTAGAGGGCGGCAAATGCAGATGCTTTTTAGCAGGGAAACCATTCTGGAAGGCCGCTGGAGTGCAGGACAAGGTTGACTTGCGCCTTGCGCCCGCTGCTGAGACTCTCAAGGGCTTCCTGCAGGTCTGCTGCCTTCACTCTTGCCTCAAATGACATATCATGAATGCCATATCTTGGGCTTTGAGTTTTGGAAACTCGGTCCAGAACGGCGAGGAGGGCACCTTCGACATGGGCTTCATAGATGCAGACAAGACCGGATATGATGTCTACTACGAACTGCTGCTGAAGCTGCTTCGTCCCGGGGGCGTGATTCTCATTGACAACACCCTTTGGGATGGCAACGTCATCAAGCCTGAAGTTCAAACAGCCGACACTCTGGTAAGTACTTTTGCTGTTCGGAAAAATCCGGATCCTTTCCTGAGATCTGGCGAATTCAGCAAATGCATGCTCGTAAGGACACCGCTCTATCTTGGCAACAGAAGAAGGTTTACAAAGGGTTGTGGTGCAGGCCATCAGAGCAATCAATGATAAAGTCCTCAAGGATGACAGGTATGTCATAAAAACCCTGCCTCCACATTCTGAAGTGGACTCTCATTGCATATATGTTGGCTATGTACATTGCCGCGGCGGCTGTGACTGAGCTTAGCTTGCATGGGTTCCTTGATTTGAAACTGTTGAAGCATTGTACAGGACTTACGTCATGCACTTAAATGCCCGCAGGGTGACAATCTGCATGCTACCCATCTCAGATGGTGTCACCATTGCGCTCAAGAAGTGATAGTGGCCTCTGGCGGTGACTGGGCAATATCTTCCCTCAAATTCCGTAAAAGTACCCCTGAAGTATTTATTTCCTGAATTCCCAGCTGCTTAAGGCTGTCTACCCAGCAAAGACATTGCGCAGCTCGTGTGCATTGCTTAGCTTTACAAGATGGAGAGACTCAAGAGACGACAACATCTCAGTGGAAGGTCCATGATTGCACAGAGCTGAACTCGACATCCAGTGGAAGACTGATCAAGAGTTGGCAGAGTGTGATGTTACAGCAAGCAGGGCTCAAGCCCTGCTGTGCAGCCCTAAGCAGTGATCATTTGCACCCTTGAACCTCCTTAGAGCACGAGGATCAGCGCCACCGCTGCAGCTTATCAAACAAGTGTGTGTCTTGCAGCCAATTGATGCACTGGGGCAGATGTCATGCCTCCGCCAGTCCATTGAATCCAAAATACCCACAAAGTACACGATACACCATTTGCTCTCCAGCGAAACACGGCCGAGAAGTATTCTGATACTATTAGACACACCACCAAACTCAAACCGGCACATGGATACTTCAAACCGCGCACACTTGCACGCCCAACCCTGTCTGGGAAATCCTCCACACACTGACAGGCGCTCTGTCCGCCCCGGCCTTTGAACACTACCAGAGGAGGGACCTGCGCCGGTGGGAGGCAGGCTTGGCAACAGCGCCCTTCTTGACAGCGTTGAGAGCAGTCTTCTTCGCGTTGTTCAGGGCGACCTGCTTGGCTCTCCTGGAGGGCTGGCGCTTGCGAGTGATGGGCATGCGCAGCGTGCGCTTGATGGCCTGCTCAAACTTGGTGTAGCTGCTCTCAACGTTGGAGATGACCCCCACCATGAACTTGTCCGCGTGCTGCGCCATCTCTAGGCCCAGCTCCCCACTCACCTGACCCACCAGAGAGCACACGTCACATGCCAGCCCTCCCTAAATTCAACCTGCTGCTCTAGACTCACCATTTAATTTCTTATTCAGAGCACCGGAAACTCTTGAACGAACATCGTCCAGGGCAGAACTCCATTTCTGCTTCGGCGGCAATGAGACTGGGGTGTGCATGGGGGCTGACAGGGCAATTTGATGACTCTCACTCGAGGCATCAGCGTGTCTGTGCAGCAGCCTGATGCACAGACCCTGAGGGAAGCTTAGTGTTCAGGAAAGGGAGTTACAGATGCCCTTGCTAAAGAGCGCCCTACGATTGTGAAGTAGCTGCATTTCATGCATGCTGGGTGCTGTGGCAATTGCTATGTCGAATGGCAGTTTTGCTAGCTCCTGCAAAGCATTCCGGAAAGACGCAGTTTGCAACAAACAGGCTCGGCAGCGCACCAGGCGGTCGACGAGCTGCTCGACGCCGGAGGCGAACTCCTTGAGTCCCTGCTCCATGTCGCGCGGCAGGATGCGCACCGGCTGCCCGCTGGTGCCGGTCATGTTGCGCCGCAGCCGCTCGAGCGCCTGCAGCCGCTGCTCCGTCATGCGCTTGCTCAGCTGCTTCATGCCCTGCTTCGCCCGGATCTGCTTCTCCTGCGCACAGCCCCCCCCACAGCGGCAGGTCAATGCATCTGCACAACTCTCATATGCTGGCTGAAATCTGGGTATGAGACCTGGAGTTGCTGGTCCCTGTAAATCTTGCTTTCATGGAACCTTCTCTCAGCAGACTACAAAAAGGCTGACCCAGCTCTCTCAATCCACTCAGCGGCATCCGATTGGCAGGGAAGGCACCTGGAATTGCTCATCTAAATCCTTGAGGAATGTGCTTGTACATGCCCAGTCAGCATTATAATTCTTGAGGGGAGCAATGTTTTTGTGCTCCGCAGTGCTGGTGGTTGCCCTGCACGAAGGCACCGGAAAGAGCAGAGGGGAGGGATATTGCTGTTGAAGGGCTCACCCTGACTAAGGAGACTCCCAGCTCCTTCCGCGAGTAGCCACGCGACAGGTTGCGCAGCACATACTCGTTGTAATTTTTGATGATGCGCAGGATAATGTCAGACGTGCTCACGCCCTCCGTCCTCTTTGTCTCCTTGAACTTCCCCAACTTCTTCACCTGCAATCACAATTCCTTTACTTAATAGCCGCCTGTCTGCAAAATGTTGCTGTGCAGCTCAGCATAGAAATTTCTCAACACCTGTGACTGCCATCGTAGTGTGAGAGGTTATGGCCCAGGGGCACACCAGCTCGTACACATCATTGCCCTGGCCAGTGGCGTCGCTGTAAGGCAGGGCATCATGGGCGACATAGTCAATATTGTGCTTCTCCAGAAACTCCGGCGTTATGACCCACGGCGCATCGCGAACCACCTCGTCGACCCACCTGCAAACACGTGGATCAGCTTAGTTGCTCCCAGCCAACAGCGGGTAACAACAGGAACAAGGCAGGGCAGAGGCGGAGGGAAGGGGCGCACTTGCAGTGCCTCAAAGACTCGTATCTCTCCTCCTCTGTCAGCACTGTCTTCCCCTTCAGCCTGTGAGTGAGCTCGTCGTTGCAGCAGCCCACAACCAAGGTGGTGTTTGGACACCTGCAAGGAAGGGAAGGGTGCTGTCAGGATGTGCAGGCTCAAAGGAGCACTGGCAAAGAAGCACGTGTCCATTGCAGCCTTTGTCGAGAAATTGGCGCGTTGCTGAGGGTACTCACAGCTTTTTGGCCTGCTCCAATGCCTTTGCGTGCCCAAAATGGAAGAGGTCAAAGATGCCTGCAGGACAAACCCCTTCAGTGAAGAATTTCAAGCACACATCTTTGTGCAGTCTGGTTTGCACCACGTTTGCTTCTTGATAAATTACCGCATCTATGTGCTTCCTGGCCATGCTATGTGTGGCCCCAAGTACTGTCAATCACCCCAAAGGACAACAAAAGCATCAGGCGCGCCCTGTTTCTATCTTACCATCAGCGTATATTCGGACAGGTCGAGATGTGCTTGGCTCTCCATTATCATTTGACGGGCCTGCATCATCTTCTTCAGGTCTTGAACAGCTCTGAGCACCAGCCTTCAGGTCTGCATCGGTGCTTTGGGCGGCTGTTTTCTTTGATGTTGTTCTCGCCATCCTGTACCTATTCAAAGTGGCAATGCCTTTTCTAGAGAGTTCCCAACAGAGGATACAAGGTGTGCAAGAGGCCAGCCCTTCCGCCGAGACTTCTCCCAGCTTATGTTGACTTCTCGGCAAGTTCCAGGTTTTGGAGAGGCAACAAGCCTTAAGGCCCTAGGGTTTTGATGCATGCAATGTTGTTTAAGATATTCACAACGATCGCTGATTGTTTTATACTATATTCCAGAGTAACAGAAAGTACCGTACTTTGTGCTCGTTTTGGTCCCGAGAAATGTTTGTGCAGAACTATCGGTTAGTTGCTGAAGGCACCCTCATCACTTGCAGTCAACGCCCTAGCCCGTCTGCTTTTCGCATCCACAGAATCAATCATCTTACCACTTGCAAGTCAATACAAGGTGAACAGCAACAGCTTGAGACAAGTAATCGTCTCGAGCGACGAAGAGCCTTCACAACAATGGAGATAGCCACGATAGTCTGGCTGCAAGGTTGGATCGTTCCTCTCTATTGATCTCTGTGCTGACCAATTACACGCAATGTCAATATATACAAACCCTCCTTAAATGCATCAATTCTTCTTGCTCCTGTGAGTAAGAAGGTGGCACGGCATGTCCCAGATCAATTGCAGATCTGGGTGGCCATACATGCGTGAGGCGATGCACATGCTGTTCTTATCTTATCCTGATGCGATAGGTGCTTGGCAGAGCTGCGATGCGGCCGAGATCGCTGAAAAGTATGTGCCAGGCCCGGTAGAGGTTGGGCCAGAAATCTGGGTGGGCACCATAGCGGCATGCGTGCCCTTCGTCATTGGATCTTGGGAGTTTGGAAAGCGGATTGTAAGTGCTCATCAGATCTCACCTAATTGCTGCTACGCTCAGCAGAAACACAAGGCGCATGCTTGACATGGTCTGATGAAATTTCTTTTTGCTTGTCCAGATCATCCAGCGGAGATGCAGTAGGTGTCAAGGGAGCGGACTGGTGATGAGGGGCCAATTTGCCCGCAAGTGTCCGGACTGCGGAGGTTTTTTCCCTTGGCAGGTGACGCAGCTGAACTCAGAAGGGGAGTGGCCTTGACTCATCGATGTGTCAGTGCAGCACTTTGAAAAACCCCGCAGGATCAGGGATATTGCAGCAGACACTAGGGTGTGTGTGCACTCAATAGAATGGCAGCTCTTGACACTCTGTGTCTCTGTGTCTCAGGGGTGGTGGAAATTTTTCACATCAACAGCGGCACCTGGCAACGGGGGGCCATTGAGAGCACCTAAAGGACAATCCAGTGTATTTTACAAGTGCGCAATCTACAACATGACTCTCAGGAACATTGATTGCTACAATCTCTGCCACTGATCCGTGTGGAATGTTTTTGTTCCGTTTCGAGCATCGATATTTGCATGCGCTTGCAGGGTCCCCTCAAAGAGAGAAAATGGTGAGGCGAGCACAAACGGACTAGAGAACGGCTCGGAAAATTCTTCAGATCTGGATGATGCTTCTGTCAGAGTGACCCCAAAGAGTACTGAGGAGAGAGTGTAGGAGTTCTGAAAAATGCCCAATAGGCAGAGTGTGCGCATTGGCATCCACTTGTACTTTATCTAAGAACTGGTGGTTGGCCAGACACCGGTGCCCTTTAAGTTATTACTGCTGCGGAATTGCAACTCCGGAGTCCAATTAATCAGATATTAGGATCAATCGTACAGTCATACTTGTAGCCATAGTCAATCTACTGCCAGCTTGATTTCTCAAATTGCTGACTGCACTGCTGGAGCATCTGTGTGAGAAGAGGTTCACAAGCGCATGTCCTGCTACAGCACTGATGTAAGCTGAAAATTCTTGCATCTTATAATTGTAACAACTTTAATACGGATTGTCAAGCTTCTTCCCTGCAGCATGCTGCCTCAACGACCTCATGTCATGTGACAACTGTTAACCTCCCATGCTTTTACTTGGTAGGAGACATGCAGAGCCAGCCGCCCAGGTTCTGCTGACTCTTACGCCGCTCGGGCAGCGCTGAGCGGGACTGGTGCATTGTGAAGTCTGGCTCCCCTCTGGGCCCATGCCCTCCTCATCTCCCAGCGTCATGTTGAGCGCTGCAATCTGCTGCTCCAGCTCATCCAGTGTCATCAAGTAACCCTCCTGGCTGTCCTGCCTGTCTCCATACTGGAACTGATCTGCTCCAAGGCCGGCTGAGGCAGCGCCCCAGTCTGCCCTGATCTGCCCAGAGGACCCACTGCTGCGCCCTCCTGCCGGTGAGATCTGCCTCCCAGTCGATTGCTCCGCCTGATGCCGCGCTGAGTCACCCTGCCTGGTAGACTCGGCGAGGAGCGCCGCAGCCGTGGCCTGGGCGGCAGCGCGCATCTCCGAGGAGAACCCTGAGTAATCGGGCAGCGAGCTACCTGCCCCCTCAGCGCTGCCAACCTGCCCCACACTGGCCCCTGCTGTATACCCCCTGTCCTGCTGCCATGCAGCGTCATCAGGCTCTGCAGGCGACAATGGCATGCCGGTGTCTGCTGCCCAATCGCGCGCACGATGGCTGTCGGGTCCAGCCGAACCCGGCTGCTGGTGGCTGCCACTGCTGCTGGCGTAGCCTTCCCGCTCGTCCTCAAGATGCGCAGGAAAATGGCCGGTGCGCGCAGTGGCGGGCCGCAGCTCGTACACCATCTCGCTGACCGCCGGGGAGGCTTGCACCGCCGTGCGGTGGCTGTCCACGACGCCCGCGCTCAGCTCAGACTCCTGCTGCTGCGACCTGGAAATGTAGGTGGGCGTGGGTGCCACCTGCGGCGTAGGGTGCTGCATGCGAGCAGGCTCCGGGCTGCCCGGCCGCTGCCCGGAGTGGGCAGGCTGGGGCGTGGAGAACAGGCTCTTCCTGGCAGAGGGCCTGGAAGCCCTGCTGGCACCTGAGGCAATGCTGCTGTGCTGAGCCTCTGCTGCACTATGCATGTTGCTGCCTGCCTGCTCATCATGTTGTGCTCCAGGAGAGCCCGACTGCTCGCTCTTGCTCACAGGCGGTCCTCGTGGCTCCCCGGTAAATCCTTCTGGGGGCACGAGCTGCGTGCCTGCCGGTTGTCTCAGGCGCGGAGCAGCTGAGACAGGCTGACGAGCAGCTGCATTTGCAAGTGGAGCTGCGGCCCTACCGCCTGCTCCGTCTGCCACACCTGCAGGTCAATGGCAATGCAAATGGTTATGATTGCATGCTTTCTTATGTGCAACGAAGCAATGCAGACACCTACACATGTGAAAACAGCTTTCTTGACATCCATCCTGCCACTTGCCACATCTTACAGGGTGGCAAAGATCACCTGCCAGTCGGGGCTTCCTGAGCAGAGCCAGTTTGGCGGTAGGTGCCGTGGGCCGTCCCAGTGGCGGCTTTTTAGCATGGCCTGCCTGGAGCGCCTTCTGCTGGCTCAGCAGCCGCCACTCCAGCTTGGCCACGTACGCCGCCTTCTCTGCCAACGCATCCTCTTTCTGCCTAACCTGCTGAGCCTGCCCAATCACACCAGTCCCATCAAATTAAACCACTCATCCTCTTGAAAGCATAAAATCTCCATTGTGTTGTGCTGGCAAGTGCCCAAACATAGTCTTTATATGGGTATGACATACATGCGCATATGACATGTCCTCACCAGGATCTGCACCCGCTGAGCCAGGTTGCCCAGGCGTGCATCGCCGCCCTTGCCGAGCGCGCGGCGCTTCTCTGCTGCCAGCGCATGCGAAAGATCCTGCTTCTCCCGTGTCGCCTGGTCTAGGGACCCCTCCGCCTTCTTCACCTGCTTGTAGCAATCCTCTGCTCAGACTTCTTCAAGCTCCGTCATGTCTGTGCATTTGCCTTGTCGCAATGCTATCACATGAAGCGAGCAATAACACTCATGCACAGAAATGATGCGTGGCGGGAGTCGTGCCTGTGTCCTGAGCATGTCTCGCTCTCGGCGCAAGGCTGCAATCTGCTGCAGGGCTGGGACAATGCTGTCAGGTTCTGACAGATCCGAATCGGACATGCAGCCCTCAGCGTTGCCCTGTGGCATCGCTGAATGGATGATGCCATCCACCGCATCCAGCCGCAAGTCCAAGGCGCTGGCTGCTGCAGGGCCCTGACTCGTCCTTGTGGCCCTCAAGTAGAGCTCCTGCAATGTCTTCAGCCGGTCCTGCGCAGCCAATAATAGTCATGTCACCACGCACATATATTGCCTGTTACCCCTACCTCTTTTCCCCCCAATAAACATCAATGGTGTATGCAGCTATAAGAACAGTGGTGTTGGGGCCCAAGTTAGATGAATACCTTCATGCCAGTCACCTCCTTTGTGAGGTTCCGATTGGCGGCACGCAGCCCTGTCACCTCATACTTTAGCGACTCATTCTCTGTGGCCAAGTCACGAGCTGCTGAGGAGACCTCCTCAAGCAGGCGTTGCCTTTCCAATTGAGCGCGCAGGTCTGAATCGTGCACGTCTGCCGAGGAGGAGGCAGCAAGTCTTGGAGCCTGCGGCATACCATGGCAGGAGATCTTGAGTTTGAATAAGCATTTGATTTCTGAGTATTCACTCAGAATCGGAATATTTGGCTCCTGATCATCCTTAGCTACCTGATCGTTGCGCTCGAAAGAGGCAAGTTCATCCTGCAAATGCTGCACATGACCCCTGAGCGCCTCATTCTCTGCTGCCAGTGTCATGCTGCGCATCCTGAGGGATGCCATCTCCCAGGCGACCTCTTCGTCCTGTGAAGTGCAAAAAATTGAGGCACGTGCAAATTGGCAGGTTGTATTGGACACAGTGGAATTCTCTTGAGCATCTGGAAGCTCACCCTGGGTCTGGCATGCGTTGTGCTTGTGACCTCAGTCAAAGGTTGGGACATAATCAGATGCTTCATTGGCTATACAACTGAACAGAAAGACCGCTAAATGGAATACATGCCTCTTCTTATATGTTTCTGCTCATGCCCCTCTGGTGAGCCTGTACATTATCACCGAACATCTTAGTCTATACAAAATAAGTCCAGTCACATGGTTGGACTTGCTGGCAATGAGGACCATGCAGTATTTTGCTTCTCCGAGTTGTACCTTGCCAAGGCTGCGGGCCCCATACTGCTCTATAAGTTCCTACATCTTTCGGAAGCAGTACGGCTTGTATACTGCGAAAACTACGTTCTGCCTTCCCATCCTGCGGGCCATCTGCTACTGTAATTTTCTTAATATTTATGATCACCAGTAATACTTGCGTTTTAAGACGTTGACGTAGGGTTGCGAGGCTCGCTGACCTTAGTGTTATGTGAATAAAAGAGATGAATAGGCACTCCAATTACAGCAGAACTTGAAAACTTATTCTAAATTGTTCTACTACAGTTGAATTATCAAATATTTGACACAAGAATTCAGCCAAAAGCTGGGCCGTGATGTCACCCTGCCCTCCTCTGAGTTACAACCTGAACAAAGTGACGGGACTCGCCGATGCTACGGATTGTCGTGACCTATATTAAAGATGGCTCATCAGGTCACATCGGCACTAGTAGTCGCATTGCGTTTGCTGCAGCGTGCAAAATTTGTGTTCGTTGTCACTAATTAGTGCACGCTGACGCACGCGAGCTCACGTGACTTCTGCGGCTCTTTTCTTCTCTTTCTTTTGTGGTGGCCCACTTTGAAGGATTGGGGAGGAGGAAAATTAAAGGAAGAATAGTTGGAATTTGATACTCAAGTTGGCAGGTGATTAGTAGAATGGAAGCACGTTCCATGGACAGGACATTCCTGATAGCAGTTCTTCGAAGAAAATGTACCGGCTCAGGCACGGTCTTCGGCTTGAATCCGTGTTGTCTAGAAAGCGTGTCTCTTCAATGTTGAAGGCTGCACAGCCAGTTCAAGTGTGTACTTCACGGCTGGCAAGACGTCCTGGCTCGTTCTAGTACCTCGAGCACAAACACTATTAGAAGGCCGTCAGATCTTTTGAAGAAGCACACAGCATCTTAAAACCGTTAGCAGTCACTTAATAATCCGTATGGGCGGGGCGCTTTGATGTGGCAGCACACCTGAGGTCAAGACAGCACTGCTGTCCAGCGAGGATGGCTGGAAGTTACATATTCCAGAGGGAACTCGGTGGATCTCGGGGAGTTGGTTCCTCACTTCCCTCTGCCATATGGGGCCACAATCCTCTCGCCTTTGAGCGTGAGTGCAGCTCTGACCCAGCACTGGTGAGGCGCCTGGCGTGCATGGCAGAGCTGCCAACTCACGCAAGTTCCATGAGCAATGTGAGCTGGAGCGAGCATGGAGATTTCATGGCCAGCGGTGGCGAGGATTGCCGGATCCTTGTCTGGAGTGCTGAGCACCAGCGAGCCGTCCACACATTAGACGTGGTTAGTATGCTCCTTGATTCGTCCCTGCCTTACAACACCTGTACGTCACCTAGACTCCACTGCATTGAATACAGCAAGCATCATGAAGTCTTTGGCTTTCCGATGGTCATTCCTGACTGAGGAAATTCCTGCCAATCTTGCAGGGGCACATCGCACCTATCAACTGTGTCCGCTTCCTGCCAGCCAGCAACAACGAGCAGATCATCTCCTGCGGCAATGATAGACAGGTGATGGAATGGCCTTCTGTAATGCGAAAACAATTGACTCATGCTTTGTCAGAGAAAGAATAGTATTGAAGAAGCTGACTGTGTCCTGACCTTACGTTGGTAGGTGCGGCTGGTCAGCCTGAGGAAGAATGCTGTGAAGCCCTTCTGCCACCACAGGGGGAAAGTAAAGACAGCAATGATATTAGACCCAAGTGAGGACTTTCTCCTTTTAGCTCCTTGTGGAGGTCGTCACATGTCACCTTTGCCAAATTAGCACCTTCAGCTTCCAGTCCTGGCTCTGAAGTCTCCTGTTGGGCGCATGCAGATATATTCATGTCTGGAAGCGATGATGGGACTGTGCGGCAAGTGGACATCAGGGAGCCACTCACTGGCAGCCAACAGGACCACGGGAGCAGCGGACATGACAACATCAATGTGATAGGTACTCCCTTCCTTATGCATAGGGAGGAGCTTGCTGAGCTCGCCAAGGAGGGATATGACCACCTGCAAAGCCCTGGCGCAAGTAGGAGTCATATTCAGCTATCAATCTGCTGACAAGCTGCTGGATTGCTTGCAGCTGATCAGAGGCAGGAGCGAACAGGCTGCGCAAAGACAAAGGTTGGGGTGAACAGCATTGCAGTCATGCCGCTCAATCCTCACATCTTCGTCACTGGAGGCAGTGATGCGCTTGGTGTGCAGTCCCCTCCTGTCTTGATGACTAGCACTCTAGTCCGTAGCAATATAAGGAGCTTGACCATCAACAAGGAAAACACTGAAGTGACTCTGCTGGGGTGGCAGTGCGGTTGTATGACCGTCGCATGGCGAGCAGCAACCGGGGGAGCTCTCCCAGCAAAGTCCGCTGGGTTTCCTGCTTTGTGCCAACCCATTTGAAGGGAGCACTCATCACTCCACGCCCCTTTGTGTCCCCATCAAGGTGCAGCCACTTGATCTTTTCCTCCTTTGCTTCAGTTCATGCACCCTTGTCTGCCATGCCTTCCATGCAGAAGATCAACACATCTGACGATGGACTTGTTCCACGGCTTGGGATGGCGGTCTGGTTTGCACAGCAGATTTGTCGCTTTTCAAGCAGAGAAAGACATTCATACCGCCAACAAAGACGTGACTATTGAGCCGACAATCTGACTGCCACGCCGAGCCGTGGATATGCCGCTTATTTAATGCCAGGGGCAGTGACTCTAGCAAGGCTTAATGGGACACATGCAGGTCCATCGGTGTGAGCGGTGTGGCTTTCACCGGCGATGGCCAGAGCATCCTCGCCTCGTACACCTCAGAGCAGATCTACATGTTCTCAGCTACGGAGCATGCCCGCCCACCACGTGCCTTCAGCGCTTCTGTGGACTCTGCACCACACAGGTACGCATCCCGCAGATGCTGCTACTGCAATCTTTGCGTGCATGCATGCTTGCCTGCAGCTCTTGACCGTCCATTACTCATATTTGCCTCCCTGATGCCTGCAGGGCAGCTGGCCCTCAGAGGACGCGCGCACGCCACAACACAGAGGGCCGCGCGCGAAATGCAGAGGCAGCACAAGCCGGCAACAATGGTGCGCATACATTGTTCTACACCTGAGTGTCTTCACCTCATCCCCACATCTACACCAAAGCTGGAGGGCCAGGCTTGGGCCTGTAGCCTGCTCAATGACCGAATATGATTGTTATGGCTTGGTGATGGCTCAACATCCTGGTGCGGTGCTGCAGTTGCTGCCGGCACAGGTGCAGCAGGCGTGCCCAGGGGATCATTCCCAGCTGAAGGAAGGGGTGTTGCTCAGCAGCGGCCCACCAGAAGCAACGCCGCAGCCGCCGCCGCTGCGGCTGCCCCTTCTGCTGCGGCGGCAGAGCCTCGGCCCCTTGCCGACCTCTTGCAGCGCTTCAGGCCCGTATTCCAGCATCCGCGGACGGCGCAGTCTAGGCAGCCGCTTCGCCGCGGCGCATCTCCGGCACAGAGTGTTGGTGGTGCGGCACGACTCAATGAAGAAGCAGCACAGCAGCAGCAGCAGCAGCCTGCGGGCGAGGTGCTTGACGCCGCAAGCCCCTCTGACGGGCACGATGCTGGCCGGTCCATGCTGACTGCTGCTGTGGCAGTGGGCGCTAGATTGGCTGCTGCTGGGGGAGGCGCCGACGTCCCCGCTCCTGCTGAGAGGGCCGCACAGGTTTGTGCACCACTTCCAAGCTGATTGTCAGGCGGCAGTGTGCCGATGCTATCTGTGCGCAGCAGTATTTGATTGCAACAGGAGCCAATGAAGGCGGGCGCTGTGTCCTCCTTCTCTCGGTAGGCTGTCTGGGAGTGTGCAACAACATTGGCTTGCCGGTGTAGGCGCCAGAAGATCAATCTCCACAGGAGGCAACCAGAGAGCAGCAGAGCCCAGAGGACGGCCAGGGCCCGTCAAATCACAGGCCAGCCGGGTGGAGGGCTGGCAGCCGCCCGGCATCCTTCACTGGATCGGCGCTGCCGCCCATGGCGCACAGCATTGGCCAGCTTCCCAACGGCGCCGCTGCACGTGGCACGCCCTCGACAACTGCCGCATGCGCGCAAGCGCGCCTCTCCCCAGATCTGCAGGTAGACTGGAATATATGCGAAAGCTTCACATATATCTGTTTGGTCAGACCTGTTGTTTCAACAGACACAAAGTCAATTGACGAGCGGGCACGCAAAGATCCCACTTGCACTGTACAAAAGGTTGTAAAAGCGAGTGCAATCATTGTTATGTGTTGGCAAAGGAACACACAATGCTCACGTCACCTGGTCTGTTTGCCGTACAGGTGGCCACATCTCCAGCGAGGAGGGGCCCTCAGCTGCGCTCCCAGCTGGGAGCCAATATCGGTGGCGACAATGCAGCTCCAGGGGACGGCCACCCCGCACCTGCGCCGCACGATGACCATGCTCCACTGCGCGCGGCCAGGTCTGTGCAAGGCATGAAGGATGCTGCAGAAAACATGACCCTGCCGTGATTAGACTGACAAATGCATGCAGATCAAAGGGGCGAAGCATCATGGTGCGCCTGCAGGAGATCGAAGAGGAGATTGGCTGGTGGCGATGCTACCGACAGCCAAGCGCCGGCGAGTAAGGCGCGCAGGGGACCGGTACATGCCGGTGCAGTGGACAGCCTGCCTGCTGCAGAGGACGCTGCAGGCCCAAGTGGGAGGGCAGCTGCACCGCCATTGGATGCAGACAGCCCGGATGACACGGCGCAGGAGGTGCGCTCGGCAGAAGCGGCCAGGCCGGATGCGCCAACAGAGCCTGTAGAGGTGGCAGGGAATCCCCATTGTGCAGGTGAGCCCCCGGTCAATCTCTTTTTGCATGACATGGATCTTGGTGGCTGCTGTTTGTGAGAGCTTGGCTGTCGATGTTTTCGTGGGATTAGTGTATTGCCTTGGTCTTCATGGCATTGTCATGGTTGCCACCCATAGCCACCTTGTGGGTAATTGTCTCGCTTGATGTGTCCTGCCCCAGGCGGCCAACGCGCGCATGCTCTGCGCCCGGCGGGCAGCACCATGGCAGCAGAGGGGCATGTCTTCGCAGTGGCCAACAGCAGTGCAGAGCGGCCAACGGCCAGCACCGGGACATCCCGGCCCAGAGACATTCCTCGGCCCCGCAGAGAGGACGGTGCGCCAGGGCTTTCTCACCCTAATCTTGCGCTGAAACACTTATTTTTTCCGTGTTGTTCACAAGCACCTTCTGGAGGGAAGTGCATTGCTTGTCGCTTGCTGTGCCACAAGGAGGAGCGTGGTATTGGTTCCACAGCATGAGTAACAGAGTATAATGCGTGATTGCAGGGAGGGAGAGTGAGCTGCAGTCGCGCCTGCATGCCGAGCGGCACGGCCCGGCTGCGCCTGCCGCGGCGCAACCGGGGGCGGCTGCCGCCCCAGGGCCGCGCAGCGTGGATCCCCGGTCCCTGCCATTCCCGGTGCCGCTGCCGCGCCGCGGCCGCAGCCCGGCGGCTCCCGCAGCCAGCTCGGCCATGTTTGGGATCCCTGAGTGGCCCGCCCCACCGCCTGCCGCTGGTGCAAACGGGCACGCGCAGCGCAGCGCGCAGGTGGCCGCTGTGGCTTCCTCCGTCAGCGCTGCAGAGCGCGCCCGCGCAGGTCCCAGCCGGGCCGGCAGCAGCCAGCAGGAGGGCCGACATAATGATGCGGCGGCTGCCGGTGAGGCGTCCCAAGGAGGCGGACCCACGGGATATGGAGTTGCTTCTCCCGACAGGGATGGTGGCGGCAGGGTGCGCGCTCAAGCAAACTTGCCTTTGATTTGTATCAATCGCAGGATTCAGACGGTCAATTTGCTTGCTGTGCCGAGGGAAACACTCCGTTGGAATGCCTGTCTTAATGCCACGCCTGAACTGCCTTACCCGCAGGCGGACAGCCTGCCGAGCAGCGCCGCAGCCATCGTGGGCGAGGATCGCGAGCCAGACACTGTCGGCCGGCCCGCAGCGCGCTTGTCACGCAGGTGCCTTTCATGCATTCCCACCCAAGCATTGCTCTCCCTCCTGGGGTCTCCCTTTTCATCTCGTTTCTAATTCACTGGACCACAAGGTGCCAGCTTAATCTGCTCAACAGAAGAGCACTTGGTAAGAAAGGCACGGTTTTAAAGACAGGCCTGGCTCGGTTGTGGCTCCCAGGCATTTCAGTGGTGGGGAATCTCAAAATAGATGAGGTTCAAGTTGGAGGGGCTGTGCGTGCGCAGGAGGGGGGTTGACAGCGCGGTGGGCGCCATTGTGGAAACGGGTGATGGAGACGAGGGCGATGGGGAGGAAGTGGATGAATCGGGGATGTTTCAGCGTTCCTTCAGCGGCCACTACAACCGCGTTGGCTGCAAGGAGGCGCGTCCCCAGATGCTTCCGTCTGATGCACACCCCTGGTTGAAACCAAAACCATCTAAGCCATAATATGCAGCTCTCTCTTGACCCTGCGACAAGTGAAATTGTAAAGAGTGATAGGAAGCGTGCCTTTTCAGCTTACCCACTCACCTCCCTCAGCCTGTCCCACCAGCACTTGTGCCTTCCATCAGCACATAATGGATCCATTCTTGCCGAAATGCTTTGTCTGTTGACCTTGGACTGTTGCTTGCGCTGCTAATAGAGGCCATCCTGTTTTGGAGCTGACAGCACCTGAACGGCAATGACTCGAGCCAGCATGAGATGGATCTGCAATGACCGAGACATGTTCTCCTTCTTCTACGCCTGGAAAAACAGAGCTGATGCTGTAGTGTTTGTGGGAGCAGGTGGCGCTGATGGGCTCGCACAGCCAGTATGTGGTGTCAGGGTCGGACGACGGCCACATCTTTGTGTGGCAACGCGGCACCGGCCAGCTGGTGAATCTGCTGCGAAGCAGTGACACTGGTGTGTCATGCGTGGCGCCGCACCCGCATCTGCCCATGCTTGCCTCCTGCGGTCAGGACCCCGTCGTCCGCCTGTGGTCGCCAGAGGTTTGCCCTCCTCTTATTAACGAAAGCCCTGATGGAAGTCCTCCATGTCAATGATTGGCTGTACTGCTGGCCAAAGCCACCATCGACGGCCTGACCTTTGAGAAACAGTTGTGCAAATGAGCTGCCCGCGGAGACTTCTCCTCATCTTCTTCTCACCGTCTTATGCAATGAGAAGTAGGAACAGCACTGGATTGCATTCTGTCCATGCCATACGAGTGAGCGCTTCAAGAGCTGCGTGGAGGCAGAAGCACATGCATGCATCTGCTCATTGACACTATGGGAGACTTCTCCTCTTCTAGGAGATAGTCTCTTCTCACTGCGACAAGAACACTTCCAACGTTGCAACTACATGCTGTTAAAAATTCAGTCATCCAATGCTGTGCTCCTCCGGCAAGTGCAGACTTTGGACTTTCATGCGAACCGGTAGCGAGCTGTGACTGTTGTTGCGCAGGCGGCGGAGATGGCGAGCCTGGAGAATGCAGAGGCGGTGATGCGGCGGAACGCTGCCGAGCTGACGGAGCGCGCGGCCGCCGCGGCCGGGCCGCCGGCGCTGTGGCTCAACATGATCGCGCCCCCGGGGCTGGCCGCCGAGCTGGAGCAGCGGCCGCGGTCCCCCCGGGGCCACCAGGCCGACCGGGGGGACAATCCCGTGCGTTGCAGCCTCATGTAAGGGCAATGCAACTGGCCGCACTGCCTATGCTGTGCGATGCTGGCGCGGGAACGTGAAGACAAAGTCCCTGCAAACGGTTTCTGATGTTATATGTAAACTAACTGCAGCCTCGTGTGATGCGGTCTGGGAGCTGGAGATACCCTCAAAAACGAGATGGTATCGTGTAATCCACTGGACCCTAAGGCCAGCCTGAGCTTTTGTGGGGCATCCTGTCACGTGACATGCATCAGGTTTGTGAAGACAGGCGATGTCTGTCTTCACAAAGTAAAACAGCCTGGCTCGGTCGAAGGGGCACTCAGTCACTTTGGCGAATGAAGTTCAAGAGATGAGCAGAAGCCTGCGACAGTGTATGTCTTAATCGCCCCTAGTACGATCAGATGAACAAATTGTGCTCTGCAATGCTGGAGCGGGATTGTGCAAGAGGATGCATGTCACTGCAAATGCGCATGTAGTGGCTGCCTGTGGCTGGGAGCAGCAGAAATGCTGGCGGCTTTGTTGTGCGCTCTTGGGAGGAGCAAAACTTGTTACAGTAAGAAGCTTGCAATTGCCTGTACTTACCATGGCGGGCAGTTCCATGAGCAGGCGTCAATCATCACTCATTTCAGCATGTTAGATGCCTAGGGAACATTTTGGCAGGCACTGCCTACTCTCTGCGACTCTGATTTAATTTAAAGTGCAGACAAATGACAGGCAGGTCACATGACCCACATATGTTCGCCATCACTCAGGTGCTCATCTATGTACGCATTAATAATAACTCTGGATCTTCGCCACTGCAATCAATATGTTGATACAGAGAAGCATCATCTCCAAACCGCATCACCCTGGTTGCATTGTGCAGCAAATGAGTACAGCCTATCTAGCCAGTGGTCCTGAACAAAACTTGGGACCCTATCACAAGCCTATCACATGCCTAAGCCTCCCACACTCACAGATCTACCACTGCAGTGCGTTTAGAAAAAGAAGTTCAATGTCGCTGTGCTGCTGCCTACAGATTCTGCAGTGCAGAGATGGAGGACTCCCACATGTTGCTAGAGCGTGTACAAGCCATCAGCTTGCATGTGCGCTCTGCAAAGGGGGCCAATCCGCACAGCCAGTTTCAGCTCGATATCCCCTGCCTCTCAGCACTCCACATCGCTGACAAAGATGGCCTCGTCCAGGTTTGACAGCTGGCGGCAGGTGTGGCTGCCGCTGAGGCGCTCGCCGTTGTACATGAACTTGACGGTGGACAGATTCGCGCCCACTGTGTCGCAGAAGACCTCAAACAGGCGCGCCAGGGAGGTCTTTGGGTGCGTGCGCAGGGCCACCTGCCACAAGCAGCCACCATTTCCACCTCAGCAGACTCGCCTGAATTTGCCAAGCCTTCCAGGACAGCCACAATTTGCAGCTTGGCAGGGTCATTCGAATGCTGCGCGCATGGTAGGTCCCCGGCACTGGCGCGGCAAGTTCTTCGATTCCTGTCGCCCTAGTATCCGGGAAGGCCATTTCCTTATAGCTCTCCTTTAAATTAGCGCGTCAAGGACTGCAAAGATGGCGCCAGCTGGCTGACTGCAGGGCATACAACAATTGAAGTGTTGGGAAGGGGAGCACTGGGCGCACCTCAGTCTCGGTGGCTTCATAGATCATGTGCAGGGTGATGAATCTGCTCGTGTTGGCGCCCTTGCCGTCCACGGTCACGCACAGCACGTCCTCTGCCAGCTCAGCGCCTTCCTGTGCCTCTTCAGCCGCCAGCTCACCGCCGTCCTCCTCCATTGATGTCCCGGCGCCGTCCGCGCCGCGGCTGCACAATCGGTGCTCCTTGTTGACCAGGCCAGCGCTCGTGCGCGCCACCTGGCGCAGCATTGCCACCTCAGCTGCCGCTCATGCTGTGCAGGAACCGTTCTTAAGGCAGAAGTCTATGCCCAAGGATTTTGTACAGTCACAGAACATCCAAGGAGTGAAAGCCAGCTCTAATTTATTAGGGATGCTGGCTTACAGAATGCGAGTAATAAATCCGCAGCACGGAGTGCATGCAAATTGACACAGCCACAGGGATAGTCTGAGGCTTCTGGCATGAAACGTCTCATGCCGCTCCAAATGAGACACTGGTATTGCATGACATGTGGGGCACACACAGCACACCTTGCCAGAGCGGGTGACAGGTGAGGGGGCGCGTGGCAGTTCTCCTGACACACGCTTCCTGCTCCTGCAGCAAATCACACCAGCTTGTCAGCATGCCCCATGCTTTCCCTCAGTTGGGCAGGCCTCTCATTATTTTGACTGGACGAATTACTGACACTCTGACATGCTTTTCCTGCCAGAGGCAAGGTGCGTCTGCAAAAGAGCTGCAGGTAAGGCTACGAGTACCCAATGCAACCCCTGCCAGATCCAAGCAAGCCCCAATCAGTCGTAGGCACGGTGATCAGTACTCATACGGCCCCCTCCAGCCGGGGCCTACGGCATGAATACGGTAAGCAGCGTAATATACAACAATGGTGCATGTGACCAGCACCTGCGCTGCAGGTCTGTGGAGGGGATGGTGCGCATCTCCATGGACTCTACGCTGGGCCTGCCGCGGCCTTGGATCCGGTTGGGCGGCGTGTGGTTTGGCGGCGTCAGCACCGCAGAGAACTTGCGCACCAGGTCATTCATGCCATCCTCGTGCCTGCCACAGGCAGTAATACTCTACAATGTAAATCTACATGAATCTTCACTGTCCCAGGGCTCCCACATGCACCATTGCTCAGGCCTGTGATTCCTTACTCCGGCATGAACTACCTACCGTATTGTGCAAGATGTCAAGAGATTATCAGGTGTCGTGCTGACAGGGAGATGTTGGGCAGGGGAGAAGGGAAGGGACATGCAACGTGCAGCAGGCAGCGCACCGTTCTGGCAGGTGATGGCCGGCAGCCTCGAGCTGCTTTGACAGGTTCAGGTCGGCGTCCGGCCGCGCGCGCAGGTGGAACTCCAAGTTCTGGTGCCCAGTGCCCTTCTGCAGCTCGCCCACCTGGCCCCCAGAATGTGCATGCCTGTCAAACAGCGCTGTCCTGGTTGCAACTGCCATGTATGGGGCTCAGCACAACCTCGCCCTGTCTGCATACATGTCTGGAAAGGAGCGGTGGTGTGAGCTTTAGCACATCAAAACGGCAGCAAGGTTGGAAGCCAAAAGGAATGACAGAGGCATGTGGCATGGGGCTCACCAGTCGGTAGGTGCTGGCCTTCAGCAGCCCACAGCTGGCCACCTGGGCAGTCCTCCCCAGGAAGACCGCCACTTCATCCTCCCTCAGTTTCACATCAATCCATGTCCCCGTCCTGTCCTTGACCTGGCGCGTACATATCACATACTCAGATCATGTTATCGGGCACAAGGAGCGCAGTGTGAAATTTCGTGGGATGGGGGAGAATAGTCATGCGATGCAAAGCTGGGAAACATGGAGTAAGCACAGCACACCTGCAGTTTGGAATTGGGGGTCCCCCGGTCAGGGTCCTGGGCCGGCCGTGACCTGACAACTGTGACCACCCCTGGGGCAATAGTGCACTCCTGTGGCCATGCCAGTGGGGGGCTGTCACTGGCCCCGGGCTCCAAGGCGGCTCGCACATACTTCACGGCCTGCGCCAGCACTCCGCTAATTCAAGCCGACGTGTGCTCACTGGCGGTGAAAATTTGACGAGCATTTAAAAATGGGCAGACCTGCAGAGTGGAGCATGACTGCGCGTTCTGCCTCAAGGGGATGTCCTCCAGGAGCTGCAGGAAGGTGCTGGTGTGGACGCGCAGGTGGCAGGAGCGGCAAATTCCTTGCAGCACGGACCGCGCCACTCGCTCGAGCGTCATGAAACACTGCAACCACAATTGCTGCGTAAAGCTCTGTGCGTTGTCACCTTTTGAACTTGAATGAGCCTGTGCCTCAAGGTGCTGTAATCGAAATCAGCATGGATCTCTCATGCAAACCCACAGCAGGCTTGGTACTTGCAGACTGGCAACGTACCGGTGCAAGAGAGGCATGTGGCTGGGAGGTGTAGGGTGCCCCCAACCTGTGCTCGACCACTAGCTTTCCTGGATGCGCTGTGACTGCACCAGGGCTGGACGAGGTGCATCTGGCAGAGGAATCCCTGAAGAGGTAGGGTTCCTGCTGAGGCAAGGCTGCAGCTCCAGGTGAAGCCTCTGCAGAGGTCAGCTCAGCCAGCTTTTGCAATCCTTCGTTGACAATGTCTGACATGCATCCCTCTGGAAGTTTGACAATGGCCACATTGTGCTTGACAAATGACAATGTCAGGGTCTCAACGCTTGACTCCCACGCAGGCCATAAGTCGATGTTCGCGAACGCAATTGACTCAAGCATAAGGAATCTATGGTATGGAATTGAGACACTAAAGAGCGTAAAGAAGTTGTGATTAACATTCTGCGCACGTGAAGGCCAAATGTGTATGGCTGACAAGCTCTTTTGAGCAATGCGAAGACACCGACACCATGCTCTGAATCTCTCAAAATACACTGAGAAACTGTCAAACAGATGCTGAGCCCATCGCAACGCACACAAAGACAGCTACGTTGATATTTTCTCGTTGTTACTCTGACGCAACTTGCGATGAGCGCATCAAGAGCTCAAGACAAGAACGGCTTGTGCCTGTATTCCTGCAATTCAATTGGAGCTACCTAATGCCTAAGTCCACATCGGTCCTATGGGAAGGCAGCAAACGTGACGAGCTGTGAAATGCAGCTGCTGCGTTTCACTTGAATCTGGCATTTGTAAGGCGGCGTTCCTTATGGAGCAACACTCCTTCAAGCCATTCTGACCCTGATCATGGACAAGATACTCCATCTAATCGACCTGGTGAACTTGATCAAAGATGAGCGTGGACAGGGATGAGCGGGAGCGGGACAGGAGTCCCGAGAAGCAGAGCGACTTCAAGGTCTTTGTGGGAGGAATTTCATGGCACACCACCGATCAGGAGCTTGCAGACAGTGAGCTTCTCGACGATCTTGCTTTTGTAAGATTTGTTATCTCATCACGGCATCAAAAGCAATCAGAAGTGGTGGCTGACATTTTTGTCTTGGTGCAGCTTTCAGCAAGTATGCCCAGGCTCCTGTGGATGCACGGGTCATGCTGGACAGGATCACCAACCGTTCTCGCGGTTTTGGGTTCGTTACATTTGATACCAAGGAGGACATGGAGGAGTGCATCGCCAAGCTGCACGCAACAGAACTGGACGGACGAAAGATCTCTGTGACTAGGGCCATCCCTCAGTCAGATATCGCCCCGGGCGCGCCTGCATCGGCCATCCACGGTGGTTCCCGAGGTGGTCGTGACAGGTACGACAGCGCGCATGCCTCATCATCGCATCAGCACAAATTCTTTAAGAAAACGCCTGGATAGTCAAGTTCTGTCAAGACTAACAAGGCATGCAACGCCATGCTTCCAGTCATGCACTGTTCCAAATGATCCCATGGTAAAGCCAATGGCTGTTTTGTGAGCCTATCCCGCTCGTGATGGTGTTGCAAGGGACTCCAACTGCTGTGGTGCCTGAGCAGGTACAGGGGGGACTATGGGAGCCGCTACGATCGGCCGGACAGGGGATACAGGAGCGGATATGACCGGCCGCCGCCTAGAGGCTATGACCGTGGTTACGGCGGCGGCTATGACCGCGCGCCATACCCCGATCGCGGCTATGGCGACCGGGGGTATGACCGAGGCTACGCAGGGGAGTATGATCGCGGCTATGACAGGGGCTACGCTCCTTCAGGCTATGGGCGAGTCCTCATCACCTGCTATACAGCATCAGAAGCTGGCATAGATATTCATGGATCATGTCGAAGGGTATCATGCGTGAAGATCTCCTTCTGGCAGCTCACAGGTGTCTTATTCTGAATGTAGGGGTGGTGGATATGACAGAGGCCATCCCGACCCATATGCCTACCCGCCAAAAGACCCCTATGCCAGGTACGTAATAAGCTGCTCTCCTGGGATAAGGTCTTGGCTTTTCCATTGCTCACGGTGATTGCTTTGTGATGCCAAGTGGAGCATTTGCTTGAAGTGCCTTCTGCCGCTCCGTGCAGGGATGCATATGGCTATGAAGAGGCTCCGCAGTCTTATGGCTACAGCGATCGTGGAGGCTATGCTGCCCCTTACACCCGCGGGGGCCCCATCACTGACAGGTGAGCATCTTCTTGGTTATATGATGTCCTGGGCAGGCGGAACGCTCTTGGCACCGCACCTGACTCCGAACTGGACTGAGCAATCTTGGATGGATGTGTGGCAAGCGCTTGATCAACTAACATTTTTATCAACGTATGTTGCTTGATATAGCTCCTTGTGTGCTGTGCACACATCATTTGTCAAATCTGAGCCCTCCCTGTGCAGGTACAATGGAGGAGACAGGTACTCAGGTAGCGCAGGGGCTGCTGCTCCGGCGGAAAGGTCCCCTGATCGCTATGCGCGTGCACCGGGAGGTCCAGACAGGTTTGTCCTCTGCAGGCCACAAGCCACCACACATCACCTGAGTAGTGTGGTCCTTTCTATTTGTGGATGTGTGCAACTTTGACAATGTGCCGCTGTGCTGCTGGAGCGTCAGGCGTGCTCAACAAGCACAGGACACTGGGAATATAGAAGCTGCTGGTGCTCAGCATATACCCCACAGAAACCTTATCGCATTGGAGAAGATCCTTAGATGCATGTTGAGTAAGGACTGGTTTGTCTGCTATGCAGGGACTACGGTGCAGCGCGCTACGGTGGCGGCGCCCGGCCCGGGCCGTATGAACGCAGCGGCGAGGCTCCCGGCCGCGCTCCCCCGCGCGAGGCGCCGCGCTCGCGCTGACACCTGCCGGCACCTGCCTGCACCTGCCAGGCTCCCAGAGCGCTGCTGGCCTCAGCAGGTGGCTGTGATGTGAATACCACCAGGCCAGACAACGTCAGAATGAGAGGCAGCCAGAAGCTCCTGCCAGAGGCATCCCAGCTGGAGGTCGTGTGTGGTTGTGAGCAGACAGAGATAAAGTGTGCCAGGACAGCATGGGCTTGTCAGGACAGCTGGGCAGTGATGTGAGTCTTGTGCTAGCATGTCTTGCCGTCAGGGCTGAGAGCAAAGCGGAGATGCCATGTCCAAGCTGTGGAGACCAGTCGCAGCTGCAGCTCTGCAGATATTGGCACGTGTATGGGAATTGTTGATAGCTGTTTTCGTCATGATGGACCACCAGTTGAGCAGATGCCAGTGAGACCGCTGTCAGACTACCTTGTGCATAACAGTCATGTAAGCATTGGTCCCTGAGCAGCTTGTCATGCCCAGCACAGCCCATCAGCTGCCATACAGCTGATACTTGCCAACTGGAGCAGTTGTGACACACTTGCAGCCAGGAAGCTGTACTGGCGGTGCAGCTCAGGCAGTCATCCAGGGCAACTCCCAGCATTGATGCACAGTTGGCAGGGAAGCTGTCAGGTCACCAGTGCCTCTCAGAAGGATGGCTCCAAGTCAAGAGATGTTAGCCTCCCAGCGATGCTGCTGCAGCTTCAAGCTAGTAAATTACCAGGTGACTCCCTCCCCTCCCTTCACCCATGCTGCATACATGTATGATTTCGTGGGCACCGGTCGCTGATGATCAGTAAGTACCACAATATGATTTGCTCAGCCGCGCAACTGCGGAATCCAGGATGGCAAACTTGGGGATTTATGCCCTGATGACTCATCATCGGATGTGTTTGTCTCAAGACGTGCGGATCCGACTCAGTCTCTATGTTAGGTGTGTGTTCATTTACAGATTCGATAGTGTCCCCTGCATGATGTGCACTGTACACTGTAAATCTTTTTGTCTCGAACGAAGAGTGTGAGGTTCTGAGCTTGTACCTTCAAGTCCAAGACTCTCATCATGCATGCTGGAAAGTGACGTCACGCCTTATCCTTCTTTGACTTTGAGCCGCTTCGAGCTGGCCATAATGCACATTGCAACGAAATAGTATGTTGACAAGATATTCCCCTACACTGCTGTCTGAAGTGATATGTAGGCAACAGTCGAGCGTGAGTCTGGTTGCTTGTTCTATTGATGTCAGAAGCAATGTGCATGAAAATAAGTCCACAGCAACTCATAAGACAGACAAAGCATCAAGAAAGCAAATCGTTTTGCAATCTTCTCGGCTATCAGGGAGCGCTTCGAGTGATCGCTCGCCCCAACAGGCCACACCGCGCAGAGGTAGAACAGGGGGTGATCTTTGGGCTGCGGTCGCAGAGACCGCCCTGCAGGAAGCATTACGATCTAGTCGAGGCCTGATAGCTTCTACCGAGCAGGCTTTGGCCCGCGTCAACCGCCTCCTTGCACCCTTGCCCGACGACTTCCCAGCAGGTGAAATACAATCCTTTTGCAGGGAAGAGTGTGTTCCTGATAGAATCCCACAGCTGATTGCTATGCATATGATGCAGAAGGTTCTGGCGCTAAAGAGCATCTCGAGACGGTTGCTTGGCATGCATGGAACAGGTCCAGGTGGAGATGTTGTGCTTGAGTTCCTGCGGAGCCCACTCAGTTTCCTGGACAGGATTGTTCGACAACATGGGGGATCTGTAGGTCTCAGACTTGGCGGAGAGCATGTGGTCCTGCTCACTGACCCCGCTCTTTCCAGGCAAGTCCTGATCGACCAGGCCGACACCTTCTGCAAGGTGACTCAACCATGATTCTGTATTGACTGCTAGCCGTGTGTTGCAGAATGAATTGAATCTTGTGATGCCACTGGCATGTGGCACGCCACATGAGGCCTCAGCCTGATGGGTGATGGGGCTTTCAGGAAGGCACAGCATTCTTCCCTGGCAGCAGCTTGGCAGGCAATGGGCTTCTTGTGAGCGATGGGCCACTCTGGCGCAGGCAGCGTCAGCTGTCCAACCCTGCCTTCAGGCGAACTGCCATCGAGTCTTATGCACAGGTGTGTAAGCATCACTGCCCTTCTGGCCTTACCACACGGCTTGTAGTATTGGAAAGGGAGTGATTGTCTTGCATTCTGCAGTATCTCTAGAGAAAGTGGACAAATGGCAATTGCATGCGCAGGCTATGGGAAGTGCCACGCGGCAGATGCTGGCCACAAGTTGGTCTGGGAGTGGGCGAAGAGATGTATACAGTGACTTCAATGCGCTAACCCTCCAGATCACCACGGAAGCGCTCTTTGGCAAGAACCTGTCCGCTGAGCAGGGTGCCAAAGTCACAGGTGTGCTCCTCATCTCGCAATTCGCGTAGATGATGTCAACAGGTTGTGTGGCATGTTATTCGCCAGCTCTTTCAAGATCCAAGTCATGATACTATATGTTGAGAAACTTATGCGCAGGCGCAATACAGACAGCATTTGAATTCTTCGCGGGTCGGGCATCGACAGGCTTCATCATACCAGAGTGGTTCCCGACTCCAGACAACTTTCTGTACCATGAAGCTATGGCAAGCTTAGACTCTGCAGTATACGGCATCATTGACAGCAGACAGGGAGAGCTAGCTGGTTCAGCTCAGTCACCCCAGGTGCATTCATCAGCCCAGTGAATTTCTAGAAAGAATACAGAAAACCAGATTACATTTAGAGGACACAAGATGTTGGCAACAGCTGCAGTTTGGGTATATTCGACATCTGCAGGCAGGTTGAGGGGGGGTGCTATGATGACTTTCTCACTAGCTTGAGGCCTTTCACGGCCGGTGACGGCTAACATAACCAAAAACTTTGATACTGAGCACCCTCTCGCCCGCCTTGGAAAAATGCTTCAAAATGCCAGGAACCTCGCTTCACTGCGCTGTGACGTCAATTTTGTGTGGCCATGCAGTGCCTGCTGGACAACCTGCTGATGTCAGAGGATGAGTTCGGCAGAGGCATGTCAAGGGAGGCCCTGAGGGACGAACTGATGACGCTGCTTGTGGCTGGCCAAGAGACCTCTGCCATCCTGCTGGCCTGGACTTGCGCATACCTAGCACACCACCCTGAGGTCCAAGCTAGAGCTGCTGAGGAAGTTGGGCAGGTGCAGTTGCCTGTCCCAACGCTCTTTCCCCACCTAATCCCATCTGCATCATTGACTGACAGACTAACATGAGTCAGCAAAATAGGTGTGGGTTCGGAGCTTACCACAGCTGCAAGCTGCTGACAGGAAGACATACCTTGGGAGCAGGTATTAGAGGGAGCGGAGCCCTCGCCAGCTAATGTGCAGGAGATGCGCTACCTGCAAGCAGTCGTTCTTGAGACTCTGCGGCTGCGGCCGCCCGCATATATTGTCGGCCGCTGCGCTGCCATAGATGTCACTCTTGGAAGCCACCAGCTGCCAAAAGGTATAACTATTGCTGTCCCCTCCAGCTAACCAATGAAATAGATGAGAAGTGCTTCACTGATCCTGATGCCCTCCTACCCTTTTCTGTTGATTTCAACTCCACCAGGCAGCCCTTTATCCCTTATCCCTTGGCGCTCGCACTGCCTTGCATGTCTTTCACATCTTTATTTCAGGAGGTTGCCAAGGCTACAAGCACACCTGTGACTTCAACTACCATGTAGCAGCGTGTTGAGCATGCCAGTTTGTGCAGGAACAACTCTTTTGGTGAGCCCATGGGTGATGCATCGGGACCCCCAGCATTGGCCACAGCCGGAGACATTTCAGCCAGAGCGATGGCTGGACCTCTTGGCAGCCAAGCCAGCCATGGCAGAGCTCAGTAACATGGGCTCAAACGGGGTCTACCTGCCCTTTGGTGCAGGGCCCAGAAATTGCATCGGGACAGGTGAGCCTTCCTCTGCTTTCATGTGGTTTGTGGGCATGCCTCCAATGTCTGTTCCAGCCGTGCATCTGTTCAATGTGTTGGCTGCTCTGCCAACATTGATTACTGACAGCTCTGTCTTTGTTGCATACCAGGATTTGCAATGATGGAGGCTCTGGTCGTCCTGGCCAGCATGTTGAGGAAGGTCAGGTTTTTGACCGTGCCTGGCGAGAGATTTCCAGCCGCCGATCCAAGGATAACGCTTAGGCCGGCATCATGCACTTTGCTCTTAGAAATGCATCCCAGAATCCAATACCAGGCTGCACCCCAGGTGGAACTCATGGGGAGCAGAACGGAGATTACCATGACAAATGATTGTTGACTTTCAACCCAAAGCTGGGTCAAACTACTGATGCACTCTTGACGACATTTGCTGCACCGAGGCATTCCGTGTACAACAGTTTGGATGCATACTATAAAGGAATGAGCTTGTACAATATTGTAAGCAACGTGCATTTCTCCGAGAGTTTCAAAATGGTCGTTCGTTACAGAAAATTACAGACCAAAACCAGAAATACATGCCTAAATGCGCTAATTAATGTCAAGACATTCACGCCTCTGATGATGTCATCCCCCAGCCCAAGCAACACATGGACACGGTCCAGCACAAATGCCTTTCTACTGAGGAATCCTCATTTACTTCTCCATGCATGAATCATACAGATAAACTGTCTTTCAGTCTCAAGATCCAAATGACTGCATGGTGCATCACATCAAGGATGACTTATGACAGGTGCAGACTTGCCAAAATCGTCAAATGCTATTATCATAGCTACAGTATCTACATGCTACAAATACCAGCGCTCAATGCTGCACCCTGATCAAGTGTGCAGGTCTTGATCGCTCTCACCACGCTCCACGGCAATACCAGAGCACGCTGCTCGTGTCATATCAAGCTGTCACCCCGACAAAGGCATTTGACTGCCCATCCTGGATTCACACATTGAGTCAGCACAAAGAACGTCTTGATGCCAGCAATACACCCTGCACATATTGCAGCACAATCTAAGATTTACATGTGCATATTCGCCTATTTGTGTTTTTCTGTGCCCTATGGGCCGGCAAATTCACCGCTGCAGGGGAGCAATGTAGAAATGATCTCACCTGACCCATTGTAGCCCTCTGAGACAGCCGGCGTGCTACGCGCGCGCTCTTGCCGCTGAACTGAATCTCTCCAGTGTAGTGCCCGCCCAGTGCCGCTAGGGCACCAGACGTAAACTCCACCACTTCAGGATCGAGCATTATGTCTCCCGGCTTCTCTTCCAGAGGGTCCGTTGAGATCACCAGTCTGCAAACCCCAGAAATTACATCTCACCAAAGTCTCTGATGCCTTTGCAGAGCTTCCCAAACATGTTTGTCAGTGCAACACACTGCAAATGACGCTGATCTAAGTGGAAGCAACTGAGGCCTGCTCCCGTGAGGCCTTGCGGCGAAGCCGTACTAAGTCAATGCTAGCAGGTGTCATAAAAACGGCCCTAATGGCTGTGCAAACAGAAGAAGAATAAATTTCCAAGGACAGTCTGCATGTGGATCGTACTTGCAGGCAGAGATCTTTCTGCTGATGCGGCGGCGAACCCTGCCAGGCTGCTCAGGGCTGCCCGGCTGGGCAGCCTGTGGGGCCTCGGCTGGCAGCGCTACGCTGGGGTTGCTGGGCCCCTGCCACTCCTGGAGCGCCCCATCAGCAAAGGGGGACCTGATGATGGGCTTCAGCACCCTGTACAGGCCCGATGTGCTCACAGCCGATCTCTCCACTCCCCTGCTCGGCGCCGATGCAGCCGACGCCTCTGCAGCCGCACCACAAATGCACATCAGCCACAGGAGCAGCGGAGCATTTCAGTTTCAAGAAGGTTGGCTTAAAACTTGTCTGCGAAGATGATCAGAATTTCACTGAGCATCTGCTGGCTGAGATGCAGGTAGCAATTCTACAGGGGAACTCAAAGGCAAGCATGCATGCTTATGTGTTGCCGCAGGTTGCCAAACAGGTAATGGATACCTGCAGCAGTTGCATCTGCAGAATGCATCCGATGGCTAGGGACCATCACACAGACCTGGCTGGTGCGCGGTGATGAGTGTGCCGTCCTCGGACTGCACGTAGCGCCGGCTCCTGCGGCGCGCCTCCTTGCCCAGGACCACCAGTCCGGCGGGGGGCGCACCCACGGCAGCGGCGGCCTTGAGGTCCGGCTGCGACTTGCTGAAGGCCAGCTGGCGCGCGCGAGGGGGGGCGCTGGTGTCCAGCTTCTGCAGGTCGCTGTGGAAGGAGGCTGCCCTGGAGATCCTGCTGGTCAGGGCCGCCATGAAGCTGATGGTGCGGCCCCTGTCTGGCAGCTCCCCAACATCAGCCTCCGCAGCCCTCACTGCCTGGCAGGTCGGCGTCTGATACACGTCGCAGTCTGCCTGGCACGCCTGCATGACAGAATGCATCACTCAAGCCATGTGCAAATGTGCCGGTTACCAGCAAGATGTGGCGGTGTATCAGCAGGATATTAGGTGCCAGGTCTTAATGGGAGGTCACAACAGCAAGTGGAGGTACCTGGTGGGAGGGACTGCCAGATCCACGCCCGTCAAGCAGTGCTTCCGCCTTCCTGACGGATGGATCCGATGGAGTCTGCTGGACATCCTCGCTCGCCTGCACAGAACACAATACTGCATCAGCTAGGGTATAGCAGTGGTATGGACGAGTTCCCAATGAAAAATCTTGGTCTGCGAAGGTTGGTGATAATTATGGGGACGTGATCGTCAAGAATCCCCCATCGAAAGAAGTAAATGCTCTAACGACTGCGTACCTCTGTTTCTCTGTCAACGTTGAGGTGCTTCAGGGACTTCAATTTCTCCAGTATACCCGGCATCACTGCACGATCTTTCCCCCAGATGGTTAAAATCGGTTAAAACGAATACTGATCCGGGTTGCCTCTGAGGCGTCCCGCAAAAACAAATGACTAGGAGCCGAACAGGGCGCCCCAGCGTATGAGCAAGGGTCACAATAAACTGAATGGGCCCTTGCCAAAGGGTGTGCAGTATTTTCTTGACTCGAAGTTTTTTGCCCTCATACCAGCACCAGAAACACGACAATTGAGCACGATCAGGCCAAGGACCAAAATCAAATGCCTTGTCAGATGTACCCTCTGTTTTGCTTCGTTACGCCAAGCGCGCACATTCAACGGACAACCTACTGCTCAATTGAACACCAGCTGAAGGCAGAAGCACGGATCGTCGCAGCTGTCGAATGATTAGGCAGGAAACTGGACATCCGACCAAGTGTTAAGTCATGCTCGTAATCCTTTCGTCATTCAAGATATAATCAACCCCAGGAGCCACAAGGGTCGTGATGAATCTAGACGCCGCCTCAGTTCCTGCATCACCTACTGAGGTGCAGAAGCGGGGGCTGCTCAGCAGAAGAAGGCAGCCATGGTGCTCAAGACAGCGACGTGCCGCTTCAGCGGCCTCAGGATCTATCCTGGGAGGGGCATCTTGTATGTTCGCGTTGATGGCCAGCAGTACCTTTTCCTGAACCAGAAGTGCAAGTCCCTGTTCGCCCAGCGCAAGCGTCCTGCCAAGATCGCATGGACTGTGACGTACAGGAAGCAGCACAAGAAGGTGTGGCGCGGGGCACAAACAGTATAACGTGCAGGGCAGAGTTAGGGAGCTTGTAGATGTTCATCCTGCCCTTCAATTCTATAGCAATTGGAGATGGATGTACCCGGGTGTTCATTAGCAATCAGCAGATAATGCTATGACTATTTGCCACTTTGTCTGGAGCGTTCAGACTAGATCATCAGCACTGGATGGGACTTCTCTGCTTTGTCTGAACTTGCCTACTTATGGTACTGAATGCACAAATTGCTTTGTGTCCAGGACCAAGAAACACAGATCGCTCGCAAGAAGAGGAGAACCACGGCTCGCACACAGACCCGCTCAATCGCTGGAGCCTCTATGGAGGTAAGGCAGTGTTGCGCTTCTCATGATTCTGACATGGTCATTTTGATCAGCAAACATCAATGAGAATTGCATCATTGCCATTGAGCATTCTACTGGTCTGCTCCCCTGCTCTGTTCTGTAAGAGTCGTAATAATGTGTCTCTTGTTTTGTAGGTGATCGCCAAGAAGCGGGCTGAGAAGCCCGAGGTCCGCAAGGCATCTCGTGAGGCTGCACTGCGTGAGGTGAGCTGCAGCGCTGAGAAACCTCGAGCTGACGGAGCTAATGGCCTTGCCTTTTTGAGCATATATGGATGACTATGGTTGTTTGGTTCCAATGGGGATTAGAGTACAAAGTCCTTTGTGTTTTGTTTTCAGGTGAAGGAGAGGCTGAAGAAGCAGAAGCAAGACAAGGCGGCCCTCAAGGCAGCTGACGTGAAGAAGGGAGGCAAGCCTACCAAGAACCTCCAAGGCACTCGGGCTCCTGCCAAGGGCGCCAGGCGCTGAGCCCAGTCTGAGGATTTGAATAAGCACACATTGTAGGACGGGGCAATGTTCTTTCAAGTATCTGATGGTCAGAACCTGACTTGTCACCCAGTTCTGATATAGCTCAGTCCTCCATGTTGAGGCTGTTTGGATGATCAGGAATGGAGTGTCTCGTGTGAAGCGGGCAGAGGCTTGAATAGCATTCAGGACCAAAGAGGCAATAAGTTCACCTGTAAACTACAACATCAATTGTTGGCTAAGGTCAGCACACTGGCAGTCCAACGGTACATGCAGACACAGACTTGTCATATAGACGATGTCATATCATCAACTTTAGCAACTATGCACGCCTATATATTGTTAATTGTCATTATTCACCAGCACCACTACAGGTCTATGACTACAGGTACATAGCTAGGTTTGCATTACAACACTGATCACAACTCGTCAACTTGGAATGTCAACAGCATGCAATCTCCACATATGCATGTGCAGGACCGCGCAGGTGTTCATACAGGCAGGTATTTCAGCATAGGTGCATGGAATGGTGTCATCTTGACTCATCTGCTCTCACAGTGCAAACGTAATGCTTCAGAGCTCATAGCCTGGGAAGGTGGACCTTGCCGGTACCATCACATCCGCCCAGAAGCAGATTGCCCCTCCAAGACCCTGTCATGGCCAGAGAGTTTGCTTCAACAGATTATCTGGCCATAGCCAGCACGGTTTGCATCGCGCCACCCATTCATTGAGACGATCATTGGTAACGCAGTAAATAGCTGAGGTTGAAAGGCTGAACAGACCTCGTAGAGGGACAGAGGCCTTTCTGGGACATTCAGCAGCTCCCGCCAGTGGTCCGCCATGGAAGCTCCAAACTGGACAGCGCGGTTGAAGTAGCGCTCATCACCCGCGGAGCGGTATGCGCTCAGAAGGCTGTATGCATTGCCAGAAATGCCATGGCACAGCCCCACACCCTGCAGGACAATCACTTTAAGCCTGTCATTGAACAAGAGACCTGCACCAGTCTACCTCCCAGGTGTTTTAGCTCAGAGTTTGCAGGATCTGCTTAGAATATTGAGAGATGAAGACCAATCAGATTGAACTGTTTGCTGACCTTCACAAGCAAGCCGCGTGTCCAAGTCACATCTGCAGCCCTCTGGGTTGCGGTGGCCAGCAGCTCTTGTGGGTGCTGCGCGTAAACCTTTGCCACCAGCGGGAGGAAGCCAGGCGCTCCGTGACACCATTGCACAAGCCTGCTCTCAAGAGAGTGAAGGTCTCTTGTCATAAAAGGAAGCGCAGCAGAGCAGCTCTTCCAGAAAGTCAGAGGAATTTTGAAGCACACCTGTCGTCTTCATAGCCCCAGGTGCTTGGAAGGTTGCCGTTGTTGCCCTGGAGGCTGGCAGCCAGGGCCACTGTGCTTTGCTCTATGAGTTTTGGCACGTCCAGGCCAGGGTACAGTTCAGCTGGGTCGTACATCTTGCAGGCCAGCAACAAAGTGTGCAGAATCCTGCTCACTCCATGTGCGGCTGCAGTAACGTAATCACTGATTATCATCCTCTGCTCACAGAAGCACTGGGGCCATATTGATTATGGAAGTGTTAAGCACACAAAATGTAGCGATTTGGAGAGCACCGCCAAGGTAGTATTTGCTGTGCCAGGCCCACATCAGTGGTGTATTCTTGACCCTTCTCGCTCCCCGCCGCCCTTCGTCCAGAATCTGCTGCACCACAGCCTTCACCTGGAACGCACACATCAGGTTTTCTTGACACCCTTTTCAGCTGTAAGCTGAGTGCATGTTTTGAGTGCATTGCTTTAGTGAAAGTACACCTTATCAGACAACAGTAGAGTTCAAGAAGTTCCACTTACTAGGTCAGTGCGGATGGCCGAGGAACCCAGATATTTCTGAGTGAAGAGGAGGGCATATAAATAGCCGCTGCGCCCATACAGCAATTCACACTCGCCAGGTGGCATCTGCAGCACAGCAGGGCCCAGCTCCTGCAGGCTCTGGAGCCCACGGCACACAAGAAGCACTCAATCGTAAGGATACTTGCTATGACAGCATACGAGCTTTTCAAAGCAATTGACCTCAGTAGACTGCATGGCATGCATGCAATAGGGCTTGCTTAGCACCTCAGCCTCTGCTTGGGCGCTTCTCAGATCTCCCTGAGCATGCCAGATGGCAGCCTTCACAGCATGGATCCCCGGTTGGCCCTCAAGGAATGTAAGCCTCTGCGCACATTTGCTCGTTCATACCCGGCATGAGATGACCATTGGGCTGGAGAAAAGCGCCCTAAGAACAAAAGTATAATGCTTCTGGAGCTCCTGCACATTCATCAAACACACCGGCGAGGTGCCTGCTGCATTGATCACTGCTGCAGCTCTCTGCAGGTAAACTTCAGCATGATCTTCGCCTGCCAAGCTGCTGCTCTTGACATGCCCAGGCGAGTCTGCGTGCTTCAGTCTCTTGCAGCACTCATACAGGCGGAAGTATGTGAGTGCAATGCCTGCCAAGCCAACATATACAGTTGATCCGCTGACACCCCTGCCCTTCTGGAGCCCCTGCTCAAGTACCTGTCACCCCATCAAAACCTGCTTGGCTCATACTGTCCAATGCGATAAAACACGGTGCCCATGCTGTACAACAAGCCTAGAAGTTTCACATGTGGTCCAGAGCAGCATCGGAATCGACGGTCATGGGTGAGAAGTAATCTGTGTCTAGATCAGTGACATACCACGAGAGTGTCCTGCAATGCAGAAATAAGCTTGGAGTAGGCAATCTTCAGGTCTGGGAGGGCGTCGTCGGACAAGTGATTGGCGAAGTGTTTGTGGGCCATTTCTCGGATCCAGACACATCCGATCACGGAAAATATACACGTGAAGAAGATCCGATGGTTCCAAGATCGCTATCTAAACATCTATTTGAGAAACTTGATGCACACTGGATCTAAAATTTTATTCTTGATTGCGATCTATGGCACGTAATTTTCTTGGCCAAGGTTGCATGCGATACACCGGGCCCCCCGATTTCAACGGGGGATTCGGATGGGTATGAACAATAACGCACCTTAGGAGCTTCCTTGCTCATCATTCTGACCATTTTGCACATGCATTGACATAGGAATAAATATTTGTGATATCAGAGCCTGTTGTTTGTTTTGTGACAGCGATAAAACCCAGCTCCTCAACGCGTTTGTTAGGTAGTAGGAAGCAAGTTAGAAGCCATGGCAGATGTCTTGAGTATGTCGCTCGATGACATCATCAACAAGAACAAGTCAAAAACGGGAGGTAATGTAAGAGCCAAGGACAGCGATGGTAGCAAGCGAGGCCGTGATGAGCGCAAGAATGGCAGGAAAACGGCAAAGGCGGGCACAAGGGGAGAGGGCAGGACACTTCCCATTGACAGCCTCCGAGTTGTGGTGAAGATCTCTGGCGTCAGCAAGGCTGGTGGATCACGGATCGGTCGGGGACAGGTGCTTTCCTGCTGAATTTCGTGCCTCTGATTCAACGCTTTGCAAATGCGTTGCCAGGCACAATGTTGTTCACGCAAGCGGGATTGCCGCCTTAATCTGTGATTTGCATTTGCTTGTGCTACTTTCCCAGAGTTGCCTCAGGTTTGACTGTCGTGTTGCATGTTCACTGCTGCCAAACCATAATCAGTCAAATCCGTCTGCTGTTTTCTGCTTACTTGATTGATTCGTTTTTTGATCTGCCAGGGCCCGAGGAAAGCGATGCCAACACGGGAACCTAAGGCTCCTGTAGACCCTGAAGTCTTGGATGGCAACAAGAAGTGGAGGCACGATCTATATGATGACCTTGAGCAGGGGCCGCCAAGGCGGAACCTGCAGCATCGCATGCGTGGCCCAGCTGATGGCTTCAGATTGTGAGTGCAAACACAGACCCAAATGTTGCGAACAGGCAGCTTCTCCCTGGTTGTGCGTCACACCAGTAGTGGGCAGTTGTGGATCAGTCTTGGAAGGACGAGCACAAGCAGTCAACCTGGAGAGAAAGATTAGCTGAGGATTGTTTGTTGTTTGCAGAATGGTGACGAACCTGGCAGACGGAGTCACAGATGATGACATCAAAGAGCTCTTCGAGAGCTGTGGGAAGGTGAAGTATGCAGGCATCCACTGGGACAGAAGGTGAGTCGTCATTTTTGCCGCTCAATTCCTGAAGTACATTTCTGCAATGTCCTTTGCTATGTCTCATGGGCTGGTATAAAAGGATGTCATTCACATGAGGGATTTCCTGTGCATTGCAGTGGACGCTCCACTGGCGAAGCAGAGGTGGTGTATGAGAACAAGGCGGATGCGCTCAAGGCCAAGAGCCAGTTTGACAACGTGGCACTGGACGGCCAGGCGATGAGCATTGAGTTGTTCCAGAGCCAGGGTGGCGAGCGGGTGCTGGCCAGCGGCATCAGGTGGGCCTAATACTGTTATTGCTTGGGTCATACTTGGAGTCTTGCGAGTTCAACAAGGGACAGGATTGTGGCAGCCTTCAACTGCAGCTTGTCTGCAGGACGTACCTTGCCTTGTGGCAGGAAAAACATGCAGTATCAACAAAGCCTTTTGTGATGTCATTTGAGGTGCAGCTACTAGGGACAGGCTGAATATCCCCATTTTGAAACACAGCTAGCTGTGTGGGCATAAATCATACCACTGCAGAGCTTACCTGTGCAGTCGAGCCCTTTTCCCTTGGAGTTGACGCTGCAGAGTCTTGATTGTGCTGTGCATGAAGAGTTCAGATGAAATTTGGTGTCATACGTATCGTGCTGTTTTTGCAGCAGTTCCGTTGTAATGGTACCGCATTTTTATGTGACGGTGCCAGGGACGGTGCAGGGTGGGTGCTGGTGGAGCAGAGGACGGCGCGGGCATGCGCAGCAACGTGGCCTTCACACGCTCCTTCCAGAGAGCTGCCTCCGGGGCCATGGGGGCCCCTCGCGGCCGGCGCGTAGGCCGCGGCGGCGGCGGTGGCTTCCGCAGCGGCGGTGCGTTTTCATGAACTAGGATACATCTCCACGCTCAGATAAACTGATCATCACTTGTCAAAATGGTTACTGCTATCATATGTATTTGCTGATCTGCGAATGTTCTAGACATTGCATTTGAGACTGGCAGGCTTGCGCTGTTGAGTAATCATTGATTAACAACGGTCAATTGTGCACTGTTACAGGCGCCGGTCGCGGTGAGCGCCGTGGTGGACGCGTAGTGTCTCAGGCTGACCTGGACAAGGACCTGGATGCCTACATGGAGGAGTGAAGACGAGGCCTGTAATTTTCTACAAGAAAGAAAAGGGCCTGTCCAATTTTGACTGACATGCGATGTTCCCCGTGACTTGTTGGAGTGTGCTGTACAGAGAGCATCTCTAGTTGCTGCTTCTTCATATGAGGCTATGCCTTGGGTACATATTATCGCGCTTACTAATACAATGTGAGCATCAAACTGTGGACATCTGGCGCTGTGCGCATGCTTGAAATGAACTCTTGACCTTGCTTGCTAGAATGCTCGGATTTGCTCTTCTTGCTGACCTGCTGACCTGAAGACAGTGGTGATGTAACGATCTGGCTTCCAGTCTGCTCATGCTTTGACTACTGCACACAATGGAAAGAGTTGGCCCTTGATCTGCGTCCACCTGGCACCCAGCCGTCGATGACTCACAGTGTCAAGCGGTTCCTGTTTCTCCATTAAGAAACTTCTGGTGCCAGCAATAGAATATCCCCTTTATCGGTGAACAATAAGTATTGGACCATGGCAACTAAATTTGCGAAGCAGCAGAAAAGGAGGCGATGGGCCGTGACTGGGATCGTCTTTCCTTCGTCTTTTGTTGTAGAGGTATCCTTGATGCAAATCGGCGATCAAATCTTGTATAGTATCCTAATCTCAGGACGTATGATTTCCACTCACAGTTGGCCGAGTTTCAATTGTTAGCTTGCATTGAATTAAGTCTGGCATCTAAGTGTGGATCGGTCCAGTGCAGCTCTTGCTGCTTACTGTCTGAGAAACCTACATAAACTTACCCTTCCTTCATTTAGTGAGGAAATTATACATATAGTTCTAAGATTAGGGTCATTGGTGTAAAGACACCCCTTCAGGACTGCGTGCCAAGCCTGGGCAGGACCAAATTCTGCAGCTGGGCTCTAGCTATGTACATTCCTCCAGCCAAAGTGAATCAGATATCGACTTGGGGAGCCTGATGTTGGCTGTCTATGGCTAGGTGGAGAGGCTAGCTCATGATAAAGCCACAGGAGCAAGTATTCAAGGTATTGCGAAGCAGCTAGGCAGTCTCATCAGCTTCCACTCGACCTTCAAGGAGGTGGACGCTCTAAAGGTAGTGCACTTAACGTAGTGCACCTCGTGTCTGCGTGCATGCAAGATTTGATGTCCAATTCATCCGCTCACACCGGACTCATAGGCCCTGCGTTCTAGCCAGACTTGACATGACAAGTTTTGCGGCGGTCAGGGGATTTGCAGCAAGACGGTGGCGATTCCAGACAGCGAGGCAGGCCCATGCGAGGCAGACAGGAGGCTGCTTTCTCTGCTGGCAGAGCTGCTATTCCTGGAGAATTCTCGGCCGGTGCACCGTCAGCTGCTCTCCGGCTTGCAGCGCCTCCCGTCAAACCGCTTCGCTGCGATCCAAGACGCCATACTTGACAAGGTGCTGGCCAGGCCCAGCCTCAACCTTGCCCCTTGCATGGCATGCCTGCTTTACATCTTGCATTGTCAATAGGAGAAAAAGCCGTCGAGTGACTAGCCGTGGGTGACAAGCAGTCATTGTGCGACTGTGCAGGTGTTGGCTGTTGTCAGCGATTACAATGCCAGGAAGCTGACGAACGGTGCTACACCTGCGAGCACTCCTGCATCAGCGCAGAGCGAAGTGCAGTTGCCCCGCGCCATTCTGGCCGACACAATGTTCTCACTGCTGGAGTACAAGCCCATGAGCGCAAAGCTCAGGTTGTTGTCCTCAGTGGCAAATATGACATACCTCTCTGAACATGTCTCACATTTGTTATTTTCAATGCAGCGTGAGCTTTTCCTGTTGTTCTTGGGACAGACTGGGCCATTCAGCAATTTGTACTGTTCACAGGAGGGTGTGCACGGGGGCGCTAGCTGTCCTGGCAGCTGGCATCCTGGACGTGCTGGAAGCAGCAAGCACTGGACTGCGCATAATGCAGTCCTCAGCAGAGGAGGTGCAAGATGCTGTGTCCGGCATGTACGCCATCTTGCAGATGCACGGGGGGTACATCGCTGGGGAGGCAGGGCCCAAGGGGCGCGAAGCCGTTGCTGCAGCAGCCCAGGCCATGCTGCTGCTCTTGCAGGTGACCACAGCCTCCCATCCGTCCATATTATTCTGGCTCTACATGGCAGCTGCGCTACGTGCTGCACAGAGCAGAAAGGCTGAGTTTGCAGATCAATTATCGGATTATTACAAGTCCTCTACAATATCTTTTCCCTCTACATTATGCAGACTTGAATTTTTCATTGGGGTTTATCTGTTCCTCCATGTCATGAAAGAGGGAGACAAACAGCATTTTCCTATTGGCCCAGATGCTGGGTCATCAGCCAATTTACTTTATTGCACCGCTATTTAGGCTAGCATTCACACGTTTCATATCATGCAGACTCCCCATGTGGTGGCGCGGGAGGCGCTGTCATCAGCGGCCGTGCTGCTGGGCAGCGCATGCTTGCTCCCTGCAGTCCCGCCTGCCGCACTCGCCGCACGAATTGCAGCAGGCCTGTGGCAGCCTGAGGGCGCACTGACAGACAAGAGAATAAACTCTTCTGGAGCAGACAGCTGTCAACAGGATGGCAGCGTGCCGTCCAAGGAGACAGGGATAGCAGAGGCAGCTCTGAGGGCGCGGGGGACTCCACTTGCAGCTGAGCTCAGCCGGCTCGGCCCCCTCAGCAGAGTGTGCGCCCTCAAGGGCTGGCTTTCTATGCTCCCACGGTCAGCCCTCTGCGCGCCTCTGCCAGCGCTGGAGTTTTCTGAGGTGACCGCAATATGGACGCCTGCAGCAGAGGCAGGGTCTGAACGCACCGATACAGTGCAGTCAGGCAGTGCAGAAGGGCGGAGCACAACAGGGCCGAAGCAGGCTCGGGGATCTGCTGACAGCAGAGGCAGTGAGCGGGAAGGTAGAGATGCCTGTCAGTCTGGGGATGCCGACGAGCTTTGTAGAGAGGGGCAGTGGTGTTTCTTGGTGGATGGCGCACTACCATTCGCGTGCGTTGCCATAGCCACAGCGCCGGACGCTCACAGCAAGTTCCATGCTGTGGCACTGCTCACCACGTGCCTTCAGCGCGTAAAAGACTGCCTGGAGGTGGGCACCTTCACAAGTTTTTGGTTGTGCAATGGATTTTGGACTTTGCTTTTAAGCCCAATGAATCACCCGTTCATGCAAGCATGTGACTTGCATGCATGTTGCCAGCTGCTACAAGGGCACATGTGTGAGGTCTATGTGTTGTGTTTGCAGGATGCTGCACGGTCTCACCGAGCGGCCTCCAGAGCAACAGACAGCCAAACACAGTTATCGAACATTCAAAGTGCGCATGCAGTCATGTCGAATGGGAGTGAGCCCGAGCAGGAATCTGATAGTGATGAAAGCACATCCTCAGACCAGGGCCCCACAAGAGCAGCAGGCGCCCTTGCATCTGCCAGCAGGGCTCCTACCGATCCTGATGACTTGCTGGTGCCTCTGCTGAGCAGCCACGCTCGCTCACGGGTCATGAGCATCTTGTGGGCAAATTGGGAGGTGAGGCCCTCCCCTGCTTCTCTTAGAATGGAGCATTTCATTTCTGACAAGTGACTTCTTCCCAGGAGGGAATAGTGCGCCCCACAGTGAGCGCTAGACAGGATGCAAATGTCAACAGTGTGTCCAACAGTGATTCATTTCTGCTTGCAGGAGCCTCTCCAACAGACGGTGAGGCAGATACATTCAGCGTTTGATGCGCTGCTGGACATTGAGGAGGTGCAACAGGAGCAGGCTGCTGCGCTGGGCCTGTCCGCCCAGGCAGGGGCAGCCACCCAGGCCTTCCTCGAGGACACCGCCCGCGAAATCATGAACGCCGGTGAGTCACCAAGCATTGACAATTTTTTTGGATGTTGCTCCTACGGAAACCTTACAGCACTGTGAATGCATGAGCCTTTGCACCAGGCTACAGGTGTTACATGCATGACTGACAACTGCTCGATTATGCCTGCCAGAGTCGAGACAATTGTATCGTGGCTATCGCTCATATTGCATGCTGACTGACCATGTTCTTGCTGCACATAATCAATGCCTGAGCATGCATCGTTTATGCATCTGCCGGCTAGTTGGTGCTGAATACCCTATGCTGACGATGCTACACTTGGCAGGCGGACACCGCAAGGGCAAGTACATTCCCCTGAGGGCGCTGACATCGCGGCTGGGAGCGACGCGGCTGCTATTGCTGCAGCCGGCGCTCATCCGCAACACGGTCAACGCCATGGCTGGTGACGCTGTCTGCCCGGCAGCCGCCGGCCTCCTGGAAGCCGTTCTGGGCAGCCTGCGCCACGAGTGTCTCGCTAGATCAGGTGCCCCCTTTCTCCTGAGAAAGCCCTCTTGTGAGGACAAGTGGTGATTGCTACCATGAATTTATGGCAATAATCTCTGCCGTGGCGATTTTCTCCTTGCCAGTGTTGTATCAGCTGCTGATAAGGGCAAGTTCGGCTGTGCAAAGCTTGGTTAGGATCAAAGCTTGGTGGGCCACGGCTCTGTACAATTATAGTCCTCCAAGCAGCCCTTGCTCTTATAAAACCTTTAGAGGAAGCCTTGCAGATCGCCCTTCCGCACGTTGAGGGAGGCAGCAGCTTGTCTTGTGCTTTATCGACATTTTACTGTCAAGCTTGGTTTAAACAGGCAGCCAGGATGAAGCGATGGGACAGTGGAGGGACGCCTGGCTTCCTGCAGTGCTGGGAGCGCTGACGTCAGCGAACGAGCGGCTGCAGACGAACGTGTCGGTGTATGGCCTGCCGGTGCCGCTCTGCATGGACTCTGGCAGCCTTGTGGTGCTGCTGCAGCGCATCCTGGACCCTGCTTTCGCCACCCCTGCTCCTGGCGCCTCTCCGGACGGCCAGGTGATCAAATCCAATGGACAGTTGATCCACATTGTGCAACCCTCAATGCCTTCTGTGTCTCATCAGCTGGTAATACCTGCTATTGGCGCCAAGGATAGTCCCTTCCTTATAGGTCCGAGCGTGCCTGATGCCATCTGCTGCGCATCTTGTGACACCTCAGGGAACCTTCGAGCTGTCCTATCTGCTGTGGTATGCCACTGTGCTTGTTTGCGCTAGAATGCAGGCAGTGCATGGTAAGAGAGATGCATTGATGCAACGAGGAGGTGATCTGAGGCATGTGACATGTGCTGCGAGCAGGTGGCGGCGCTGGTAGCTGTGCTGAAGGTGGCGCGGCAGCTGCAGCTGGTGCGCGAGCTGGACGCGGTGCAGGTGCCCGGCCACGCGGCGCTGCCCATTCCGGAGGCCCTGCTGCAGCGCGCCATCGGCCACGCGCACGAGGGCCTCCTCGTCGACGCGATGACCCTCGCCTGCGTGCACCCCAAAACCACCGCCATGCCGGGTGCGTGGATATACAACCCCCGCTCCCACCTGCAAAGAATTTTGTTTTTGAAGAATTGATTGATTGGGGCCACAGACGTGGTGCTTTTTGGAAAGCACATGCTTGCTGTCTGGAGCAACTTACCGCGCCAGCTGCAGATGTTTGGCATGCTGCAAAGACACAATATACGGTGCATTCCTGTAAAAGTTCACTCACAATTTGGGCTGATGTGGGGCATGCTTTTGAAAGCGCTCAAGTGCAGAAGAGGGTCCACATCATCAGTATTCAACACAGGCAGAAATCAAGGCCATACAAGGCAGTGCGAGCGCCACAAAAAGGAGAACGTCCTAGCTTGTGGTTTACATATTTGCTGACTTGTTTGGATGTGCCTGAATTGGCGCAGGTCCGCTGGAGCTGCGGCTGGTGGCGAGGGGCCTGCTGCTGGGCATGCGCTGCGTGTCAACGTCGCTGCGAAACAAATGGACCACGCTCGTGGGCAAGCTGCTGCGGCGCGTGGCGACCAGCACGCACGGCGTCCTGCACCGCTGGGCCTCGCGCCCTGACGCCCCCGGCAACGCCGACCCGGCCGACCGCGCGCACGACCTCGCAGGTGCCGCCTGGTCACAGCACCTCAATGCCTTGCTGCGTTGACCATTTCTTTGCAGTGTGTGCTTGTTTTGACATTCTAGCATGCCCCTCATGTGTTGTATCCCAAAGATCAAAATTACTTATTGTTGGGATATGATACACGAGGTTGTTGCTAGAATATCAGGTTCCCTTGCCAGACTCAATTCTGACGGTCTTGTAGCGCCGCGGTCCGCGTGACAGCTTTTGGCTGACGTCAAGCTGTCATATGTACCGTGCCGCTGTAGATTGTCAGAAGTGCCTCCTGATAGCATCAATGTCCATTTGTGTGAAGCTCACAGACCAAACGCATGCTTGCAGTGTATATCTTTTAGCAGCCTTGACCCTCATTGCGAGAAAATTATGTTCTCTCAGATGTTACATCGTCGAGTAAGAAGTGCGGGCTAAGTACACAATCTGCCATGGTCAGATATATCCATCGTGCCAAATATACATAATATTGATTACGTAGGGGTGGAATTGGAGTCCATTGCAGAAGTTGATGCCATGACCGCATAAAATGGAGAAATCTGATACACATGTTGCTGGACGTACCTACATCCTAGATCTCTAGGGACTGGAAAAGTGCACAATAATCATGCTAAATATAGTGACGTGCTGAGGTCTGCGATGCACGCTGGCAGGGCTGAGGCAGCAGGCGGCGTTCACGCGGTGGGTGAGCCGCGCGCTGCAGGGCTCGCTGTACCCGGGGGCGCCCTTCGAGCGCAAGTTCCTGGCCATGCTGCTGCTCAACACGCTGTTGGCCGTGTGGAACACCCCAGACAAGGCCGTGCGCTGTTCCTCCCCGGGCATCGGGCAGCAGAACGACGGCTCTCTGGCCGACCTCCTGCGCACGGCCGATGCCCAGGGCGTCCACCTGCTCTGCCCAGGCTTCCTTGGGCCCAAGACCGTGCAGGCAGGCTCCTGCGCTCTGCTTTCCATGCCTGTTTTGGTAAATTTTCCGGCCGCATAACTTTGTTTTGTACTGTGGGACCATTGCTGCCAGGCATGACTTTGATTTGCGAGGATGCATGACAACACTTACTGGGCGGTGGAGCTTGCATGGGGTGAGCAATTTTGGTCATGGACGCTGGTCCTCCATCATTCTTGCCAAAAATAGCTTACCTTATGCATGGACAACTTGGCCCTTGTGCGCTGCCAGCACGGCGTAATCATTACAGTGTCCTTCCTGCATAGAGCATGCCGCGTTATGCCATGACTGCCTGTCATTATCTGCATTCTTGTCAGACTGGGCTTGCTCTACGCAAGGACAACTTGGCCCTCATGAGCGGTTCTGTTGAAACAATTGTGGTGCAGGTGCTGCTGGGGTCGGTGGTGGACAGCTGGGACAAGCTGCGCGAGACGGCCACCGAGGCGCTCATGGCGTTGCCGGCGCCGCTGCCGGGCCTCGAGGCGCCCGCGCAGGTGGCCGCGCTGCTGCAGTGGGCGCGCAAGCTCGTCGCCAGCCCGCGCGTGCGCGAGAGCGATGCCGGTGCGCCCCTCTCCCTCTCCATAGTTATTCAGATGCCACCCTGTATCGTGTACTAAGACCGGTTCTTTGAATGCTCTCTCCCTGAACATTTTATTCAAAATGCCACTGTGGAGCCGCGTACGTCACTGGCTTGCTCACTGAGGCATGACCGTGGTGAATGTGCAGGCGCGCGGCTGCAGAGCCTGGTATTCCGCAAGTACGTGCTGCAGCTGCGGTGGAGGGTGCAGGTCAGGCCGGACGGTTCGGCCGCGGTGGACAACCAGCGGCAGCTCTCGGAGGCTGACGCAGAGGAGGAGTCTTTCCAGGCCGCCCTGGCGCACCTGCAGAGCCTTGCCGACTGCTTGGAGGTGACTGCTGTGCCGAAACGATGGACACCCCTTCTCCAAGGGCGTGCACTTCCATGTCTTTTGCACGCACGACTGGCACTGGCCCTACCATGATTCCAACTCCTGAGGACTCAACAGCTGGCATTGTCAGAGAGACAGAGTAAGTAGTACTATAGGCATAGTCAAGTGCAGAAAGTGCCAATGACAGAAATACATGGCTCCCTGGGAGCTCTCCGAGGTGTTTCAGAGAAACAGATTCACACCAAAACACCCTTCTGAGGTGTTACCCACGATCCTTCCAAGGGCATGTTGCTACAAAAACATTACTGTCTTTAGGTTCATTATTAATTGCGTTTTCATCTCGTACACAATGCTGCTCGCAGGCGGATGTGGTGGAATCGGAGGAGGACTTTGCTGCGGCGTGCCGGCACAGCCTGGCGCACGGCAACCTGCTGTCGCTGCGCTACCTGGTACCAGACATCCCCTGGCAGGCAGCCAAGGCGCACCCTCCGCGGCTGCGCCAGATGCAGGCCTGGATCGCTCGCGTGCTCTCCCTGCTTCTGCGCGCGGCCGAGACCGCCCAGCACCCACTGTCCACACCCCAGGAGACCATGGCCAGTGCGCCCCTGCTGCTTCCCTGTTACTTTTCATGGAAATAGCAGGCTCTGCTTGACTGTATGCTGCGCAAATGCCCAGTGGGACCCTGCTCCCCGTAAACTCTTCAGGGTACTAGCAGGCTGTGCTTAAATGTGCTGGGCCAGTGGCCAGTGCGATCTTGTTCACCACCCATGCTCCTTGATTTCGGTAGCTCTGCTGCCTGGCAATGCACAGGCGAAGAAGCAATCAGCCTTCATGGTGAAAACACCGTTGCAGAAGGGGATTTGTTTGTAAATTTTACCAAGGTGAGTAGCGGGGTTTGCATGAAAGCTGAGCCGCAGTGCGGTGACTGCTTGGAGGATCTGCTCTGGTAGCCTCAAACTATAGATTGTAAAGGAGATACTGATGGAATGGTGAGGAGTCTGGTGGGGTGTGCAGTCAGCGCCATGGACGTGGACGGGTCGGACATGAACTTCGAGGACCTGGAGGATGACTCAGACGGCGAGGACAGCAACAATGATGCCCAGCTGGCACCTCGAGCACAGGTGGGCTGGTCAAAGAGAGCACTCTCTGAAAGCCCTTGCGGCAAGTCTTTCAACATGTTCAGTGTCTGTGCCTTGCCTTGGGCCTCAGATCAAATGCCTCTGCTGAGACATATAGTGTTGCCAACGGCAATGGGAACCCCTTTTTGCCCAAAGTCGAGAGCTGCAGTCCTTTTCATGTCTCAGCACATTGAAGACTCTGGCCTGCCCCATGATGTACAGCCATGACCAGCAACGCTCAGTCAGTGATGCTGCTCCTGGGCAGCTTGGTGCCGGCCATCAGGGTGCAGGGCGTACAAGTGACTACCTTTTTATCAAATACCCCCTGCAGGATAGGTCAAAAGGGGCACAATTGACTGGGAATGGTGATGCGCAGGTGATAGTGACGGGCTGCTGGCTGACGCTGAAGGAGGTGGCGTTGCTGCTGGGCTGCCTGGCGCGGGAGGCTCCTCTGTCACGTGACGAGGCGCCGGAGTCGTCGTTCTTTGAAGCGGTGCAGCTGGGCGGAATGGGCGAGCGCCTCATACACTGCATGGGCGTCATCAAGCACAATGGCGCCGTCGAGAAGGCACAGGCTGGCTTCATCGCGCTGTCAGAAAGGTCTGCCCTCTGCCAGTGATCAGTCCCTCTTATTGAGCAAAACGCTCCACATCGCTTGCATATGTCACTGACATTAAAGTTATATGCCGTGCTTCATCATAGTCAGCAGGACACTGGTGTCTCTGTTTGACTATCAGAGTTTTGTCAGCATGCAAGTGACTGCTGGGATGTCTTGCCGATGGAGTCACTTTGATCGAGAACCGCCAAGCAAGATGGTATCAGCAGCTGAGAAGCATGCTTTACATGCATTGCGCATAAGGCATAATATTGTACACTCCCAAGCACTTCATTACGGTGACAATAATTTGCCCATACAGGCTGCTGCGGGAGCCGGCCCCGGCGTTGAACAGGCTGCCGGGGCGGTGGCTGGTGGCGCTGCTGGAGCGCGTGGGAGCGCCCGGCCAGGGACGCGACGACATCGTGCGCCGCTCCGGAGGCCTGCCCTTTGCCTTTGTCGCCCTCTTCCTCGCAGAGCCCATCGGCTCCCACAAGGTGCACATCAGCCTCTGGCCCTTTGCATTCTTGCCCTTTACATACTGATGTCCTCCCTTGCCTCCTGGAATATCTCCCTCTCCTCAGCCTGATGTGATTCCCCCAACTGGCAGCAAGCCGGTCATGGGTCAGTCAAGGCACCGTGGCTGTCAAACAGAGGTCATGTTGCTTCCACGGAAGGGGGGTTATGGTGGACTCATGCGTGTGAGCATTTCACAGTACAAATCAAAGTCTGAACATGTGCTACTCTGCTACCGCAGACGCTGCTGCACACGGGCATGACAGAGCTGCTGCGCACTGCGAATGCCACTTCCTTGCCGGAGCCGTGGCCACGCGTGCACGCCTTCAACGTCCTGCGCCTGGCCTTCAACGACAAGAATCTGGCCACCGACTCCTCTGGCTTCTTCGCTGAAGGTGCTGCCTCACCTTCTTATCCCCATTTTGATCTGATGTTCTTGCACCTGTCCTAATCAACCTGGCTCGAGTGGCATCAGAACCACCAAATAAAGTGGCGTGTTGACTGCCAGCTTGCTGCTGATCTGGAGGAGTGCCAGCGTGTCATGTTGCTATGCACTGGTTTAGTAACCGGCGAGTCATGATGCAGGCGTCGCAGCGGCGATTGGCGGCATGAGTGCCAGTGAGTGGGAGATCCGCAACTCGGCCTCCCTTACATTCACATCCCTGGTCGTCCGCACTGTGGGCTTCAAAAACGTCCTCAAGGTGCTGCAGCCCCCACCCCAATCGTTGTCATGCACAACTTTCACTGTCTTTCATTGTCTGTCATTGGACACCCAACTGCCCACAACCAGAAAAATCGTCTTGCTATTGATGTGTCACAATGCTCGGTATTGAGAATCGAGTACCACTCGGATCTAAATTGCAGTTCAAGGGGCTGCAATTGCCATTTTGCTTGCCATTTTAAGTACAGGGTCTCTGTCATGCAGGGTGAGGCGCCAAAGAGGGCTATCACAGGGGCGGAGTTCTTCCATCGCTTCCCGCTGCTGCACTCCTACCTGCTGGACCAGCTCAAGGCTGCAGCCGCTGCCATGCAGTCTCCCGCTGCGAAGCTGCACCCCTCGCTCTACCCCATTCTTGTGCTGCTCGCCCGGCTGCGCCCATCCCTGCACAGCCGCAACGCCGCTCAGGCGCGCTGCCAAGCTCTTCTGGCTTTCACGCATGGGCACTCTTGAGGCTATGCAAAGCTTGCAAGCTATTGCGCATGCATGCTGTGCTAAGCAATGGAACTTATCCCTTGCAGCACTTTCAATTTGGAGTTCCTATTTCTGAAATTGAAAAGATAGCTTCTCTTGATTGATATTGTTATTGAAATTGATATCTGTTTAAGCAGTGCGCATATGCGCATGGTATACATCTGGTGCTGAGAGCTTCAGGGATTTTGCGCAGATGGATTTGCTGACGCCGGCAGCCTTCGCCCCAGTGGTGAAGGCGTTTGCATCGGCGCGGCCGCTGGCTGTTCGACACCTGGCGGCGCGCGCACTCGCTCCCCTAATTGCCCCTGAGGAACTCTGCACAACACTGATGGAGCTGCTGGATGGTGTCCCCTGTCAGGCACCCATTGCAAACCACAACGAGGTTTGTTGCCACTCTATTTTTCACCGAGGCAACGATTCATGCTTGACAAACAATCAAAGCTGAGCACTGTGCAGCCAGTGTACAATGAGCCACATTGGTGCTGTGTGCAATAGGGACGGCGAAGAAAGGGTGGATTTTCCATCTGCACTTGCTGTGCTCAAATTGTCTGCTGCTCTGGCATATAGGTGCATGGCCGCCTACTGCAGACGCGGCTGCTGCTGGAGAGGAACCCAGCCTCTGCAACAGCCACTGAGCGTGATGACCTCATCAACCAGACAGCAGCGGCCCTGGCAGCTCGGCGGCAGCTGATGCGCGCCGATGGCCGCATCCCGGCCGCTATAGCAACCGAGGTTCTGCGCACCGCGGCAGCTCTGGTCGACATTATCTTGAAGCCCTCTCCTCCGTACGCTACACCCATGAGCGCCACAGAGGGCGAGGAGGTGATTGAGGCTCGGGCAGAGCAGGAGCCAGTACCGGGCAGGCAGCAGCTGCCCGGCGAGCCCGCCGCGGGCAGCCCGGCCGTGGCGGCGTTCGCGGCCGCGGTACTGGAGTGCTGCAGGGCGGCGGTGGTGGGCGCGGGGCCCTCGGTGGTGGCCGGGGGGTCCCCGTTGGGGGGCGCTGGCACGGACGCGGCCGACCCGATGCGCTCGCTGTTCCTGAAGGAGGCTGCGCTGCTGTTCTTTGGTGGTTCTCTGCATGGCCTGCTCAGACAACAGCATGCAGCAGAGACGCCGTCTGATGGTGGGCTGCCTGATCTCTTAAACTCCTGCCCTTGCATGAGACCCGGCCTGCAGGGTTATGGCGCTGCAGAGGTTTGGTTTATAAACAGCTTCAAAAAGAGTGAGAGGGTGTGAATCCTGTCGTCCTTCTGTGCAGGCAGCGGAAGTTTCTCAGAGGCATGCAGCGGCTTGCGTGAGGAGGATGTGGCCTCAGCACTTGCACATCCCCTGTACGACGTCCGTGCCACCACGCTCAAAGCTCTGCTCCGCCGCTTCTCAGCAGGTATTTTGCCACCACAGACCACTTTTGGCAGGCCCTAGTTCTCTCACACCGTCCGAACAAACAGTGTGTGAGTGCACACCATGCATGCTTTCATTGTCTCAGAACTTGCAGCATGTCTAAGGTAGGGAATGAGAAGATTCGTTGATGGGCAGGTGGAGGCGTTCCTGGCTGGCTGGCAGAACTATTGAGGGGCCACATGACCCGGGAGACCCACCACAAGGCCACGCAGCGCGCTCTGCAGCTACTGACACTCCCCGTGGCGGATGCCTGTGAGCCCTCAGCGCGTCTTCAGCAGTTCAGCTCACAACAGCACCAAGAGGGTGCCAGCTCCTCATATGCTGCAGGTGCACCCAGTAGCGCGGACAGCAATGCGGGCGCTGGGGCGGAGCAGGCATGGGCTGAAGTGCACGCTCTGCAGCGACGGCTGACCGAGGCACAGCATCCACAGGTCTGCCACCTACCCTGCGCCTAAATTTTTGATGCATAGAAAGTAGGAAATCAGATGTGTGTCTCTACCGAAAGTGTACACCGTGTCAAACGGTGCAGGGCAAGCTAGCGTGCTGTCTGAGAATGGTGGCTTCTTTTACAGGTGCAGGAGAGGGCGCTGAGGGGCCTGGGAGCAGCCATGCGCGGCCCCATTGCTGCCCTCAGCCAATGCCAACCACCTGTCGCCCACATGGAGGCAGACTTGGCACGCCTCAGCATCGCGCAGGTGAGCAGACTTTCTGAGCATGCTCTCTTTAGACCTTCTTGACATGAATAACTAATCATACTTGCCGCAGCTGGGTCTATGGCTCTTGCAACGTCTCCTTTTGAAGCAGACTGTGCTACGGGGCACTTTAGGATGTGCATATGAGTGATTCCTTGACCAGTCAGCTTGACGCTGAGACTGACTTGCAGGTTGTCTTAGCAGAGAGGCTTAAAATTTTGTTGCTGTTGAAGCTGCAGCCATCTGCTGACACGCAGCCGTTGTGCGTGTGCAGGACGGCGAGTCTGGGTGTGCAGCGCTGCTGCCAGGGCCGTGCACAGCGCTTGCGGATTTCCTGGAAGCATTAAAGAGCTTCAGCGCTGCGTCGCTGCCTAGCGAGATGCGGCTGGCAGCTGTCACAGCGCTGCAGTCATCTGCCTGCCTCACAGCTCTGCCCAGGCCTGCGGAGCAGGAGCCATGCACATCCACCCCAGGTGTTGTTGGGGCATCTCTCGCTGGACCATTGATTGCTGCAATGCCAAAGCCAGACCCAACTGGTGTTTATGCACCTGCTTAGGAGATGGCCCCATGGCAGCCATTCTTGTGAAGGAAGATTGAAAAATCCCAGTCCTGCAAATTGTTGGTGATTTGTGGAAGCATATGCCTGAGGAGTTGAATTGTGAGCAGAGCTGTCAGACCTGGAATCTGCTGCCCTGGAGGCCTGGTACGTGGCACTGCACCTTATGGAGGACGAAGACGATGAGGTGGCCTCCCTTTCCCCTTTCTTCATCCCATCTAGCCCAGTGATATCGCGCAGAGAATACTTGTCACTGCTGTGTGTGCCTGTTTATCATAGCATCCGCTGTGCCTGAATGATTCTCAGCAAACTGCCAATTCTGACACGATACTGACCAGTACGCGAACCTTGAACACGGACCGAAGCAATAGGAAAAGCAAGTCCTAGAAGTGTCTGAGGCTGTGTGGCTGTGTGGCTGGGAAGGTGAGGGATGCGGCGGCGGCGGCGGCGGGCGATGCGATGGGGGCGGTGGCGGGCGTGCACTGCGCGGGGCTGCACGTGGAGCAGATAGAGCGACAGGCGTTCCAGTTCCTGGGGCGCTGCTGCGGTCACCTGCCCGCCTTCCAGCGCCAGCTCATGCACTGGGTCTACAGGTGCCCTGCATTCCTCTGTCAGACAACCTTCCCCATTTGTAACTCACTATGACCGGCTTTGTTCTTCTGTATGTATTGTATTGAACTCTTTGTGGAGCAGTGTCACTTGCAGGAAGTCTCTTCACCTGTTGATCACCAAGATGGCGCCAACATTGTGTTTCAGTGATGGTAGAAGACCTCACTGCTGCTCATGATCTTGCATTGACTATAAAGACGAAAGAAAAGTGTGTGAACGTCACATGCAGGCCGGAGGGGCGGGGGGCGCTGGAGAGGGAGTGGCAGCCGGGCGCGGTGCGCAAACTGTTTGACAAGGAGATTGACAACCACCACGAGGAGCCCCTGCTTGCCGCGCAGCTGGCCGCCTGGCAGCTGCGATCCCTCTGCTCCAGCCTGCAGGGGCCTGCTCTGGCCGCCTTCAGTGCCGCCCTCACGGCCTGGCTGCTGCAGGTCCTGCAGGTGAAACCCCTCTCTGTATCAACCCTCTTGCACCTATTAGGCCGGGGCATTCTACCGTACTCGAAATACATGGTTTCATCTACTTTTTCATTTTTTGACGTCCCCTGCCCAGAGCGAAACACCTCTTCCATGGGGAGCCCTGCTGAATCCAACGTTGCCGCCAAACTGGGAAGCAAGGCGCGTTGAATAGAACCTTTACCGAGCATGTCCGGCTGAACAAAAATCACGCAAATGCTGCAGGATCTGGAGGAGACGTGTGGCAGGCTGGCAGAGATGCACGGCCGGGTCAGCTGGCCGGGCGGCCTGACGCACCACCAAGACGCATTCGCGCCGCTGTCGCGCATGCTTCTGGCGCCGTACGCGGCCGCGGCCCTCTTCAGCAGTGCTGCGGATGAAGAAGAACATAACTGGCTGCCTGCCGTGCAAAAAGGCATGCAGCGCTGCGCGGAGCTTCTCACCCGGCAGCCGCTGCAGCCGCTGCTGGGAAACACCCTGTACCAGGTGTGGCGCATGTTGTAGCGAGGTTGCTTTGTATCCGAAACATTGAACAAAGAGTAGATGGATGACTGTGGCAGCACAGCTGTGACATCTTTGTGTCTGCCCTGCTCAGAGCATTTTTTGCACAGTTATGTCTCACAAACTTGTGAACTCTCAGCAGTAAAAGTTTGATACATGCCCATGTGCAGGTGTTGACATCCCTGGAGGCGCAGTGTGGAAGGTCACTCGGATCCGAAGCTGTCTGGAAAGAGCTTGGAGATGCCATGGACTCTGAATTCTCTGTGCTGTTCTTGCTAGCTCCGCATGTGCCAGCTGGTACATTGCAGAATCTTGATCCCATTGACTTTCTTACTTGAGAGAAACTTGCAGTCCTGGCATAGTCCTAATTGGTAGCAGTCCTGGTGGCGGACGTCAAAGTTCTTAGAGAAGCGTGATGACAATTGTATTGAACAGACCGAGAACCAAGTGTTATAAACTTGTGGAGCATGCAGGATCTGTATCTTGTGGGATTTGTGGAAATGCCTTCAGAAGGTGCTATCTGCATTAAATCCTTAAGGAGCGTTTTTGGATAATGCTGGCCTGCCAGAGACCATTGTCATTGCTATCTGTGTAATCCATCATTTGCAGCAGCACATGGGATAATTGACTGTAACGCTTTGCACAGTGAGTGAGAACGCTGTTGGATGTCTGACTTTGAATCCTGATGATGTCACTGACTTTGATCTCTGATGACGCCACTAGCTTCAACATTTACACTCCCTCTTGGGCGCTAGAGCAACAGCTCGCATCACCACATACATGTCAGATGCGCTACACATGCAATTAAGCTCTACAGAAGCAGACGCGTGCGCATGCCAGGGTATTCCGCAGCAGCTCAAACTCTGCATTGTACCTGTCTGTCTTGGCTAGGAGCAGCACCGCATTCTGTACCTCTGCCGGCGCCTCCTCCTGTATCAGCATCAATTAGATATTCAGCTCTTCATCCTAAGCACGCCACAAAACAGCAGCTTCCAGAGGCTGCAAGACCTCCCAGTAGCTCAAACTGAACCAGATGACATGTGGTGCATGACTGTCTCTGGACTAGCTGGACACGCTACCCAGATTGCTGCAGTAGGAAACAGACACATATGTGCGGAGAAAATTGTTGGAAATCACCTTGCCCTCGCCGAGTACAAGGCCGCTGAGCCACTGGCCGATGCCGGTGCGCTCTGCACTCGCCAGCGCTGCCTGCTCCGCCGCCTTCTTCGTGCTCAGCCGCTCCGCCGTGTAGTGATGCCGCACCGAGTCAAACCACTGCAGCGCGTCAAATTCCGCATCCTGCTGCAATACCTGCACTCCGAGCCCATGACACATCTTGTCAATACAGGAGAGATGCATCAGCAGATGGCACGTGGTCGAAATTGCAGGGTGCAGGATATGTGAAGACATGAGCAGGCGCAGACACTGAAAAATAGGACCTCTACCCTTCAAAATTCCACCTTCCTGGAGACTTTTGGAGAGCAGCAGTCTCTGATCTCTCTGACTAAATTGTGAACACAATTCTCCTGATGGCTTGAGCATGTGCCTCAGAGTTGGCTTAATAGGTGGCACAATATACAACATCCTAAACAACCCTTTGCCCATTAAATTTGGCAGGCAGGGCCCACCTTGAGCAGGTAGGCAAGGCCGAGCGCGAAGCCGTCGTCGGTGAATGCGGCGTCGGGGCCGGCTCCGCGGCGTTGGCGCGCAAGGCCCTCCTTGGCCAGCAGCCCCGCCTCCACCGCAGCCAGGCTCAGCGCCGGCACCAGCGCATGGAAGCCCGCCAGATGCGCATGCCCCGCGTCCAACACCTCCCGCGCGAACACGCGCACCAGCATCGCAAAGTAGTCCGTGCCTGCCACACCCATTGATATAGTTTGGGGCGAGCCAACCCCTCGCAGCAACCTGAAATGTTGATTAAGGTAGATTTGGACAGTAAATTCAGCAGGTCTGGTGTATCAGTACAGTACTGTTGTAATGGCAGCCTCCCCACGAGAAGTTGTAACAGTAAAAACACGTGTGAGCAGCGACACGGCCTCAAAAATACTGTGAATGCAAGCAGCAGGATTTGAAGCTGCTCTTATTTTGAGGAGCGCACCGGCAGAGGCATGGGTGCGGAGCTGTGCCAGGGCATCGTCGAGGGTGTGGGCAGCTGCCAAGTGGGCGTCGGACGGCTCCGGCAGCTGCTGGGCGGCTGCCGCGAAGGAGTGCGGCTCCTCCTCGGCGGGAAGCTGGCGCATGGCTGTTGCGCAGTAGTGCATGCTGCCCGCGCGCATCAGCCTTACCAGCCCCATCGCATTGCCCACCTCTGCAATTTCGCAGCGGCTTGTTGAACACAGACACATCTGGTACTTATGAATCTTGCGCTGCCTTGAAAGCAGGGTGGGACAGAATTGTGACAGAAATTGAGAATGACCACCAAGACAGGTCTGAACAAGCACTTCTCCAGTGTCAGGATGTAGCCTATAGAAAAGCACAAGCAAAGGGGAACAATTGTGGTGTGGGCACCAACAAGGGCTGCTGACAGCACAAAGAGAAATACTTGCATACACAACACAACATTTTCCACATACATTGCCAGCTCCAAAGTCCACTTATGCAAGGGAGAGTAGAAAGTTTGCTGCAGGGCTAAGCCATTTTCTGAAGGTGAGGGCCCCACCGGTGATGAGTTTGCGGAGGTGGTCCAGGTAGGAGAGGCCGTCGGGGGCGCTGCCCAGGCGCGCAAAGTCGGCTGCCAGGCGCTGCGCTGTCGCCATCCTATAAGGGCCAGCCTCCCCGCTGCTGCGCGACTCGGCAAACACGCGCGCCTCCACGCCCAGCCGCGCCCGCACCGCGTCCTGGAACAGAAACTGCGCGCGCCGGGGTGGGCTCAAAACTGGAGTCCAAAATTTCACACGAGTTTACATTGCTGAAAAGAAAGAGGCAGCCGGGGGCTCAGTACTGAATTGCAAGTCTTCAGGCAATCCACCATGTGTCAGCAGTAGAATAGGGGAGCTGCCCACTCTCAAAAAGCCTCATGGTATACCAGTGCAGGCTCACAAACGAGCAGACAAAGCCTAGATTCAAAAGGTTTTTGCATTGCAGAAGGAGGCAAAGGCAGCCAAAAAGAAATTGTGCACTTTCAATTTACAGTGCTGACAAGGACAGGGGCAGCCAGTGATGCAATGCAACCAGACACGCTAGCCTGTAACTGGCCTCAGCCCTGCAGGAGGACTGGTGCTTGGAAATGAAGCTCATCAAGCAAGAGCGGCGGGCTGTGACAAGCTTCAGCCCACACTGGGAGAACTCAACTGACTGACCTGCGACAGGAGTGTGAAGTTGCGGGCGAGGAATTGGTATGCCGCGTTGACGGCGTTGTCTGCCAGGCCCAGGCCCTGCGTATGGATGGCGGCCGCCACCTGCTCCACTCCCAACGTGTTCAGGTGCTTCACCTGCGCACACAGACGCCATCCATTGATTATCACCCAACACAATGAATAGAGAGCCCGTTTGAGCTCTCTCCTGCCTGAATATACTTCTGGGAAGCATACACGGCCAGTCCTTTCCCTGATGCAGAAGCTCAACATCAGGTCTTAGAACGCAATACAGCGCCTCTTGAGAGCAGGGTGGATCGGAAAATCACCTCTCGAGCAGCGCTGACTCGCTCGATGAACACCTGCCCTGGCAAGTTGAATGCATAGGACGTGGCAAAGCGCCTGATGCCACGCAACAGCTCCAACACATCAACACCTGTGAGAAGAACATCCACATCACTGAGCTCTCAAGCGCTGACAGGTGCACCGTCAGTTGTCTGTTCTATGCCTCAGCACATTCAAGCATGCACCACCGCAGTAAGCATAGACACTTTTTAGAGACCCTTTTCTGGGGTTAATTTCAGCCACGCATGACACTGGTTGTCATCGAGGACAGTTCTGCGTTCTTGTTGCCTGTTATGCAAAGCCATGATTTTCAATTACCCCTGCTTCACTACAGCAAATGAATGTTGAAGCATCGGAGACATGCGTGCTTCACCTTGGCTGATGCTGCGCTCTGGCAGGGAGGGCGCTGCCACCTGGAGCCCATATTTCTCCTTGGCCAGGGACGCCAGCCGAGCGTACGTCTGCCACGAGCCTGGCGACACTCCAGCAAAGCGGTGGAAGCAGCACGTCATGGTGGACTCCACATACTCCCTGTGCATGCATATTCTTCTCGAAAACCTTATGTGTTAGCAGAATAAAAGATTATCCTGTCCAACTCGAGTTCTCAAAATTTACCATGTAGGTCCGGTCCTCCTGATCATCAGCATCTTGTGTGCGCTGCAAGAACAGAAGGACAGGAGATGCATGAGAGCTTCTCCCATGCAAGACTCCTTCCTGTTCACTCATTTCCTGAATTATTACACGCTTTTCCTGCCAAGAGGTAAGGTGCGTCCTGCAGACAAGCTGCACTTAAAGGCTGCCACAATCCTACCCCTTGTTGGACTCGCCAGATCCAAGCAAGACCCAATCAACCGTGGGCACGGTGCTCAGTATTTGTACCGCCCCCCGCCAGCCGGGGCCAAATTTCCTGTATGGAAACCTACTAAAACAGTTTTGTTGTGAAAGATCAGAAGCAGGAACAGCGCGTGGGCGTGCCAAGGCATGGTACAAAAGGGCCGACCTGATGCTGAGCGCTCGGGTGAGCAGGCGGAGGGTCTGCAGCCGCAGAAGGGGCGCCACGCTGCGCAGGGAGCGGTCGTTGACGGGGTCCAGATGGGCGCCCGTGTGGCGGCTGGCGTGCAGGTGGATGCGCAGGTCGCCCTCTATGTGGCCCGCCATCGGAGCCAGCACCGCCTCTTGCAGCGTTGCCAGAATCTCGTCGTCGTATGCCTGCAATTGCAGCCGACACCTCCCATGGGTTCCTTAACCCCTGTTGAGTTTCCTTAATATTCCACATCACATTGGGGCTCTTGCCGATCCGCACTGCTGACAAGGAGCTGAGGCCGAGCCAACAAAGGGTGATCTATGGGCGATGTACCCAAGCTCAAATCCCCATAAAAGCCTCAGGTAATGTCGTGATTCTGCTCAACAAAGAGGCAATGACGATAAATTATATACATAGGAAGGAGTGGTGGCGCGCCTCGTGGGCGGTGGCTGGGTCGGGGGAGCAGGTGCGGATGAGGTCATGGGCGTCGGAGAAGGCTGCGAGAAGGTACGGCAGCTTGGCAGCCTCCTCGGGGTGGGCCCACACCTCTGCCAGGCTGGCGCCCAGCAGCTCCCGGTGGAAGTACAGGAACGCGCAGCTCGTCGCCTGCAGCCACCCATGCACCAATTATACACGTCCTTCAGTTGCTGCGAAGCGAAAGGGTTTGGCAATTAAAGGGGTAGCTAAGGAAAGAGGGAAAGCTGTTATCCACAGTGCTCAAGCATGCCACATGATGGTTGGAGGGATCAGCAGCATGCAGGCTGGGCCCTGGCGCAGTAATGACTATGAGCCATTCTGTGTCACTGCTCTTCTTTTGGTGAGATCTAAAAGTTCTCGCTCATCCTCAGGTATGAAATTACATCTCTTCAGCGCAAGTCTGGGTGGGCTTCGGTGGATGGCATCGGGCAGTGACAGTACAAAAGAAGGACAGCACGATGCATTGTGTGGAGAACACTTAACAAGACAGCTGACCTGGCTGATGTTGGGCTGCAGGTAGGCGAGCGTGCGCAGCGCATACAGCGTCTCCTCCAGCCGCTGCAGGTCCGACGCGCCCACCTGCCCAGTCGCTTCCACCGCATCCACGCACTGCGCCAGCGACACCAGATGCGCGCCAGACACCGGCCCTGCACGCACCGCTCAATCAAAATGAGAGAAAATCGTATGCTGGCATCAAAGCAGAGCGAGCGCCAAAATTCAAGAAGAAGGGCTGCCTCGCAATGTGAGTGAAACATGTAAAACATACAAGACACCTCCGGCCTAGGAGCACATTAGATCACATTGCATACATGCAGTCAAGTGTGGCTAGGTGAGGGGTATTACAAGTCTTATCATTACACGCTTGTTCTAGCCTTCAAGGCTAGGTGCGGTGCAGGAACCTCTCAAGAAGTCCCCTTCAGCCTTCCCTGTCTTGGCAGTGCCTCCTCCGATAATATGTCAATCCCATGGGATTCCGGGTCTTCCCTACCGCAATCACTATACGGTGTGTTGATTTTCCAAATTGCCCGCAAACACAAACAAAGCATTCGCAAGCAATAATTGTTTGCCTTACATCTCTTATCTTCCGGAGATGTGAGGGTATTTTGATTCGTGCACAATGAGTGAACGATAGACTGAGCCAAGACTGCTGTCAAGCATCCCTGCTGTGCAACAGGGTGCCCACCAGAAATCATCTGAGGCCTTATGGTGTTCAGGATATTTTTAAGGCAGACCAGGACGCACTAGGTGCAGACAAACTGATACACCAGAAAGGCAAGAAAAAGTGCATGTACAGGGGTGCAGAGGTCACCTTGCATGATGCGCATGGCGGTTTGCACAGCAGTGGTGGCGTGGCTGATGGCTGCATGCAGCTTCTCGCGGCGCGCCTTCGTCTGCAGCCGCGGCTGCACGCTCTGCATCTGCCGCAGCTTTGCGCGCAGCCCGGCAGCCATCGCCGCCAGCAGACCCTGCAGCCGTATTGGCACACTCTTTCAGCATATTGTGTGTCTTCTTCTTCACCTCCCCGTGCAGGGTTGTCGGATTCATGGTGCGTAAAATGGCGACAGGAGACCAAAATCAAAAAAGCTTATGGTTGAAGCACATGAGGGATCAGAACGGAATTACCTGTGCAGCCGACTTGATGTGCGTGACAAGCTGAGGCAGCATCTCGGCAATGCCCGTGCTGTGCCGGTCGAATGCATCTTGCAAGCCCTGCAGTTGACAAGCCAAGACAATCAGTGCACCATGCCAAACACATCATCGGAGACTCCCTGTAAGACTGCATGCACAAGGCAGGAGACGAGGCTGCATATGATTCAAGCAAGGGTGGCAGACCTTGAGCAGGCAGATGTTGTGCGAGAGCAGGCGCAGGGCGGCGCGGTTGAGGGGAGCGCCCAGGACGGCATGCAGAGAGATGGCCGTGTGCAGGCGCGCCTTCTGCGCAGCCGCAAGATGCAAGCCCCGCACCAACGCTGCCCCCATGCGTGTCAGAGACACCTCCTGACTCCTGCAAGACAAACAGCACGTATCCATCTTGCACCATCTATGCTGAGGGATCGTCGTTTGTTGAGCAGGTTGCTTTTTGCTAAGGAGCGCTGTCAAGTGGGAGGATGCTGAGAAGTTTACTTTTGGGGTGCAAGCAGAGCGTCTATGTGGGTAAGCCAGGCAGTTGAGGCCAGGGCTGCGCTCTGCAGGTGCGGCTCAAAGTCTCCCATGAGCTTGGCGAGCTGCGCTTCCCTCTGTGCATTTGCCTGCGGTCAGCAGACTTACCATTCACCATGGGAGAAAGTTGTTTTTATTGTTGGAACTGGCGCACAAGCGATGTGAGATGCAACACAGTGTTTCAGAGGATTACCTGACGGGCGTAGGTGGGAGGTACAATTGTGTCCAACGAGGGCGGCAGATTCTGAGAGAGGAAGGTGGCCGGTTGCAGAATGACGTCTGAGAAGACAGGAAGCACAGGCACCTGAGCACCAGCCACATAAGTTTAAGTCAGTTATGACACTCCCAGGCGCAGCCAGGAAAGAAGCTCCACAATGTGTACAAACTTCACAAGTCAAGGAGGAGCCATGGCAGCTGAGAGAAGCACTGTATGAGTTGAGCAGCAGGGAGCTGACCCGGCCGTGGATGTCGAGTATCAGGCGCATGGTCTTCCTGTCAAAGGGCGCCTCGTCACTGCACAGGCGGCTGTACATGACTGAGAAGGCCAGTAGGTCCACCAGTTCGCTGCGGTCCTGCGGCCGCTCCTGGGGCCCATCAATCCTAGATATGCGCAGTGACACCTCCCGCCTGCAGTCAATTTTATTTTATTTTACAACACTCCCTCAAGAATCAAAACTGGTGCTGACATGCTTTCATGTCTGGCTTTGACATCTCTACAAGTAAAGCACCAGACACAGAATTGAAGGCATGACTGTAAGTGCCTCTAGTGCAACACCTTTCCATGAGGAAGCCAATCAGATGTTTTATTGATGAAAGTGATGCACGGAACAAGAGTGGTCTGCACGTAGGCACTTGCTGAAAAAAAAATTGGTCTGTACTCTTTATCTCCTGATTTAGTGGATTTGCATCGAGCTCCCCGGCCCGTGCTTCTGCAGATCGATTTGGATTTGGGCAGGCCATAAAAATACTGTCCCCACTTTCTCTGGCGCTCGTCTAGGTTGGGCGGACCAATAAGGTATGGGCAATCATGGTGTGAGGACAGGTGCACCTCAGGAAGCCAGCTGCTGCGCTGAGGAAGCTGGCAGAGGAGCACGCTTCGTGGCTGAGGCTGCCGCGAGAGGTCTGGGCGGTGACAAAGCGCCTGAAGATGCCCCTGCCAGTCAGCTGCTCCTCCAGAGCCGCCACAGCCGCCTGGAGCTGTGCCACATTGGCCGGCACCTCTCCGCTTAGTGTGTCAGGCTCTGAGACAGAGGTGTGCAGCAATCTGCGCAAGCCGTCAATCCTTCCATTCAGCTTCCGAGGTGATCATGGGCTGAAAGGCCTTTGCCAATGCCTGGGCGACCCTTGTGCAGAAGGGCAATAGGGTCCTGGCTATACTATAAAGGAGGGAGGGGCAGATTCCTGACCTGCGAAGCATTGCAAAGGCAGGCACAAGGTGGCGGTTGCGTGCGAGGATGCAGTCAAGACTTAGCATTATGCCCAGAGCTCGTGCCACGCCCATAAATGCTGTGATTGCATGTGGGCCTGTGAAAAGCACAATCGTAAGTCTTCCAGTCTTATGGACAAAGTGTTAAAATACGCGACACCTTTGCACCAGCACTACAGACATACCTTGCAAGATAGTTGCTTTTCGCAGTTGCTCAGCACACAGGGCGCCCAGTTGGGCCAGCAAATTGACAGTCACCCTCTCAAGCTGCTCCAATAACACCTGTCAGCAACAGTGGTGTGAGAAACCTGGCCGATCTTTGGCCAAGCAATGAAATTGGTAGCATGGGCTGTAGTGAGAAATTGGCACTAAGGCGTTGCCTGTGCTGCTCACCTGAAGATGGTGCAGGGATGGTAGGAAGGAAGCCAAAGCGATCTGCATGGTCCCCTCCTCATTCCCCTGGGGTGCAAGCGACTGCTCCCCAAACATCAGCAGCTTTGGGCACGACTCCCGCTCAATCTGAAGCCAGCAAGCACGAGTCAGCTGCATCATTAGGCTGAATGTCCTATGGGACCAGCGCATGTGACTGAAAGGAGAGCACAGGCATTGACAGCATTCTCCTGAATGTAATTGGAGAGAAAATGTTGGTCGATGATGAACCTGACCTGATCAACAAGCCGCTCGGCGTCCAGGACCAGGTATGCCAGCAGGGTGGCCAGCTTGGAGAAAGCCGAGTTGGTGCTGGTCAATAGCCCCATTGGATTGTCATACTCCTTTGGCAGGGTGGTGATCTGTCACACAGCGCCCGGGCAAAGTTGGTGTGCATGGTGTCGATACTTGGTAGTAGTGCATGCTGCATGACGAGCTGAGCATTGTAGCGTTAACAGATACCAGGAGTGACCTGACAGGGAGCAAAGTGCTGCTGCCGCAGCTGCAGGCTTCCCACTGTGTTGGCCTGCTTTCTGAGCCTTGTGGTTGTGTCTCGAAGCTGGCCCAGCCATTCATCAAGGAATCGTCGTGTCGTCTCAAATTGTTCCTCCACAGCAATAGCTGGATCTTCTTCTTCAGCCATGAGTTGGCTGGGTGGGCCTCAGATGGGCTTCAGATCTCAGAAATCAAGCACCTGCATTCTTTTATATTTCGATGTAACCTGCAGTGAAATTCGGTTAAAATCTGACATATTTAGTGCAAAGTGGAGAAAGAATCGAATCTGCAAGCCACGTTTTACACCGCAATCTTCATGCCCACCACCACGCATCGCTTTAAGGAACTGATCTCTATGGATGGCAATGTAACATGTCTGTGAGAGAATTTTAACCTGTACTTCTTCCAGTTTGAATAGTAACAAGAAGGTCTCGATCACACCATGAATCCAAGGAAGCTTTCCTCCCCCACCATGCATGATGAGTCATCAACAGCCTGATTGTGGAGTTTGCCCCATGCAAAGTTGGGCTTGTCCTCCATATGGGGACTTGTCAGGCTCCGATGTTTCCCAGAGAATGTAGAGAGTGCTAGTAGTATGAACACCACGACTTTCTCTCCAGTGGACTGCACACAAGGTCTACTCAAGGAACACCCTTCTTGTTTGCCACTTTCCTTGAGGCGGACGGTTGTCCCTTTCGGTGGTGCAAGGAGAAGATCGCTCCTCAGCAGCAGCAGGATTATTGTTCAAGCTGCCAGCTTCAGGCCATGCATTGATATACACCAGGTATTGCTATCGCCACACGCATATCCCTTTCCATGGCCATGGCCCCACCCTTAGCTGAAAATTAATGTGGTTGTGCTGTTCCTTTTTGTGGTAAGCGAAGCTTAGTATGAGAATTCTGTAGTTCTACGTGCTCCTTTAACCCGACGCCTGCTTCCTATCTTCTTGCAGGGCAGGGTGAAGCAGATTGTTGGGTCGTCCTTGAAAGACCTTGCTGCAGAGAGGTGGGACTCCTGAGTCTCTGACGAGATTACCTGTGTACATACATGCGCCGACCATTTTGCAATTACTGTTTGTCTATGCTTGAGGCTGAACACTGAGCAATTTATTTTGGAGGCACAGGGAGCAGTCGTCACAGGATGCCTTGGTCGTCAATTTTGACACGGATCTTCGATCCAGCTTCTTTGCCAAATTGTACCAGAACAGTGACTTGAAAGGGGGTCATGTCGTCATGCTTGGCTCTGACCAAGCCAGCAGGCAAGAACACTTTCACCGTCCTGCGTTTGTCTTGATGGTGGTATGTCAGCACTTGGGAAAATTTAGTTTGTTGCGTTGTGATCAGACATGGATGCTGGCAGGTATGCGGCGTATGAAGCGCTCATGGCATATCCTGGAGGCCTGCAGATTGGGGGTGGAGTCACCACCGATAATGCCTTAGAGTACCTCAACGCAGGAGCCTCCCACGTCATCGTCACATCATTTGTGTTCAGGGAAGGGCGCTTGGAAGAGGAGCGCCTACAAAGCTTGGTGGGGTCCCCTTGACTAGTAATCTCATCATCAATACGCAGATGGGTGGTGTCTGCTCCTGCGTCCGAGCATGCTGTTGCTGAGATCTCAAGTGCATGAGAATTTGCTGGAGTTCTAATGATTTGCATGTGACGCATTGAGACTGTGTGTGCTGCTGCAGGTGAAGCTTGTGGGGAAGGAGCGTCTAGTTCTGGATTTGAGCTGCAGGAAGCGCGATGGGCAGTACTATGTGGTCACTGACCGGTGGCAGCGCTTCAGCGAATTAGCTGTGGACCAGCGGACGCTGAATGACCTCGGTAGGCGCCCAGAAAGCATGCGCACATGGCCCCTCATCTTACTTGCTGGGATCCATCCATTCTCGCCCTGTGAACAAGTTGCTGCTCAGCTCAGCAATTGTTGAACTGAAGAGGAAGAGGTGGATCCGAATTTGCATGTTTAGGGGTGCATGTGTGAGGTTTGGGATGTTGGTGCAGCGGGGAGCTGCGCAGAGTTTCTGGTGCATGGGGTGGATGTGGAGGGGATGCAGCTGGGTGTAGACGAGGAGCTGGTGCATCTGCTGGGCCAGGCTTCTCCCATACCAGTCACCTACGCCGGTGGTGTGAGATCTCTGGTGAGGCACCCCGCCAGCCCACTGCCACTGAAGCGCTCTGTTAGATGTTTCCCCATCGCAATACTGTGAGGGCTTCATGCGGATATTTTGCAAGAGCCTCTGGCGCTCACTATGCCTTGATGTCGGCATTCCTCTCAAGGTGCCTGAGACTGGATGCTCAAAATTTGAAATTTGAAATGCCGGCCAGGATGATCTGGAGCGGGTGAAGACGGCAGGGAGTGGGCGCGTGGACATCACAGTCGGCAGTGCGCTGGACATTTTTGGGGGGAAGCTGCCGTATGGAGAAGTGCTGGCCTGGCACAAACAGCAGCAGTCCAGCCCACAGGGTGCAGACCGCGTTGCTGCCTGATTAGCTGCTACTATTTTAGCTCCGTGGTCGCATTCCGTTTATAGCTTGTACAGGAATACACAAAATGAAGTTTGCCAATGCTCCATGCGTGCTATCTCTCTGTTGCTTCAGCACTGCAATTTTTGCACTGTCCTGGGAGTGCAAATAGGGGGAGGGGAGTGGCAGGGGTCGAGTCAAGCATCTGGGCACAGTATGAGGCCGTTACATTGGCAGAAACCTGGACCCAGAGGGTGGGCATATGTAGTGAGTAAGTACGGTGATCTGGCATATTTTGAGTCGAAACCTTTCAATCTTCAATCTTTGGCAGCTGATGATGACCACATTCATATCACGAAGGCATTACCCTCAGTGAAGGCTCCTTTGACATCATCGGCTTTTGCCACAGGCTATAATGCAAGCGCATCCCTGTAGCCTAAGCCTTTTGACCTTAACATCCAATCACCCTCAATCATGATTGTTAAATCAACTTAGAAAAATCAGAATGATTACCTATACAGGTCCGCAGTATACGAATTAGATTCAGCTGGAACTGCTCTACATGGCTTCACATTGAGCTCAATCTGACAACCATGCCTGACTCCTTGTTGCTCCAGTCCTCACCTTAAGATGCCGAACACTGTCCGTGAGCCACAATTTCAATTTGCTGATTGCAAAAGCACCAAGCCTGTCTTGTCCCTAGTCTGCCTGTTTGCAGTTGAGTGCTGCGCATACAGCTCTGAGATCATCTGGTCCCTAAGACCCATTGGAATGTATACAACTGCAGCCAGGTGGAGGACTGCCATTACTTCTTGAGTGCAAGGGTAACTCCATCTGAGACTGGCAGCATGCAGATTGTCACCCTGCAGACACCATGAGCAGTTCTTTGCCTCATGAGGGATCCTGTAGGACATCCATTTGACAGAGCAGTATGCGGTGCAAGGAAAAACTTATTGACTGAGCATAGCATGGCAATGAACACAAGTGAACTATCCAGGATCGTAATTTCAACACAACAGTACAAGGCCTGAAACTTGAAATATCTTGAGCCACACCTGTCATCCTTGTGGATCTTGTCGTTGAGCGCTCTGATGGCCTGCAAACAAAACGCAGGTTCTGACCTTCCCTGAAATTTTTTTAAAAGATCTGAAGCTTGCAGGTGCTGTCGCAGCAAACAATCCTGCATCAGGCCGTATCAATTACTGTGAGCACGGTTCCTCACCAGGGTGTTGTCATCTTGGCACTCAGACTTGATGACCATGCCGTCCCAAAGGGTATTGTCAACAACAATGACGCCCCCAGGCCGAAGCAGCTTCAGCAGTTTCTCGTAGTAATCGTCATATCCAGGCTTGTCCGCGTCGATGAAACCCATGTCGAAGGTTCCTTCTTGCCCATTCTGCACAGCAGTCAAATCAAGAATTATAAGAAAGTTCAGGAGCACCATATGCCTCGCTTTAGGGTATCTATCCTCTGTGGGCCAATAGCATTCAAAGAATTTGGGCAATAGACCTGCAGGAATCCACTGAGAGTCTCAGACGCAGGTGCGATCAGCAGATCAATCTTGTCTTCCACTCCAGCAGCCCTCCAGAATGGCTTGCCTGCGGACAGACAGGTGATGTCATGCTCTTTCTGAACCGTACAGTTCTCTTCCAGGGCAAGGCAGAAACCGTTCAAGAAGGGATTCAATGTGTCATGGAGACAGGAGGCCCACCTACAGAGGCGTAGTCATCAGAGATGTCAAGTGCGTAGACCTTCCCACCCTCAGGAAGAGCCAGGGCCATGCCAAGGCTTGTGTAGCCTGCGAAGAATCATGATTGGTACTCTGTGAGCTGCACAAGTGACACTGTGTGAGTAGCACATGAAACTTATTTTCAGGATATTGGAATAGGATTTTCACCCACCGGTAAAGACGCCCACTTCCACAATTTTCTTTGCGTTGAGGAGCTGTACCATGAGTTGCAGCAAGGGAATGCTGTCTGGTGGGGAGCACATCCCAGCCCTGGCGTGCTTCATGCTGACCTGCAAGTGGCCAAGAAAACCCCACAACCTCAAGCAAGAAATCACCGTTCTGTCGGCGTATACGGGAGGCATACATAGAATATTGAGAGCACGGGATCCATGTCACACTGTTGGTTTAAAGGTTGCTACTGGTACAAATTCACGCACTGCAATGCTTGATGTCCAGATCCGTCCACACCTCGTGAAGCTTGTCAAGATGCTTATTTGGACGATAGCTGTGGTCGACTAGGTAATTGTACAGTGAACGGTTGGCAAACGCTTTCCCATACTTGACATCGAGCAAGTCCGCACTTGGACTCATCCTGACTTGTAGTGCCGTTCCAAGACGTCCTGAAAACGGATCGGACAGAAGTCGCTCAACACCAGGCAAATAATAAGCATGTTGACATTTGAGATGCAGTGGTACGACAAGTCCTCATTCAAAAACTGTGTCCACTGCGCGTACGTCCTATAGTGCAATATATTGAGGCCCCTGCCAGAACAAGGTGGACTCGTCGTGGTTTGAGAGTGGGCCGTGTAGTTTGCACCTATAACTACCGATGTGATCTGTCACAACAGCCAAACATCCTCATGTGGGGCTTTGAAGGAATATTGCTAGCACAAGGTGATGCAAGTTGATCACCTGCCCTGTTGGTGACGGTGGTCTCACGCACTTGAATCGGCTTTCTCACAGCGAAGCCAGAGGTACATACGCTGCGCACACGCATGGAACGTGCCTTCACAAGAACCTCATCATCCCGAAGAGACTCGTAATGGGGAGATAGAAGCCAGGTGCAGCTAGCTATAGCTGCCGAGGCTGCATGCAGACGTCAGCAACGCTCTCCCTTCGAAGGCAAGAGATGGACAGTCTGCTCATTCTTCAGGCAAGAGAGGGAGTATGGGTAATGTTGCCAACCGGAATAGATCGATCGATTGAATAAGGTCTCCTCAGGAGCATAGGCAAGGTAGATGCAAAAAACGAATTGCAGGCTAGCGAATGCCATAAATGGATGCAGAACGCTCAGCAGGCCAGTAGTCTCTTGTTCCTCACGTGCTACATTAGGCTCACTTTTTAATAAGATAGACAGATTAACACGAGAGCCGTCCAGGCAGAATTCCTCACTGAGAGCAGTCCTGAAAGAGACAAGCTCGAAAGTGCGCTCAATTCATAATGATGGAAGTAGCTCAGCGGAGACAGGATGGCATCCTCTCTCTGATCCTATCCTCTGGAAGGTGCTAGTGCATGCCCCTCGTCAGCCATGTTGTTTATGAACATCCTGCGATGGTGCAATATTGACCTGTAGAAAAATTATGATCGACATTTTCATTTGCATGTTGTTCTCAGGTCCTTGAGGAAGATGCCATGTTCAAGACACCGCTGCCGGAGCAGATCTCACCAACATGGAAAATGATGTTGCTCAGCGACGGGTCTGTCACCAGACACCTGCAGCTGCTCACTGGCCAACACATTGAAGTGGTGAGCCATTGCCTGATTTGCCAGTCCCAGTACCTTGTGTGCTCTGCAGCCTTCTCATGCGCCCTTTTGCTGCAAGGCCTTATTTAGACTTATCCAATGGTGCCTTATGTCGCTTGTTGCGCCGCGCCAGGATTGCCTTGAGATGCGGGACATTGGGAAGGACTTGGCAGGGCTTCCTGAAGGAGCTGATCAGATCCTTGGGCCCAGGGTGCAGCGGCAGGTGACCTGATTTTCCACGACCCGATGCATTCCAGGAAAATGGCCAGCTATTCCCCACAAGCCCAGCATTAGTGAAAGCTCCACGCCACCGTGTCTGTAATCGAGTGTGATCTTCCTTCATCAATCACTGTGCTTTCTGCGCATGTCCTTGACAGCCTAGACTCCCAGCTGAGCTCGACAGGTCGGCTGCACCAAGGATGCATGCATCACTCTTGACAGCCAGGACATTAAGTTGTCTCGAATGCAGGTATTTTTGAGGATGCCGCCGGGGGAGGGCTGCGGTGCCAGCAAAAAAGGGCGTGCTCTGGTGTATGCAGCCTCCTGGTGGAGCGCTGACCAGGTGAACGAGTACCTGAGGGACAAGCAGCTGCCCATCTGGGCCAGCCTCAGTGTGGCGCGCACTGAGCTGTACAGAGATGTTCAGGCCGTCTACTATGGCAGCTCTCCCTTCCTTGAAAGGTGACTCATCCTCGGACTGCCCATATTCCCTCTTATTGGGATTTGAAGATATGATTGGCATATCTGTGCAGCTTGCAAATCATCTACACAAATATGTTTGCAAGGTGTGTAAGAGGCTGCCCTTTTACCCATCTTCTGGCGCTCGCTCTGCCTTGATGTCTGCACACCTGTTTCTCCAAATGCCTCGAGTCCAATTATTGTATGGCACATGCGCAGGGAGTTTGGGGAGCCTGGTCCGTTTTGGGGGCGGCAGTATTTCTTCTGGCACAATGGCAAGCCGCTCACAGTAATTTATGAGGTGTTCTCTGGGTCCCTACAGAGACTGCTGGGCCCTTCACTGCGCTTGTGAAGCCTTGCATTGCGCTTCAGAATTGGCCCATTGATGACATACATTGATGAGGAGGCCAGCTCTTACAAACCGCCGTGTTGGGGCTTTGTCTGCATGTGGTAAAGGAGATAGCTGTACAGACAACACAGCGCTAGCGGACAACCCATCAAACATTTTTTTATTTCTTGAAATCAGGCAGGGATATGTGGGCTGAGTAATTGCTTCTGATTACGAATGACGACAAGAGATGCTGTAGCTAGGAAACCCAAGACTCCTGCTTTGAGACAGAGTTTCGACACGCTCCTCAATACGCTCCTTTTTGCAAGGACGCACCATAGCAAGGGGCATCAATAATATGCCCTGCTGAACGCATGCCTTTAATCACTTGCTCGTGGGTAGGTCTTCTGATATGTTCTATTGCCAGGCTTTCAGGAGGGCTCCACAATCGAAAGTGTAATAGTGTGAATAAACAAAATAACAACACTAGCAGAGAAGTACTGCTCTGCATCCCATCAGGCAGCTTGCAGTATGCGCCACACTTCCTAATCCCAACCTTTTGTGCCTGCAACCTCGACAATATTTAAGAGATCAAAATCAAAATCGCTTCTGTGTCAGCCCATCTCACAAAGCTCAAGTTGGCTTCATCCCCGAATGCACAAACGCTTCCTTGTGCAAGGAAACATACTCCCTGATGCGGCACAGAATAGATCCTCAGTGGCCGGCTGCAAGGCTTGTTCAGTGGTGGCCCTTGCCGTCACCATGCCCCTGGATGTGGGATGGCACTCCGATGGCCGGCACACCGTTGGCAGGCGCCTCCATCGGCGCTCCAAGCGCTGTTGAGCCTGATTACAGCATAGCATCCTTAAACATCACATTCACATCAATGTGGTCCTCAAGACACAGCGCCAGTAACAAGTTGAGGCTTGAAGAGATCCCTGGACAAAATTGTGTCAAGAAAAGGACATTTGGCACCCTGTCCCAAATCTCAACGCTGCTACACTTTAGAGGAAAGAGGAATGCAGAGATCACGGCAGAGCAAGCAGATTTTTAGTCACAGTGAGAAAGATCAGTCACCTGCGTAGTCGCCGCCCTGCTGGTCATGGTGCTGCTGCAGCTGGTGCTGGTTTGCCTCCTGGCCGTGCACCACCTGCTGCCCCCCGTGCTCCTGGTGCTCCCCCAGGAAGGCGGCGGAGGCCGCAGCATCCGCAATGAAGTGCAGGTTCTCTGCATGCAGTGCAAGCTGGAATAAGCCCCGATGCGCACCCAAAACGCACCCATGGACATCCTTGCCAAGTATGTGTAGGAGGACATCTGGGCTGACTGAGGCTCACAGGCGTCTGGTTGGAAAAAGGAAAGTGAGGGTGAAGGCACGGGGTGTGAACCTCCGGTGTGGTGCATCTCCTGGGCGACGCTGACTGGGGGCACGTGCTCATAGCCGCCCTGATGCTGGTGCTCGCCGCTCATCACGGCCGCTTGGTGCAGCGCCTGCACCCCACACAACATGTCACTCCCTCAGATTCCCCAGGATCTGCCATGCACTGGCACCCCGCCTGACACGCCATGGTGTGTATGCAAGAGACAACCTGCAAAAAACGTCGCAGCACCGACAGAGGAAGGAAGTAAATTGCAAGGGTAGATGCGTTGCTATGAGCGTGCACACGAGCAGGCCTCCTCAATTGGTGCATATCATCCCATGACCGACGGACATGATACAGACACCAGACACCAATCTGTGGGATGCCACCAAGCTCGGCAAGACCTCGTGTGCAATCTTTGCGGGTTGGTGCGGGTGCACGCCTGGATGGTGGCGGCCTCGTGGGAGGGCCAGCCCTCGGGCACCTGGCCGCCCTCGCCCTCGCCGATCATGTTGCCGTCAGCGTCCTCCGCGTATCCATTGTCCTGCACGTACGCATCGCGGTCGTCCGGATCGTTCTCCGAGCCCGGCGGGTGCGCCATAATCACCGTGTTAGCTGCGTCGCCGTCCTGCGATGTGCCAAAGTTTCTTTAATAATTGGAGGGTCTCTACAAAGGGTCTTGCAGCAGGCGAGGCTGAACCTTTGTAAGCAGATGACATCTAGGTGGGATGACCTATCAAAGCAGCATAGCAGGCATGTGCAAGCTTGGCTCAGGCAAAAGACAATGCTGCATGACAATAATTAGGCACAGGCCTGCTCACAATGCCGTCTTCAAGACAATCAGCACAGAGCAGTGCAGGATGTACAAAGCAGCTCTGAGCAGTGGTTCGCAAAGCAGGCAGTGTCATCGCTGCTGAGCCATGTAAAATAAAGGGGGCGTTCATGTATGAGTCAACGGTCAGCAGTAGGCCAGATGAGAGGCAGGACATTGGGCTGCCACCTTGGTGCCATCATCGGCCTCTGGGTTAGCCATCTGGCGCAGCTGCTTCAGGTGTGCCGGAGACAGCGTGGCGCCAAAGCCAGGCGTCGCGTACCCCCACGAGGCGCCCTTGTCATTGGCGACAAACAGGAACACCTGCCAGCCAGCACGACAAACCTTTCGCTCTGCTGCTTGCACCTCTGGTCAACTTGCACCTGCAAAAGGCAGCATATGAAGCGGGGCGGCCCTTTGGAGCGAGAGAATAACATGCAGGTCTTGAGGAAAGGGTGGACTGGAATACCTTTGCGTCTGTGATCTTGAAAAGCTGGTACGCCTTCTGGGCGATGCCGCGCTTGCGCTTAGAGAACGACTGCCTGACCTGGCTTGACCCCTGCAGTCATGGCACGATGATTAGCGGCAACCAAGTGGCATCCATGCATGCATCATTATTGCATCATAATCCCCACGTGGACCCATCTCCCTTGGCTTCGCCAGTCGCAGAACCGAGACACGCTTACCCAGCTGAATTGAGTGGGTGTGTTTTGTCCGAAGTGGCCGATGGGTATCTATCTGTTTAAACTTGTCTGCCAAGCAATTGGAGCAAGCCGCCTCAAATCAAGTAGTATTCTAGACAAAGAATTGAATTGCGGGTGCGCACCACAGGCTTCTCGCTGGCCTTCCTGCGGGAGCGGTTGCGGTAAGTGAAGCCGGGGGGGTCCACCCCAGGGGTGGCCGGGTTCTGCTGAACAGGGACACCCTCACTCACGCCACCCTGCAGGCCCCCCTGCTGCTGCTGCTGCAGCTGCTCTTGGTGCGCTGCCTGCAGCTGGGCCTGTGCCTGCGCCAGCGCCTGCAATGGCACACTCAAGAAAATAAGTCCCAACAACAACAGCAGACAACAAGATCCCTTGAATGCTTACCGTCACGGCATGCAGCTCACAAGGTTGTTTAGGAGCAGTGTGCTTGGCAGCAACTACTTCGCGGATTAGCAGTCATTTGGGGCACCATCAGCTAGCTCCTGGTGCTTAGAATGAGCATTTGAGAGTGCAGGATTGGTCTTGAGATGTATTGCATACCTGAGCGTGCGCCTCGGAGTCTCCCTCACGCAGCAGGTGTTCCAGGTGACCGTCGTAGGGCGGGGCTCCGTACGCAGCAAAGTGCGGCAGGCCATGGGCGATGTGCTGTGCGGCAACATGCTGCAGCATACAGACAGACGTGAGAGTCTGGCACTGCGGGGGAAGGCATCAAGGCCCTGGTTGCAGGATCAGGCAGGGCAGTAGGCAAATGGTTGCACCAGCACATCGAAACCTGCTCCACTAGTTCCTGGTAGCTTGATCAAGCTTGGCTTGTGGGGTGGCTTCTGAACGATTAGGCTCTGTACTTACCACACACCAGAAGACATCTTTGACAGGATCCGCCCTAGAACAGACAAGTTGGCAGCTTATAGGTGAAGCAGAGCAAGCTTCAGTCGTAAGACAGAGGTCAAATCTAGCAACAGGGTTCTTGGTTGCACTCCACTAGAGCAACGTGATCCCAGGTCATTCCCCGTTTCTGCCAGGGCAGCCACTGGCCCCTAAGGGGGTCTGAGCGCCATAGTTGCGCTCAAGCCAGCAGGAAATCCCCGAGCTGTCACGTACCTCGTGGTCTTCGTGCCTGAGGCGCTTGCGGGGAGGGTCTTCGCCAGGTCCAGCTCCCACCTCGACCGGCCCGCCACCTCCCAACCCTTGGTCTGCCATATCCAGGTTGCGTCCTCCCGGTCCACAACAAGCTTGACGAGCTAGCTTCTGAGGTACCTGATTAGCCTGATGAGGCTGCAGTTTGAAAGAGCCTTGCGCTTGCTCCTAATCAAGACAAGTCCCGAGCTTCGGGAATGGATACACTTGACGTAACGACCCTTGACAAAGGGAGTGCCACCTGGCTTCAGAAGCTCTTTCAATTCTACGTTCGACAGCCCTCGGGGCGTCCTGCATAGGGAGACCCGACAGTGTTTGATTTCTGCAGGCAGAGCCACCAACATGGGAGAGGAGGCGCAGAGTCTTCAAGCAGACATAGACAAGACGACGACCAAGATCGAGCAGCTCGAGGCGCAGCTGGAAGCTCTGCCAAGCGATGCTACTGCGTCCGACAGAGAGTATCTGCAGCAGAGGATCCTTGCGCTCGGGAGGGAGAAGGAGCTGCTGCTGCAGCTGCTGCTGCAGAGGCTGCTGCAGAGGCTGCCCCCAGCACAAGGTGCGGGTGATGCCCAAGCTTTGACAAGGTACAGCCGGAACAGCGTTGCATTCTCCAAACCCAGCGGGCTACGTGCAGCTGCCACCCTATGCTCTATGCTCTTTTGGACTCAGCCGAGTTGGGCTTGGTGGCTTCCTATGGTGTTCTTGCTGCCTATTCAGTTTGGTCAGTGCACAGTGGCTTCCATAGGCAGCAGCACCAGCTGAGCTCAGCTTAGAGCTATGCAGCTTTGGCTGTGTACAACAAGCAGCCTGCTGACATATATGCAAGCTTTCACTGCTCTCAGTTGAAGCTAGTTCAGCGCACACTGACTTCAACTAGCCGAGGCCAGCTTGATCCGTGCTGTGCTGGCTGGTGCTCTTCCTTTGTAGCTTGCAGTCTGCTAGTTTGCATGCAAGAACTCACTGCAACTCAGTTCACCTTGGTCAGCGCACAGCGGCTTCCACTGGCAGCAGCACCAGTTGAACTGAGCTTGACCTGTGCAACGTTGGCTGGTGCTCTTTCATTGCAGCTTGCAGCCTGCTGGCCAGCGTGCATCTCAATTGCGTTCGGTCAGCGCACAGTGGCTTCAACTGGCAGCAGCACCAGCTCAGTTCAGCTAGGACCGTGCCACTTTGACTGGTGCTCTTTCATCCTGCAATCTGCTGGTGTACATGCAAGCTCCCACTGCAACTCAAATTAGTGTGATCAGGTTACAGTTGTTCCAAAAACAGGCAGCAGCACCAGCTGAGTTCAGCTAGAATTGTGCAGCTGTTGGCTGGTGCTCTTCTATTGCAGCTTGCAGTCCGCTGCTTTGCATGCAAGCTCTCACTGCTTCTCAGTTGGGTTCAGTCAGCGCATAGCGGCTTCCACTGGCATCAGCACCAGTTGAGTTTAGCTAGATATGTGCCGCTTTGGCGCTCTTTAGCGCCTTGCAGTGTGCTGGTTTGCATGCAAGCTCTCATAGCAACTCAATCAAGTTTGGTCAGCGCATAGTGGCTTCCGCTCGCAGCAACATCATCTGATTTGGGGCTGAGCTGTGCTCCGCTTGGTGCTGGTGTCTGGTGGCAGTCTGATGGTTTGCATGCAAGCTCTCGCTGCACGCAAGGCTTCACTGCATCTTATTGAGCTCAATCAGGGCACCATAGCTGGTGAGAAGCACCAGCTGAATGCAGGATCGCTGGTGCTGTCTGGCTGCTTGCCTCTCTTGGTGTCTTGCTGTAGAGTGTATGCTGAGCTCTTGTGATCGTTATGCTTTCGCTAAGCAACCCACTATGGGTGTATGCAACATGCAAAGGCTCAGTTGAGTTTGGGCGGTGTACGGAAGTTGCAACCGAGCAGCGGCTCCGTAGGGCATCCAACCGGCTGCATCGGGGCTAAACACAGGCTTTGGATACGTGTGTTGCTGGCTGAACTTGTTACTGTGTTGTGCAGGCCCAGACACCCCGCCGCGCCTGCTTTCGCGTGTTGGTGATCATGTTGGCTTCTCCATATTCACTCTGCAACATGGGAGTGACAGCATTGAGCAGGAGCTGTTGATAGACACCAGGTGTGGTCTAGAGCTGCTCCTACAACAGAGCATTGCTGACCAGCTGCACCTCGTCCCAGTGCCCGGCTGTGACATCCGTGTCACTGGCGTGGTGGGACTGTGACGGCGGTGCCTTTTAATGGTATGGACTGCTTACTTGCCCTCCACTTGCTCACTTAGACTGTGAAGTTTGGCTTGTCTGACTGCCTGCGGCTTGCCATTTGCTCACTATTTTTTTACCGTGGTGCAACCTGTCTCATTTTCTCATAATGCAAGTTTCTGTGGTTGCAGACATCATGGTGTCGGCTCTGCTGCATGACAAGCTCACGCACAAACTCGTGCTGACTGTTGAGAAATATCTCACTCCCTTTGTCATCCTAGATGCAGCTACAGCACCAACCCTAGGTCCACAGGACGCATCTGATGACCAGCATGATATTGATAGCAATGTGCAGCCAACGGATATCGGTGCAATCTTGAAAGTGAGCAAAACAGCTACTTCCATGGCCACTGCACCAGCTCCGGTGATTGCAGCAGGCTTCGACATGCCACTGATTGGCCGCAGCGGGCTACTGCGCATGGGCTTGGAGCCCAGCCTCAGCAAGAGTTATTTGTATCCAACAAAATTGGTATATGCACTGGTTGTCTAGTTTCACTGCAACGACCGCAGATGTACCAATGTCGACTTCAGAATGCTGTCCTGGTGAAACAACATGATTTACTGTGAGGCAAGTGTAACGAAGCGACCAACACAGCTTACATTACACCTGAATTGATTGTCAAGCTCGCGCACAGGATGCCGGAGTTCAATGCAGTGCTCTCGTAGTGTTTGCTAAATGTTTCATAGGAGTGCATAATGCAGTGTGGCCCCACAAGCGTGATACAACGCAAATCTGCTTGTAGACTTAGGCTTAGCCAAGCCTGCTGACTTTCATAATGCTACAGAGCCTGGCCTCTGCACCTGGCCTCCATCACAAGCATTTTAAGATTAATGAAAGCTGTCACTTGAAAGTCAAATCACTATGCTTGTTCGAGTCTGTCCTTGACTTCTTGAGTTCAACTGCTTGAATTCCTTTGTTTGTTTGCTTTGGGCCTCAGCCAGGCGTGGGTATGAAGCGCAAGCTGCTGGTGTCACTGCAAGACCCGTCAGACCCTCCCATGCCAGATATTGTTTTGCAGAGCATGGTTCTCTGGCAGTCCCTCCAGGATGCGCTTGATGTCCAGGGGTGGCTGCAGGCCAAGATTCTCGGCTCTGTGCCACCTGATCCCACAGACAGGAATTGATCGAGCTTGCAGCCAGCATGCTTTTTATCCCTGAAGGCGCTCAATAGAAGTGCGACTCTTTGCTCTGCCTTTATTGGATTCAGGCTGCTGATGAAATTGTTCTGCACATGCTCCTTCGACAAAGCAGCTCTACTTCCCAGCGACTAATCGCAAGGGCTGCGAGCAGCGACACTAACCAGAAAGAAACCAGTGAATCTTACCTTGCAAGTCGTGTCAGTCCAGTGCAAGGTCCATACTTCATGGCCAAGTCGAAGCCTTTGAGAGCTTCGGACGCGGCCGTGAGGTCTGTGACAAAGAGAGATTGTCAATATGGTGTTTAATTCGACTCCGAATACCCTCCCTGAAGACTTGCTAAACCCATAATTCTTGGACTTGCTAGCAAGCTTGCGCGAAAAGTCTCGCTGTCACCGCGAGTCAGCCCACCTGCATGTTCCCCAGAAGTGCTGGAACGAGCTTCTACGCCTGTGCTGACATCAGGTTGCGACGAAGAGCTCCTGGTCGTTTTCAGCTTAGATCGTTGGGGCTGGGGGTCGAGATAAGCCTTCGACTGCCTGTAGTTGATTTTACTGTTTCCAGTCATCATTGTATTCCTCCGCAAGTGACAATATCTTATTCACCAGATGTAAATTGTATTATGAAGGAGAAGAACTGCATGCTCAGCTTTGGTCACCAGGCGGGAAGCTGGTGGGAATGTTCCCTCCTGCCCCTCTAGGCCTGCCAAGTTGGTACAGCCCTGCAACTATGCATGGGTTGATTCCAGTGTGTCTGTTACATGAAGAAGTTAAAGATCTGTAGCGGTGCTTTCTTTGCTAGTGTGCATTGCTAGGCCACAGTACCTTCCAGTTGGGACCCCAGGAAAGGGCCGCAGCGGTTGCAATTTTGATTATAACCCCAGCAACTGGCAGGTGGCTCTGTGCATGCATATGCGGGCGGCAGCAATAGTTTACTAGATGCGCATGGATCAGATGATGCACAGTACGCAACTTGCACTGAACTCTGACACTGTGACAGTGCTGCTAGCCAACCCATATATATTTAGAGGACCTCCTAGAAAAATTTTAGTCCAATGCCAGTCAAATGTAGGACTAAAAACTCAAAACATGTTAGCTAAATCTACTCAACGATAGCAGCGGACATTCTGTAAAACAAGGGAATGGGCAAAATACAAAAATCTCCTAAATATGCTCGATTTGACTGGGCGTTGTATTGTTCTTCCTGAAATAAGATATATAGTTCACAGCCGTATCGTTCATCAAGGACCATCTGCCCGTCACAGGATTGAGGAACATCCCAGAGATGCTGACTTGCTGCAGGCCTACCCGTCCCATCAGTCGAGCAAGCTCATCTGCAGACATCACAACTGCTCTCGCGATATTTTCAACACCCAACGTGTAGTATGCAACGGCAGATCACCACCCCCCTTCAAACAGGTAGCTTGGCACCAGTACAGCCTAGCATAGCTCGTGAGCTCGTCAACATTGCTTACCTGGAGTGATGAAGCGGGACCAGTCATGGGTGCCTTTCGGGACAACCTGTGCAAGATACTCGGCACCTACAATGGCAACAGCGTAGGAGGCGGCAGTGCGATTGATCGTGGAAATGACAACCGCGCCGCTGTCCCTTGTCAGGGCGGCCAGTGATCTGCAGAACTCAGGCACATTCTCCACATGCTCGATGACCTCTGACGCCACCACCGCATCAAATTGCAGGCCTGCAGGTACACAAGTCACCGAGACTCAAGAGGGCAAGCCATCACATGCATTGCCTGATGGCAGCACGATTCAGACGAAGCAGAGCTCGTTGGATTGCATGTCGCGGACCTTTGTCCACAGCCTGCTCTGCAGTGATGTTGCGATAGGCCGTCCTCCCCTGGATGACTGGATCAGCGCGGGCATGCTCTCTAGCAACAAATATGGCGCCCTCTGACGCATCAATGCCTGTGACAGAAGCGCCCAATCTGGCCAGGGCCTCGCTAAAGAGCCCTCCTCCGCAGCCAACGTCCAGGATGGACAGCCCTTGCAACGGGTGCGCTGACATGGTATCACGCCTGCCCCCAATGATGCCGCTTCCAGTGATTGGCTGAAACTTCCGAGAGAAGAGTGCAAATTGATTTTGACACAAGTTTTGCACGACACAGAGCATGCTGGGTATAATGAAAAGTTCCCGGCAGAAGAGGCAATGAATAAATGGACGGCGTGTGCCCTCCAAGATTCCCATGCCATACACATGCATGGACAGGATTTGGAGTACAGAGTAGATTGCTCACCCGAAACAGAGACACAAAGCATCCCGAGTGAATTTTGTCCTGACTGGGTTCATGCTGTGCAGTGGTCCACTGGAGCCTTCTGGGTCCCACCAGTTTTTTGCCATTTCTTCAAACTTCCGGACCTCAGCAGCACTTATAGATGATCCCATGGCAGAGCCCTCCTTTCCATCTGCAGTTCTGCGTTTTCCACATTGAAGCCATCATAAGCCATCCCAATTGGTGCAATGGTTGGAAATGCACTCACTCTGTGCTGGCAAGCTCACCTAACTTCCTCTGCAGTACTGCTGCCGCTGAAGCTCCTTCGTGATGATTGCCGTACTTTACTGCACAATACTGACGTAGATAGTTTTCCAAAAGGGCTGATGTGGCCGGTCAATCTTTTGGCAGGTGCAGGCTCATGATCTAGTCTTTTTGAGTCAACCCAAACATCTCTGTTAAGTGTAATACCTGGCTCGCATAACGATAAGAAAGTGTTGGAAAATTGTAGCACACTGGCAAGCGATCTGCAAGATGCAGTTGTGCCATGTAAGGTACAGAGAAGTCGATGGGTTGTTAGATCTTTTACTATACTCCTCATGACAAACATGGGCTCGAGGATCAGAATCAGTCCGTTTCTCTCTAATCTTTGTATTGTAGGTGTGCTCAGAGTTCCCTCTCGTCGCAATGGAAAGCAGAAGAGCTTCCAAAAGCCTCATCATGGCACGTGCCGACTAGTCAGCAATCGTCGGCAGATGCTTTCGAGCTGTAAATTCGATCCGTGCTTGGACGAGCACAATTCTTTCTTGGATCAGGATCTCTTTCTTAGAATGGCGCAAGCTATGAGAAGGGCAGCATTGTCAAGTTCCTTCTTTCTACGGCGGCAGGTTGATGATCTACCCTTGTTTGGGCTCCAATCCCTCAGGTGCCCTTTCCTGTCACGCTTGATGTGCTTCAGTGCAGATAAAATCTTCCGCAATGGTCAGTACAGCATCAGAGTGCTTTGTTGGCATAAGCTCAATTCAACCAGCCCATTTTTGGTAGTTAGGGTTCTTCCCAACTGGTCCTGATGCTGTTGATCATGTTTGGACAGGGAATTTTGCACACCTACGAAACCATATAAGCCTACAGACATAACAGAAGTTGACATTGTGCGAAAGAGAGGGATCGATCTGCTCCATGACCCTCTCTACAATAAGGCATATACCTCCCCCACTTCAGTGTCACTCCCTGCGTATGTCAGATGAATGCAATTAAATGTCAAAACAAATCTGAAATGCTGAGAATGCTGCAGGGCACTGCATTTTCCGTTTCTGAGAGAGAGCGACTGGAATTGAGAGGCCTTCTGCCAAAGAAGCTGCTGTCAATGGAGATACAGGTACTTTCTCCGCTTCTTGATCAAGCTAATGGAATGTGTGACAATGGGAAACTCTCCTATAGCTGTCAGAAATAGCTTGGCACCTCTGATCTGCTTCTGTGCATCCTGATGGCATGCTTGTGTCGCACAGGTCCAGCGACTCATGGAGGACTACGACTATGGCAGGGATTACATCTCAGCAGACCACATTACTGATGGCGGGGTCACGAGGGATCATGTCAGGAAATGGAAGGTGCTCCAGGAGTTGCAGGTGAGCGCACATTGTAAACATCATTGTGACATGTTTGAGCATGCATGAAAATTCTCCGGGCTTGGCAAAAACTGGTGTGGTGCAGGATCGCAATGAGACCCTCTTCTACAGGATCTTGCTGGACAACTTTCCAGAGATGGCTCCCATAGTCTACACTCCTACAGTCGGATGGGCCTGCCTGGTGCGACCTGCTGTGACTAGTGCGCTCAACATTCAACGGTTCCTGAAGTGTCTTGTGCATGGCCTCACCCTAATCCTCTCGGTGCACCCATGCAGAACTATCACAAGCTGTATCGGAGGCCAAGAGGCATGTACTTTGATGCCACTGACAAGGGAGAGATGGTACGGACCCCCTTCCTGCCAACACCCGTAGTCCTAAAAACATACCGGAGAAGGGCAGACCCTTGAATTTCTTGAAATGAGTCTCAAAGACACAGCGTTGTGTAAGCTGTGAAAACCTTGGCTGCCTGGGGCCATCCCATCCGCTACTTGCATTAGTCCTTGTTTCTTGGAATCGCATGCGACTTGGCTCACACACAATATTATGCCCTCTCTGCGATGCATGTGAATGCAGTTGATGACTGTGTTCTCAGGCAGCCATGGTGTGGAACTGGCCAGCAAATGAGGTGGACGCCATAGTTATCACAGATGGCAGCCGCATCCTGGGCCTTGGAGACTTGGGCCTCAATGGCCTGGGCATCTCAATCGGTGAGCAGCCCTCCACTATCCCCCACATCCTCTTCAACACGTTATGGTGTCTGTATTGTCGATACACTCCTGTATATGCACTGAGGCAGCCCTTCATCCCTGCTCTGGCGCTCGCACTGACGTTTGTTCAATCCTGAGGGCTCCCAACAGATGGCAGTGCAAAGGCATAGCCGGGACAGGAGCGGCCCATCAGTGAACAGCAAATTGAGGCTTAATTCCTGAGCTGGCGGATGTGTGCAGGCAAGCTGGACTTGTATGTGGCGGCGGCTGGCTTCCACCCATCCAAGGTGCTGCCAGTGGTTCTGGACGTTGGCACACAAAACATGGCCCTACGCGAAGACCCCCTGTACATCGGCTTGGACCAGGACAGGCTCAACGGCGACGAGTACTATGAGGTGTGCCACCTTCCCCCATGTAGCAACGACGCTGCGGTAAAATTTCAACCCATGCCATTACACCCCACATGCAACGACACTGCTCAGCGTCTGTGAGTGCGGGGACGCCACAGTCAATACACTATGCCTGCGAGGCGTTGACGCGGTGAGGGCATTTTTTTGGCTGAGCATGCTTTTCGCAGGTGCAGTCTTGTGATGAAATATTTAAGTTTTGGTGTTAGATGGCTGTCTGATGATAGACTTGGGTTGTGCAGATCGTGGACGAGCTTGTGAAGGCCCTGTCAAGCCGGTACCCCAATGCGGTGCTGCAATTTGAGGACTTTAATCTGGCCCACGCGCTGCCCCTGCTGGAACGCTACCGCGAGCACCACCTGTGCTTCAATGATGACGTGCAGGTGATGTGCAGTGTGCCTGCAACTCGCAAGTCTGTAACATGCATGCCTGGATCAGCCGGCTGAAATAGTGGACCTGGGCCAGCCTGTTAAGCCTTATATGTGTGTTCATGGATTGATGATGGGTGCCTGTATAACTAGTGTTGCAGCGTCGCTGCAAGATGCCGGCTAGCGCACAAACACTGAAGACGATCAGAATGGGGATAATACAGGGTACTGCGGCGACTGCAGTGGCGGGGGTGTATGGGGCGCTGGCGGTGCAGGGGAAGGACTTCAGCGAGCTCACAAAGCAGCGCATCGTCCTGATCGGTGCCGGCAGCGCGGGCATGGGCGTTGCGCGCATGCTGGCCCTCGGCATGCTCAAGCAGGTGCTGCTGCACAACCACCGCTCTCGAAGCATTCCACCGCAACAGTCCCTGCTTCGTGCCCGGACTGTGTTGTATGTCTCGCACTGTCTCATGCTACAAAGCTGTACAAAGCTGTTTTAAGACAGGGATGCCCATCGAAACAGCCGCCTGTCAGACACGTCCTCTCGCGACATGCCGAACTGGGTAAATGTGCAAAACATGGTGTTGGTGCTCTGATTCGTTGACCTCAAATAAAACCGAATATGTTATGCACACAATATTTGGCTGCAGCTTGTCTGCAAATGCACCTTGCCTGTGGCAGGAATAGCATGACAATAGCACCATGGGTAAATCTGGCTTGGGAGTCAGGCAAGCAAGGACCTGTGCGTGTGCAGGGGATCTCATACGAGGAGGCGCTGGGCAATTTCTGGGTGTTGGATGCGGACGGTCTCATAACCATCAAGCGCCCCACCGCCCTCAACCACACAGTCAAGTCCTTCGCCAGGAAGACCCAGGAAGATGTGGAGGGTGAGAGCCTTGTGGAAACTGTTAGACGGGTGCGTTCCAGCTCTTCAAATGCCTCAACTTTCCACATCAAGATTTCGAAAACAAATTCATGTATTACATGTTACCTGTTTCTGTACAACTCCATTTGCAAGTGATCCTTTGTAATATTATCACCAAGAAAATCTCCCTGTGCTGCTAGTTATTAAAAAAAGTTCAGATTAACTCGTAGGAGGCATGCATGGGGTAGGAACTCTTGGCAGCCAGCAGCTTGTCTGCAGATGCACCTTACATCTAGCAGGGACAGCACGTTGGGTAGGGATTTCATGTGTTGCAACTGCAATTCTTGAAATGAGATCAATAATGCATGCATTGCGCCTGCAGGGGAAGCTTTGACACTGATAATGTATGCATTATGAGTGCAGGTGAAGCCGACGGTGCTGGTGGGCCTGGCGGGTGCGGGGAAGCTGTTCACAGAGGAGGTGCTGACGCTGATGGGGCAGCACAACGAGCGCCCAATCATCATGCCCATGTCCAACCCCACCCACAAGATGGAATGCAACGCTGAAGAGGCCCAGAAGGCCACAGGTCTGCTCTCACCCTCCTCATGCACGCACGCATGGCTCGTTTAAATGGGTCTCACTGGTCTCACCCTCCTCATGCATGCATGCATGCATGCCTTCTTCACTTTTAATTCCACCCACAAGATGGAGTACAACGTTGAAGAGGCCCAGAAGGCCACAGGTCTAGGGGACTCCCCTTGTATATGCATGCATGCCTGTTCTCAAGATGAAGATCAATCCATCAAGCTGGAGGAAGAATCTTGAAGCCAATCGAGCCTCAAGTAGCTCATCAAGCCCAGAGCCACATCTTCGATTGATTGCTTTGACTTGGATACCACCTTGCTGGCACAGTCGTGCAAGCTGAGCAGGGGAGTGTGAGTTCAAAGGTGAGGCTGTTGTGCAGGGGGCCGAGCAATTTTCGCCAGTGGCAGCCCCTGTGCTGATGTGCAGTACGAGGGCCGCACCATCAAATCATCCCAAGGTGTGCCTCAGTTGCTGCGAAAGTGCAACTTCTCCACTTTGCGCATGGTGTCAGCTTACAGCAGAATTGATGCAAGATCTTGTTGACCTAACCAGCCTGTGTGCTCTGAGATTGCTGTGGTTTGGCTTTGCAGCAAACAACATGGTGGTCTTTCCTGGTCTGGCGCTGGGCGCGCATCTGGGAGCAACAGGGGTGAGCTTTCTCTGCAACCTCTTCAGCAACTGATTTTGCACCTCCTGGGCTCGCCAATCGCGTAGTAATTCTATGAGTTATTGCCTTGGACAAACATACTGACACTGTGTGCTTTGCTGCAGACGATCACGGATAAGATGCTGATGGCGGCGGCGGAAGCGCTGCCCAGCTGCATACTGCAGGAGGACCTCGAACAGGACATTGTCTACCCCAGACTCTGTGATATCAGGTGCGGCCCTGATGAGAGGCGCAGTGTCCTCTCCGTGCTGAATGTCTTGGAATGTTGAGCAGGAGTTGCTTGTGGCAAGATGGAGGCAATCCATGCACGAGCTCGGACAGCTGCTGCCCTTGCATGCTGCGTGGCAAAAGGGATTTCATGTCTCTCACTTTCATGGACCTTCATAAGAAAGAGTCAAAGGCGAGACTGGGATACTGCAGGGAGGTGAGCCTGAAAGTGGCGATGGCAGTAATCAAGCAAGCTCATGAGGAGGGTCACGTGGGCAGCGACAAAGCGCTGAAAGCCCTGGAGACCTCCGATGAGGAGCTGGCAGCCTACATCCAGGAGCACATGTACGAACCTGTCTACAAGCCCCTTGTCAGCCTGCCTGTGGGAGTCCTGGAGTAGAATAAGAGACGTCAAAGAATAGCTTGTGAAGCCAGCTTCCCTTTGGACATGGTGGTCCAAATGACAGGCATGATTGAGTGGTCAATTATTTTGGTACTGGTCAGAATATATGTCCCTCATGTTGCAGTGTGTAGCGTTTGTGCGTTTGCAGGCATTCCTTGCCTCGACCCATGTGCACTGGTTATCATGACCGCGTCATGGGCCCAGGCATTTAGTGCGCTAGGCTTAGAGTGATCCAATGTTCAAAGTCTACCCATCTAGGTCTATATATCTGCCCCTGGCGGCTGCAGCTGAGCATGTTGTTGTCGCAAAGCAGAGCTATTATGTTTATTGATTTCTGGCACATGGTTTATCAATCGGCAAACAATCGAATCACGCAATTGTGATTGATTACAGTGAGCTTTTTGGAATCCTCACTGGCCAGAAACACAGCAAGAAATCAAGAATTTTTGGTTCTATCAGGTTTTTTTACTGCTAGATCGTGTTTTAACGGCCTCGCACCATGCAATGCGTATTGCCGTTAGATGCACATATGTCAAGAATATTTGGGCTATCAGCATTTCCTTGCTCAGTAAGGTTTTTAATCTCTGAAGGAGAGCGCCATCCCATCCATTTGTAATTTTGGATATATCTCCTCAGCACAATATGGCCCTCATTTATTACAACAATTGCTTATTAATAAATTTCGCGCTCACCATGTCCAAACAGGCCCTAGGAAAGCTCAAAGGCAGCGCAGCCCCATAGGCAGTTCATATACATACATGTGCTGGCAGGCAACGGGCAGAATATTAGATTTTTGGCCATGGCTGCTAAGATTTGGGCTTGCAAACAGGTTAAGCACTCGCAAAGCTCAGCTGGCCATACCGTCTGCAAGGACAGAGGTCACATACTCTCGCATAGAGCCAGCACTTTGGGTTGGTTCATGATCATGTTTTTTTCAACTGACAACACCGCTGATATGCATTGGTCACACGTCAACATCATCATGATGCCAAGCATGCCAATGCCAGCTTCTCCACATGTTCCCGCGCCCTAGCAGTGGCCTATGCAGCCAATCACGCATCCAAGGGGTCGGGGCTGTCGCTGCTCCTGAGCTCTTCGGAGCGGTCGTGGGTAATGTAGTGCATAGTGAGGATGTCCTCGGTGGCTTTCCGCGTGGCCTGCGTCTCCATGATGACCAGTTGGTTGTACTCCATCTGGAAGCGCAGGTACTTGTCCTTGCACGCCTCCACCGCCTCCATCAGCCCCCGCAGGTTCTTCACCGGCACGCCGTTCACCGCCTTCACCTGCATTCCAGGACAGCAGCGCTTGAATAAGCATCTGGAGGTGCACCGTTGCAGAACCCGCCTGCCAGACTTCACCAGCACATAATGTCACTGCCCAGCTCTCAAGAACTGCCCTTCCCCAGGACATGTGGGATCAGACCCACATCCAGATACTACTGCTCTTTCCTTGTGCTTGCCCATGCATGCATCTTGAATGCTGCAATCTGCCTAGACCTCACAGACATTGCATGTGGGAGACACGCGGCAGATCAGGTAAGTCTCAAGCTGCAACATAAAAATTTGCACGGAGAAGAGAGCTGGCACATGATGCACTTGTGCGCTTGGTGGGGCCTTGATTAACAAATTGTAGCTGCGGTGGGCGCACCCGGATGTTGACGAGGTCTTCGTAGCCGATGTTGATGTCGGCTGCGAGCACCTGCCCCAGGACGACCACATGCTGCCCCTTGCCTAGCGCCTGCTCGTGCATCATGGCGTCCAGCAGCTTCACGGGCGCGTCAAAGTCGTACTCCTTCCCGTACTCGCTGCGCAGGTACGGCACCGTCACCTGCCAAGCGCACCCACACGACTTGCTTGAACGCCTGAGACATACTTTGTCATACTTGGTTCAGCCATACAAGAAACTCACTGAGGGAAGTACAACCCCCTTCAGCATCCAAGCCATGCTTGTTTCTTCCCTTAAACTACCTGCGTCAGATTTCCCTTGAGCATGCAAGACACCTGCCATAGTTCTTCTGCCTTACAAGAAGTGCATCAAGTATAAGTCAGCCGCAATTGACAGTCTTGGGTTTCGGCGGCAAAATGTGTACATGCATGCGTAACGCAATGACCAAAACATGCCCTCCTGAACAGAATTAAAGTTGCTCCTGCATGTCACGATCCCACAGCATCATGTCATGACCCCTGCCATGGCAAGTCGCTGCAGGTCCTGACCGACACTGGTGGACAGCCACATGCAGGAGTAATTCTGGTGTGTGTAGCAAGAGTGTGTACATTGCAGATAATTTGCTTCACTTAGACACCTGTGTGAAGACGAGGCCGCCCAGGATGAAGTAGGGGGGTGGCCGGCCGCCGATGTGCACGGGTATGAGGCGGTGGGGGGCCCTCAGGTTCACGCTCAGCGTCCTCTCCTGCCCATCCTTAAGCAGCCGCACCTTCGCCTGCACACCACCGAAATTGTGAGCCCACCTGCATGCTTTACTTGCCGCACGCATTTATCACCACGTGCATGCCATGCTGCAACGAGTTCTCTCACGCCACGCCAAAGCACAGGGCCGCAGCCCAATGACTTTGGGCTGCGGCTCACTTCTTACAGAAAGTCAGACTCTGCTATACTGGTCACATAGACACACGCACCAGATCAAAGTGGAGTTCCTTGATTTTCCTTACACATCGGTGCAGGGGTGCAGTTTTTGGAGGGGTGCATATTCATTTGGACACAGAGGCCTCCCATGCAAAGCCAAGAAGCCTCTCACCTGCTCATCGGTGAACTTCTGGGAGATGAGGTAGGAGAAGGAGATGCGCTCGCCGGAGCGGAAGGGCACAGTGCCGTCGTTGGCGATGTCGGTGCCCTCAAATGACATCAGAATGTCGCCCTCGCTCAACACCTCGCTCGCCGGCGACGTCGGCTCCACCCGCCTTATGTACACCCCCTTTTGCCCCTCCTATTTTGGCATAGCAGGGCAGATATTTAACCCGTGCAGTCTTTTTTGCTCAGTGAAACTGCTGCACACCACAGCGCAGGGACCCGATGAAAGTGCTGTTTAGGTCACTGATGATGGACATACAAACAACAAGGTGGGCTGCAGCATGCATGTGGGAGCATGAGAGTCACAAGGAACAGGGAGGCGTACCTTCATGCCCAGGGACTTGCGCAGGAAGGGGCTCTCCATCTTCTGCCACTCAATGCCCAGGGCCGGGAAGGCGGTGTAGCGCCCGTTGCGCTCAAAGTCCGTGATGAAGTGCTGGATCACCGGCGGCGGTATAATGTACCCAATGTTCTCTGCGTCCTCATGCTGCAGGCATGAAACCAACCCATTTTTAGGAAGTCATATAATTCCAATACTATTCTAGAAGGTGGCGAGACTGCACTGCGAGCCGCATTGACCAGCATTCCTGGGGACCAGCAAAGACTGATAGTCAGCGCAAAGAGGTGGTCACACAACTGACCATCACATTCAGTACTCGATGGTCACTTGTGATAATCACCCCTTTGCACCGACTACGTCAGAGAACTAGAGAAGGGGGAAAGAGGGTGGGGCATGCCTTGAGGGATTGGAAGGCGATGCCGACGCACTGGCCCCGGTTGTTGAAGGCGGGGCCGCCGCTGTTGCCGCTGTTTATGGCAGCATCGATCTGCACCCCCAGCAGCTCAGCCGCTCCGTGCACATAGCTGGTCACCTCTATCCTCGACACCACGCCGCTCGTCACCGAAATGCTCTCCCCGTCGATGGGGAACCTGCGGCATAACACGCCCATTCAAGGTCAGCATGCGTCGGCACAGGGCCGTAGCACACAATTTGGCATCATTCTAGCAGCTGTGAAGATCGAGGCAGAAATCGGTAGGGACTCACCCACTCAAGATCAGTATGCTTCAGCAGAGCGTAGCAGCAAGCGTGATCCTTCTGGCTGTAACTCAGTAAGATCAGAGTAGGGATCCTTGTGGTTCTGAAATAATGCTCACCCAATGACAGTGACCTGGTCCTGCAGGCGAGGCAGCTCCCCAAAGTTGACCGGGCAGAGGCCCTCCCAGAACTCCTCATCCTCCACTGTCAGCATCGCTGCAGCAGACCACAGGGTGGTCAGTTCTCCTCTGCTTGTCATCTGAATGATGCCAGAAGTACGCATAGGAATGCAGACTTGTGGGTGGCCAATGAACGAGCTTGCCCAGCCTGACTCACCTATATCGCACTCTGTGCCGACAGCCAGCACCGCGGCCACAAACTTTGTGTCCGAGCCTCGTCGCCTAACCTTGACCTGAGACACACGCAACAAGATTGTCAGGTGCACAGATTAAGAGCTCTACAGACTGCATATATCAGAAGCTGCATATATCTTTCATATTTGTTTGGCTGCATGTGGCCTCTGCAGGATGCCTGTACCTGCGTGTGGTGGTCAACTGAATGGGCGTTGGTCAGAATGCGCTTCCCAGAGATGATGAAGCCGCTGCTGGTGCTGCTAAACTGCCGCTTGCGCTGCCAGGGCAGCGAGTAGTTGGGCTCTGAGTGCATGCAGAATACCTGTGCACAGAAAACTTCCCGGCATCAGATCCAGTGTGGGAACGGGAACCACTTTGATGCTGCTAAGATAATTTTGTGAGATACTTACTGTAACACTACTGAAATAGCCCGACAATCCATCCAAAGTGCTTCAGGAATGGCGCACCTTCACGACAGTCTCCATTAGCCTCTCAGCATCTCTGGCCGGATACTCCACTGGATCAGTCAGGATGTCATGCCTGGGACTCCCCGGAGCTAGCATGTCTGACCCGCCTGCAGCAGCACCCACTTATATTGTTTTGCAACACTGTGCTTTTAGAGGCACAACTGGGCAAGATGCTACGCACAAACATCCAAGAAGAGAAGCCGGCAAAGACAGACTGCACTGCATAGATCCTGACCACACCTCCGACGTGCACAGGCGGAAGACCATTTTCTGCTGGCCGCGTGGCCCTCCTTTTCCTGCTCTTCTGAGGCGCTTCATGGACATCTGGTGACACGTCCTCCCTGCTCCTATTTCCGCGCAAAGTACGCTGCTCCTTTTTGCTCTTTGGTGCTGCCTCTTCGGACGTGGAAGCCTCAGCCGCCTTCGGATCACAGAGAGTAGCCACTTCAATAGAGAAAACAGATCTGTAGAAACTGCGGGCTGTGTAACATAGGATTCCTGTGCATTGATGCTGGAGTCTTGGAGATCATTTAGACTAAAATCAACAACAGCATATGTATATAATGTACAGCTTACTAGACACAACCATCCCAGACACTACATCGAAGCATGTTTGTATAGACTCGTGCCTGATTGCCAGCATCGATGTCCATGGTGGTTGGGCCGGCACTTGCAGCATTTTTCCTCAATGATTTTCTTGTGTTCGTCACCATGTCTCGCAGATTGAATGCGGAGTCCTTAGAGTCCCTTACAACTTGATCCTGAACACTGAAGTAAGACACAGGTGCGACTCGAGCCAACGATGAGGATGCGCAACGTCTTGTTGTTTCTCTAAGCAATGTCCGGCCCAACAAAAACATTACAATTCATCAAAAGCATACAGATCAAGGAAGGAAGGAGGAGAGGCAGTGAGGCAGCAGGGGTTTCTGTAGGGTTTTGGGCCTTGCTCCTTGAAGTTGAGCTTTCTTGGCCCAAACGCAGAAGGGAAAAGACGTCATAGCTAGAAGATACGAAAGCCGATCTTGCCATCGACCCAGAGATCTTGCAGTTGAATTTGTTTGGACACGAGTCATCTGATGGCTGTAAGAAGGCAGCTCGAAACTGCCTTGGCAGAGGTAGAGCATGCAGGAAAACGTGGGTTTTTTGAGCCTGCCAGGCGTTACTTGCAACTGGTAAGTAACGAATCGGCTTTTGAGCACCTCTGCTTGCACCTGTCAAGACGCTGATGGCTAAGATCACTTCATATTTCGACCTGTCTGGCTGGTTGAACATCATAGCATGCCACAGGTGCGTGAGTTGAAAGTGCGGGACTCGGAGAATGTCACGTTGCTGGGCTCACAGCTGCTCAGACAGCACAGGCATCGTCTACGAGAAGAAGAATGTGAGCACCAGGACTCCCCCTCAGCATCCCTTTCATCATGTTCCTCATTCCAAACCTTCATGACATGGTCTTAAGTTGAGCTGGATGCTTTGGCACAATTCCCGTTGTGTGATCGAGTGTGTTTCTATGCAGTGTGGCTTATAACAGAACAGGTCGCCGTTGCCGCCATGGATACCAAGGCAGTGGAGCTTGCTGTTGAGCTAGTGGGAGACATCAAGAGGCAGTTTCCCAGGAGCCAGCGCGCCATCAGACTCACAGTCCGTCACCACCAGTTCTTCGCTTGTTCTTTGCCATTCCAATTACACACTACTAGCCCAGACTGGTCCAGTGATGCCTGATAACCTTACCCTTGCTTGCATGCAGGAGATGTACTTTGAGGCAAGGGGCCTTTATGATGAGGCTGAGAAGGTGATCACAGAGCAGCTTGAGGATGCGCCCGAGTCACAGATGCTGTTGAAGCGCCAAGTGGCCTTGGAGAAGAGCAAGGGCAACATTGCTGGAGCCATCGAGGCCCTGAGGAAATATGTGGACATTTTCCAGACAGACAGGGAGGCCTGGGAAGAGCTGGGCGAGCTCTATCTGCAGGCATGTTTCCACATCTTGCTCTCCTGAATTGCGCTTCATCACTGTACTCTACAGGTTTCTATAAATATTATGTGTGTGTTTGGCGTTTGTTGCAGGTTCAGATGTACCCACAAGCGGCCACATGCTACGAAGAGGTGCTGCTGCAGAATCCTACCTCCATAGCATCCCACGTCCAGTATGCAGATGTGCTGTACACCATTGGAGGGCCCAGCAACTACAGAACTGCAAGGACGTACTACGCGGCAGCTGTCGACCTCAGCGGCGGTGAGAACGCGCGTGCCCTCTACGGCTTGTGTGCGGCCTCAGCGCAGCTCACTGCCTTGAAGGACGCAAACAAGGTGCAACCCCTTATCTTTGTCCGTGCCATGGCAATGCTCCACTGAAAGCTCATGCATGAATGATCCAAATGGATATGTGCCATGGCCAAGGATATGTGCCATGCATGCTGATGACTTTTGCTGACAGTTATTTGTGAATCCAGGGGAAGGATGCACCCAGCAGCAAGGACGTGGAGGAGCTTGCAGGACTTGCTGGAAAGACTCTGTTGCGGAAGTATGAGGATGAGGCTGGGGACAAGGTGCCTCTGGTGCTGGCCACCTTGAAAGCACAAGGTTTTTACGCAAGTGCGGCATCATGACACAGGCTGGCTCAGGTCGGCGGGGGCTCCAATTGAGTTACTCAACTTTCAACGGAAGTTCCCAAGTTGAACGCATGCACTGCATGGTATATTTGCCACTTAAAGTGACTGAGAGGACTGTCATGTCGATTTCCTCACCAATTATGTCGTGATTTTGTAATTTCAGTTTCTACACTGTTTGCACACTGTCACAGCCACGGTGGCATGCCAATGCGCCGCGCATGCGGCATCATGCGATGATCGGCCTGGCGGCTGTACATGTATCGTGCAGCATCATAGAACTGTGTTCAATTCATTGAGCAGTTTTGCAGTTCTGAAAATCTCCTGTGGCGTGCGTATCTGTGAAACGAGGTGTGGAGATTCTTTCACCTCATCACCACACGGCGTATCCTCACATTTTCCTTGCTCGGCCCCTCCCTGCCCAACAAAACGTCCTGCCAAATCAAGTTTCCAGCGGCGCTTCTTCCCTTCGTTTTCTTTAAATAGCCCCTGATTTACTGTAGTCATTAACGCTTTGGAAAGAAAGGTTTTAGATCAGGTCATGAATGGAAAGCTTAAACTTGTCCTAAAACTTCCAAAGTCACTGCAACAAGATATCAGAAGCAACGACAGTGCAAGTGCCCAGCCTGTAAAGAAGCGCAAGCGTCCTCAAGACCAGGGTGTTACCCAGACAATACCCCATCACTCATCACACGCAGCACACGGCAGTCAGGAGGCAGGAGCAGCTGTCCATCCCCCAAAGAAGAGCAAATTGGTGGTGAAGCTTGGTTCTGCGCCGAGCGGATCGCAGGCCAGTGCTGATGGCAAGGCTCAGGGGCAACCATCAATAAAACCTCGCTTCACTATCAAGTAGGGGCCTGGTGCTATTTGTCCCAAGTGTGTGGCTCATCCCTGGGCTTTCATTGATCCTCAGTTCTGGTCGTTGTGGAGATATGATATGCTGTAGGAGAGTAGTTTAGTCGAAGGTTGTCAGCTTCATGCTTGGTTAGGCGCTGTGCAGTATGCAGAGCAGCGTCATTTAGCAAAAGTTCGATCTGAGAGACATGTACTGGCAGATACATGTTTGCGAATTTCACGAGAGTCCAAGATGCTATTGTTTTCAAGAAACAGAAGCAACCCCGCATTCCTGCGAGGCCATGACCTCCTTGTACGTGGCAGGCAGGAGTCAACAACCTATGGTTCTGAACAGTGTGACTGGCGCAGGTTGCCATCCAAGGTAGCGAACTCAGATGGAAAAGCGCAGACGCCGTCGCCTGCGCTAAAACCCAGTCATGCGCTTGGACCTCCCCCGGGTGGTGCACCAGGACCGAGCGATGCTCAGCATGTGCAGCGACCACGCAAAGGATCAGCATCAAAGAAGGTAATCTGATATTCACACATTGTATTCCAGTATCCTGAGCACAGAATCCTGGAGGCTCTGACATCCCAGCGTTGCTCTTTAGTTTTCCTGATTGTGTTCACAGGGAGGGAAGAGAAAGCAGGATGGCAGCATTAAATCGCCGAGAGATGGGCTCAAGCCTGCGCTGACCCTCAGACTCAACGATGTGCATAAGAGCGCACCTGCAGCTCCTGCGCAGCCATCAATCAGCCTTGAGCCCAGTCCCCAGAAGGCAGAGATCAAAGTTGAAGCAGCACCATCGGCAGCACCTACAGTCACAGCTGCTGCACGGCCAGAGCAGGGCCCCGGACCAATTGCAGGTGGGTCCCTTTTGCCGACCTTCTCACTTTTGTGTTGCATTGGTGAAAACCCACTGAATTTCAGCGCTCAGTGCATAGCAGGCAGGCTGATGCTGGTGCGCACATAACAGGTGGCAAGTTTGCCAGTCTTAATGGGCGACCGGACGTGTCCTGCACTCCTGCAGCTGTGCACCGCATCATACAGCGGGTGCAGAAGAAGGATACACATGGCTACTTCAGGGACCCTGTCACCGATGAGCTGGTGAGGAGATTTAGCGCACTCAATGACTGTCATTGATTGCATGCCCCATCTAGAAATCAAGCTGGTGCCTTAGGGTCCTACGAATTACATTTTGGATGTTTGCATGTAATGCAGGCATGGAAACGGCAGTGTATTTCTATCTCTTGCCTTGAAAGTGTTGTGTGTCTGCAGGCGCCTGGCTACTCCTTAGTCATCAAGCGGCCGATGGATTTCAAGACAATGCTGGCGCGGTTTGAGAGGGGGCACTACACGGCGTGGGACCTGCTGCAGGAAGACCTGGAGACTATCTTCAACAACGCGATGAGCTACAACCCGCCCGCTACCCCCTATCACAAGAAGGTGCAAAGTCACAAATTAAACTATAATCGGCGCTTCATATGTTGCCTTCCACTCTAACTGTGCACTGCAGTACAGCAAGCTTAACTGGATGTGAAGCTCCCCAAGGGATATACCGGGATGGAGTGACAGAGCGAACACGGCCAGGGTCATCATGTTTGTGTTGTGTTGCAGGCAAAAATTTTGTTGAATGAGAGCCAGCACATCTTGGAGAAGGAGAGGAAGGGAGTGAAGGACTTGAGGGGGGCCAGACCAGCACAGCCTGGGCCGCCCAAAGACCCCTCTCAGCCTGCTGCACCGCAGCAGCTGCTGCCAGAGAAGCGGCGAGGGAGGTGAGTGAAGATTGTGCATCCTCACATGTGTCATTCTCTGGCCCTTAGTAACCACATGACCTCCTGGTAGGGTCACATATTCCAGCATGCAGCAGGTGTGTGCAAAAGGCAAGCCCTGGTCAAAGGGGCACCACAGTCATTTGAGTAGTGAGAGAGAGGGACATGGGCACAAATACCATCATCTTCACCCGAGCAGCACAGCTCACATCCAGTACAAGCCTCCAAAACGCAGCGCACGCGGATGACATTTGTCGGCAAGTGGCAGTCCACTGTCCGGCAACATGGTGGTGACCAGGTTGATTATTCTGATGTGGCCTGTAGAATCCCCAAGCAGGCGGGGCGAGGGGGGAAGCTGGGGCAGAGGCCTGGCAAGCCCATCAGGGGCACTGGTCCTGGAAGGCCTGCTGGCGCCCATCCCATGGTGAGCTCACATACATCTGCCGAGCATGCAGTTTGCCACATGGACATGTTGCCTCATAGATGTATTCCTATTGGTTCCCACCCTTGGGCCCTAATTACTCTGTTTGATTTGCTGTTGAGCACCTGAAAGAGTGATCTGGGTCCTGCAAGTGCCTTGCAAACACCAACAAGCCAGAGGAAATACAAGGGAGAAAGAGAACAGGAGTCTGTGCAGGACTGTGAGAACTGGGTTGCTGTGGGCCAGGTGGGCAAGGAGGCCAAGGCGGCGCCGCAGTACACAGATCAATTTCTTCGCGCGCACTATCGGGGTCGCTTTGGGCAGCCCGCCTGGCAGGCGCTGCGCGGACTGGCGCTTGGCGCGACAGCCGAGGGCGTTCCCTACGCCTCCGGCAGGCCCGTTCTGTGCCAGGCTGGCGGAGCAATTGGGGGCGTCCCCTCCGGGGAGACCTACGCGCGCAGCCTGGCCCGCTTTGCCGCGGGCGTCTGTGGCCGCGCGCGCGAGGCCGTGCTGTCGCGCGCCGCCCGGCTGCTCTCCGCGCCCGTTGCGCCGGCCTACGTGGCGCCCGCACGCGTGCAGCTGGCACCCGCCAGCGCACCCTCCGCTGCTGCCGGTGCGCCTCGTGCAGCTGTTGATGCTCCATTGCAGAGATGTGTCGCTGGTGACTCATTGTGATCTGCTCTCATTGTTATGACATTGCGGTGCAGCTTCCAGTGTTGAAGCATGACATAGCAACCAGCAAGCACTGGACGATGTATTGCCAAGACATGGCAGTGCTCCTTCTTGGGGGCATGTTCTGACTGCGGTCTCTGGCAGGAAGCCTGTCAGGCAGAGGAAGGAGGCAGATTGGACACCAGCCGCTTAAGTGACATGCTGTGCTGCTGCAGGCTCGCTGAACACAGCACGCAACATCGTGCATTCATCAGGCGGGGTTCCCATCGCCGCCGCCAAATGCATACCCTGGATGGCCACGCCAGGCATGCTGCCTTCTGGAACGCCGGCCGCTCTGCCGACGCCGCCTGCGAGCAGCTTCCCGGCGCCTGCCGCGTCCACGGCAGCTTCCACGGCAGCGCGCGGCGCCTTTCCCACGGCTGCAGCCGTCCTGGGTCCTCTGCCGAGCACGGCCGGACGCGCCAGCATCCCTGGCTTGCCAGGCCTCACCAGTGAGTTTCTCCCTAATTGCAGTACAGTGTACTTGCAGGTGTGCAGATTGACAATTGTTGCGTTTAAGTTCTCTTATTGATAGCGGTGTCTTGTGGCCACTGCAGGTCAACCCATTGATTTCAATGCGTACGTCGCTGCCTTGCAGCACCAGCAACACCTGAAGCGACAGCAGCAACAGCAGCAGCAGCAGCAGCAAGTGCAGCAGCCGCAGCCACAGCTGCCGCAACCTTTGGTTGGCACACCTGCTCCCACAATTCCCTTCTTGGGTGGCAGACCTCCCTCGACCACGTGACAGCCGAGGCTCTTGATAACAACTCAGCAACAGCAACAGTGAGGCAGATGCCTTTCAAATCATATCTTAGAGCAGAACCTGCCCCTGGTAGTTGTTTGGCTCCGTTTGCGACCTGTGTACCGCTTGGAAAACCTTTTAGGCATTTGTGGGCTCTGCAGTGTTGTGTCGTGGCATGCAGTTTTGCATCACCCTGACCATTGTAGGGCAGGCTTGTATATGTCATGAGTATGAGGATTGCTGTTCACACTAGATGCAATCTGAGAAAGCAACACCAGTGGACCTTGTGCATAGCCTTAAAATGTGCCAATGCTCAAAGTTGGAAGAATCGCCCTCAGCATACCAAGTTGCTCACGCGTGCAATTGAAGCTGAATTACCAGCGCTTGCAGTCCATGCATGCTTGGCTATCACATTGTAAGCAAAGAATTGACTTGAGAAGGACGCAAAATTCTACAGACAGCTGTGAAACCATGCAGCTGCATTTCCTTGACAAAAGCACCATGTGCTAGCTGAACACTACTCTCTGCATTTGCTGACAACTTGAAAGATTCAACTGGTGCAGATGTTTTAAATAATTGAGCAGTTCAATATTGCGGCTAGAAAGCATCAGCATCGGGCCCAAAGCCTAGCATCATGCGCTTCCTGCATTAGGGACGATTGTCATCCTATTCTAAGGGGCACCATGAGTTTCATTCTCGCTCACAACTCATCGATTTTCCACAATTCTGTATGCCTCCTAGTTAGGCCAACAGGGCTCTTACTAAAGTACTAAAGTATCCTGTCAAATTGACCCGCTCAGAGAACGGTAAATAACAAATTATTGATCAATAATCAACAGAGAATTTCAGTACCATGAGCCAGGACAATGCGAGCGACGACATAAATGTTGAGAAGACAATTCCAGCCACTAGAAATGATCTGTGAACGACTAGAACATGAAGGACTCGGTGTGCAAACGCTGCAAGGGAAAGTCCAGGCTGCTCAAGGCTTCTGTGATATTGTCCATCATAGCTGAGGGCCCACACAGAAATGCAATGCGCTCTTTCAGACTTGGCACCACCTGTCAGGAGCACATTGCAGACACCCGTGACTACAAACCACAGAGAAGACATGCATCTTTATACATGTACTGCAGACTTGCTCTCTCTGTCAAGCATCTGGCTCACCATGGCATGCTCAGGTTTTCATGGAAGGTAATATATGCCGTCACCTCTTTTATCTGCGCGGCTGTGATGCGCCCCTTGCGCCCCACCCAGGATACCTCTGCACCCTTGGGTGTGCAAGACTTTGACGAGTCAAAGGCACAGGAGCCATCGCCCGTAACATTCACATGCACGCGCAAGGACGCTCCATCTCCCTTGCTGCGTTTCTGCGCCTCCTGCACTCTCACCCTTCTTAGTCTGCAATCAACATTCTCAGCAATGACTTTGAGCCCTAGTGCAAAGGAGGCTCTCTCTGCTTCCCAAAATGCGTATTTTTACGGCTATTGGGGGGTAGACAGGATTACCTTGGCAAATTCTGGCAGGAAGACTGCATCGTCCAGGGAGCGGACAGAGTACAACAGGATCACATCCAAGCCCCTATTCAAAAAGTCTAGGAGCATGGAGCGCATGGGAGTGATACCAATTCCCCCGGCAATCAGCAACACTCCTTGGGCAACGGCTGCATGCATGCTTATGCACCGTCACAAGCGCATCACTGAGCTCACACAACAGAGGGGAGAAGCACAGGCAAGGACAGGTAATCCCACGATCACGATAGTATCTGGTAATAACATGAGGTTGAGAAAGTAGAGGGAGATAGCTCACCCCCCTCTGTGGGAATTAGGTCAGAGGTGAAGATGCCATCCAAACCTCTAAAGGCAATTGTGCGTAGCTGGCCCATGTTGTCCCATAGCCAGCTGGATGCCTCGCCGACCTGCAGGAATTGTGATGCACTGTAATGACAGTAAGGTTTGGCGCCCATGAGCTTAAAATTGTGCAGAACGATCTCCCGGCACACGGTGCAATCGCAGAAAATCACACCTTTTTGACTGTGATTGAGATGGTGTTGGTCTGTATGGTTTCATCTGGGTGACAGCTGAGCGTCCATGATCTGGTGAGAATGCTGTCGCCGATGCCCTCAAACTCAAATGTGCAGTACTGCCCAGCCTGCAGCAGGCCAACTATAAGGAGATGCAAGATGCCACGCGCAAGCAAGCAAGCTCCATATATGCATTTCTAAATCTTGAAAGCTTTGGCAAGGGTGAGTGTGCTGTTGGGGGATACAAGGGCGTGCCTTGAACACAAACTTGACAAAGCCCTCTCTTGGCGCCTGGAAGGTGTATGTTTTCACATTCCAGCTCTCCTGCCGCACATCAACGCAGGCAAGGTACTCCACCCCGGAATCCTTGCTCACATAATTGTTGCGCAGCTGATGAATGCGCTCCTGCATGCATCATATACGCCATTTGAATTGCTGCATTGGATTGTATGCTCTACAATGATGAGCCCACCAACAGCTGATTGCACCTTCCATGGATAAGCCATGGAACAGCTGTTTGCTGGTGCTGCAACACAGATTGAGGCGCGTCATTGAGAAAGAGGTTCAATCGCAAACAAGCATGGGATGAAGTGTCACCTTCACGAGGTCTTCAGAGAACTGGTAGGGTCCGCGGGGGTTGAAGGGCGAATATCCGACAGGGCCAGGGGCGCGAATGGGAAGCGCAGACTCCACGCGCACCCAGCGCTCTGTCACAAACTCGATTGTGCGCTCGGCCCCCGGCATGTCATGGTTGTCAAACAGGATCTGCGCCCGGCCGGTCAGCTGCAGGGTGTCCCCTGTCGCAAAGTCCATCAGGAAGATCCCCGCCCTTGGGTCCTCCATCAAATTCCCTGCATGTGTGCCAGATATGTGAGCAAAGGCGAGCCTGAGATTGGAGCAAAGGGACGGGTTCAATGACATGTCTGTCAGGGCTTTAAAAATTAGTCCTTGAAGCATCCTGCACATGACGGGCAGCCCACGACAAACTGCCGATAGTTTCATCATGTCTGAATAGGGGAGCATGTTGCATGTGACAGTGAGCATGCCAGCTGGCTAATATTGCAGCATTGAGGAGCTGCTGGCTCACCAAGCGTTGTGAATGTGAGATTGCCCAAGTAGTCAGGCCATCTGAGGGTTCCCGGACCGTCCACTTGGACAAAGCCGGGCTGGCCTCCTCTGTGTGACACATCCAGGCCGGCATAGCCATCGCCATTGGGCAGTGGCCCCTCATACCCAGTCGCCATCATGAAGAAGTCCGCTCTGCGCATGGCACCGAGAGTCACCCAGGAGACTCTATCCACTTGCTGAGATATTTAAGGGCTCTGCTGGATATTTACTTTGAAAGATACTTGGAAGCATATCAATAAAACAGGCAGAGACAGCACCGTTCGATGAAGGCTCTCTCCTCTTGGCCCAGCTCATGGTCGCCCCTGTGCACTGGGAAGATCTCACCAACCTTCCCAAGCTCCTCTGTAAGCAGATCCAGCTTGCGTGCTGCATTTGCAAAGGTAATCAGTGCCCAAAGCTATTAAGAACTGTCACAGGTCTAACCAACATAAACAATGAGAGATAGAGAGATCATGATCTGCAACAAGCAGTACCTTGGATGAATTTTGGGCAGCTGCTGAAGCTGGTCTGCACAGCAATGGTCAAATCATCCGCGGTGACGCTCTCGACAGTGCCATTAATTCGCTCTCGCTGTCTTGTCTCCAGCACGATGGCTGTTGTGCCGATTGGGTCCCCGCTTTTGAGAGGCGCTGGATCTGACCATTGAACATTGCTCCATCGTTGTCACATACTTCGAGTCAAGACATGATAGTCTGTGAACCACTATGACAATCACACCTGAGCTTCACGGAAACAGCACTTGGAGCATACCTCCGTGAAACCTCCGCAATGGTGAAACATGTAGATGAGCGCTGTCAGGCGATGTCACAAACCCAGGCTCTCCCACAAGAGCTGAGGCCCATATATTTCCTTCCGTATCCCTGTATACGCACATATAAGTGTTGATCTGAAGGTGAAAAGCTAATCCTAGACCAAGAGGGTCCCACCTTTGTGGCACAGCAAGTTTAACGCTTGAGCGAATATTTTATAAATCTTTGGTGTGGAATTGTTGATTTGCATCAGAATTGTGCATCATTCCCAGCGGTCGACCCTCACCGTGACGCGAAATAAAGCAGGCTCTGACGGGCACAAAAATTCGCAGTTGCCGGCAGAATTTTCTTTTTATGCCAGCTCCTTCCAAGAGCTTCGCTGACGTTCCTTGCCCCGACCAGTGTCTGAATCTTCTGCTCACCTGGATGAAATGGGGAGGGTCCATCGGGCATCTGCACCATGCCGACAGTGCAGATCAAGCATGAACTAGCTGTGCCCTTCTCACGGCGCTGACAGCGTGAATGACTGTCTTCTGATTTTGATTGGGACATTAGTACATCCGAACAACTCTAATTTCTTGCAGCTTCACGCAGCTACCGTTCCGGAGATGCAGCACCTGACCCCACGTGCTGGCATGTCACCAAACTTCAATACCAGCCATGTTTCGCCCACATTTCTGTCGGAAGTGTTTCACATATCCACAGGGGTGATGTAGATGCAAGGTTCAGGATGCAGCTGTCACCGCTTTCACACTAAAGATCTTGAAATTAAGTGATCTTAGAAGGACATCGACTTGTCATGGGTGATAAAAGGCGCCGGTCTGATCAGGATAAATTTCTCAACAATCACTTCAGTTCTGGAGGCAAGCTTGCCGTGAATGACAGCATAAGAGGGGCAGGCCGCGATGTGCTCAAGCAAGTCGTGCTGTCGATTCTTGAGGAAGGGGAGACTGTCACCAGGTGCGGCAGTCTGGGAGTAAAAGAAAATTGGAAGGAATTACAGTCACTCAACTCATCGACATGCCATCCGGTGTACGGGCCAAACTTCATTCCTTTCTCAAATCCCGGACAGTGAGTAAAAGGAGTCTTTCCTGGTCCTTTCTTCAGGGCATTGAAGCGCTTACGGCCAGCTTCAAAACAAGCTCGAGGCAACAAGAAGAGAAGGCAGATTGGCGGAAGCAACAGGCAGCAACGGTGAGCACTGTGCCCGTACAAAATGTAAGAGGGCACTTGGTGATATATATGTCAGCCTTCAAATGATGATGACTTAGACTGCTCTCTCAACTTGCAGTGCTCAAGAAGCAGAAGACAATTCGAAGGCTGCCGCCGACTTCATTGCAGAGATGCAGGGCGAAGCAGGTCAGCTCAGGGACACAACTTCTTGTCAGAAGGCTTTTGTGTTGGGGATGAATTGTGCGATACTGACCTTAGAGACTTGCCGAATTATCTGCTTTTCGTGCCAACACAGCACCCAACATCCTGGGTTGCAAGCAGCGCATGCCGATGGATGAAGTACTGCATCCCGGTGGGCTGAACAGATACTTCACTCCAGTTGATTTGCTGGTTCCAGGCCGGGATGAGCAGGAGGAGGAGGAAGCAGAGAAGAGGAGGACCTTTGACCGGCTGACAGAGGCGGCAAGCGAGCTGCTCGACTTGGGGCATGAAGACATCTACCAGGAGACGCGGGAGACACTGGTGGTGTCTTTGAGCGGGTGAGGACTCGAGCCAAGGAGGTTGCCAGGAGTTACAGAAGTCACTTGGCAGTGTCGTAGCAATATTTGATGCATGTTTACTGCGGCTATCAGCTGGTTGTTGTGACAGGGGCATGCAGAAATCGAGCTCGTACATCTGGCATGACGATGGGCAGTCTGTACCACGCCAGCATGACCCCCTGGATCACATCACCACATTCAGGGACCTTCCCAGCACTGCTGGCAGGTGTAGTCACGTTCTCGAGCTCCTGCTCTGTGTGTGTTTCTGGTGTCGATTGCTAATACCTTTCCTCCGCACAAGGAGGCTACACACTTTGACCCCTCTGCTGTGCTGACAGACTCATCCAGTAAACTTAAAGTCACAGGTCCTGGGCTACAGGTATACCTATCTGCGTTATCATCACTGGAAATCAACGCTGCTGAGGGGGTGTCTGGTATGCCGCAGGTCCGATGGAGTTCCCTATCGCAGAGCTGGGCTGGGCACCAAGCAGGAAGCAGGCCAGGATGGTGCGACAGCAGAGCCGCAACCAGTACCACAGCCAGTGCCTGCGCCAGAAAGGGAGCCAATTGAGGAGCGGAACAAGAGGCTGGCCGGCAGCACTGCAGCCAAGGCGGCAGCCGGCGCATGGGATTTCCGCTCTGGGGTTCACTACAAATATGACGGGCCGGGCGCCTCAAAGCCTGCCAGCTTGAAAGCACCCGAGCCGCAGCTCACCAGGACTGAGAGGCCGCCGCCTGTGCCCAAGCTGGCCCCTTTGCCGCCTGCCCCTGGTGACTACAACCTTGAAGAGAGGCAATAATGTGGTCATCTGACATTGCCACACCAAGTCACTCTTTGGCGACCCTTACAGGGGACATAAAACCAAGGGGAGGGAAACACGCCGTTCAGAGTCCTCTAAATCCTGGAGAGTGTGCCAGCCAGATCCTGTGCGTTCCCGAGACATCATGCACCACGGTGGATCATTATTGGCAGAAGGTGCAACATGCGCTGAGATTTGGTTGTGTGGTTGCAGTGAGGCCCATGGCTCCGACAAGTGGCGGCTACCCTCTGCCGCCGGCACATGCAGCTTCCACCAGCTACTCTGCATACCCACCCCACCCTGCTACAGCATACCCCTATGCCCCACCACATGCGGGGCACTGGCAGCAGCCTCCGCCTTATGCAGGATACCCTCAGCCACCAAGCGTTGCTGCAGCCCCACCTGCTGCAGTGCCTTACCCAGGAGCTGAGTACCAGCAATGGCAGCAGTACTCAGGAGCCCCCCCTCCTGCGTACCCATACACCTGACATGCAGACTGCATAATGCAGTACCTTGCGCGATAGACTTGTGTTGCTTTCGCAATATTTCAATTTTACAAGTTTACTGGGTGGTTCACATCAGACCTATATAGGTACAGCGCTCTCAATTGCCTGGCAACAAATGATAACAAAACCATACATTTCAGGATAACTCACTCACTCCGATGTTTCATGAATCTTGTTTGTAAATAACAAACAGCAATGGCAAAGGAGTGATACAGTGATGTGCATTCCAGCCAGATCAAGGCGTATCACTATTGTACACACAGCACATGGGAGCAGGGAACACAACAAGCCTTATTACTCAGGCCACTGACACCTCCGTCCGCCTCTGCCTGTGCAAGATATGGTCCAGCATTTGGAGCGCTGCCTTAGGTTGGTCTGAGGGGATCATGTGCCCGGCATTCAGGACTATGTACATTGCCAAGTTCTTGTGCGCCTTGAAGAAGCCCGCTGTCTGCGGCCGATGACCCTTCACATAGAACGGCTGCGAGGAAGCTGCCTTGAAGTCGGCAGCCCCCTTCCACTTAAGCTGGTCCATCCAAGCATCCGTGCCCAACGTGCAGCAGATGAGGTCCAGCTGGCCACTGTATACTGTCACTGGCACCCCTGTCAGCACACAACAACATGCCTTAATGTCAGGCACTTGTTCCTGGTGAGCTCAAGACAGTCAAACAAATGATTCTCATGACAAAAGCTGTAGAGGTTGAATATTATTGTTATTGTTATTACTACTATCATTACACGCTTTTCCTGCCAAGAGGCAAGGTGCGTCCTGCAAACACACTGCAGTTAAAGGCTGCCACAGGTTAAAAATGCGAGCTCAGAAATACAATAGTGATCACCTGACTCCAGCAGGCCGTCCACAACACCGACCACATCCACCATGAAGTCCCCACTCAGCTCATCAAAAACCTGCAATCGCGCAAAGACTAGGACTGAAACCCATGCATGCTGCGCTGCTGAAGTTAACACTGCAGGAACGGCAATTGTGCTCGACTGCCCTGCTCCCTCAAATCTTGGATTTGCACCTGCCATTGCCTTGTGCCAGTGAGAGACTGCAGGACCCTGCATGGGAGCGTTCAAGCAAGCCGTCATACGCAATGCATGCTCTCCTTTCCAAGTATGTGCGTGGAAGCACGCTGCCGACTGTCGCACAGATGGAGCTCACCTTGGCAGATTGCGCGCCCCAGGACACGTTGCCGGGAATGATGCCCACATGCTTGCGAACGCTGCCGTTCATGAATTCAGCCAGAGCATCGTTGTGGTAGCGTGCGAGCAGCCGCCGGGCAGACGCCGCCACTCCGTTTTCGGGCAGCGCTGCTGTCAGCCACACCGAGCTTTCCTCACCGTCCACGTTGTGCAGCAGGGCGTTGTACCAATCCTGGACACAGATACAGCTATTGCTCTACTTCGTGCAGCAGCAAGCCTGCACTTAGAGAAGTCATTATGCCGTCTTGGCCACTGACATACTCGTTGCTCAATTCTGTTGAACCAGGGGCGCTGCACTCAGAAGGAGACATGCAACGGTCCAAATCACATGCAAGAGAGGCTTGTTCTAATGCGATGTGTCAGTTTTGTGGTGGCCTGACAGCATTCAAGGCTTGTGCGCGAGCAAACCCATTTCTCTCCAACTTAATATGATTGCAAACCGGGCAATGTGCAGATGCGCACCACGTTGTCGGTGGCATTGGAGATGGTCTCTTCAAGCAGCGCCCACAGAGCGGTGGCGCCGGTGAGGTTGCCGTTGCCGACAGCCTGCTGCGTGCGAAGCGCCACCTGGCTCACATTCGACAGCGCCGCATCCTCCAGTAGGGACCAGGCCTTCAGGAACGGCGTCCATGCCAGCACGTAGTCTACCGGGGATATCCAGCTGTCACCTAGGGCCACACCCCTGCCAAAATATGAAAATGTGAACCGCCAAAGTGGTTGTTACTGCCCCGAGATTTAAAGAATCCTGCTATTGGGTAAGATATCAGTGTCAACTGGGTGGAAATTGGAGAACCCTGTGATCAGTTTAGATTACCAGCGTCTTCTGTATGCCTCTGCATGCAAAGCAACACATGCAGGGAGTGGAAGCTACCTGAAATTGAGCTTTAAATCTTCCCTCGCCTGGGCATCGACAATGGCTCGTGCAAAGCCGGCAGCCATCTTGCCACCGTAGGACTCGCTCACAATATGCAGCGGCGTGTCTATGTACTGCAAACACACATGAAAGAATTCTTGAATCCTCTTGGCAGTCCTGTCCTTTCTAGAGCAGTGATCACATGCACATGCATAGCTTTTAATTCTTGAGCTGTTCTTTGCCTCACCTCTGTTTTCTTGTGCAGAAACTTCTTGAGGAATGTGAGGAGGTCAGCGGCAATCTCAGCGTTGTTGTGTGTGAAATTTGTTCCATTCTCCACGTAGCTGAACCCCGTGCCCACGGGGTTGTCCACAAACAAGATACTGGCCTTCTGCACCCAGCTGTGCTTCCGGGGCTTCCAACCCACATCATATGGGCCAACTTCCTGAAATACCAAAGGCGTTTTTGTGAGTGCTCGACTTTTAGCACATATTTTCGTGAGATTGTCAGGAAGGCACACACAAAGTAGAGGATTCGGCATACCTGGAAGTTGCCATACCCAGTCCCAGACGCACCTGGACCTCCCTGCAGCAAATTATGAAGGTTACGATCTGGCATGCAACATCAAGCAAGTCTGGCCCAGATCGCTGATTTAAAGTGTGTATTTGAGAATCACCTGGAGCCAGATCACGAGCGGAGTGTCTTCATTTATATCACTCCTTTCGCCCGCAAATGGCTCCAGCCACCTAGGAATCGAAGAAAAGAATATCGGCTATCATGGGCCATCCTGATATTGAGCAGGCATCTGTCGGAATACTGATGTACATGCATAGTAATTAAGTTGCTGCACATGATAAAGACACGTGGAATCGGCTGCATATAGCGAGAGATTTTACCAGAACATGTGAGCGCCGCTGCGTACTTCCACATAGCCGAAATCACCCCTCGACTTGACAATGGAATGGTCGATGGCACCCGTCGAACACGAAACAATGCGGCACAGCACAGCACACAGACCTACGATAGCCCACGATTTCATCGTTTTGCACTGTATGGAGTGGTCCGCAAGTGCCTCAATCCTCACCGACAGCGTTCCTTGTGGGCAAAGAACGGCACGTGCTGGCATTCGGCAATATTATTAATCCTCCATGTCATCCAGGTGGGGATTTGAGGCCCAACGAGTCTTCCTTGTGGACAGAATTCATGATATTTAGGATAGCAATAAAGGCCTCCAAATTGAATAAGAGGAGTATAGGCTGATAGCGTGGTGCACTTATCAATTGAGCTTATTTGTGATCTGGTCTGCAGTCTTGTCTTCTCTTGCGTTCGTTGTTCCTGAATTCCTTAGAAAATGGTACGAAAAAGTGCATCAGCTGGTTACAGCATGCTCACCAGCTTGCTCCATTTCGCGAGGGCACCAACAGCCGCATCTTCTCTGGCAGGCGCACCTCGGACTCTTTTTGGAGGAGGTGCATCTTGTCTCACCCTTGCTTATAAGAATTTATTATGACAGAAAGTGCTCTGACGACATGCTTGATTAATTAAGAAACCAACGACGTGGGCTGAGTGTTCCAATAACATACGCCTCAACCTCACCTATCACTTAATGTGTGCCCACAGGGTTGCTTGCGCCGGAGATCTCCCTGAGAGGTGCTTCTGTGAAGATGGACGACCAGCACCGGTGCTTTGCTCGTCAACGGGCAACGGATGAAACAGAGCATTTCCTAGCGAAAAAGAGTTATGGCAGTGCTCTATCAGGTGGAAGATCTTGATAGCTCGCTGCTGGTACACTGTCTTCCTGACACTTTCACGTAGGGATTACATGGATTGCCGTAGGAGCGTGTGGGGTATGAATCAGCCATGTATGCTGCAGATCTGCGGAGGCAGTGGGAAGGGGAGCGAAAGAAAGCACTTAATCTGCAGAAACAGAGGCAGGCAGCTGCAAAGCTGCGCCAGGAGCGATTTGTGGAGAGGAGGAAAAAGCTGCGCACAGAGCGACAGGCAGCACAGGCAGATGCACGCGCCAAGTTTGACAAGCGGATACGCGGCAAGCAGGCAAGTCCTGACAGCCATGAGTTGTGTAATCTGGGTGCATGTGATGCATGTGATGGCTCGCAGCATGTCTTCATCCTTGTTGCAAGGCTTTGTCACGCATGCTTAACAGCTTGTCATCCCATGTGCAGGCATTGGTTTTTGAAGCGGGAGCCAAGTGGCGGGATGCACTTCAAGGCATCTATGGTGACTACAGGCAGCAGAGGTTCGAGCCACTGCTGAGAAATTCTGTTTGACAACAACATGCATTGTCAAGTATGTGTCAAGTATGGTAATCAAGGCAATAGATATTAGATCCGCACGTGAGCAGGCAACCAAGTCCGTAAGTCCGTTGGTGGTGCTCACATCAGGAGGGAGGTCTTGCTGGAGCAGAGCAAGAACTGGATCAAAGCGGAGAACCTGGACATGCGAATAGAGGAAGCACTCGACAACCCAGTACCACTGGCAAAGTAAAAATAGGCCAAAGCAGCATCAACAGGGCCCCAGGCAGCTATTGATCTGTCAAATCTGCTGGTCAAATCTACTGGTTGGCAATAGAGTTGATTGTGAATGGTTTGCATAGCATTGGCGAAAACAATCTCACTGTGGTAGCATTTGGTATCAGCGGATTCAATCTTCCCGGCTGAACTGTCTTTGCAGTTCAGTATGCGCCTTGCAGCAGTTGTAACTTGAAGTCTTCGGGGAACATTCCAAATCAATGAGAGGCCCTTATGCAGTGCCTGACATCTGTTTCCTCCTTCTTGAGAGGCAAAATTCATGATGTCCTCCCCTGAGCTGCCATGGCTATTGCCCACAAGACATGGCGTGGCAATTGCCTCGCGAACAAACAATACCGTCTTTATTCTACGGAATTTTCAAGTGCACGTTGACATGACGGTATTATTAGACTTCTGGGCAGACTGATGCGCAGCGCAGCAGATCAAAAAGTGGAGCCCTTCCAGCCAACATCAGAGCGTGCCATGTCGTGAAACTGCAGCACAGCACAGGAAATTGCATCAACACTTCAATCTCAAGCTCACTGCTGGGATCCGGCAGCAGACCTGGTAATGATGACAACGCCATGCATGCAGTGTATCCGCTGTAGAGTGTGCAGTGCAGACACACAGGGCAAGACAAACCGAGGATGTGAGTGATGGGCTCCTCACCGTCAGGTAGAAACGATCCGATGGGATGCTCAGTTTCTTTTCCAAGATGTCAGCGACCAACTTTGAGATCTGCCAAGCCAAATCTTCCATGAGCACCGATCAGCAGAAAATCAGTGTCCTGGGGACACTTTGTGCAAGCAGCTAGTGAATAATCTCAACTCCAGGAGCAATAGGAGGACGCACACTCTTGTTCTTCTCTCCACCAATGGCACCGATGGACAGCAGCTCTCCATAAGCAGCTGGAGCCTCGGTGCCACCAAACATGACTGATTTTCCAGCATTGAGGGTCACAAGCACGTACTGCATACAAAGCGTGCGTCAGTGTTGAGCAGTGCTCAACATAACAATGTCAAAGAAAGAGATCATGGGAATGCAGCCTTCATTCCATGAGCTCTAGAGTATGCCATCGGCATGTCTAAAGCACCTGCTCTGGCTTTCCCACGCCATCGGTCACCGCCTTGGACAGCAACTTTAATGTATCGCTGTTGGTGACAACATCATCTGGCACTGCACAACAAGAAGGGAAATGTTTTCAGATCGTTCAAACGTCTGACTGGTCAGTTAGTGCGCACTCTGCCCACTGAGATACCACACACATACTGATGTGGCTCGACCGGAATCATCCGATTCTCCCATTCGATCTTCAAGGATCGTGTCTTTGCAAGAAGCTATCACTATGACTGATCATTCCAGAATATCGATGCCATGCACGCACCGTTGGTGGTGATGTTAAGGATCGGCATTGCTACAGAGGTACTGGACTGTTCTCAACAACTTCTATAAGTTTTGCCAGAAAACGACTGGTGCGCGGTGTTGCGCAATGCTTTACGACATCCAACCCCAAGTCAGTTGAAGGGGCCCCCAAAACAGGGCACCCGAGTAATCAAAATCCACTACTTTAGTGGATGTAAACGCTACTAATGTGGTGGATTATTGGCAATCAGGGGCCATGCCACCTGGTAACACATTCCATAGCATGTCATTTTGGTAATAAAAATTAGGCCTTTCGTCAGTAAGCATGGAGAATGATCAGTGATGTGTTTCTGTACCGAGCATGTCACTTATTATTGCTAGGATCCCGTGTTACAAGTGTGGCAGTGACAAGGAGAAGCTTCATCCGAACTGCGCAAGTTCAGAACGCTTGACTCGCTGTGTAGGTTGTGATTATATTATCAGATTCTATTCAGAAGGTCTGACAAAGGACGAATACGGCCACGACGCTGTTGCCGACTGGGTCTTCAAACAAGAGGCAAGGGTGCCATTGCAACGTTGCAATGCCGTGGACTCAGGGGTCAGATATTTCCATCAGAGCTGCCTTGGCCGAGATGAACCTTCAGCATTGTCCAGAGCTAATGGCTACTATTCTATTCGCGGGAAGATTGAGAGCGAAAAGTATCCAGAGCTCAGAAATATTACCCACAAATGCTGTGAGGACTGCGTCATTGCAGCCCAAACCAGGGGCAAGGATCTCAATGAGGATAAGTTGAATTTTATCATGCATCAAGGAGTGATTGGTAGGTCTCAATAAGCACTCCATCTTTGAAGGTTGGGAACACCTATGTTTTGAATCTCCCCATGACCTTGACACAGAGTAACTAACTCTGACTTTTGCGTTGCGTTCAGAGGCAGAGACCGGCGACTTGGAGAGGAAGAGAGCCGATAGGCGATCAAGCAAGATTCGAGGCATCATTGGTGGTCAGCAGGCTCGCCTCGAAGACAATGGGACGACTTCGACCGCCATCTTTGCAACGAGACACCTCAATCAGAAAGTCAGCTTCAGCAAGAGCGCCAGCAGATTGCTGGCAGCAGTGCCCAACCTGAACAGGACAGTGATGGCAGCCTCGTATCTCCAGGCCAGTGGACTTCAGGCAGGCCAGACAGCCCAAGGACAGGCGCAGAGGGGCGCCACAGCTGCAGCAGGCGGCATGCAGGGTCCCGCAGCCCCAGAGGCAGAAGCTGCAGGACCTTCGCAAGCGCCACAGCCAGGGATCAGCCGCAGGCAGCTCAGCGCTCAGGGAGCCGAGCAGGACATCGTCCAACGGTGGCTTGCGTTCAGCCTCAAGGCCTCATCCACCGTTGCAGAGCTGAAGCGGTTCCTGCTTGACAGAGGCCAGCGGCCAGTGATCTTCACCAGAAGCGCGCTGCTCGCCAGGGTGGAAGGGCTGCTTAGATTTGAGCATCCAGAAGGTAGCTATCCATGATGGCTGTAACGATCAGCGCCTACACATCTTATGCCTGGCAAATTAATAACATGTCCTCACCATTTCCTCTGGACATCTTATGCGCTGGCAGCTAATGGATGCTGTCATGCAGGTGGACTGGAGCCGAGTGCGGCGGCGGTTGAAGAGATCACAGCCGCTGTTGAGGCCGCAGCCCAACCGGCACGGCAAAGACCAGCAAGGCAGAAGGTGGGCATCTTGTTGAGGATCCTTATGTTTGCATGTGCTTTGTGAACGCCTCTCATCTGTCAAGCTGCTGGTGCAGTGAAAGCGAGTTTGGCTGAACACACTGATTGTAAGTTATTGTTGTTACAGGCGCCGAAGAAGTCACAGCTTCAGATGGAAGCGGCCAAGTCCATTGTTAACAAGGGTGAGTGGGCGCTCTCAGCTGGAAGCTCTGATCACCTGGTGACTGTTGCACACCCGAGAAGGCTTTAACTTCTGCAGATTTGATGGAAGGGAATGATAGCCAGTCAATTGAGGCGCTCACATGTTTGCAGGAGTGAGCAGCGGCCTGCCCGTGGTCAAACTCAAGCAGATTGACGAGTTGCTCTGGACCTTCGACAAGTGCCACTACCTGCCGCAGTTGGGGGAGAGCACTCCCTCGATTGGTGTCGCTCTCTGGGCCGTCACAAGCACGCTGCACCGCGACGGGGAGTTCCCAGCACGCAACTTGTCCCAGTTGGGTCGTGCTGCCAAGGCTCCTGTTGGTTTGGTGCGCGCTGTGCAGCCAGGCAGCGATGGCAACCAGCTGCATATGGAGATATGGTTCCTCGAGGCGCGCGTGCAGACAGATAGCCAGGGGGAGCCCGAGGCAGCGGTGGCAGGGGAAGGCGGTGGGGCACGCGCAGATGTGGAGGGACGGGGTGCAGGAGAGGCAGCCACCGGTGGGGGCGTGCAGGAAGGGCATGGGCGGGGTCGGGGCAGGAAGCGTGGCCGCCGCGGCACAGGCGGGGCGCGTGGCAGCAATCGGCCCAGAAGGGGCAGCCGAGGCAGGCTCAGGCGCCCAACCGCCAGAGCCGCAGAGTTTTGGGGTCCCCCCACTGAGGGCGACGAAGACGAGGTTGGGAACCTCTTCTCTGAGTCAGATGCGGATGACCAGCCAGCGCAGCAGCACAGTGACCCAGCAGAGCCAGAAGGGCAGGCAGAGGGTGTCCTGCCTGAGGCCAGCGAAGTGCCGCCGCAGCCCACAGCTTGTGCGAGCCAGTCGCCGTTGCACGGCTGCTTGCTGGCAGATGAGTCGCCGCAGCCTGTGCCAGTCCCCAACGTGCGGCTGAGCATGCAGGGGCATGCCGCATCGCCGGCCAAAATGGCTGTGCTGGTGATCGACTACCGGCACATTGCAGCGGCCCTCTGTCATCCAAAACGGCTGAAGGTGGCTCTCGGAGGCGCTGCCGGGAGCTCGCCCATGAACGTCGAAGAGGCTGCAACTGGTGTGGCGCTGGCAATGTTGCTGGCTGAGGAGCAGAATGCGGCGCGCGCCGGAGAAGGTGAGGAGCCATCATGGCTCTCTTTGTCCTGGCTTATATGATTCCACTCACAGTGAGTTTCTAAGTTATAATGCCATGCGAATCATACCCCGAAGGTTTATCGACAGGTAATTGTCAGCAATAAGCTGACGACAGGCATGTGTTGTCTAGGTGGGAGTGCTACGGCAGCGGAGCAGTCGCAGTCAGCCTTGGAGCAGTCACCGCTGTCTGGCGCCATGGTCTTCTTTGATCCTGCTCTGGAGCTCGCTGCCGATGAGGAGCCAGCTTCCTCCTACCGCTCTGCAGATGGCCCAGCAGGCATGTACAAAATCCTGCTCTGTCATTCCTGTGAACTTGTCAACTGACTGCTCTCATACGCTGGTGTAGTTGATTTGTTCATGTCTTGTCTCTCAATGCTGAAGTGTCTGCTTGCCCCTTTGCCTGAGCCATGCCTGTCTTTCACGCACCCTGCTCCACATGCTGTGCTTGCCCCTTTGCCTGAGTCATGCCTGTCACTCACGCACCCTGCTACATATGATGTGGTAGAGTGCCGCACCTAAGGGTCATCTGGGTAATACTAACAACAGGAATAAATTTGAGCTTGACATCCTAGCAAGACACTAGGGAAGATATTGCTTGAATGCGGTAATAATCGCGGATTGTAAGCAGCTGTGTGTTGGTGCGCGCAGGTCGACCGTCCCTGGAAGTTTCCTCCCCTGGGATCAACATGGAAGCTGCAATGGGTGTCATCGCAGGGCTGGCATGTCAGCTGAACCCCTCGCCGCAAGCCAGAGGCCATTCGAGCGCGCACAGTGACGTGCAGATTCTGCCAGATGACACAGTCTATGTCCTAACAGATGACAGGAGGATAGTGGGGACGGCAGAGGTGGTGCATATTGGGCCTGGCACACGGTTCCACGGTGCTGAGCTTGAGGGGTTTGGTGTTATTTGCGGGCTCACCATCACAGACGCAACTGGGGCTGGACACCAGAAGGCATGGTTGAGCGACACAGATGAAGTCAGAGCAGGCAGAACACCCTTGGAAGCAATTGGGGGCAATCAGATGGTGGCAGTTCCCGAGAGGTGCCTTCGCTTTCTGAGGCGCCCACCGGCGGCTGGAGAGTGACTTGCAATGTGATCTTTGCACTTTCAAGCTAAGTCAGTTTCAAGCTTAGTCAGAATTGGCGTGTGAGCATGACGCAAATGTAGCATCAATTTTTTTTATGTCCTAAATTTGATATTGCAATGAGGACTGTAGTAGGTTGTGACCAAGTCTGCCTCACTACAAGGCGTTGCACATCCATGCGCTCTACGCAACTAATATTAGTCACTCACTTGTCCCTCTCTGCACATGTGCGCAACAATCATGACGGTAACCAGATATCATGCATGTAACAATCTGTAAGGTAATTTTGCTCCCGGTTGCCTCACATGCTCAACCTTCGAATCTGAAGTGGCCAGTGGGATGGAGCACTTCTGCTTGAAGACAGAGCACTGCTGCTGACCGCCACAAGGTAGTGGCGGTGGAGGGCAAGAAAATAAATCCCCTGAGCCTATCTTATAATATTATTAACCCCATCTGTCATTGAGCAGCCTGGCTCGTTCTTGCTGTTTCTCTACGATGTCGGTGTCGAAATCCACTCACATAGAATGTTGAACGTGGAAGAATTGCTACAAGATTCTTCTCAGCATCATCGCACTTCTTGGTCGCTGCATAAAGACACACGGCATGTCACATCAGATGGCGCAAAGGTGATGCCCTTATCTTGCCGGCACCCACGCTATGGTACACGCACGCGATGTGTATCAATCAAATGTGCCACAAGCGACAGAATTGGGGTGTCAATTTGCTGCACAGCGTGGGTGCCCCTCCTTGATGGGCACATCTCTTTACATCGAGCAGCCATCTGAGATCGCCAGGGTTGAGGACGTGCTGTCCGTGCAGCACGCACTCAGCGTCAATATTTAGACTCTTTCAATATTGATTATTGATGGTATTCTTGTGAAAGAGTCTCTTGACCGGCCCTGTAGGTATCGCACGCTATGAAGAGGCTT